GGGAGACAGCCAAATTTGGGCAAGATAGGGATAGGTGCAGCGAGATAGAAGACATTTTATATTCCATACTCCAACTTTAGTCAAAGCAATAAGGATAGTTGGGTTGTCTCTTTTTCCGCTCATGTGCATACAAAAAATGCGAAATCGTTGACACCCTTATATAGGGAGACAGCCAAATTTGAGCAAGATAGGGATAGGTGCAGCGAGATAGAAGATATGAAGCTAATCGGCAATTTTATACATGGCTCTACAATGATGTATGCATCTTTGGTTTTGTGTGTGTGTGCCTTACACTTTGTAGCCAGAAACCAGCTCAAGATAGTTGGTGGGAGTGACATAATTGTGGCGCTTCATCTCAAAGAGCATTCTCTCAGACATTTCTACGACTGAACGATGCATTGTCATGAAGATTTTCGCAACGTTCTTCTGCAGATCAGCGACGTCCTTTTCTTCCGTCCCTGCCGCAAGCTGGACATCTTCCAAACCTTTCGTGGCTACTTCAAGGAGAGCGTCCTTGGGCCACTCACAGAACCAGTCGATCGTGGTACAGTTCACGTACGCCGGGAACATACGTAGCCGATTCCGGAACGGTTCGCCGACAGGACTCATGCAGAGAATGACGTGGAGGTTGTTTCTGACCCTCTCAACGAGGTAGGCAACCATTGAGTCAGGTGTGTCCTGGATCCCATCTTTCTTTGCAGCGGTAGCAAGAGCCTGCCGCACCTGTGATGAGGTAATCAGAATCTTAGCTGAGTTCCTAGTTGGTTGCTTCATACAAAAAAACTTGAAGCATTGTCAATTATACGTCCATCATACACAGCAGCACACTATGTGTTTGTCCTAGCCTAACTCCTATAGTCTTAGTGCCAGGTTTATGGTTTGTACATACTACGTATGTGTGTTAGCTACCTCTTCAAATTCGTCAGGTTTGTAGAGATTAGGCACCTCTCCACTAGACAGTATGTTGTTGATATCCTCAAGAAAGGTCTCCTCAACGACTTGCGTGTCGGTGAACAGAAAGACTGTGGGCTTGTTATCGACACCCGCCTGGTAGTACAGCTTTCGGATATCTGTCAGGAATCAGAATTTTTGTGGTTATGCAGCATCCAATGTGCGCCATATATTTACTTGAATTTTTGGCCATCAATATTTAGAACTCACAGTACAGTTGTATGTATGTATGTATGGATGTATGTATGGAGTGTACATGCATACATACCCTCACGGAACTCTTGTAGACGATAGTGGCGAGTGACCTCTATTTGGAAGACGGAGTAGGATATGATGTAGGCAGAGAGGCGCGAGAGGCTCTGGCGTCCGCTGCCACCCACTCCCACCAAGCATGCATGTCCCACGAGGCTGCCGTATCACTCTCACTATTCGACACACTACGTACACAGGGGAAAAGGTATAAAATTTAGTGAATACTGAAAAAAATTAAACTCCAAAAAGTTGACTAGAACAATTTGGATATGAATTGAATTTGTTTGATGATATATTGATTTGATGAATATTTTTATTTGATATTGAATATATTGAATAAAAAATTGATTGTTGATTGATTGATTAATTTGATTGTTGATTTGAATTTGTTAATTTATTGATTATGAATAATATTGAAGTTGTTGATTGAATTTGATTGAAATATGATTGAATTGTTGATGTGTTGATTATAATTTGATTTGAGTTGATTGTTTGAATTGATTGATATTTATTGAATTTGTTTATTTTGATTGATTGATAATTTTAATTAATTGTTGATGGATGATTTAATGATTGATTTGATATTTTGTTGAATTGATGGTTGTTTGAATGGAATTGAAAATTGATATTTTGATGATTTGATTGATTTGAATTGATAATGATGAATGGCCTCACTGTATATATATGACCCTTTGCCCATAGGAAATGTCCCGATAACAACGTACAGGAGAGACCGTTCACACCGGAATACGAGGTCCAAATCATTCATCAGTACAGAACCATCTCATCTTTCCGTGATGCGTAAAGCAAGCAGTCACAAGTTACGGAACATTGTTCGAATGCGTCGTCTATGAACGACGCCCGCCCGGTCTCATATGGCAACCAAGGCAGGCTCCATGTTCCTGTAGTACCTAGAGCTGCTCTGTCCATCAGCTTCTCAGCTCACGATGCAACTTGACGATGTCCTCATCAGACTTCGGTACATCGCACCACGCCATAAGCATCACCTCCAGTCATGCGACAACTAATTGCTATCGACGACGCAGAGAGACGGTTGGTAGCATGTAAACATCACTTTCAACTTAACCCTGCGAATCAGCATTACAAACAACGCATATGCAACATCCCCTAGCGCTTGCGCGCAGTCACCTGAGTCACGTGGTCTCTCACCAGCGACCTATTTTATGTTATAGACTCATGTTGCTATCAACCACACATCAATTTGACCACGTGTGGTATGAAACGCCTCTACATGGGGTTACTATGCTCACCGAAAACCGAGGGAGGGAATCGTGTTGCGGCAAGAGGATTCCCCTGTTGATGCTGTGTATGATCAATCTGGACCCAAGTGTTCTCTGAGAGGAGGGAAAATTCACAACGGCGTACCTGGTCTTTGTCCCCACTAGACTCGTAGACCCTTTACCGCACCTCCCAGGTCTACCGTCAGAACGTTATCTCGACCAACCTCCAAAAATACCACCTGCCCGTGGCACACCCACAACCCACGCAGGACTCATCTGGCCTGTTCTTCCCGGTGTCGTGGTAGTCCTTGTGTGCTCTGAGAAGCCCCTGGAAAACCTGGAGATAAAGCAACAAATAGCATGATGATGCTCAGTGACACAAAGCTAGAAGGTTTGCTTTGCCTTTCTATGTGCACGACATGCAGCATTATTCAGTGACCACCAATACCTTTGAGATGTCTCTCATGTTGAAGAGGTAGTGAATCTTTGCAGGAGTCGGCAGCATGCGAGTGGAGATGAAGTTGTACACCTCAATGGTGGCCTGCGTCATGAGATCTCCCAGCGGCTTGACGTCTTCGTCAAAGTCCTGCAGCTTCTGGTTGATCATCGTGCCAAAAATACGGCGAATCTGGCTCTCCTGAATACAAACGTGGACAGAGCTTCAAACATTGGCTGTAAATTCTCAAGGGAGAATACTCTTACACATGTTGAAGTACATATAAGAGGCATACGTATGTAAAGGATTTTTCTGGGGGTTTTTAGGCCGATATCATTTATACAAATGGACAAGAGATCGACAACCAAGTTTTCTTTGTGTTACTTAAAGTTTCGATATAGGGATACCTCTTTAGCGCAAGCTTTCTTCTTCCATATAGGGCTTTGTTGTATATACCTGAGGGAAGGTCATGTTGATGAGGTTAAATCTGCTCTGAAGTCGTTTTGAGATGACCATTCTACCGCCACCAGGAGGACCCATCGCTGCCAGTAGGAACATAGACTGCGAGGAGGGGGCAAGAAACCAGGGGGTCAAATCTAGGGGGTCCGCAAATAAATTTGCAGTCTCACTCTGATTTCTTTTGGTGGTCTGTTTGAGGCGGTCGTACCAGAAGCCGTAGTCGATCCATTGCCTCACCAGCTCGAGTGGGGGCTGAGAGCCGTACTCGTCTTTTGCCGGCATGTTGAGGTCATCGAGAAAAGCAAGCAGCTTCTTCCCTCCAACTGGGACGTATACACCTGTACATACATCAGCAAACAGAACAAGTAAACATCACCACACAGAACAAGTACACAAATACAGAAAAATCGTCCCGCAACTACGCTACCATTTGCCAAGATAATCCTGGTTGATGAATAGGTTAGCTCGCCAATAATAGATCTGCTGAAAACAACTGTTAGGGTTGAAAAATGTACCTTTGGTTCGTTTCTCGACTTTTCCCTCAATAATCTCCTGCACATTATTGGACGACTGTCTGCACAAAAAACACATCACAGCTGAAGATGAAATTGCTACAAATGCAGACCTGTGCCGAGAGATTTATGGTGAGAAGGTTGTATTGTGCAGGATCCAGTTTCTGGAGGACTCCCTGTGCAACACTGGTTTTTCCAGTTCCGACAGGTCCGACCAGTAAAACGGGTCGACCTTGGGTGATCAGGTTGTGGACCAGGAAGTTGTAGCGCAGTGTGTCCACAGTTGGTACCAATATCTTGTAGAATGGCATACTGCATTAGATAAAGCAAGCCGCTACGTATCACTTGCATTTCTACACACGTGCATGTGTAAAAGAAAGATCATGGCTGTGGTAAAAGGCATAATAATAATAGATATGTAGAGCAAGCAGCAACTTATGGACTTGCATCCATACACATTAAAATAGGTGTTGTGGTGACACGTGTGTTTTCTGACTTGCTGGGGTATCTCCAAGTCCCCTTCAGCTTATCCTCCCAAGCAACCCAGGTCCGAGTCTTCACGTCCACATAGTACTCATAGACGGAGTCCTTTGGTGGAAACTGTCCCTCCATCTCCCGTATGAAGCTGTCCATCTTCTTCCTGCCATCCTCGTCCACCCCGGCACACAGGGACCAGATGACAGAGAAGAGAAACCACTGCTCCACCATTGTCTCGAAGGTTTCCATGTCAGACGGGTCAACCTAAGCAGAGCAGAGATGTGAGAGAGGTAAGTGGGCATGGTAAGTCGACAAGCACTGGTTTACCTACATATGTCTTGATTAATGTAATAATGTGTGAGTCAAAAATTATGGGTAAACAAGTGCAATCAGACTTGCTAAATTGACCAAGATAATCGACTTGACGCTAAACTCAAGAGTACTTTATTCTTCTACAACAAAGGATCATTTCACATATAAATCAGCACATTCGAAGTTTTGGAGAGCAGCATGGAGTTACCCCATTGTCCTGTGTGATCAAGGCATCCAGTAGATAGCAGAGAGATGCAACGGCATTCAGGTGACTCGTGGGGACCAGCTCTCTACAGTTCTTCCGCCGAAACTCTAACACTTTCTCCACATACTTGTCGAACATCCGTCGCAGGATTTCGACCAGTTTTGCCTCTCCCTTGGCTCTGTGGTTCAGCCAGGACCAGACAAACGGCTGCCATCCGAGGTCCTGCCAGTCGTTGTAGACCATTCCACATCGTGAGACAGTTGCTGGTGACGCCACCGCAAGATCCTCCACTTCAAACAGCAACGATACCTGTGACCAAAAGATGAAATTGTAATTGGTCGGAAATTTAGTACACTAGCCTGTGAGTAAAAATTTTACAAACAGAACTAGGCTGCCCTTTGTATGTATTGACAGCTCGAGTAAGTGCTGTGGGTGAGAAAAACAAAAAAGTTTCCCATGCCGGGAATCGAACCCGGGCCACCTGGGTGAAAGCCAGGAATCCTAACCACTAGACCACATGGGAAGGTGTTAGGAGGGGTTCCCCAATTAGGTAACACATATTGTGCTAATTCTCAGTGTCAGAAGAAGTGAATGGGGAGAGATCAGCTTTTGTCCATACTCAGTGATATAATGAACTGAGCTACTGGTCACTAGGCCTGGGTCTTGGCAAAAGCTGTTTTCCATTCTCTTCTCAATCTGAAACTACTACATCAAAAGGCACTGAAAGTGTAATTGAGAAGTTCCAATGACTTTCAGTGTGTTTGAATATCTACTAATAGACTCAGACCTGCTCAGGCATTGATATTCTGTCTCCATTGATGAGAGTCAGGACTTTGTTGTCGTCAAGAACCGAGTTCATCGATTCGATCCAGAGAGTGTCGACTGGTCCGTCAAAAACAATCCACTTCTCATCCGGTTTTTCATCTATAGCACAAAGACAGCCGAGTATTAATACGGGATGCCCAGCTTTAAAATGGGACAACTTCAACATAACAATGCAAATCTGTCCAACTTCAATATGGGATGTCGAGCTTATAATGGGACAACTTGGTTTACCTACCAATGCAAGTCTGTCTCATGACACTAGATAGGACTCCGTCGGTCCACTCATTGGTGCTGAGTTCAAATTCTCCATACAGTTCGCCCAGTGACAGGGACTTGGGGTTTATTGGGTAATCCTGGAATATGTACGCATGTAAGTTGGATAAAAGGTATATACCAAACAGGTCACATGTGAGTGTTAAATCAACAGAATAGGGTTGGTTATCGGAGCTCTTACCCTGACAATCTGGTAGCCCAACCCTTTCCTTTCCTTGTGGAGTCTAGTGAGTGTCTTCTTCAACATTTTCCACGTAACTGACTTTCCACTGCCGGTCTGTCCAACAATCATCACTCCATGCCTGGTACGTACGTACAAATCAAGAGACCAAATCAGGCAGTGCTTAGGCAACCATGTAATGTTGCATACCTTGAGTTCTTCGTCTCGTAGAGCTGGATTATCTTTGTGACCGTGATCTCGATGTTTTGAAGGTTGGCTATCTTTAGCTCCTTCTCAATGGCATCATTCATCTACACACAGTGAAAATCATTCATGAGGCATTGACCTTCAACTATATCAAACTGACTATGCCATAGTCAAGTATGGGAACGTCTACACCGGGAAAGAGATCGGCTGTGATGCCATTGAAGAGTGGAAGATCAGCTGCCGTCAGTTTGGCTACGTTCATATCTTTCATGGCTAGGAGAAGCACCTTGAAACCGAAAGAGGGAGCAAGATAAGAGAAAGACATAGAAAGCTAGGGAATAGGAGAAAATCTCAACAAAGGAGTGAGGAACAGGATGGAAAATAGTGGTTTTACGCACCTCTTCATCTGGCATGTCAGGGTTCCCTCTCTTCTTCCGTCCTCCATACTTTAGTACTGACACCAGAGCTCTCAGACCGAAGTCATAGTGGTCCTGTTTCGAGAGCTGCTGGACTGCCAGTCGGTAGAGCGTGTTAACCTTCCTTGCCAAGACCTATGCACATACATGCATTATTAATGAGCCTGCGACCACCACAATACAGGCAGTAGTGCAGCTATAAATGTATGAAAGCATTTGTTAAGCTGGAAATTGTGTACCTTGCATTGGAGAAAGCCTTCGCCAAAGAGGACAATCTCAGAGATCATGGCTGAATCAGGAACGATCATGGAAATGGGTCTGAACATACTCTTCAGGTTGTCTGGTAGCTCAGTCCTTCCAGCATAACCTTACAGTGAAAGAAAAGTTTAACCAGCGAGACAGTGAGACCATCTTAGCATTTTAACTGTTTCGCTGAGTTTTTTAAAACTACACCATGGAAGTTTAACTATCAAGACTATGGAATTTTAGCTGAGAATTGCTCACATTATAACTCACAAATTGTTTAGAGTCACGTTGTGAGACTTGAAAGTTTAGCTAAGTATTGGTTCAGTGAAAGAAATTTTAACTGTTTCGCTGAGTTTAAAATTATACAAGACTATGAAAAAAGGAGGAAAAAAAGGCTACTTCCGTACCGGGATTCATGGTGATGAAAACGCCGCAGGTGGGAGTCAGTTTGATAACGTTGCCCTCGAACATAAACCTCTCCGCCTGTTGGCCGAGGGCCTGGAGGATGGACAGGATCTGCTGGGCCACCACCGACAGGACCTCGATGTTGATACGATTGAACTCATCGAAACAGCCCCAGGCCCCGGCCTGGAAACAGACGAAACAGTCATGAAATCTAACATCTTTATTGCAAAGCATTGTTGGGTGAGCCAATGCTACACAGCGTGTCCTCAAACCGCTCAATGTACCTGGCGTTTACACGTGCTTGACAAAGTTCAGTTACTAGGCTCACTGTTATTATCCCAATAATACCTGAGCCAGTCCACTGAACATTCGACCCATTGACTTGTAATCCAGACCCTCAGAGCAGTTGATGACAATAACATACATCCCCAGCCCTTTCCCCAAGTCTTTGACTGTCTCAGTCTTCCCTGTGCCTGCCGGGCCCTTGGGACTGCCTCCACGGTGCAGGTGGAGAGCCGTGGTCAGCGTTATGTAGCACCTAGTTTTAATACAACTCAGATACATTTGGAACACAGTGGAACCTCGTATAATGGATGGTGGAATGCGTTTATGCAGTTGGAACACAGTGGAACCTCTCATAATGGACGGTGGAATGCGTTTATATGCAGTTGGAACACAGTGGAACCTCGTATAATGGATGGTGGAAGTCGTTTATGCAGTTGAAACACAGTGGAACCTCGTATAATGGATGGTGAAATGCGTTTATATGCAGTTGGAACACAGTGGAACCTCGTATAATGGATGGTGGAATGCGTTTATGCACTTGGAGCACAGTGGAACCTCTTATAATGGACAGTGGAATACAAAAGTACGGTTTATGCAATGTACACTAGTACTTTAAAGAGCATCTTGTATATACCTGTCGGTCAGTGGGGTGATGACCAATCGCCCAGAGTTTCCCAAGTACTCATATCCGTAGTGGAAGAGGGTGTTTGTCTGTCTAATAGCACAGTCATCATCCTCCTACAGTCAACATATGCGAGTCATAACGCCGTAGAACAATGATGAGTCATAAATGCCGTAGAACGATGTGAGTCATAATGCCCTAGGAGGATTTGAGTGGGGTTCTTACCCAGTAGAATCGAAGCTGCTGCTGCCACTCAAAGGCATTCCTACTCTCACAGTGGGCCTTTAGAAGCTTCTCGATGATATCACGAGCATGGACCTACATACAGCAGTCCAAATATACGTACATGCGCTAAATACATGCGCTTAGGGAGGAAAAGAATCGTGTGAACCTCAATTGTCACGAGAGCCACAAGCTTGAGTCGTTCCATTTTCGAGAGATTTCCTCTGATCATCTCGGAGAATTTTTCCAGCGTCACACCCTTTGGGGAGAAAACAAACAGGCGGCTCGTTAGCAGGCACACGGTGTTCAATGGAAAAATGGTTGGACTAAATTGTTCGTACTTTTAGCAAGTACATGGGGGTAAGAACGACTAACAAAACATTCTGGACACCTTCACTGTAGCTGAAGAATGCAGTGCAAATGAACCGTATTGAAAATTCTGGTGCCTAAATGTTTCGCGAGGAGTGGGGGGAAGTATATACAGGTCAACCAGTATTCCTGAATACGCCTTTGCCCACTGCAATGCAAACACACGTTGGACAACGTACAAACCTTCCATGCATGTATTTGTTCACATTTTCTCACCTGCTTCTTCCTGATGGACTTGAGCCCCTTCTTGTCACCTCTGTCCAGTGCCTTCTCGCAGTCAGCCGTCCACTGTATCTGACTCGCTGTGATTATCACCTGAACAGAGGCAAAAACATCATAGTTTTTCAATGGTCAGCTTCTTAAGTTGCAATTGAACTAAACCTTCCTTGAAAGTAACTTTTTGAGAATGTAGTTGGCCAGTAAGCACAACTTGCTAAATCTTGTAACATTTGTGCAATTTTTTGTGAAAGTTTTTTTTTATAGTCATGTGGTATATAGCATATGGCTGACCTGTCCGGGCCATTCACGGACCCACTTCTCTCTCTTGTTGAGGTGTTTCTTGAGGTCTAGGCGACTCGCTCTGAGAACCTCTTTCAGTGACTTGTGCATCGTGTCCTCGACAACACATAGCCAACCCTGCCACAGATGTATCTCACACATAAATGTATTGCAGGTTTTAAGTCTATATTATAATACACTGACCTCCACCACTCCTTCAAGTCGAACTGGAGTCTTGAACTGGACCTTTTCTCCTTCAGAGGAGTTCATGTGTGTTGCTTCGTGCTGGCCGAGCGTGCGCGATATGTCCAGGGTCTTTATGTTGTCGAAACACTTCTTCAAGTGAGGCTGGATCTAGTGTATAGAATATTATGGCGGAAGTGAAAGCCCTTCCAGCAGCCAATGGGTTCATCAATGGCTGCATTTGTTATTGTAGGGTCATAGACAAAATGTGAAGAGCATCTTCATTTACGGATCAAACTTGGGCCTATATAGCGAACGGGGAGGCCAGTGTACCAAGCACAAAACCTGTTCTTCCCATTCTTTCTTTTATCTACGCACTGCCTATGGGTTTTGTCCATTTTGTCATGGGCAGAAGGGGCAATAAGGACAGTAAGCACTAGGGAAGTGGTACCAGACATAGACAAATGTCAAATTTACTCACTGCTTCAGGGTTCTTGGACTGTCCCAGTATCTCCAGCAGGTCGTCGTTGGAGAGGAAGTAGAATCTTGGGAAGCACTGTCTCTTGGTCTCGAGGTACATGTCCAGTGATTTCTGGATGGCCTCGAGCGTGGTGTTCATCTTGTTCAGCTTTTCCAGCAAACCTGTGGGTGTGTGGAGTTAGATGCAAGAGTCTATTGTAGAACAAGCGAAACTACTATTATTGCAACTGGATTTTGGTGTACACGTCACAAGAGCGCATCATGCTACGTGGACACGTGATACAGTACGTTGAAGTTGCATGAGAGTTTTGTCTCATGGCAAAAAGTTTTAAAGTTTTTTTAAAAGTGAGCACAATTGCATCATGTATTACAGCCCTGCAACATCCATTGCATATGGCAAAAATTCATGCATATACGTACCATGTACGCACTACCCATGCTAACTTGCCAGAAATACAATTCGTTCTATAATGCTAGCTAACCTTCATGGTGAGTGGCTCTGAGGGCGTGGTTGTCCTTGTGCATCCTAGTCATCACACTCTATTGTAGCAGTTAATCAGTGATAAAGACGTAATAGAAGTGATCACTGGCTGACCTTCCAGTCTGCATTGACTCCATCAAAATTAGCCGACTCCTTTGGTAGCTGTTTTCTGATATCCTCACCAATGAAGATGTTCTATGAACACATCCAGCAGGAACCAATATAGGGATGTGATTCGAAGCATAATGATGTGTGAACAAATCTATAAAAACCACCCTCCGTATTTTTTTTGCATACTGTATGGATGTGAATGAGAACATACCTCAAGATACATCCACTGGCGCTGGACCTGAAGCACCATCTCAATGACCTCAAGAATGTGGGACAGGGTCCTCTCCCAGTAGTCCACATCCTTCTCAAACGCCTTCACGTAGCGAGAGGCTTTCATCGTGGACAGAGTGACTTGGTTGTCTTCCAGTATCTGGAACAGCTCCTCTGATGCTCTACGTAGTACACAGAGAGACAGGTGTGGGTTTATACATCAGTTTTGTTGCAGAGTAAGGCTATATATCCACCATAGAAGCCGAGGGTTTCAACTTGGAAAATGTGTGATGTTAGACAAAAGCTCTCCAACACAAAGCCAACTACCAAAATTTTAAACTCTTCGAGTGTCCACAAGTACTTCCCACTGCACAGTATTGACTGACTTTAGTTTGAAGTGGCCCCTGTCTTTGTGCGGGGGGATTTCCAGATACAGTTCCTTCCACTGGTCAGCAATGGCTTGTATGGCCTGCAGAACATTCAACGTCGCACCTTAACAAAGATGTCTAGTAACTCACACGTTGTAAAGACAGAGCTGTTACTTACTTAGTACACATACGTGCTACTGTGTACGTATAGGAGCACTATCTATGCAGGAGTAACGTATAGAATGTTACTTTGCATTTGGACTCATCTGTTGCACACATATTGGATCCCATACAGACAAGGTTTGTGGCCATTTGCTATAGGCTTTCATACCTGCTCAATGGCGAGTTCTTTGCTGGCAGCACTGGATATGTCTCCAACCAACTCAGCATGCTGGTCTAGTCCGATCTCAACCAGCTTCTCCAGAGTAAAGTCAGCACCTTCAGGCACAGAGTATGATTATATGGTTCATGGAGCACCTCTATGGTCAGTTGTGAGTATGTACTTACTGGCGTGATCGAACGGTTTCTGCACTTCCTCCTGCAGTTGTAGCCAATGTCTGTCCCTCATGGCTGGGTTCTTCAGGTCTTGAATGAGTGGCATTGTCATCTTAAACGTTTCGATTCGTCCTCGGAGACTCCCACATATTGTCCAGTTCACCTTATCCTGAAGGTAAAGAAAAGCATACATTGCTACCAGGCACATGCAAGCAGCATCTGCAATTTTTTTATCTTTTGTCGTTTGGCAGTCATACTTTGAATAGCCAACTATATATCATAACTTTCGCTGATATTTTTTATGGCTGATTTCTGCTTACAGCTATAGGGTTGGCTAACCTTGACTTCTCGGGCTAGTTTGGTGAGTTTCTTGAGCATGCCTTGGGCCTGAATACCCATATCGTCGGTCTGCAGTTCCTGGAATCTGCCACCTTTCCACGTGTCCCACGCCATCTCCCACTCCTGAGTCAGGTCCCAGATCTGTTCCAGGTAGTCTAGGTCCTGTATTCAACGTGGACCATACTTTGCCAATGGACCTTATTTTCCAGAAGATTCTTTACTATACAGTGGAACCCTTCACTACATACCTCAATCGTTTCGACCGGAAGTTAATACTTTAGTGTTCTTAACCACTGAATGAAAGACTTTCATGGTCGTAGGAGTCCATTTGATTCAACTGTAAGCGACTTGCACATCTACTGCTACATCACCTGCTACCACGTACATTTACGTAGTGTACACAAACCTTCTCCATTGCTTGGAGAGGGTGAGAAGGCGATTGTTCGATCTTGAATATACCCAGTCCCTTACGAAGGGAATCCTCTTCGGCCTTCAGGGCCCCAAGCTGCTCCCTCATGGAGGAGATGTAGGCAAGGGCTTGTGAGATTGAGGTGGTGTCGCTGAACGGTCCGTTGGTCTCAAATTCCTCTGCCAGAGCTCCGATGTTCTTCTTGAAGTCTTCGGCAGAGTTTAGTAGCCCTGTTCTGAACTTCTCCTACAATGTACACGTGAGAACGCATGTACATACGTATGTCGTACAAGGCACATGTGTTTTATGGCCTAAGAGTTGAGAAAAACTTGTTGCAATTCACTAACAAACTGGAAATGTTGCAGGGAAAGCTTTCCCTATCTCTTGCCCCACTGTACAATGGTCCAAATCCTTGAAATTTCCCGCTACATGTGTAGTCCACTTAATAGTTATTCTCCTGCTGTATAGTACCACACGTAGTCTACTACTGGACCTTGTGTTTCTTCAGCATTGCCGTTGAGTCAATGAGGCACTGTTGAAAGGTGACCCAGGCGTGAGGCAGCCCCTCTAGTTTCACTTCATCAGCTTCTGGAATCATGACTTCATATTTGCTGAGAATCTTGAACATGTCCCTGCAGTACACACCAGTCATTTTCATTGCAAGTTTTTTCAACATTCAGGTCTTTTCACTGAAGTTTGTGTTTGTGGATACACTTTTCAAATGCACGACAGTGTACTAGGAAAAATGGGGATTGTATATACGTATATCGGTCAGTTTTCTCACGTACTGGAGTGGCTCGAATTCGTTCTCAGTGGCCTCCATCTCACCCTGTAGCTGGTCCAGGAGAAGAAGACTGCCTCCGAGTTGGTCTAGGGTTTCAGGAGGTGCCTTCAGTCTGGGAAAAAAATACAGCTGACTCTCTCTCTCTCTTTATCTCCAATGTTGCTTTCATGCATTTTTGGAAAGGAAGGCAGGATTCCCCAAGAAGACATTTTGCAGGGCATATAGTGGAGAGAAAGATTACCCCTTTGAATTCTTTCAAAACGCACACATTACAGTATACCTTTTTGTGTTCTCTTCGATGGAGGCATATATTCCGTTCAACTTGTTTGAGGCCATTTCGTGGAGCAGAGCGTGGAACCTGTTCTGCCACTCGTCACAGTGGGCTATGATTCCGTACTTGAGCGCGGAGCAGTCGAGGAGGACAAACTCCACGGAAGTGATAGTGTCTTTTTGCTGGACCTTGTTGCTGAGTTCGATGTACTGCGATATGGAACTGTCAAAATCGACCACTTTCGGGTCCTGGTTGCGCCAGCGTCTGAAAAATACGTCCTTCTGGGCCTCCCATATCATCTTGAAGCTATATATCACAGTCAGAGATTAATTAAACAAAATTCCCCTATCATAGTCCACACATCTATGGTACTACCATCCCTATACACAGATTATGTATACAAGAAGTCACCGTCACATACTTGCACTATTACACTATCGTTTCCATGGAAATCCTCAGGTTGCCTAGTGATATAAGGATGTTGCAAACACAACATTCTCCATTATGTACGTACATCTATGATGCAACTAGGTAATATGCGTATACAGTATGTACGTTGCTGATCTCTATAATATTACAGTGGCACTCACTCCTTCCAAATGAGAGGGTATTCCTCGGTGAGTTTGTGAGCAGTTGCAGCCATGGTCGACACAATACCAGCCTGTATCTTACCAACCTCTTCATCACTTTCAACCACCTTGTGGATGGGCTAAAGGACATATGTATGTACAGTGGAGTTTCTTGGATGGGCTAACGGTGTATACTTATGTACAGTGGAGCTTTCTGATAAACAAGGACACTTTGATCTTATACAGTAGTGGAAACCTTAATCCGGTGAATAAAGGACACTCTGTTTAAAGAATAGTCCCAGTATTTGAAGGTTCTACTATATCTATTTTTTCGATAACTCCACCCCTTTTTCTGGTTCAGTTTGTCTCACCAGTGGCTTTCTCTTTCCTCCAAGTTTCAGTCTCTCCGGTAACCGTTTTATGAGGGATATGGTGGCAGTAAGAGTGGCTGGTACGGACACCACAAATCCCACTATCTGCTCCACACTTGGAGAGAACTCAATCTGCAGTCAACGAACACACCGTCACACATGCCTCAACAACTTTGTAACGAGGTAGAAAGGCAAGGCAAGGCAACCAAGTCAACTACACCCAGGACAGCTCTTTCTTTTCAAAGAAAAAATGAAGAGCTGCACTGGGTGGGATTCGAACCCACGACACTCTGCAGTCTAGGCGAGTGCTCTACCAACTGAGCTACCACGGCAACTCAAAGAGTAAAACCAGCCTTTCTTCTAGGAGGCAGAAGAGCAATTAGAAAGGTGTGTCCCCTCGGAACTCTACTTCATTCTCCAAAAAGCAAGAATGCTCTGCTAAACATTTGGCTTTTGATCCCCTTTTCCTTAAAATATTACGAAAGAAGCACTGTGTTCTGTACCTGAGAAGTGAGCATGACTTTGACTTTGAAGAGTGGGTTGATGGTGGTGCTTCCATCGCTGCTGACAGCTCTGGCCAGCTCCTGCAACGACCACTTGACATTCAGTCTCAGAGCCTCTTCCACCATCATATCCATTCTCTGCGCATACTTCTCCACCTGCTTCTTGACGTCACCACCATCCGCAGCAAACACCTGTTACAGGTATAAAAGCCAATGAATACAGTTATGACACATGCTTCTACCGTTTGAAGAACTGAAATTACATGGTAAAAACTACTTACATGTTTTTAACAGTGTCCACTAATCCTTAATCTCACTTTGGTACGTGAAACAAATAGCTACGTACTTTGTTGCAAGCTGCGTATATATATAGGCACATGTGCAGTAGGTTCTCAGTGATACCGAATGATGCTTCAATAATCAAGCACACATTGAGTGTGTGCGTCGTATGTACTGTATATACCTCATGTGCATTACGTGCATACCTCGGCTGTTCTAAAGAGTGCTTTGTAGATATCGTCATGTAGCTTGTGGAGTTTCTGCCTGACAGAGGCGCAGTGCTGCTCCTGCTCAACCCGAAACCCGTTCTCCTCGTAGACTTTCTTCCCCGTGACCCTCACCATCAGGAGAGTGCTCATTTCGCGACACTTCTGCGCGACGTAGCGATTCGACGCCTTGTAACTGTCGATGAGCGCTCTGACTCTCTGTGCGTGGAGTCTGCACTCCGTGACGTACTCCAGTATGCCTTCAGAGGCCCAGGTCAGCTTGACCATCCCCGGTCGAATCTTCTTGTCGATGGACCTGATTCTCTCTTTGAAAAGGGCTCTCTCGTGCGGTTGGAGGCTGCCGATGATTCTGTTGTAGTCTCGAACGATCAGCATGACATTCTCCCTCAGCACGCGGAGCTGCTCTGACAACTGGTAGATGCTGGTAGCAAAGTGGGGTATCTCGAATCTCAGCCTCTCCCAGCACCTCATTTCGTTGAGCAGCTTCTGGAGTGTCTTGCTGAAGTTACTAGTCAACATCCCTGATCTGTGTGAGAACACACAATACGTAGGAATCTAAGTGCTGGCTCGAATAGCATTGGTTGTAAGTTGGCTTGTTCTCCTCCTACTTGCAGGTTTAGGCCATCCAATAGTCACTTTGCTCTGCACTTTTCAGCTACATTAAAGGTATTCCGGAGGCTTGTCCTTTACCCCACGTAGTCAAGTACGAACATTATAGGCCACAAAATTTTCCCTAGTCACTGCACACTCCAGCTACAGTCAAAGCATTCAGTTTGACTGTCCTTTTCCCCATGTGCTTGCAAAAAGTATAGGCCGCCTAATGAATAACACAGAAACGTTTACTTTGGCTTGTTCATCAGAGGTCTCTCCAGGTACCCCTGTAGCTCTCTGTCCACGGTGTCAGCCCAGTCGCTGAAGGTCTTTCCGATGAACTCATCCAGACTCTGAGCCAGTCCCTGGTAGCTCACCTGCGACTCTTCCCCTACCCCCTTCTCATACAAGAAGTAGGCCCCCTCTAGAGCCTGGGGTTGAAAGACGTGTAAATGTACACATAGATGGTAGGTACCTTGCTATACACTAAGTTCTACCGTCATTACTTGCTGCTAATACTTCCAGCTATATACTGTAGTTAGGACCAAAGACTTTTGCTCTACCGCCAGTATAACTACACAGGTGTACTACAAAACCGATAGAGATATAATCTAATGGACTTGTCAGCAGCCACATTAAGAGACATGTACCTTCATTGGAGTGTCAATACGTCGTTTGAGAAGCCTGGCCCAGGCTGCCTGACAGGCATAGTGGGGCTGGGAGCGAGGGGCGACAGGAGCCTGCCGGCTGAACACCCTCTTCACGTGGTTGATTTCCTGGGTGAACATGGCATACAGCTCAACCGTCTGCTTGTCTATCACCCTCCTGATGAGCTGCACATTGAGAAAAAAAGAACTGACTGGAAGGAAAAGCAGAGGAAAGTATGAAATTCTAACATAATAGAGAACAAATGAAGCGGACCAATCGAATGGAAAGCAGAAGATAAGCAAAATTTTTAAAGCTTGATTGGTGTGAGATGTCAGAGGGTGTATACTACATACCTCACGTGAGCCCATATCTGAAAAGATCTCCAGTATTTCGACGCCCTCTTGGACAGTAGTGATGGTCGAGAAGATCCCGTTTATCAGGTTCTGCACCATTACCTCGAGCTCTTTAGTGCCAGTCCTGAACTTGAGGTACTCGTCGTGCCAAATGGTGGACTGGACATCCAGAATTGTGTGTCGCACTGCTTTCAAACCTGCATCATATGACACTTATGTTTACAGGCTCGCCACCACCCCTACCCCCTCCCAATAAAGGTTTGAACATTTCGCATTTTTTGCGGGGACGAGAGTGAACGAATGAGCAAACGAACCATCCTTACTACTTTTATTATAGTTGAAGGGTGGAATAGCATAACTATCTCGCCCTTATTTAGCTGTTCCTTTACCCCACCCACCTCCCATAACGGGTTTGAACATTTCGCATTTTTTGCGGGGACGAGAGTGAACGAATGAGCAAACGAACCATCCTTACTACTTTGACTATAGTTGGAGGGTGGAATAGCAAACTATCGTGCCCTTATTTAGCTGTTCCCTTACCACCTCCCAATACGGGTTTGAACTGTTTCGCATTTTTTTGCGGGGACGAGAGTGAACGAATGAGCAAACGAACCATCCTTACTACTTTGACTATAGTTGGAGGGTGGAATAGCAAACTATCGTGCCCTTATTTAGCTGTTCCCTTACCACCTCCCAATACGGGTTTGAACTGTTTCGCATTTTTTTGCGGGGACGAGAGTGAAAGAATGAGCAAACGAACCATCTTTACTACTTTGACTATAGTTGGAGGGTGGAATAGCAAACTATCTTGCCCTTATTTAGCTGTTCCCTTACCACCTCCCAATACGGGTTTGAACTGTTTCGCATTTTTTGCGGGGACGAGAGTGAACGAATGAGCAAACGAACCATCCTTACTACTTTGACTATAGTTGGAGGGTGGAATAGCAAACTATCGTGCCCTTATTTAGCTGTTCCCTTACCACCTCCCAATACGGGTTTGAACTGTTTCGCATTTTTTGCGGGGACGAGAGTGAACGAATGAGCAAACGAACCATCCTTACTACTTTGACTATAGTTGGAGGGTGGAATACCATAACTATCTCGCCCGTATTTAGCTGTTCCTTTACCCCACCCACCTCCCATAACGGGTTTGAACCGTTTCGCATTTTTTGCGGGGACGAGAGTGAACGAATGAGCAAACGAACCATCCTTACTACTTTGACTATAGTTTGAGAGTGGAATACCATTACTATCTCATCCATATTTTGCTTCCCCTTCACCCCCCAACCCCCCGACCCCAACCCCATTGCAGAATGCTCTAATGTGCATGCTGGTAAAGAACCTACATAATACGTGAATGAAACTGTTACCCTGTGATGCTAGAGGAAATCTAAAGAGGTCAACCTGAAAGGTGTCTGCTGAAGGTGTGCTCTATTTCCTTTATGGTTCGAGTGACCTCAGGCCCGCGACAACCCCCAAAGCATGGAATAGGTCTTCTCTTTCCTTCACACCACCTAGCAAAGTGAAACATCCGTATAACACACACAATGAATCACAAATCACAGAGTGACGTTTATCAGTTGGTTTCACCTTCCGAAGTGAATCTGCCCTTCCGCCACTTCCATGAGGTCCTTACACCGCTGGATGAAGGCATCAATCTCTGCAAAAATGCTGGATTCGTCCAGCACCCATCCTTCATTAGAGAAAGTATTGTGGACTTTGCTGGTGTGTGTGTATATGTCTTTCCATTGATGGCAGCAACCCAGGCTCTCCTATAGAAACAGGATATACAATTGAACGTACTGAGGCTTTGTTTGAAACTAGAGCCACCTCAAGAGCTGCTTTGCTTTTCTCCACGCGTCCTTCAAAAAGGTCGTCCAGCACAATCTTCTGGCAACACTGCTTGATGATGTCACTGCTCACCTAAACACACACACAATCATACAAGGCCCTAACAACTGTACCCTAACACAAGAAAACATTGGCAAGGCTGAAGCCAGTGTGTGTCAACTAAAGAGCCGAACAAACTTGCAAGTATCAAAATGTATATCCCCGCCAATTTGTCCACTCTATAATACTACTCTACGCACTCTTCTGAGAAGGCCATTGAGTCTTTCTCGGCTCTTGTAGTGCTCCGAGTTGTTCCAGATGATGCGAATCGTGGTGAGCAACCGAGGAAGAAGGGCAGGGATTGCCGAAGGCTGTGCCGCCTTCAGTTCCTCGCAGGGACCTTGGAGTAGGGAGATGAACTTCAGGCAGTTCTCTGCTCGCAGTTGGCTATCCTGTAATATGGAGTGCGTAAGGCAGCGTTTACATACATCATGGATTACCCTGAATTGACCCTCATGTGGTTTGGTGTTGCAATGGAGGCTAAATATACGTAAGTCAATCCACATTAGCAAGTGGATCTGTTCAATCAGCATTGACTACAGCATAGTGTAAACATGTCTACAGTAGATACATCTACAGTCAACCTGTATTTGCCTCGAAAGCTTCTGAAAGGGTTCGACGTAGGACGACTTTGCTCTCTGGGCAATCCTGATCGCTTTCTTCACCCCCGGCTGCTCAAGTTGGCGCGTTAGACTCGAGTAGTCTTCACAGCGTGCTCGCCAGAACTCTATTTCCTCTAGAGGGCCGGAGCTGGTGGAGGTGTCGAGCGACTCCTGGCTTGAAAGTAGCTCTTTGATTTGCCTTGTCCAGTGAATTACCACAACTGACATAATTATAGAGAGAACGAATAATATGTACATGAACTAGAAATGTACATATAGGTCTCCATTAGGAAGCTGAGGGGGGTTAAACAGGCAGTGCTGCGGGCATATACTCATACATATTTGCAGCAGACAGTCCACTGGTGCATAGGAATCTGTACATCATACATAGAGTTGACATGGTCATAATATGAAGCCGTGCAGGTGTCAAGAAGCGGTAGGCACACGCATCATACCAGTGTATAGGCTACCGTATTAAGCAAAGGCATTGTAGTACACACACATGCAATTTGAACATGGGCATTTAGGGAGCAGTAACCTTCCAGTCGCTGGACAAGGTCCTTGTCAGTGTGAGCGTCTTTGGCTTCCATAGCAGTGCCTTCGTCGGGGACGTAGAGCACAGTATGACCCACGACCTTGTGCTGGGCATCAGTTAGACGAGCCATGAACTTGTGCAGCTGACCCGAGAACTCATTCCTCATTGCTATAGAACAGTTAGGGGGGAAATGTATGGTACCCGGGTTTAGTAAGGAAGCAATAGTGAAAGAGGGGTGACTGACCACTTGCTCATTCAACCCCAAATGACCAACCCACGCATAGTTGTTAAGCATACTTCAGTAAAGGTGAAGCAGCTAAAAAGGCTACTGCTTCTATGTGACACCCCCGTATTGATCCTACTATAGCACAAACTGTTCATCCTACTAAGCTAAAAGCCAGCACATACTGTCAGGCCAGACTCGATTCTCGAAGAAACTCGGTGCATATATCGCCTGCATCACTCTCATTAGAGCAGGGATATAATTTCCATGCACCATTCCCATCCGCAGTACTTGGTGGAAGTTTCTCCCCGAAACTGAAACATTGTTGGCCCGTACAAAGTACGATGCTTGCTCGATCTCTGCTGGGGGGATTGCATTTGTCAAGCAAAGCTCTTCAGTGGTTGGATCAATGTAGAGGAGAAGGAGAGGCACATTTGGGTCTGAGAGGAACCCTCTTATGACTCTGTAGTGGTCTTCCGCCCATTTCTCCTCAGTTAGCCCACCCAGAACTGTACACCTCTTTACAAGCAAAACCTGCAGAGTAAGGAAGATTATGGCACCAGTTTGACCATGCGAAATGCGGCGGCGGCGTTTTCCTCTCTTACTGGCTCCTCGGAGTCTGACGTGATGGTGGAATCTGAATTGGCGGTCTGTGCAGCCTCACTAGCTCCCTCTGCAAAAGCCTGCTGCTGCAGCGGCTGGTCTTCCTGCGCAATGGAGCCACTACCGCTGGGAGATTGCACGGCTTTTTCCCGATCCTCTCCCGCAACTTCCACTTGATCCTCCATTGTCTACCCTGCAAGACCTTTTGGCTTTAGCTTCTCGTTTAGCTTTCCTCCCACTCTGCACGTGCAGCCATTTTGTTTAGTAGTACCACTGTTGCTATAGAAACTAATGACAAATGACGTAATTGCCATGGGCACTTGACTCGACGACCGACACAGAGAGACTAGACTCCGCCTCCAGAATCGCCGCGAGCGCGCATGCCCGCCGTCGATCGTAGAGCAAAGTCGTTGTCGGTCTCGGCTCTAAAAGAGATGGCAATGCAGAGTCTGTTTGCTCGGGCCGTAGGCGCCAACCTCCCCGAGTGCCATCCCTACGACGCTAGAGCGGATAGACCAGTTCGCTATCGGCAAAGTCCTTATGTATAAAAAGAAACCCCGGAAGCTCCTTCCCTGGCGAAGACACGAGCTGAACTTCACTGGCCGTTCGATCACGGATCTCCTAGCCGAGGGCCAGGTTCAGCAGTTAAATTTTGCCACTTCCAGCGATTATTTGTTTGACGCCGGAAAAGGGACGGATAACATTTTTGTGGAGGTAATAGATCTACACTATCTAGTTGGCGACCGGATACTTTTCCGTCTGTATTCAGTTGCATACTTACGTAGGTGGGATTGGATGGGGAGCTGAAATCGGTACTGTCTACACTGGACCTGAAGCTGCAGGCAAAGGAGCAGAAGTCTCTCTCAATATCCACAGACTTTGGCAAGATCACGCACTTGCAGACCGACCTTTTCGAAGTTCTTCATGCTCACCGCATTAGGGTATTGTTCAGTTAGCTATAGCTTTCTTTCCAGGGCAATGTGGTTTAATTGAATTGAGCTTGCCTTGCTGTCATACCTTACATACTTGGTTCATGCACTGTATGGCAGACTTGCTCTCTTTTTACGCTCCCGGGCAGTTGTTAGATGAAGATTTTGCCCTGGGTGTCGTTGACTTGGGCTTGCCTTGCTGTCATACCTTACATACTTGATTCATGCACTGTATGGCAGACTTGCTCTCTTTTTACGCTCCTGGGCAGTTGTTAGATGAAGATTTTGCCCTGGGTGTCGTTGACTTGGGCTTGCCTTGCTGTCATACCTTACATACTTGATTCATGCACTGTATGGCAGACTTGCTCTCTTTTTACGCTCCTGGGCAGTTGTTAGATGAAGATTTTGCCCTGGGTGTCGTTGACTTGGGCTTGCCTTGCTATCATACCTTACATACTTGATTCATGCACTGTATGGCAGACTTGCTCTCTTTTTACGCTCCTGGGCAGTTGTTAGATGAAGGTTTTGCCCTGGGTGTCGTTGACTTGGGCTTGCCTTGCTTTCACACATTACATATTGATTTATCCACCTTAATGAACTATGCACAGGTGAATCCTGATCATCCTATCATCCGTGAGGCTCACAAGAACGGAAACACCCTGTTTGTCATAGCGACTATCTACCAGGCCGAGCACTGCAACATCGAAGTTTCCTTTGCTGAAAAATCCAGGGACACGGCTTCGGCAGTTGTGGAAGCGTCCACTACGAGCAGTGTACCACTCCTTGGAGCTAACGCAGGAGCAAATCTACGTGATTCTAAGAGTACAGTGAAAGGTATAATTATACATACATTGTGTGCAGTAAAACGTCTACAGAATGTGTGGTGTGTGGTGTGTGGTGTTGTGGGGTGTGTGTAATGTGGTTTGTGTGGAAAAGACCCAACATCGTAACAACACGTGGGCTGCTTGGGAAATTGTAAACTACACACAATTCTAGCTGTAATGCTGATTGCTGGTGACAACTGTTTTAGGGCCTAAGTCAGGTGACGTTGAGTAATCATAGCTTTTTCCACTGTCTCTCAGTTGTTAATCGTGACAAGCCGACTGTGATAGCCTACCTCCTGCTACGAATGGCCATCAATTCTGACAACGAACTCATCCCAAAACTCAACAATCGACTTGATCAAGCCAGCAATCAGGTGCATAATGAATATTGGTTCATAGTATTTTACACATGATATAATATACTATAAAGACCAGAGTGGATCTGATAGATGGTCCTCATGCTGGAGGAAAAGATCGCAAACTGACAGTTCCTAAGATTAACCCTGCAGACTCTGTGGTCGGGGAATGGGTTGTGGTTGACATGGTTCGTGAGGTGAGTTTATTCACTCACAAATTTGCTTAACGTTCATACCTCACTTCTGCTTTGCCAATAGTGGAAGCCTGAGGACTCAGTCGAGGTGGGCAAGAACCCTGCTAAGGTAAATATGCAATAGTGCATTGAGAAAGATGTGGAGACAGAAGCCCCAATTATTACTACAGGCAGCAGAATTGGTGACCCACAAGGAACCGTCTATAGCTACAAACGTGAGGTTTTGATATAATATTAGTCAATTACATTGATTGCTGGTGCCGTACCCTCTATTTCGCAGCCAAGAAATCCGTGTTCAGTGGCAGCCTCTCTCGCTGTGCCGTCACTCAATCCCCACTACGTGTACAGCTTGAAGGAGTTTCAGTGCTTTGCCAGTAACACATACGCAGGTGCACATCAAACTAACACCTGGAGAGCTAAAGCATTCCATCTTTTCTTTACACTAGGTGTAGTTGATGAATCCCAAAAGTGGGTGTGTCCGGTGCAAAGCAACCAGGCGCTGAAAGAAGCCTTCCTTGCCTACGCTAATCCACCAAACTCCCACCAGAAGCTCAGAACACTCTCCCAACATGTAAGTCTGGAATTCCTCCGGTCATGACGTGTTGCAAATCTTTTTCCGTATTTTTGCTTCATTCAGCTACAAGATTTAGGGTCAGCTATGCGAACGCCTGGTGTGGCTGAACCACACGTTCTGCCAGCCCTAGAGCCCATCATTAATGCCTTCAGCACAGAGCCTGAGTGCAGACTCAACGAAAACACTTCACTCATTGTGATAGCCGAGGCTTGTCTAGGTATATAGTACAACAAATTCTCTGTCTTGTCGATAACTCAACTTTTCTTCATCACTATAATATAAGAGTTTCCACAGCACGTGATGAAGATGATCTGCGAGCTTCAAAAAGATAAACGGGACCTTCTACTAGATGTTGTAAGGCCACAAAGATACCCAACTGTGTACTTCGATGGTGAAACTCTGAAAAAGGACCCTTTGGTCAAAGGACACCTCTCTATACAGAACACTTGGTTCTGCTCATACATAAGACAGTCTATATTTATTCAGGTTTAACTTCACTACTTGATAGTCTCTTATTGTCTTATTCCCAGATAAAGCACACCCCGAACGGCGTGGGAAGGCACGTGTTTATAGACGACAAGCCATTCAATGACTCTGCCCTCTACCCCATCATGAGGCTCATGGGCTTCAGCATCCCCGAAAAACGCCTCGAGTTCACAGCTCCAGACGACGTTGAAGACGATGTTCTTGCCGCGGGAATCATTGTCATCCTGTTCAGTCAATTTTAACTTTAAAACAGTGAATCAATGACACTATTGCGCTGTGTGTGCAATATATATTTTTTATACACTGGTATACAACTATGAGTGGTGTTTTTATTTGTAATCACGTCTTGGTTTTCCCAAAAAAGCTGGAAAGTGACTTCATTCCTTTTTTGTCTGCCTTTGCGAGTGCCTTCTGTGCCTGAGACAGTTTCTGCATATACACAAAAATAAACTTGTTAGAATTATAGAAGTGTCTGTCCCTTTGTAAGAAAAGTGTTCTATATATTCGGAGAGTCCTTTATTAGAGGTTTTACTGTAGTCCATTACCTTAGCTGGTGGGGCAACTGGCGGTAGAGAAGTGTTACACTTGGTATAGTCCTCCAGTGGTCCGCTATTACCACCACCACTACGGCTGGCTGTAGCAGAGAGCTCCTGGCCACTGGGTTGTTGGGAGGAATACTCATCATCCAGACTACTCTGCTGGGAAAACAGGCCAGAGTCCACGCTATCCGTCCTCTGTCTCTAGAGATAGTGAGAAAAACATAACAATGAGACTCCATTGATAATACACGCTTTTCAACTTGTGTGGTTGGGAATTTTTTACAGCAAAACATCTTATGATTATTTCATTCCTCTGAATAATGCGTTAAGGAAAATTTTCATGACAACAGCCTTAATTTGGAGGTCCTGCTCTAATGTTATACCTTTGCTGGTGGTTGGTTCATAGTATGTTGTTGTGGTCTCTTAGTAACATCCTTAATACTGAAAGGAGATAAAGACTTATTTCCATGACATTGTCTATATATTTATTATAAAGGTGCCATATGTGTATATTAACCTGTATTCTTGTGATAGCACAGTAGTCAACCTTTCATCCAAGTATTCGCACACCATCCCACACGCATATACGAGATAGTCCTCTAAGACAATAGAACAGTGATTTTATATAGAATGCAACAGTTCAGATTTCTCTCACCTTTGCTCGCGGAATTGTTCTTCAGGCTCTTGACTAGTGTCGCACTGACAGAGCCTGATCCAACGTGTACGTTTTGAGATTGTAGTTCAGCTGAAAGTGCCTCAACCTAATACAACTATGGATGGTGTATCAGAGAGTGTTTTTGTTTATTCTTCACCTTTTTTCTAAGCCAGTTGATAGTTTTGGGTTGGCTGTATCTGTACACGAAGACCTCACCAGGCAGCTCTGGAATATTGTACAGATCAAGATGATTCAACCTTCAGTATTTGTAGGTAACCAAAAGCTTATCCACAAAAAAATCTTCACAAAAGTGCGTAAGGTATGTGCCTCAAATGGAAAGTTACCCTTCACGTCACAGATATGTCTCCACTGTTCAGACGAGACGTATTGTTCAAGCAGTGAACTATTCCCACGTGTGGGATCATCTAGTATCGCCTCCAGTGTTGTAAACTTTCCAGCCTGTTATGGAGATTCCAGATCCCCAATAAAGCTCAAAGATGTAGATTTTTTTTATTTTTTACCTTTGCAGCTTTTGTCAGGTATGGAAGGGCCAAGAACAGAGGATCCATGGGATTGGAAATAAGTAAACTTCCATCTGTAGGCAGTTAAAAGGGAATATGTCAGTACATAAGGGCTAACAACTGCAAGATTGCAACTTTTTTTAGTAACCTTTTCCAAAAATCAGCCCTTATATACTGCCGCATCATATTCATGGTGTATAGGGCTCAAAGGCACACCACAACACAGTGGTCCAGCTTTTTTGAACATAAATTATCTATGTGTGTATATACCTGTCTGTACAGTATCACCTATGAGCCACGATCGTGGCTCGTCGCTACATTTCTGAGCCTCATATATTTGATGCTTCTCCTCGCTAATCACGTACTGCCTTTCAGACCCTGCACAAAAAGAAACACGAGGTGCTTCTCATCTATATCAGGAGATAAATAAACTCACCTGTTTTAGGATCGACAAGAGGTATAAAGGTATAGCCACCTCTAGAATTTTTAGCTCCTTCTGCAGGTACACATGCATGCCCATGATAAATTTTGAAAGAACTTTGCAAAATCTGAGCTCACCCGGTAAAATTGCCACCCACTGAGTAGGCTCACATAAAGGAGGAAGCTTCTTGCCTTTTTTCTTCTGGTAGGTTGTTTTTTTCTCAACTGAGGACGAGTCGCCCTCAGAAGATAAACTCCTACTGCTTGCCCTAGTGCTCCTTTTCATGAGCCCTCGTCTATTTTAGCGAAAGCGGTAAAAGTTTACCGAGAAATTTTGAAATAAAAGTCGCAATCGATGACCGCCTGCGGTCGCGGGCTCCTGCCGAGTGTGTGATGGATTGGTGTCTATTTCTTCTGTTTCTCTGGTTGTGTGTAGTAACGCAGGGACAGAGTGAAGATAATGACCAGCGTTTCTACCTCACGGTAACGAAGTATGAAGGCGATTTGACACTAGCACAGTGCAAAAACGCCGAGTGCTTGAGACGAGAGGATCAGGGCCCCAGCGAACTGAAGTGTATGTGCGAAGATGAGTTCAATAAAGCCGAGCGCTTGCGAGCAGAGTGCGGGGACGGCGGAAGAAACGAGAGTGCAGTACAGCTGCTGGCGCTTGAGAATCTACCGGACAAACTAGGGTTTTGTGCTCGAGCGTTTGCCAACCTTGGCTACTGTATTCAGACCGTCAGCAACGACACTGGGCCCAATAATGCAACTTACAGTGATAGCGAACTGAAGGCTAAAATATCCAACATTGCAGTTTTTGCCAGTGAATTTTGGAATCTTTTAGACCGGACTCTAGTGGGTGTGTACTTGTCCAGTGACCAGCAGAGAGATATCTGCAAAGTAAGCCTCACAACCCCTTTTCCTGCTCCGTAATGAGACGTGTGCTATCTATCGTTCAGGGTGCATATGACGAGTGGTTGTGCTCCATATCACTGTCACTATATTCTGCCAATGGTTCTGAGCTAGTAAAACCCTGCCTCAGTGTGTGTACAAGAGTGGTTCAACAGTGTCCCTACTACCTACCCTCAAAGTTCCAGGATGGTGCCGACGACGAGATTATATATGGAGGATACCCTGTCTTCGACTGTCCAGGTGTGAATATTCAGTAGGATATAATGCATGGTGAGATTCAAGTGGCAAATTTCCAAGTTTTCAGGTCTAATAATAAGTCGTTCAAAATTTAACTGAAGTTATCTTCAAGTGCCAATAACTGCCGATCCACAAAAATTTATTTGCTACTTTATATGGTAACAATCCAACGCAGTGAATTAATGTGCCCACTGTTTTTCTCCCCTGCAGAAACTCGCATAGTGAGTGAGTATAATGGTGTCTCCACGTCATGTGGTAATAATATGAGCTGCCCGGCAATTCCCTATAGCCTAGAACCAGACTGTATCGGTCGCGATGGAGCCACTCACAATTTCTCCTCTGAAATACTAGTCATAATATTCCTATTTATACTCTCCAGTGCTCTGGAATTTTAACACCTGCATGATTTATTCCAAAGGTCTACATTTCTACCTGATTTTTATACAAAATTATAAACTAAGCAAAAGTTTTCTGATTTGTTCTGGAGGTTGGGGAAACAATGATTTGACAACTTCTTCGCCTTTTTCGGTGGTCACCGCTGCATATATGGATTCGTAGGTCTGGCAAAAATGTTCGAAAGCTTTCTGCTGGACTGCGTTGCGAAGGTGGGCGCTAGCAAGGAGCTTACACTGCGGCAACTGGTACTGATCTGGGGCCGAAATGACAGGAGACAATAGTTGAGGGGTTGTGTTGAGACTTTCGAAACTCTCGTCTGTGAGCTTGTTGTGGGAGAGGGAGGAGCGGAACTCTGTGAACCCCACGACCTCCGAGAGATGGTCGGACTGCTCCGACGTGACTGTGTCCATGTGTGCCTGCATCTGCTGTTCCAGGGATTCTACCTGTCGGTCGGTGAACTCGTACAGAGACACTGTGCTCTGGACAAGATAGAGCGAGTTTACGAGGTAGACTGCTCGATCGAGTCGACTCAATGGTGCCACTGCGTCGTTGCACGACTGAATCAGTGGATCGATGCACGTTGTGAGAATGAGCAAAAGTTGCTGCTCGTGGTTGCCACTCCCAAGCGAGGTCAGGTCCTGCGAGGAAAGTATACTCTGGAGCAACGAGAGAATCTCCCCAACTTTCGGAGAGGGTGAGAGATCTGGTAGAGGTGCTTCAATACCCTCGAGGATTTTCGCAGTCTGGGCATTGAGGGCGCTGAAAAACATCTTGGATTGGAGATCTGTGAGGTCAGTGAGGGTTTTGACCATAGGTGCTGTGTCTTTGAGTAAGCCTTGGAAGACGCCATTGTAGTACCGCAAGAGGTTGACCAGCTTGTAGGCAAGAACTGGGTGTCTGGTCGAGACGATTACTTGCTCCACGCGAGTGTGGAGAGGCCTACAGCAGCCCTCCGTGACCATGCTCAGGATGGGGAGAGACTGCTCCGTGTCGTGCTCGGACAAGAGGCTGGCCACGTGATCATTCTCCGTGGCAATCGCCTGGTGTAACCAACCAAACATGTAGCCGCAGTACCTCACCGGATCATGAGAGTGTAGTTCAATGGGTCTCCCTGTGCTTCTGTCACGAGTCAGAGCGTCGATAAAGCTACGAACTAACGCCATCCTACGGGCAATGCTATACTCATCTATGCAATACTGAAAGAGAATCGGGCGCTCTTTCAGCTCCTTAAGGGCTTTTCGCAGGGTGGAATTGATTTCGGGGAATTCGGCGTTCATGGTGCGGCACTGCCCCTGGCACCAGTGGTACAATCGCTCGTAGGCCGTCTCAAGGTGCATTGCCATTGATTCCATGATCTCCAGGCCTGCCCGCTGCTGGCTGGTGCGTAGGAGAACCTTGCAGTCCTGGTGGATCCCCCGCACACGCTCCATGGCAGCGAAAAATCGATCGTCGATCGTCGTGGCTTGAGCTCGGTAGCTCCCGCATAGTGCCTCGGACTCCTGGGGCATGAGTTGAAATTTTCCCAGAAATGCCGACACTACTAGAGACTGCATTTCTAGCTCCCTGTTCTTGGACTGGAGCTCCGACGTCTCCTTCAGGAGGTTGGACGTGTGAGTTTTGGCGGCCCCCAGCCTCGTCTGCATGTTATCACAGCACTTCTTCATGTCCGAAGCTTCCTTCTGTAGGCTCTGCACTTGCTGCACGAGCGTTTGTAGACACTGCACGAAGTTGTCGTTCAGCCCCAGACACCGTTTCTCCAGGTCGCTGCGGAGATTTCGTCTCGCCTGAAGCGTGTTCTTGTCGAGGAAGCCGGAGAGCACGCCCAGCGCCTCCAGCGTTTCTTTGTCGTTGTCTAGGTTGCTCTCCAGTATCTTGTGGAGTTTTTTTGAGAGTGGATTCTGCTGCGTCGTTGTGCTAGGCGCTGCTGTAGAGCTTGCGGATGAGCTTGGAGAAGCTGCACCGATGGCTGCCATTTTTATTACAATATTGCAGTGGTCAAGACACAATTCGGTAAATTAGGTCGATGACATTTTGTTCTATTTACGCGTCATAAGCGTTTAGGGGCTGCGCTTATTGTGTAATTTTGTACTTTTGTACTGTTTTGCATGCTTCTCCCTCCAACTCTCGGCAACTCGAGCCGTCCAGCCGATTTAGAAGGGTCCTAACATGAACAAACCGATGAGGATAGCAAGACACGTCTACCTGAGGACGCAACAGGTGAAAACCACAACAAGGGAGCCATTCCGCGGTCGAGGACTACGTTTTCACCTCTGCTCTCTTGTTTTCCAGCGTCGTCTTCGCCACGTGAAAGGTGTACTCATCCGTAACCTGACGCTGCCCTCCCACACGTATCTGGCGGACCCTCTCGGCATCTCAGTATACTTCACCGTCCACCCACAGCTGAACCCTGACAAAGGTAGTAGCTATACCATGTGTGTTTTGCTGACAAGTCAATTCACATCTCCCCTTTCCCTTTCTCTGCAGTTCTATTCACAAGCTATGCTGTACAAGACTCTTATGTAAGTGTGTGCAATAGTGTGTGATGTTGTATTGAAGGTGCCATTGTGTCTTTTTTTACTAGAATCCGTCTTGGGAGTCCATTCAACTAACTTCTCACGGAGTAGGCCATCATCAGAGTATGTCTCTAATGCATCACACACTATTACAACCTGCATATCATACGTATACAATCCTTAGTGAGCCTATGAGCCATACGCTATAGTGGCCAACTCAAATAGACTAAAGTCATCTTATGTAAAGGAAAGTTCGTGGACCTCTCCCAATTTTTAGATTTTGGGTGTTTGTTGCTGATTGTATTGCAGGTTTTCTGCTTCGAGTGTGGGTCAAGTTCAGTGAAGAAGATTGGGAGGGAAATGAGAAACACCTGGCGTTTGAGAAGAACGTTGAGCTGTTTGATCTCTCCTACCTTGGACTCATGGTAGAGGGGGAGAGAGAGGAGAGAGAGGAGTGAGGGGGGAGACGAGCTTAGAAGTCATGTGATACAATACACAGAAGTATACATTTAGAGAGGGTATCCTCATTGCTGTACGATCTTGTTCTGTAGGTTAACAAAGATGGGTCCAGCTATCCTCCAAACTCAGTGGTGGTCAGCATGTACGAAGGTCTCTACAGTCACCCAGAAGTGGGCGGGGTGAGACATTAGAACACGCCTATAATTACATTACTCTTTGTCAGTGTGTTCTGTGGCTGTTAGTTATAGTCATGTATTTTACCACAATTGTCGCAGGTGCCCTGTGCTCCTAGAGTGGTCCACACCCTTACTGACTACCTCCCTCCTCAAAGTCTTCTGGAAGTCCCTAAAAAAGAAGTGTGTACTGCATGCTTCATGTCTTACATCTGCTCTATGTATGTATCAGTAGTCATCATTTTTCAGCTTTTCTTTCTCTTGCACTGCGCAGGTGGTTGACTCATACCTTCAGCCAGTCTTACACAGGTATTGTAACATCGAAATCCTCTTTCATCCGCGTTTTTCTGTATGAAACTTTGGAGAAAACTGATCGTTTAAGACCCACCGTTAATACTTTCTGAGCGTAGATCCTTCAACATTAATTCGAACTAGCAATTTGCAGAAAAGTTGTTCCCTTTGTGAATATCCCTCAAAAGAGTTTCTGGAAATTTGTGTATTAATCTTGCTGTCCTTTTATATATCAATACTAAATACATTGAAGACCCTTTTAGAAGTGAAGATCTAAACTACTTATATACTCTAAAATGCTCTGAGTTGAATATGTAGTTTACTATCTCTCTTTTTGAAAGCGATAATCAGGCATCAGGAATTGCTGAACAAGACGCGACGCTGGACGCAGCAGGAGAGAGCTAAAGTGGAGCACTGCCTGCTAGTGGAGAGGGAGGCCATGGAGAAGAGGAGTGAGAGAGAGAGACTCAGAACCAGGGTCAAGCTGTACGTGGCCCAGCTGAAGGAAATGGAGGAACCAGAGAAGGAAGGCGAGAGACCCAACTTTGTTCTCAGATCTTCCCTCCTTCACTTGTCTTGCGTGGCGTAATTGTTAAATTTGCGCACGCTGATTCATCAACTGTGAGTCAGTCACACAGTGCATGTGGACAGTAACCGAAGAAAGGGCTAAGTGCCACATGCTCATATTTCATTTCTTGTGCTTTTCGCTAGAGGTTAAATATCTGTGTTGATCTTTTACAGAAAGTAGCCAACTAGAGATGGTCACGAGACAAGTAGATGAAGCAGGTATGCATGTGTTCTACCATAAGGTGAAGTGTATATAGTTGTGCGAGGTATTTCCTAATTACTGTCTCCAGAGAAAGCCCTGAGAGAGGGACAAGCTGACCTCCAGCTGAAACGAGAGAACCTTCATTCAGCCATGAGCGTCTTCACACACAAGAGGTCAGTGAGCTACAATAAAATGGTTAAGCTAAGCAAGTGCAAGCTGTCCAAGTAAACATTTGGTGTTTCTTGAACTATAATGTGACACTCTTTGCTAAAATGTCTCTGCTTCTGCTCTACTTGTGACAATGCGCATGTGTCAAAATCCCTGAACTCACACCATTTAGACTAGCTTTCCCAAGAATCTTCTGCTAGTGTGTATTATGTTATTATGAGTGGTGTGGTGCGTTTGGGATGATAGAAAGAGAGAGAAAATAGAGTGTTTGTGTGTGTGTGTGTGTGTCCAGAGAGCAGGTGCAGAGACTCAAGCGGAACAGACATCTCCGGCAGCGTCACATGGTCTACGAACTGTCCAGCACCTTCCTCATACAAGAAAGAGACGACACCTACACCATATGCAACGTCATTCTCCCCAACGCCGACCAACTAGAACGTTAGAGCCAAACACAAATTTACAAGTAGTTTTGTGGCAACCAACCAAATAGAACATGAGAGAGAGGGAGAACACCCAGCACAAATATGTACAGTAAAACTGCAGAAAAAGGGCCTCCCCAATAAAGGACACATGGTTCTTGCCTAATACTACATTAGTTCATTGTTTTGCCTCTGATTAAGCGACACCTCTGAATAAAGGTCAGTTTCGATGTCCCCAAGTAGTGTGCTAACCGACTAAATAGAACATGAGATGGTGGTGTCTGTCTTACCTCCCAGACCCAGCAAACTATTGCTCTCTCTCTCTCCAGAGCCCACCCGGGTGGAGCAGCTGGGCGTGGCACTGGGCTACGTGGCCCACCTCGTTCACCATCTCGGCAAAATCCTCTTCATCCCCCTCCTCTACCCCATCCGACCCCAGGGTTCAAAGTCCGTCATTTTAGACCTGGTTTCCGAGGAGACGCTCATCGACAACATCAAAGAGAAGAAAAAGATGACCCTTTAGCATTAGGTGGCCTGACATTATGTACATTTTTTTGTACTTTGCTGTTAATATTTTCACACATCGGGGGGGGGGGGGCATCATGGCAAAAATAAAATCCAATGTTCAACTGTTTAAAAATTTCCCCACTGTCGTCTAATGTATACAGGTTCCCACTGTTTGCTAAAGGCAGTGAAAAAGCTCTCTTTCAGTATGCAGTGTTTCTTCTAAACAAGGACATAGCACAGGTATATACCGCTCTTGTATGTAAATCGAGGGAACCTCTACATTCAATGGCTCCGTATGCAGGTGAGGCAGCATTGTGGATATGGAACCTCGAAGACATTGTTCAAACGAACTCTACCAAACCTCAAGTTCCTGTTGGACAGACTGACTAGAGACATGTGCGTTAGTAATTTCCATGACCAGAGACATGTGCGTTAGAACCCTACTGGGGGTATGGTCTGTACATACATGCGTAAACTACTCTATTGTGTGTGTAAGTCAGGCCTGAAAGCATGTCCACTTGTAAGCTAGGTTCGCAATAATGGCGCATTGCCCCGTCGCGCCGTGCCGTGTCGCGTCCTGCCGCGAAGATAGAAATGAATTCTATCTCGCAGCACGGCACGACGGGCCAATGCGACATATTGTGAACCTAGCCTAAGTCATCTAAATTGCAAGTTTTTTTTCTGTGCGTGTTGTTGTTAGTTGTTTTTGCTCTACTGTCATTATAAAAGTGAGTGCGCATTGTATGAAGATTAGCCTTGTTGTTCTACTCCAGTAAAGCAATGATGAGAGGGATTAATCATGCTGCCGGTTTCCACACGCCACACCCACACGACGCAATCTCGATGACATCATCCTACGTCGGCGTGGACGCAAATTCTGTGGCGTCTGGTTCGGTTGCTCCGGACTCCTTCCCTTCTTCGGACGCCGACAGCTTACGCAGTTTTTCCACACTTGGCTCCCATGCCGGTGAGCTTCTCAGCATATTATGTGTGTATCACTAGTGTTTGTATTGACACTAACTATGGTCGAAGCTCAAGGTTCCACTTTATTTTGATGGCTTATTTTCACCTTTTCCTCACTGTACTAGAATTCGCTCATGTACGTGATTTTTCTCATCGTGTTCTTCATTATCACTAGAGTGTGCTATATTCATAAGGTGTATGTTTCATCTGCCTATATACACAAATAGCTGCATTTTCTTTTGTGTGTGTACACGCAGGTTCAATGCCTCCGTCAATGTTCACGCAAACTCAGCAGTTTCTGCAGCACGACAGTAACTTTTCCCTCAGAAGTATCGCCTCCTCCACGAGACCTGATGAAGAGAGTCGACACAACCGCAGCATTCACTCCGACATCGACGACCTCCTCATCATATCCCCACCCGACTTGAGCAAAAGCGGCACAGAGGGGGATGAAACAGATAAGGCTTGCAACGAGCACGTGACTGCACCGTTGACAGATTCAGCCACCGAGCTCGCTTTCTCGAGGGGTCCACGTCGAGTTGACGGTGAAATTTCTGAAGAGTGTTTCTCGACCATTCGTGAAGATATCCAGCCATCTGGTGATGATGATGAAGAGGAAGAAGAAGAGGAAGAGGAGGAGGGAGGGGACTCGACAACGAGTAGCGTGGTCTCTCTATCCACCACACCTGTAGTTCACGAGAGGTTTGTGAAAGTTGACAGTACTCCGGAATCAGCGTCTTCTTCTTCGTTTGCCGCACTAAGTGGAGATGAATCGATGGGGGAGACCCTCTCTAATGACTCGTCGGCAGCCGTGGAACTTGGGAGTTCGACAGTTTCGGCTCACCTGGAGGACACACTCAAATCGGCTGTCCATGTGACGCAGCTACTGCTGGGGCACAACACACCGCCTGAACACATCCAAATTGAATCTGTCCCTACCATTCTTGCCGCTAATGAAGCTGAAATGGAATCTGCCCGAGCACTTCGTGGGCTAACAGCTGCTTCCTTTGCCGGGCAAACGGCACTTGGGGTACCACACCTTAACCTCCCAGAAGAGACTGCAAACAACGGACAAGAGGAGAAAGAAGAGGATTTTGCCACTCCACAAGGGCCTCCGACGTTCCCTGATTCGTTCCAGATGTCTTCTCGAACTGGAGAGAAGACTTGTGGTGAGCTTTCCTCGGGCAACGGAGAAGGTTTCAGTACGTCGCCCGAGTGGCCGAGAGTGCGGTCGATGGCGCAGAGCGGGTTTGCACTGGAAAACATTGGATACGTCAAGACAGGTATGGCCACACCTCACAGAGTGGGAGGAGGAGGAGGAGGGGGAGGAGGAGGGTTGAGACACAGTAGAGAGGAGAGGTTGGAGAGGTTTATTGGTGGAGGGTCACCGGACAATCGAAACGGTGAAAATGGACAGAGCTTAGTGGATTTTATCGACAGACCATCAGATACTGGGAACAACAGCACACAGAATAGGTTCAGACAGAGGCTTCCAGATTTACTTGGGCCCCGGGGGGCCTTTTAGCCGTATTTATTGCATTGTGGTATTATAATAATGTGACTCGGGGACCGAATTTTCAGGGTGCAGCAGTGCGCAAATAGTCACGTGCCTGTTTTTGACGTAACACGAGTGGGCGGGGCTTTGAGAACGACGAGAGAGAAAGATGGTGAGTTTGAAGCGTCTCTTTTTCCACTCTAATCCGTTGTTCTCAGTTCCAGTACGTGCTGCTGTTCAGTCGGCAGGGCAAGGTCCGTCTCCAGAAATGGTACCACGCCTTCACGCAGAAAGAGAAGAAAAAGATCCAGCGCGAGCTCGTCTCGGCCATCCTGGCTCGCCGCTCAAGATGTGCAACGTTCTCGAGTACAGAGAGACCAAGATAGTCTATAAGAGGTCTGTGGAGGCTCTCGTCTCTTTCAGTAGAGTGCTTTCACGTGTGTAAACACTTCTTTTAGGTACGCCAGTCTCTACTTCTGCGTGGCCATAGAACCGGAAGACAACGAGCTGATCTCGCTGGAGATAATCCACAGATACGTGGAGCTCCTGGACAAGTACTTTGGCAGCGTGAGTCGACATAATCCGGCACAGTATTGAGATAGCTAACTCCAATTGCTATTTTGTGTGTAGGTCTGCGAACTTGACATAATATTCAACTACGAAAAGGTGAGGCTAACTTAGAACAGGAACTTCAAATTTCCATCATGCTAACAGTGGAACCTCTCTAATTAGGATACCATATGGGACAGGAAAATGTCCATTTAGTGAGCTCTCCTTATTCAAAACCTGTTTTGAGGAGAGAAACAGTGTACGAATTGGAGACGTATTCTTTTTAGCAATGTCCTTAGAGAGGGTTTGCGTTGTATCTCTATCTCTATCTGTAGGCCTACTTCATTCTGGATGAGCTGGTGGTGGGGGGTGAAATACAGGAGACAAGTAAAAAGAACATAGTCCGAGCCATCACTGCTCAGGATATGTTGCAAGAGGTCAGAATCCTCTAGCTAGCAGAACCTTTCTGTTCCCCAGGCCCTTATCAGTGTGGTGCCAGTAGTCTGTCTCGTTGACATGTTTTGTTGTAAGAACTGTATTGTAGTGTGTTGTTTTTTACGTTTTTATGTTAGTCTTGTTCTGTTTTGTAGTCTCTGTGTGTTTCTGTGAAGACAACATAAAGTTTGCCTAAAAATGTAACAATTAGCCATTATAGTTTCAATTACCACACGTCCACACATAATAAGTGTAATAATGGTGGTTAGCCTGTACGTCCTGTGTCAATATTGTTCACACTATCGTTACGTTGTAATTGGTGGTGTTTTTACGTCATGTCCGTCTGTTTAGTACTGTTCATTTTGTAGTCTCTGTGTGCATGTGCATGCACGTGCACACGTGTCTTGTGTAAAGTAGTCTAAAGTTAACGATAGACTGTCATGTAGAGTAATGTCTTGATCAACAGGAAACGGAGTCGCCCAGAGGATCTCAGTCACTACTTGAGGAAATGGGATTAGCATGATATTTATCGTCTAATGAACAACTCACATTCAACATGTTTTCTACGTTATACATCATGTGTTATCTAGCACTTCGTAGAAAATGATATTGCAATTGAAAATCGGTGACTCAAGTAATATACGACCATTCATCTAAAATCAGGGAACACCGACGACTGAGAGGCATGATGTAATGGTTGTTTAGATCAAAAAATCCATGTCAATAAATGTATTATGGAGTGAGCTACTTCTTGAAGGAGAATGAGTGTCCAGAGAGCTCACTGAGTGGTCTTCTGTCCCTTCCTTCTCTTAATCTCAACAACCTTGCCTCTCTCATCTCCTCTCTCGTCAGCGAACCACCCTTCCCTCCCTGACCTCCCTCCCTCTCTCCCTCCTTCCCACCTCCACCTCTCCCTCCTCTGTCGTCTCTGGTTCGTGTTGTGCCTCGTTCCGACGGTGACGAAGCTCCGTTCCCATACTCACAACCGAACTGGAATCAGGATTTGAGTTATTCAGGGCTTCAAACCCTATTGGACGACTTGCTGTAGAATCATTGTCCATGTCCCCAGTCTGTTCCAGGAGGTCTCTGTTCCATCCCACATTGGGCTGGGGACTGGCAGTCTCGTAGTCGGGATTGTAAGGAGGGGGTCTGGATGGATCTGAGGGGTCTATTTCAGGGGGTCCTCTCCTCTCGTAAACCCTCATCAACTGTACTTTGTGTGCCGTTTTCTCTCTCTTCCGTTCTCCTACTCTCTCCCGATGAATCTGTGGACAAGCTTCTCCTGATTGCTTCTTGCAGTTCAGCTTCTTCACTTCCTTCTCCATCTCCTCTCCCTGCACATTGATCACTACACCATCACTGACTACCAATACTGTGAAATACAATTTACACAAAGCAGAAAGTGGGAAAAGGTTGTCCTCATTGGAGGTGTCCTCATTTCAGGGATGTCCTTTGAGAGGGGTTCCATTGTGGAACAGTTTTGGGAGGCCTTTACTAGTATACCTAATGGCCCAGCAGCATAAGTGTACGAGTGGTACGGTCTTGCTGATGGCTGAGGGGGTGGATGATTTCTTTGTTGCTGCTCTGCTCCTCTGCGACCTGAAGTTTAATACATACATACATACATACACACAAGTGGGTAGAGCACATTCCATTTTGGCTGATGCAACATCATACTATGCACACACAAATATCTTAAAATGGACACTCTTGAAAACCTTTCTATAAAGGACATTTGCTTTGATCTGTGCTAATAAACCTCGGAATAAAGTACACTCCTGTAATAAAGGACAAAACCAAGCATGCCATTATCATTCACCAGTTGTGCCAGATCTGTATGTGTAGGAATGTCCATCTGCATACTGTGTTCCTCCACCGGCAGTGTGGCTTGGAACAAAGTCTAGTAAGATGGGAGAAAATATCATGAATAGACCTACACCTACTATTGCTAGCTTGCGGTACACATCAGGCAAGGCACCGTCAAAGTCTAACAGTTCAAAAGAACGCAGCGTACCGGTCAAGAGAGAGAGGGGTATGTTCATTATTGTCTGCAGAGGCCCGTAAACAAAGGCGAACCCTATTAATATCCCAGCAAGATGTCCAATGAAGGAGACATGGGGAAAGAGGACCGAGATGAGGACTAGTTCAACCCAGCAAGCGATTCTCATAGGCACGGGGATAAAACCCATCACTCGCGTCATTCCAGCCGGTTGTATATGAGTGGTGACGACTTTCAGTGCAAACAGGACTCCAGAGAAACCGACGGCACAAGAGTTTATATACGACCATTGGTCCATAACTTCTGCCAGGGCATAGTTTATGGCAATGTAGAGCAAGTTTGTGGCGACTGAGAACACGGCTACCATGTACATGAAGTATCCGCTGCCGTAGTAGCTCTCCAACGAGATTGCCTTCCAAACGAACGACGCCATATTGTAGTAGAGATGAAAATCGCTCGAGTGGTAAAACGAGGCGAGGAATATTCGCTTCCATTCCCGATTAAACCACGCTCCGCGGACGCTTATGCACGCCTGGTGGATTGACGGCCAGCTGCGGCCCGGTTGAAAGAAGGCTAGAAGATTGAGTCCTAGAACGCCCAAAGTTACAGGGTAATAGTCGTTGGAGTTAGAGAGGAATTGGAAGAGATGTAGCAGCTGCATGGCGAGTAGGACCATGCCTAGACCACCGCCACCGCCTCCGTACCCCCGTCTGTATCCCCGTCTCCGCCCGAACATGATGGGAGAACAAGAATAGAACAGAAGAAGCTTTGCACTTGGCTTTAGTTCAAAGGTCACGCTTTGTTGACGTGGCGGCAGCGCGCAGATTGCGACTATACAGCGCATGCGCTAAATATTTCTAAGGGGGTGGGGCTCGTTTTCACCTAGAAACGTTTGCAGTTTGCAAAGATATACAAACATGATTTCTGGGCCGCTGGAATATGCCTCTACTCATCCATTTCTAGGAGGTAAGAACTAGACACTTTCTCCAGGCATTTAGATAAGTGATTGGGTCCGTGACCGCTCAGGTTTCGAAGTGATTCCCGAGGAAGTCGGGCTGACTCATGCGCCCTCTGGGGTCCAACTGGGCGGCTCGCAGCGGCTGGTGGACGCGGCGCTGGCCAGCTGGCGCAGTGGACCTGCCGCGGCGACTTCTGCCTCCCTCACCACCAGTGGTCTGAGCCTCAGCACCCGCTCAAGTGACGTCGACCTCAAAGAATTCCTAGTTCACAGAGGTAGCGAACTAGCTACTACATCATTGGTTACAATAAACTTTGGAGTGTTGCTGTGATGTTGAATGGTAGCTAGCATAGAAGTTTATTCTATGGATGTAGGACGGAATCCACTGCAAGGCCTGCACAAGGCTGCAGCTCAAGGAGATCACATTGGCATCATGCGCATCATGAAGGTAGAAAGAATAATTAACCAACCGAAAATCTAAACAATTTTGCTTGTGTTTTTCTCAGCAACTGGGGCCAGATGCTCCAATCAATGAACTCGATGTCAATGGCTGCACTCCACTGATGTATGCCGTCATGTCGGAGTCCCGACAGGCCATTGAAATGTTGCTCAACTTCAGCGCAAGGAGGGAGCAGGCAGGCCAACTAGCTCTATGCAGTTTGGATGCACATATCGCAATCTCTTTGTGTATGTAGGTTGATTCTGAAGGAAGAACGGCCGTTCACTATGCAGCTTTCTATGGGAAACACAAGTCACTCAAATTTCTAATCGACACTGCTGCAGACTGGCTGTCAAGGTTATATTCTTTATGAACTCCTCAGTATAATAATAAATCATTACACACATTTTCCATTCTTTTTTCTCCAGAGACTTGTATGGCCGCACGCCACTCCACTGGGCTTGCTACAGTAAGAGCACAAGATGTCTCACAGTTCTGCTAAAGCATGCACAGTAAGACCATACAATTATTTCCACACACCTCTCAAAAACACCTCTCCGTACTTTTCCCCTCTACAGGACGGTGTATGGAGACATAAATCCAATAGATGGAGAAGGAATGACTCCTGTTCACTGTGCTACTCAGTTTGAGAGACCCAGACACATACTCCTGCTGGCTGAAGGTATAGAAAACACTAAGGCACATCCACCTTTGTTTCTTGTGTGTATAGTGTATAGCATCAGCCTATTGAGGATTTGACCTGCATTGAGACTATCATGACTTTTTGTAGCTATATAGCATGTGTGGGTGCATCACACATCAAAAAGGTTTATTGAGGACAATTCTGCATGAAAAACTATAGGTCAACCTGTGTAAGTTGCAGATTATTCCTCACACGATGTAATGATTTTTCTTAGCTGGGTGTGACTTCACCACGATCGACATTGAGCAGAAGACAGCTCTCCACTGGGCAGTGGGTAACAGAGACTCTGCGTGCATCCAAGCTCTTCTGGAGACGTACCCACCATTGCTCAATCGCCAGTGAGTCTCATCAAAAATTCATTGTTATAAAAAAAACTAACGAAACTCAATTTCTTCAGAGATGTTAATGGAAGTACTCTATTGCACCTTGCGGCTTCCAGTGACTCGACACACATTGTAGAAACACTGTTAAACGTGGCAGGGTACGTGCTATTACTCAGTATATTTTCAATGTATAATCCGGTCTCGGATTATGACTATTAGAATCGACATTGATATGAAAGACAATGCAGAGCGGACTCCCCTACACTGCTGTAGCATTGCTGGACATGCCGACACTGCACAACTTCTGCTCACATTCGGAGCCCTCGATGCTTGCTTTGATTCCCAGGGGTCTGTTAAATACCCTTAGCCCCATCACATTATGGGTGTTTTACTTGCCAGGCTTACAGCACTGCATTATGCAGTACAGAGCAACACAACTGCACTGATCAAAGCTTTTGTACCAGTGACAAACTTGTCTCATCTCCCTGATGCTAACGAAGGGAGGACCCCACTAATGAATGCTGCACAGAATGGATCACATGCCATGCTGAAGGTAAGCTACGTCTCCTTGCTGTTTTGTGATGGAAAAAAAACACTGCACAGATTTTGCTTCTGAACAGAGCAGTTATGAAGACCATAAACCACACAGACACTGATGGAAGAACAGGTTAGTTGTGGTTTGTTACACTGTTTGATTTTTATTTTGAAATTCGAGGGTACCTCTACCGAAGTAGAGCATCCCCCACTTGAAAAATTCAAAAGATACACCTTCTAGTGCTACCATATGCCAGTGGTCCCAGGCCCTCGCTTTATAAACGGAACTCTGAACCATACAGTTGTGGTTTTGGGGAATGTTTATGAATATCGTTATCACACACAGCACTTCACTTGGCCTGTGATTGTGGATCTGAGGAATGCACAACTGCGCTTCTCTCATACGGAGCAGATCCAAACTTGCGAGATAGTCTTCTACAAACACCTCTCATGATAGCCTCCACTGCCGGCCATACATCCTGCATTCATCCAGTGAGAGATTACACCAAATATAGTGTATACAATGGACGCCTCTCTAAGAAATCATTCCCCAAGAACATATAGCTAATCCAAGAATAAGGCCACCTCAGTATTGGTGTCTGGATTAGAGGTATTCCACTGTGTAACTACCCCTATGCTCTATTATAGCTGATAGCTGGAGGAGCGAATCCACAGCTAGTGGACTCTGAGGGACACGCCCCTCTTATGAAGGCAGTGCTCTATGGCCAACCGAGTGCCGTGCAGTCTCTGATACTGGCTGGAGTCAGTCTCGACACTCAAGACTCTGCTGGCAACACCCCACTACAGGTTAAAAAACTCAGCATGTATAGCTATGTGCTTGCTATATTATGTACACATAATCATGCTGAATGATGTGTACTGTGTGTAGGTGGCAGCTTACGGTGGAGATGAAACTGCTCTAACAATGCTACTTGAAAGTGGAGCCAACCCAAACCTCCAGGTAAAAGAAGAAAGTGCTCTTTCAACTCGCCACTGCCAATGTCTTTCTCTCAGGATGTGAATGGGTTGAGCGCACTACACATGTCGGCAGTCGAGGGACACGCCCACTGTGTGACGACTCTAGTCACACACGGAGCAGATCTCAACACCTTTGACCTCTCTGAGGAGAGGTAGCCAGAGAAACTAACATACTAGCTACCTCTGTGTGTATTTTCCGTTTGAGATTTATCCACAAAAGGGGATAAGCAATCTGTGAAAAAAATGCCAAATTAACGGAGGTTTTTACTTCAAACGTTTTCAATATTCTTCTATCTTACTCTCTATGAAGTCGCCAATCCCTTCCATACTATACCATCTATCCCATCGTCTTTGTATTTTTTTTATCAGGCTGACACCCCTGGACTACGCAGTGAGAAATGGGCACGGACAGTGTGCAGAGGAGCTGCAGGCACACGGTGCAGTGACTGTGTCCATGATCAGAGAAATGGCAGCTACTTGCATACAGAGTTTCTTCAGGGGATTCAGGTATATACACAAATACAGATATTATAGATGACTCTGATTTGCCATAGTAGCTAGCACTCAAGACAAACATTCTTGTTTATTCTCGGAATCGGACAATATTTTAGTGTGCAAAAAGGCTTTGTGTGGTGTGTCAGTGTGCATGACAGTGCAAGAAGAAAATCCCATGTTTTGATTAAACCTGCTCTGCACTGCAGGGCTCGAAGACTAAGGGAAACGTTGAGGATCCAGAGCAGGGCCGTGACTGTCCTAGCATCTCACGTGCGGACGTTTTTGCAGAAGAAACGATTCGTGGAAATGAAGAGGAGACAGTATGCAGCCACCAAGATTCAGGCTGTATTCAGGTATACCCTCGCCTCGAATCCAAGCCCTCTCTTTTCCAAGATCCTTCACATAATATGCACAAAGTTACAGAGAGAACACAGGGCCTAACATACCACCATAGTGTTTTACTCCCTATTATTTTCTTTATTACAGGGGCTACCAGCAGAGGGTATTATACAAGGTGAAACAGGCAGAGGCATTGGAGAGAGAAAAAAAGCAGAAGCAAATCGAGGACTTTGCACAACTAGTCCAGCGACACAAGGATGCACTGGAACCCTTCCCACGAAAAAGCCCAGGTTTGCTCATTGAAGTGACTAATATGAAGTGGGTGTATTATCCAGTATTGTTTAGAGAGGAGAGTTCTTGAGGGAGAAGAGTTAGCCAAGGAGAGAAGGTCGCGATTGGAGGCGGCGATGAAGATGAGAGATATCTACGAAGAGAAGCAGAGGTGGTGGGAGGCGTTTCGTGCCGCAGAGGGACAGAGGAGGGTGGACAAGGCCAGACGAGAAGAGTTGGATCGACTGACAAAGATCATGGAGGAGAGCAGAGCCAGGAGGGAGTACACTCAGTCGAAGTTCCGCCAGACCCTCTCGGTCCGGTGTCACCACCACGCAGCCACCGTCATACAACGAGCGTTCCGTGAGATGAAAACACGGAGGTGGTGGCAGGAGAAGGTGCGGGCTAGGCGAGAGCTGGAGAAAATATGGAGGGAGAACAGGGCTGCGGTTAAAATACAGCGTGCATGGAGGCGCTACCGCCAGCGCAAGATATACCACGCAACACATTTCAAGTCGGTCTTGACCAATCCAGTAGTCGCACTGCCGGAACAAGTTCTTGGAACATCTCCAAGATGGAGTTATGAAGGTCCTTCATACAAGAGAAGCATATCTATAACAGGTCTGAGAGCCAAATGTGATTATAGTGAATTTATTCTGCTTTGAATTTGCAGGGAACCCAAGAAGAAAGATGCATCAGACTCTCCAGGGAGGATTTCGTGTCCCGAGGCACTATTTTCAAGCCCTTCACACTCAACCTCCACCATCATGTCTTCTCCACCCTTTCCCCACACAACCTAAAGAGGGGAGGAGCTCAACTTCCCCTGCTCTTGCGCTTTCTTCGACATTGGGTTCGAGGATGACAGCCGGCGATGAGCAAGCTCTTCCTGCACTCTTCTCAAGGGTGTCGATTTTGACAAAAACAAAGCCACCCTCCACATCCGCTACAACAAAACCTGCACCATTTCGCCTACCTCAAATTGTTCGCTATTAGCATAATAGCTGTGATTTTGTGCATTCTTCATTGTAGTAGATTAGTTGATTGCGAGGGGGCGGAGAAACCACATTATTGTGCACGTGTAGTGTGCAGCATCGTAGCATCTCGGTCCGCTGGCTGGCCTCCGGAGTTTCTTCGCTCGCATGATGGCAAGTACGGCAAGGAGACCGAATGTGCAGTGGAACTGCAGTAATGTCCTGCTGACGACGGTGTTTCTAGTCTCCATGCAACTTCTCCTGGCGTCGTCTTCTTCGGACGCCGGAGGAGGTGGCCGCTCCGTCGTGTGCTCGGCTGCAGGCGAGAGAGGGAAGTGTCTGCAGAGCCAGTCGTCTCGTCCAGGCTGCGCTGCTGGCGCCGAGGTAAGAGCGAGTGGTACGTCGAAAAACACCGCGCATGCTTCTCTTATCAGTCTTGTCAATAAAAGAGCTGACCTACTTGTTTCTCCCATCATTTCAGGAAGACTGCACAAGGAACACAGGTTTGTCACTTTTGTATGTGCTAGTGCATTTCTGTTAAGGACGGTTCATTCGTTCTCTGTCACTCCCAAATGATGAGGCACTCTGGAGGACAAGTTGGGGAAGGTTTATCGATTTCATGTTTTACGTCTCCATCCCGTTTCTTGTTTCAATCTCCCACGACAACATTTTAGCGGAATAGAAAGTATTAGGTATAATATTATCCCCCCCCTTTCTCTTGTGGTGCAGGTGATCCAGCCTCACTGTACAACCCCGGTGAGAACCTAATAGAGACTTATGGCTATATAGTTATGTCTTTTTTTCGCGCAGGTTATGTGGAATATCGACTGAGTCAAAATTGCAACGTCTCACAAACAAACGACCTGTTTCCAGCACACGCTACTGCTCGAGGACTAACTGTTATTCTCTATCCCATTGGACGAGACAAGAAGTATAGTCTCTATGTTTCCTGGACAACTACTACCACTGACTGTGAGCGACCCTTTGATTTATTAACTAACTAACTACGTGTCTCACCCGATGCAGCAAATACGCAAGGATTCTACATCTGGACCTACAAGTGCAGTGGCCAGTGCTGGTCTCAAAATCGAACGACTTTTCCGTACTTTGAGAGAGATCGTCACGAGTGCCAACTGATAGAAGACCCGGTGAGTATCATGTGCAAATCTTCCAACAATACCGTGGATAGCCTATGCACACTTATTGTTGCATTAATCGGACATCAATTGTGCGGGTATCTCTAGCTCTTTAACATTATTTCCTAAAAGAGCATATCATATTACAACATTATGCAAAAGAATATACCAATGCATACAAGAAAATCGTTGATACTGCACGCAACAAGCACTTGCCAGGTCCGTTTGTGATAATGTACGAAGAGAGTAGAAAGAGAATGACGTTCCTATAACTGCACAGAATGCCAGGAGTGTCCTGTACAACGGAGCAGCACACAGATCAGGACTCCTCCAGTGTAAAGACGGAAAGGGAGACACCCGTGCAAAATGCAATTCTGAACACATCATGACCGTCATGGTAGCTACATTCAAAATATCTGGAGCATGCTAAATCACCTACGGCACATGAAATGCTCAAATCTTCAATACTATTGTGTGTCTCTGAAGTTCTTCTCACTTTTTTCTCTCCTTCTTTCTGTATAGAATGTAAATGCAAGCGTGAGCTGTTATTTTACATATATATACTTCTCTACAGGTAATGCCGTGGCCGCGTTCTTCAGCTGTAACGTTCTCTGGACTACTAGCTACCTCGAGTCTCACCTTTGCCTGGGACAACCTATGGATGGACTGCTGGCCTACACTCTACAGTGCAAGCTGCTCTTCTCCAGGTTGGCTGGTGCATGGTAATGGTTGGGGACAAAGGAACGTTTCCTGCGAGGTATATACCCAGTCAACACCAACGAAGGGGGGAAGGGGGCGTATATATGCCAGTGGCAAAACTTGTGGTTAATGCTGGGGCCCAGACACTCTGCGTCTAGCTACACACTTAAATCCATAGTTTGTTGCTGTTTTCCCTCTTTTTCCCGTGAAAATTTGTGTGTGCACTCAAGTGCTCCCAACTAGTCCTCAGTGCCAATCAGTGTGTGGTGTTTTCGCCACGGCAGCCCCAACTCCCACTTTCAATTCGACACTCTGGCGCCTTTTCCTTCCCTCTCTTCCCATTCCCACAGTTGTCGTCCGCCCCGTGGAAGATTTCAATGTCACTGCCACGCTCGGACCCAACGGGGGGATGGAAATTCACGTTACTTGGCCGTGTACCCCAGGGGACGTGGAGTACATTGTGACTGTTAGTGATCCTCGGGTCAGCCTTGCCCCAAACTGTACCACTCCCGGATCAAACCCACCTTGTTTTGTCGCGAGAAACACGGTAAAACTGACACTATTAAAGGGTATGTGGCAGTAGGCTACATTACTAAAAAGTAAGCTATTGCACTTGCACTTGGGCCCTAGTAACATTTCCAGACACTGCCCCATTCCTTTCTACGGTGCTACTAAGAATGCCATGTCTTTTCACTACAGACACAAGTAACAATAGAAGGACTGGATACGAATAGAGAGTACAGCATAAGCGTAAGTTGAAGCTCTGCACAGACATGAAAATATTGACGCGCTAAAAACCTCTGAATATATAGGTTCAGGTTATGCCCAGGTGCAATGGGTCCAGTTTTGCCCGGCACTACATTGGCTGCAGGTCAGAAGCATGCTGTCAGTCAAAGAGAATTGGCCCCACTGGCTCAGGTGAACAACATTCAGTAGACATAGTAGAAGGACAACCGAACTCTCTTAAATACTGTATATATACTCCACTCACAGTCTGCAATACTTTGTCTGAGGAGTAAGTGTGGAGATGCATGGAGTAGTAGTGGAGGTGCATGCATACTCTATCTGATCAGCGTTTGTATGCACTGCCAGAAGGTCTGTGGCCACCTTCATCTGAATTGCCCCTACTGCATAAGTAGGCGGTGCTTTGGTTGCGAAATCTCTTTTCTGGGTAAATAGACAGTAGGGTGGACTGGGATTGAGCATTGTAGGCTTACTTTCAACCCTTATCCCCCTCTCTCTCTTTTTTTTACAGAAAACAGTTCTAGTAGGAGTGTTGGATCATCTGGTGTCAGTATTGAATCATCCTGTGTCAGCGTGGAATCATCTAGTGTCAGTATTGGATCATCCTGTGTCAGCGTGGAATCATCTAGTGTCAAATCTGAGTCCAGTTCAACTAGTCACTTGCAGTCTCCAGTCAGATCATCTAGTACAGGGGTCAAAGCATCTAAGGCCACAAGTGAGCGTATATACCACAGACGCCTCCACCGTTCTTACTTTTCCTTTTTCTTTTCTATCATCAGTTCCTGTCGTATCTAGCACAACCATGGTACCGCCATATGAAAAACAGAGTGAAACAGGTAACAAACGAACGTTTCTTTCCTTTTTCAAGTGTGGATAAGTATCCGAGTGTATTGTAAAAGTCTTCCCATTTTTTACCCTTCTAATAAGGACACTGTTTCTTAAACTTCACTTAGTACAGATACTTCCATTGGTGTCCTGATTAGAGGGGTTTCATTGTGTATGTACAGTCTGTGTATGCATGCTATGTGTCTCTCTCTCTAATGATTATTATAGGGAGAGTCGTAGAACTGGGACTGTGGTTGGAGTGGCACTGGCTGTGGTTCTGGTGGCTTTCTTCGTCGCCTCGGCCACGGTCATCATCTCCTACATTGCCCGGAGAAGACTCAGAGCAGGAGCCAGTCTCACGTCCGGCTCCTCGCTCACAGAGAGCCTTGAAACCCTCGAGGGAGGAAGAGGAGGAGAAGGAGAGGGCAACGGGTACTGCCACCTTATGACCATGAACCATATAGAAGGAGGCACACCCAGTTATTCCGTGACTACAAACGGAACGGGCATCGGTGGAGCAGAAGAAATGGTTTTGGAGTCATCTGTAGGGAGTGCATCGTCGCCCACCACCGTGGAGGTGCAGGGTCGATAGCCGGGGGGAGCGGTGGAGGAACTAGTTCCGACTCCGAGAAGATAAGTGGCGTCAGCATGTCCCTGGAAGATGACGACGCTTTTGAGGGATCCTCGGACGGGAACTATGGAGGGAAAGATAGCAGGAAGAAAGACGAAGTGTGCCCTAATGGTGGGCGTTCGACTGCCACAAACGATGGAGTTTCGACTGATAAAACCGGTAGACCTGGTCTCACAAAGAGAATACCCAAGAGAGCCAGATCTGAATCCGTACGTACAAAGACCGCCAGAACCGACTCTAGATCCTCGTACAGAAAGAGACCCCGGAGTCTGTCCAGCTCACAACAGCCGAGTAACGATTTCCCTCCTCCTCCGTCTGCTCTGATTCTCTACTCCAAAGCCAGCCTCGACGAGGAGCAGAAGACCATACAGCACCTCCTGGTGAGGGACCTCACCCAGTACAACATACGGACAGTGTCGGAGGACACTTCGACGCCGAGAGAGTGCCCCGCGTCATGGCTGGAGGCCCAGATGAGGGAGGTGTCTGCCGTTTTCTGCGTCTGTAACGACGCGTTTTATCGCGAGTGGTACAACCAGAGCGACAGGCTGACCAGCCTGGTGCCAGTTTTCAAGCAGCTCTGCCACGGATTGGTAACTCCGTCTTACGGCGGAAACAGGCAGTTGCTGGACAAAATCGCAATTGTTCTCCCGCTGCAAGAAACAGACGTTCCGACTTACCTCAACAGCAGGCCAAAGTTTTTCCTTCGCAGCGAGAACCTCCACAAGATGGCTCTTTTTGCCAAAGGACTACCCGAGTACAAGTGCTAACAGTATCCTCATCAACTATCTCTCATTTTTCACTCTTTGAAAAATTTTTCCGTTTTTTAACACCGCCAATTCACACAAAAGGTAATAATCCAAACTCACAATAAATATGTTTGTCCATAAAATAAACTGTTGGTGTCCCACACATTATAGTGCTGCGATCAAAAAGGACGCTCTAGCCATCGTTGTAACCTACAGTATCCCAAAAGTCACATATCTCTCCCTGATAATCACTGATAACCTGTCACAACAGAGAAGCATAGTAGCAATACATTATTTTTTTAATACACAAACGAACTAATTGGCTACAATTGGAAACTTTGGAGGGAGGAAATTTTTGGGATTTGGCAGAAATTTTTTTTCTGAGAAAACTTGCGGATTTCTAGTCCTACAGTAATCCCTTCCCCACAATAAATATTTCTTCGTGGTTTGCTCTTGAACTGCGATGCTTGTAAAGTTTTCTTCGCAAGTTTCCCGCCGTTTGGAAGGAGTTCATTGGCTTACATCAGTGCCCGGAGCTCTGAATCTCAGAGACTTTCCACTGTCAGAGGCATCATATCTGGGCCAATCCAACAGGTCCTGAACAAGACAAACAAGGAGGCTATTAGTCTATGGAAATTCGTAGCCAATGGCAAACGTCTACAGAAGTTACATCCAAATTTACCACCATGTATTATTATAGCTGTCGCAACATGAATCCAGCAAAACACTTTATGCAGCGGTGGATCCAGGGGGTTCCTTTGGTTCCGTGGAACCCCCCTTTTTGTCGTTTTGTGCGCATGCTTCGCCAGCCTCGTGCATGCACACGAGCGCAGTCGAAAATGTTCTGGACAGCGGAACCCCCCCTTTCCTAGATCTGCCACTGTTATGGGAGGTGTTGGTATCTGACTTGAGTGTTGTCTTGAGCACCGTTGGGGCCCCCGTGTGTACAAAGTTGGTCCAGTAGGTGACCATGTGGTCCGCCAGCTCCAGCTCTGACTGGGAGTAGTTGAAGCCTGCCAGTGGCGCCGTGTGGAACACGAACGGCAGCTCCACCCCATGGCCTGTGGTGGAAAACAGACAATAGTGCTAATCAGTACATGTAAGAAAGAAATACTACTGTATATTTTGAGGTACACAGACTCCAATGTACTACTGAAGAATATTTGCCTGCAAAAGTTTGCAACTTGTGTAGGAAAAGGGGGTCTAGTCTAGGATTATACTGATGGTAGGTTGGCTCTGGGAAAAGGACAGGAAAAATGATTACAGGAGTGTCCGTCGCAGAACGTGAAGTTCTGGCCCCAGCTGGTGAAGGAGATGGAGTGATTGAAGACGTAGGTCCACGTGGGAGCCGCCGTGGTGTCGATGAATCCTCTCACGGCGTAGCGGTTTGGACACGTGAAGGTGTAGTCCGTACCGGCCACCTTTGGAGGAGAATCACGTTTGACCCATAGTTCTCTAGCAACCATTGGGGCTTACTGCGAGCTGCATTCTGCAGTCCTGTCCGTCCTCGGGTGCTGGGTAGTGGCGGAAGACGGCGGCAAAATGGAGTGGAAACAGAGCCACAACAGCTACATCGTATTCCACTCTCTGGAAAATGGGGATTAGAACATAGACACACATACACACACGTTCTGAAAATCTGACTCAAAAAACAATGTATTCTAGAAGAAGGCGAGGAAAGTTTGAATTGCTTATTCAAAGGTTAAAATGCAGTGTATTCTGTTTTAGTTGAGGTTTAGGAATACGAGGGGAGAGGTTCACTTACTGATAATGGTTTTGGAGAGGCTTCGTAGATGAAGAAGATTCCCTCTTGGGACACTGTGCCCTTCGTACAATAGATAGAGCAGCTACAGTATGTACAAAAGTCTAGAGCTCACGATGATTGTTGGTATCTCGGCTGCTTCTCCATTAGCAAGGAGGTTGAAAGGTTGATCTAGTATCTAATTGGAGAATCATGTGGTAATCATGTGACAGTCATGTGATCCAGAGGCTTACATCTACACCGTCGATGGTGGGAGTCCACTGAAGAAAGATCTCCAATGCGCTGTGGGCCAAAAATGTATAGAAATCAGAAAATATTCACGATTAAGTGCTAACTTATTATCCTTACTGGAGAGGGTCAACGATTTTCGAGAGAAGTGCATCTTCTACAGCAGATATGAGAGTGATGTTCTAGAAAGAAAAAATGATGAAACGGAAAGAGACGTCGAAGTGAGAGCTACCTTTGAGTATAGGCAAGCAATATCTTTATCACCACAACCTGTGAGTTAAGGTAACTAAACAATGCATGAAGACACATTTTTACCTAGTTCCCGGACAAATTCTTTAAACTCAACTGTCAGGTGTAGCTATAATATTGTAGTTACCTAGTTCTTTGGAAAAATCTGTTCCTAGTTTCAGGGCGTGTTTCCTGTCCTTAAGAGTTAGTTCAATAGGTTCGCTCTCCATTATCACCTGCCATGCACACAATTACAACCACTCTTCAAGAATTAGGAATTAGAGGCACAGTTTGCATACTTTATTGAACAGGCCACTGCTTCTGACTGTTGTCATGTGTAGCGCCACGGAAACGGCCCCTGCACTCTGACCCCAGATGGTGACCTGACCGGGGTCGCCACCGAAGGCGGCTATGTTGTCCTGAACCCAGTGTAGAGCAAGGCGCTGGTCCTGTAACCATGGTTTCAGGACAGAACAAAACACACACAGCTACTCTGTACTTTGCATGGGAAGATCAAAGGCATCACCTGTGGCGGTGCAGTAGTTCTTATACATTCTGCAAATTAAAGGTGAGTCTCTTGGACAACAACTATTGGCAATAGCTTGAGATTTGGAAGCAGGGTGCATAGATAGTTCAAGACGCTCATAAGAACCCTCTATACTATGGGATTAGTAACTTCGCAGTCTTGTTGAAAATTGCGAAAAAATGCACACCCTAGCTAAAATTTTATCAAATGTACCTTGAACCCATAGTTGCCTTCAATGGCATCGCTACCTTCGCCAAGGACTAAAAAGCCGATAGCTCCGAGACGATAGTTGACCGTCACAACAATGGTTCTACTAGTGTTGGCAATGTATTGCCCATCGTACAACAGGCCTCCAGAGTAACCCTGTAGAAGACGACGATGATGACAACGATGACGATGAAGGATTACGTACCCTCAAAAAGTTTCCGCCGTGAAAGAAAACCATCACTGGAATTTTAGCATCAGGCTGTACGTTCCAAAGAGTAAGAAAATGGTAAGTGAGTGGAACAAATAAGTATGCAGACAGATACAGTTGTGAAGCTGTATTAGATACAGTAAAACCGAAGAAGAATACAGACAGCTCTCTATGAAGGCACCTGGTTTTTGCATACATAGGATTCCCTATGAATAAGGTACGCTTATGAATAAAGGACACTCCCTTATACCTGCGCACTGAGCGGGGTGAATACGTTGAGATAGAGGCAGTCTTCAGTGACTCTCTTGGGGCAGGTGAGTTCGGGAAGAGGCAGGTTGCAGGGGATGCCCTGTGGACAACCTGGAGGATCTGCCACCGTCTCTATTACACCTTCCCAGGGCTCTGGAGGACTGGGGGACAGGTTTCAACCTGTTTCCTTGTGTCTATATAGCTTACACTGAGTCTTTCCATCTGAGTTCATTGGTTGGTGGTCGAGCATAGGGTATTGATGTAAAGACCTAGACAGTAAAGTAATATGTAGAGCACCAGTGTACTAGTCAGGAGTAGAGAGGTATGTATACCTGTGCTGTGCTAGTATACTTTCCTTGGATCTGTAGAGATCATAACAGACAGTAAGCAGTTGGTCGAGTCCGTTGGTTGCACGTTACCTTTCCGTAGAGTGTTGCCACGATAGGTCCGTCTGCAGCTAGAGCACAGCACAGATGGTTGAATGCGAGCAGCAAGACACCCTGGCATAGCTTCATGATCGCAGATGATGCGCAGCTCTACTAGCTAGTTAGCTAGCTAGCCTGATCACGTGTCATAAACGAGCTCCACCCCTTTCTTTGCACCACACCACCGACCGCGAACCACGAAGAAAAATGGAGGAGTATATGGAGGCAAAGTGGGCCGAAATACAAGCCGACGCCCTGGGCCTACTTCGTGATCTGATCCGCACAGACACGCAGAACTTCGAGGAGGCGGGGGGCACGGAAACAGCGGCAGTGGAGCTGCTGAAGGCGCGCTTCGACGAGGCGGGGGTACCCTACGAAGTGATCGAGCCCAAACCGGGTCGGGGGAACATCGTAGCGCGCCTTACTGGAGACGGAACGTCGGGGAAAGGTCCCCTCTTGCTGAGTGCTCATCTGGATACGGTGCACGCGCCTAAAGAACACTGGGCCGCCGAGGGATGGAAGCACGATCCATACGGAGCCGAGATAGACGAGGCGGACGGCTGCTTGTACGGACGTGGGGCCGTAGACATGAAGCACATGGCGGCCCAGTCCGTAGCTCTCCTCTGCTTTATAAAGAAGGCCGGCGTCGGTCTCGGGCGCGACCTCATCTTTGCCGGCTTGGCGGACGAAGAACGCTCCGACTCGGCTTATGGAGTCAAGTACTTGATCGAAAATCGCCCGGATTTGATTCAAGCCGATGTGGTTTTCAACGAAGTTGGAGGTTTTTCAATGTTCATAAGCGACAGAGAGGTTTTTCCCGTTCAGTTTGCCGAGAAGGGCAGTGCCAGAGTGAAGTTGACTGTAAGAGGAGAGGGAGGGCATGCGTCGGTTCACAATGATGAAAACCCCATCGCTAAAGTGGGTTTGCTGGCACACAAATTAACCCACGGTCGACTCCCTGTTCGGGTTAACCCTGTGAACACAGCCTCGATAAACGGCATCGCCGACGTACTCCCGTTTCCAAAATCGGCCATTTTTCGTCGTCTCCTCTCGCCCATGTTCACCAGCGTAATCATGAACAATCTACTCACAGCCGACCAAGTGAACATTTTCTCTCCGCTTATGCGCAACACGGCAACCCCTACAATAATTGGCGGGGGCGACAAGGCTAATCAAATCCCGCCCACAGCCTGGATGATCATAAATGCTCGTCTCCTCCCCGGCTGCACAATCGATGACGTCGTCCAAGATATCAAGGATCTGATTGGTCCACGTATGTTCGAGCCAGCTCCAGATCCAACCGGTGGGGAAGAAATCCCACCGGAAGTGACGCTAGAGGTGATGGTAAGTCGTGAGGCCGTCAGCGAAGACTTGACCAACCCAGCCTGCAGCGAAGTCATGTCGGTCGTAGCAAAAACAATCGCCAAGCATGCCGACGGTGCACCAATTCTCCCGACAATGGTCCCAGGTTCTACCGACTCGTATTTTTACTCCAGACACCCGCAGAAACGACCAATTTGTTTGGGGTTCACTCCCATTAGGTTTCCACCCGACATAAAATTCGGGAAGATATTTCACGGAGTGAACGAGCGTGTGCCGGTGGCAGGCTTTAAATGGGGCGTCAGAGTCCTAGGGGAAGTGGTGTTCGAACTGTGCAGTGCAAAGTTTGATTAGAGAGTGAACAATAATTATCATCCAATTTAGCCTAGAATTTCAGTGTATACCATTCGTCTATTTAGAGGTACATTGACAATGCAACATTTTTCTAATTGGGATATAAATTAAAACTGCTCATTTAAATGAAAAGCACTAAAGTGAAAACCCTCGGCACACTCTATGGAAATGTGGAACCCATACACGAGTGTGGCATCACCACAATTGATGGTCTTGACCAGAACAGCATGTTATATGCACCATTTCAGGTTGAAACAAAATGGCCAGCCCTATTTCTGTTTGAGGCACAAAAAATATATAAGGTTGAAAAATTGCCAACCTTTCATCTCTCTATTAATTTTCGTATTACCCGTGGATTATTTAGTGAAAAAAAATTTTAAACCCAAGGTTGAAAAAAAACGGCCAGCCCTTCATCTCTCCAGACAGACGTCTACGGACGTAGTGCAATGCCGAACTGTACGCTGCCCTTTGAGAAACATGGGTCAGTGGTAGATTTGTGGGTAAGGGGAGGAACCAGAGCTGTTCCCAGCCAATGCTCTGGACCACCTGACACTTTCAGTGCGGGATCGGGATACGAACCCCGCACCTATGGTGTCAGTCCCCACGACTCTAACCACCTAGCCACTCGGGCTGGCCTGGAGAGGTGATGAAAAAACGTTCTAGTTATACCCAACACTCCTATTACATCATTGTAAAAAAGGCGCACACTACCCGGGATCGAACCAGGGACCTCACGATCAAGAGAGGGGGTGCTTATCCATCAGACCACCACCCATTACTTCAATGGGGAACAGCGTAAATGGGCACTAAAGTGCAAACCCTCGGCGAAGTAGCTCGCAGAGAGTCTGACACGGGCTAGCTACAGTAGCGAGAGTCGATACACGCCATTCGTTGTGACTTCTTGTGCCTTCAAGATAGACAGAGCAAGCGGACCCGCTAAATAAAAGCGCATGCGCATTATCCGCCAGAGCATTAGCCATACAATGCTGGAAGCGCTCTAGCTCTGCAGCGGAGCATTTTCAGAGAAAACCCCACATATTTTCTGACCTTCGTCGCCCGTTGGGTAGATGGTATCGTTTCTGGGACGAACAGACACATTCGAGAGGTGAGTAACAGTACCTTCGCTGCGCATGCGCGCCGAGGGTAATGTTGCACACACCATTGCTTCAATTCACTGCAGTACATATACCGTGACCGTTGTTTCGTTCAGAAATATCCATAATAGGGAGAAGACAGAGTACAATAATATATACATCTGTACAGACTGACAGACTAGCTCAGCAAAATAATGTTGTGATATAATATCATAAGCAACCTGGGTTGGTTGGGGTGGTGACCCAAACTTGAACATGAGTAGAGTGGAAGAGAAAGCCTTGGTATATATATATATAGAAGAGTGGCTGTATTTACAGCTGTACAAAAGTCAATTAGAGAGAAGAGAGACGACGGAGAGGAAACATTTATTTCTGGTTTAGGAGATTTTGAAAAGTGAGTGCTAAGTCCTTAGTTTGTGTGGAAGAGAGTGAAATGGCGACGAGCGCTTGTTTGTCGAGGATTTCGATAGAAGATCCAAGACTGTTGGTCTGTGATCTAGCAGCTTTAGGGGGAAAGGAGGGAGGGAGAAGAGGGCAATCAAGAAAGGAGAGAAAGAGGTAATATATCTTGCTACTAAAATATTCATTCATTACCTTGACCATCTTAGTTCTGGTGGTTTCCAGGTGCGATATAATGCGATTCGATCTAGCCACGTTTCCCTGCACGGTGGAATAAACATCAGACACATGAACTTTACAAGACAATGATGGTGGCTTGTAGCAATTTACATGACAAACAACAGGGGTACAAGATGATGTGTACTGATTACACCAAACGACAGGGCCACAGCGGCACCGACCTCAATTATCTCTCCCAGACCGTCCAAGACGTCTGAAGGGATGGGACACGTGGCACACTGCGATAGGTTTGATAGACTCTTTTCGACTTTCTTCACCATGTCCAGAACATCTCTCTCTACCTGAAGCTGTATTGTGACAAAACATATGGAGTTCAGCATCAGCATTCATTGAATGAGGCAGCATTGATTGATTACACGTACTTTATGGTCACTAATAAGGAGGAAAGAGTTTGCCCTACCACCTTTCTCCGTTCCCCCTATCTTGCTCTGACCTTTCTAATCAAATCTTGCTCCCCTTGGAATACACACAGACAGAGCACCTTGCACCCCATTATACAGCTCTCTGTCTCACCATTTCTTCCAGCTGAGGGTCGAGGTGGTAAATCTTCCAGCCACTAGCTCTGGTGGCCGCAGTCTTGTCGTTGGCAATACCAGTAGCAGTCACAGTCTCTAGCTCTGTGTCAATACAAAAATGGAAGGAAACCTTCGAGGGGGGGGGGAATTGTGGGGAGATCATATTCTTGCGAGAAAAAAACATTTGCAAACCTTTTTGAGGGAAACTACGTACATCTTAAGGCAACTGCAAAAGTTTTACTCTCAAATGCTAGAAGAGAATGTAATCAAGGTCTAATGCATTGGTGTTGGCACATAGAAATTCACATTATATAGCATACTGTCAAGTAAACAAGTTCAAAAACTGGATTCTTATCTTCTCTCCACATGACACATAGTGTTACTCTTTGTGGCGTAGTGTGTGTACTGTGCTGGCATATGTACATACCAATGTGTTTGATGTCAGCGTGTCTCTTAAAGTGATTGTGGGCTGCCCGATGATGGGTGCGGTACAGTCCGTTGATGGGCCACTGAGGCTGCCTCAACTGCGACAGATACTGGACCTCCCCTCCCCGTTCGAGGGGTGTGGCCACAACCGAGCAAGGACCAGCTGCATGGACAAACGGCAAACAATTCAGATATGATTCAGATGGGATATGATTTCCCACTACAGTAGTTGGTGCGTGATTTCTCTATTGGCTGTATTCTGTATAATTAGTGAAAACGGCACATTTCAGGTGCGATTTGAATCTTCCTGAGTAAGCTTCCCAAGCAGCAATGAACTGAACACAGATTGCAAAAGGGTCCCTGAAAGCTACGTGCCTTTACCACTTCTCATCTACTGCAGCTGGAGCACAAGACTTACTGCTATCTTCTCTCGGACTGGAAGAATCATCCCTTCTCCCTCTGGTTCTGGTAGCCATGGAAACCTGCTGACGAGGAGAGACAGAGGAGGCGAGGTCACTCTCCATTGCCATGGCGACATCGGGCCGGATGTTGTTTGGTACGTTGCTGGCATACTGATCGTCAGTAGGAATACTGTGACAGAGAAATTGATGGAAGAGAGGTAATAAATGTGATCCGATTGAGGACAAAGGTTTCTAGTGTGAAAACTCACACGTCCTGTTTTCTCCGTTTCTTGCGGGGAGATGGAATGATGTCGCCGGGCGGGGGAGGGGCGGAGTCCAGGGAGGAGACGTGATTGGTGAGAGATTCAGCCATCGCCTGATGAGGTGAGTATGTGGAGATGGGAGGGGAGAGAGGGTGTGAGGAGTGAGCTCCATTGTCACCACCCCTGGGGGCGTGGCCGGGCGAGGAGAGAGACACTGCAGACCTGGAATACACGAGGAAGAGGGAAAGCCATGTCATTTACACATAGGCATGTGATAATAAGACAAACACATCATGATATATACAATTTGTGAAATGACCTTACCCAAAAGGAATCTTGTTGAGATTCGGACTCCCGGTCCAACTGAAGGACATACAGGCAAAAGAAATGACACAGTAGCAGCTACAATTGAATCCCTCACAATACAAACAGATATATATATATACAGTCTAGGTTGTCCCACTAATGTGAACTTATAATATAGGTGCACCCTCTTCATTTAAGGCCACACATCATTAACCCCTTTGGTCTCTCTCAATTTTTCAATCCGTGGTGCACGTGATGTATACATACCTTTCGTGGGGTCTCTTTCTAATGATGCCAGGTCTTCTGCTGGGAGAAAGGCTGGTCATGGGGGAACCGCCCGCAGAGAGGGGGAGCGAATTTGGGTGATGGGGGGTGCCCCCCGGGGAATTGACCGATGATGACGACGACGAGGAAGAGGAGATGACAGTCGCGGTGAGTGTCGACTGTGCTGCGGCCGCTGCAACAGCTGCAAGTGTACTAAATGAAGGGTGTTTCCACGGACTAGCATTCTGGACTTGAGGAGTGGACCCCGCGACTAGATGCAGCGTTGTGGGGTGGGCAGGAGGAAGGGAACCCGGGTCTACCCCGTACTCCGATTTACTCCGGGGGACACTCCTGTAGAGGTTAGCACCAGGTGTGTGCGTGGGTTGGAGTGACTGTGGCGTGCCACCGGAGTTGTTCGGAGCGTATCCGGGAGGTTGGTTGCTGGATATGGCTGCAATGTGTCTCCCGGTCAACCCGGGATTGCTGATGATGGGGATGACACTGGGCGTGTCGGTGGAATTACTCCTCTCTCTAGGTGGACCTGGACAACAACAACAACCCACACTATAACACAGCTATACAGAGAGAATAAAACAGATGAGATTGTAGAAAATAAGACAACATTATAATAGAGGACTTCCGGCACTACACCGTAATGGTAGAGGGGTTTTCCCGTTACCTTGGTAAGGAGAGGGGACGCCCAGTGGCGAGGACAGCTGTCCGGATGGTCCAGAGGAAGGCTGAGCTGGTCTGTGTGAGATGAACACACACGAGAGAAATAAAATACAACCCAACACTGAAACACAGGGGACATTAAAAGTTGTACACAAGCAAGTACACAAGCAAGTACACAAGAAAACATAGAGTGTGTGTGTATGTACAGTATGTACAGTATGTACCGTTCTAATCTTGTGTCAATGTGGTCTGCTGTAAGTAGGAAAGAGAGAGAAAAATTACACAGACAACGAAGATATAATGTTCTGCAAATTATACGCGTGGATATTCCTAAATGAAGAAATCTTTTACTTGAAACACGTTTGGCAAAAATAATTCCGAGTGGCACACAGCTTTAGAAATTTCATCACACGAAATGTTTAACTTAACTCTACGGTGATGTTAATAATATAGATGTGTGTGTCTAACCGTTGGGAGTGGGCTGTGCACTAGTTGTGTGAGACTCAGTTCTTGTCTGTGGCGACGGCATTCCACTCGAGCCAGTGTCTCCACTTGTAGAACGCTCCCTGATACCTGGAGAATGGAGTTATTATTAGCACTCGCGTTTCAGCAATATTGTGTACATACTGAGTATAGTGGGAAATTTTCAAATGGAGATAAATTACGTAGTTTTGAGAGCCGTCTGTGATAATTTGTCCTCAAAGTATGTGAGCACATGTACATGTATTTTTTCATGGAAGTTCTCGGCAAAATTTTCTCCCTTCAACATACAGTATATACATCAAGAGATTGAGAGAGAGAGAGAGAGAGAGAGAGACCTGAAGGGCCATGTCTCGAAGAGATGTGTTGCGGAGAATAAGGTCTCATGGCAACGTCGTGGACTTTCCCCGCCTTTCCCCCTCCCCCTCCCCCTCCTCCGTCTCGCAGAGAAGACATGGCAACGACTGGACTCGGAGCAAGGAGCTCAGTCAGCGTGCTGCTGGTAGGGTGTGGAACTGCTGCTGCTCCACCATGTGCCGCCGAGAGCATTGCAGGGTACGCCGCCACAGGGATCACGTGACCTTGCATGGTGGGGTGGGCGATGAACATTGGTTCAGGGTTCGCTCGTTGCTGATGCGGGGGCGGTTGTTTCCCGACTAAAGGAGAGTATGCTTGCGATGAGGGTACCCCCGAGTGTACAGAGACTACTGTTGGTCCGTGAGCGTGATGATGGTGAGGTTGTCTCGGTTGCTGCGTCGAGAGCGGCTGTTTAATGACGCTGGATCCCGGGGGGAAACTCGGCGAGCCGGCCGTCCAAACAGAGCTGGGAATAGTAACCGGAATAACACCAGAGGAAGAAGCTGATGGGATCGTAGGAGGTTTGTTGTTGGACCCAGGAATCGACATTGGGTTAGCCCCCACTCCCTTACTAGTCGAAGGTGGCATGGTCTTTATGTACGTCCCCCCGCCTATCTTTGACCCGTGGGTTGCTTGTACCGGGGTCGGTTTCGCAATGTTCCCTGAGCTAACCGTCGGTCGTTTGTTTGTGACGACGGCCGAAAACCTGCGGGGCACCTGTTGGAATAGACACGTGCCCAGTCGGTGGTCTGATCCCAGGGGTGCTGTAGAAGGAGGGGTGTATGGAGTGATGAAACTCGGGGATGGTGGGTGCATTGGAGAGAATCATATCGGACATTGGGTGGGCGTTGGCGGTGACGACGCCGACCGAGGAAGAAGAAGAAGAGGCCGAGAGACTAGAATTTGGTCCAGCAGAGCAGGTGTTTGGGGAGGAGGCGGAGGAAGGTGAGTTTCCTTTGGGAGTACCCAGGTTGAGAGCTGCGAGAGAGAAAATGGGGAAAATCAACATTTCAGTTCAGTATGAGTTGTAGTACATAAGTAATGCAGAGAGAGGAGAGCGTAAGAGGTGCCTTAGCTCTTTGTTAAAACTTAGTGCATTGGTCGTTTTTTACATGTCTGCACAGTTTAATGTCCATGAAAAATCTGGTTTGTGGATCAGCCTGATCTTGTGATACAAGTTGGTTGCTTAGTTACGGCAACAACCAAACACTAATTTGGAGTAGCAAAAAAACTAGCATTTGTACTTACAAACACTACCAGTTGTAGTAGAATTACTAGTGCAATCGAGATACACAAATGAGTATTTCAGCAATATTGCCATACTAAATGGGTAAAAGATAGTACGACATGCAGCACCAAATAACAAATGTGCAGCTTTTGTGGGTACACAATTCTTCAAAGCAGCAGCAAATTTTTTTATTTTATTGACAATCATTAAACTTTGAAAGTTTCCAATCTTTTAAAATTTTGCATCTCAACAATTCTACAGCAGAGCCCTAGTGTTTGGTACGTAGCTCACATGGCATGAATATTGGAGGGCCCATGTCATTACTGCGACATGGCTTGGCTGTCTGAATGGACTGGGCCATCTGTGGAGCCATTGCGAGGGCTCCCGGACGCATCATGGTGTAGAGATGATGCGAGTAGTCGTGGTGGGGCGGAGGAGGGGGCAGGGGGTAGGCGAGGAGCGAGGGGGACGCTGTGGGGGGTCCCAACTGAGGGGTCAGCGCTGTGGTGGCAGTCCGAGATGACTTGTGAGATGACGAAATATCCTGGAAGATGAAGGGGTAGAAAGGGGTAGAGAGGAGAAAGTGGGGGAAGAGAGAAAGAGAGGTTGAGAGACAGTGAGAGGTAGGGGGAGAGAGTGTGAACAAGTAAAACATGTGCTGGACACAAAATAGACACAATCCTGACTTAGCCTAGAAGCTTAGATGCCGGTAGCTTAGAAGCTTAGATGCTGCTAAAGCTTTAGATCAGATCTCGGCCCATTAACAGCTCCATTACTACTAGAGAGAGAGAGAGAGAGAGCGGTCACCTGTTTGACTGAGCTGCCAAGACTGCAGTGCAAGTGAAGTGTTGCCAAGGATTGCTTGCAAATTGAAAGGACGGCGTCCCCTCCCCCCTCTGTCTTCTAGTTCGCTGACTCACTCCCACATTTCTACTTGTACGTACATACTACACGCGCTGCTCCGAATTGAAAACACTGTAGTGTTCCTCCATATGATCGCTATGGTTTTGCTAAACAAATTAGAGGCTTGCATATGTAGCCGTTCACTACAATAGCTCCGTGCTATTGAATTGTCTTAGAACATCGTGCGGCATTTCCCTGCTGATACACAGAGCCAAAGGAGTTCAGGAAACACGGCTTTTACTCCTAGCAATAAAGAAGTTGCTATACCAGCAAGCAAGGCCAACCTACTGTTTGAGTATATAGTAGCCCAGGGTGGTCTTATCAAGATTTTGTAATCATGAACAAGTGGATTCAAAGCACTCACCCAGGCCCCATGGCACTCTTGGGAGTTAATGAAACAAGGAAGGGATAAAAGGGAAGAGAGTAAAAATGCAATCAAGTCAGCTAGAAGGTAATTCCTATATACCCGCTTCTGCTGTGTTGCGAGCTATACCTTTGGCAGCCCCGAAAAGGGCAGCTACCCGAATGACCTGCTGGTAAGCTAAGCTCCTGATACTAAGTCTTGGAGTATATAAAGCTCACTTGCTACTCTCACACAAACTTGTGCATAATCAGATGGCCTGGGGGCGCAGGTTGAGAACAAATGGGTAACTGGGAGGTATTTGTTTAGCTAGGGCCCGCTGTCTGTCCGGGCAGCCACCCCGCGGGAGTGTTTTGATAGCACAAGATTGCCCGCCACGGTGTGCTCTAATTGGAACACCCACCTCTTGCTTTCTGCCTTGCTCGCTCATTTGCAGGCTTCTCTCGGGAGGCGGACGGGGTCTGGCGGATCCAATGTACTCTCACACTCTTCCAGCGTCTGCTAGAGACGGCTGCTCATGCTGGAGGCAACGGGGAGAGGGAAACGCAGAGGTTCCTTTCGACCTATCTGGGGGGTGGAAAGAGGGCACATTACGCACTGTCAACGCAGTCTCCCCGTCCCTACCCACTCTACAACTGCTTCCCAGACCTAACAGCTTACCTCACTGACTGCTGGCGACGTGGATAGTCTCCGACGGCGCTCTCTGTAGCGCGATCTTCCGTCGGCGGTACGGGCACCTTTCTCTCGGGCCCAGGACACGATACCGGAGGGACCTTACGTCTCAACGACGTACAAACGAGCGATCTAACTCTGGACTAGCCTCTGAGTACCTCGGCTAGCTAGACACTCAGTTCTCTAGGCGAACTGCGAAGCTTCTTGTGAAAGACATGGGCACGAGCTGTCCCGTTCAAAACAACGGAGTACCTACTCAGCGGATCCGCACACGGCGACGTTTTAGGTAATCTGATTGGTCGGTTTACTTGTGTGACGTCATAGGTTGGGCCTCTATTTAGCGCGCGCCGTTCGTAGGAACCACCTGCGCATGCCGCATGCGTGTAAGATGGACGGGAAAATGGCGGAAGGCGACTCGGTCAAAGTGAAGCTACAGCGAAACCTGGCCGATTTCAGCATCTTGACGAGGTAACGTACAGTACAAGAAACGTTGTAGCTAATCCAGCCTTAGGAAACTTGTGTGGGAGAATTGAAGGTATTATTGCGATGACGTAAAGTTAAACGTTAGACCACACCCCTTTTACAGGAAATTGCTGGAGGGAGTGGCGGGAGACACACCCATTCGACCTATGACCTCTTTGGCTGGAAGTGACCAGACTTTTACGACTGTATGTAAACTCAATTATTAGTCTTTGCCCCTGTCCACTTCATTGAAACTAGAATTTCTTTAGGCGTTGAATTTCCTTTTTTCACACACACTTTTGCAGGTCATAGACCAGCTAATAGAGAGAGACCGAGATATTCAGCAGCTTGTGGAGAAAGGTTTTTTTCTATATGCACTGACACAGTCTGTCTGCTTGTGAAGTATAATTATACTGTCTTTTTCAGGCGGTGAAATTCATTTACTTTTCGCTCTCAAGACCACTTAAATGCACCGCAATTTTGTGTTACGCTGTGCTTACTATTGATACGTAATTGCCTGACGAAAAAAGAACTAAAAAAGCATATTTTTACGTATTTGCCCTGCAGAAAAATAACTAGAGCATAATTATATGATGTGTTATCACTAAGTACGGTAGTACTTAGTATATAGAGATGGGCATGATACCTAGCATCATAGATGTATGGGGCTATGATAGGGAGTTTTGTCCATCATCATCATCATCATCATCTTCTTGTTCAACTGTTACTGTGTATGATGCAGCCCTAGAGATGAGGTTGAGGCAGGCAGAGCTGGAGCGAGTAGAGGGGCAGCTGGAAAAGAGAAACCAGGACATTGGAGAGCTGCAGGCGAGACTACAAGACGCTGAAAAACTGCTTGTGAGATTGTGCACCATTCAGCCATTGTAGGTCCCAGCATGTGTAACTATAGGGAAGAGGTTAGTTCTTAGCAATGATTATGAATTCTAGAAGCTTCTGCCCTTCTGTCCATCAATCGGATAAGATGACCAGATGATGACTTTAAGCATGTGTAAAAGTATAGGGAAGAGGTTAGTTCTAGAATATTCTATGGTCCCCCTAGACCCACACCACTGTTTATCATGCATTCACTGTGTCCCCAGGAGCTGGCTGTGTATCACGGGAAGCAGAAGCTCCAATCAATATCGCAGTCTGATGATGGTATGGTTTACAGTATGTATGTACATGTACCATAATTAGTGGAGGTCAAGTGCAGTAAGTGTGGTGTTCAATAATATTAATTAAGTGCCTACTGGCACGGAAACAGCAAGTTTAAAATAGTTTTAACCAACCGGATTCAAAATTTTTCTTTGATGGCGCGTGCTTCAGTGCCATACCTAGTACAGTACTATCATACTGTAGCTAGCTGTACTATATAATTGCCCGGAGGTTTACTATTCTTCTCTATAATTTTGCAAGGTGCAGTGACACCAGAGGAGCTCATTCGATATGCTCATCGAATCAGTCAGGCTAGTTCCACCGTGTCCCCAACCGGCTGGCAACCAAGTAAGGACCTTACTCTCTGTGCACACATTGCTTTGCTGCAAAGATGAGATGATGCATAATACGGTGGACCCGCTCCAATCTGTACATCAAATGGTACAGAAGAAAGTGTAGGTACTAGCGAGGTGTCCTTATTTCAGGACACAAGAGACGTGTCATCATTTCGGGGGTGTCCTTCATTATTGTAGTGTTGTATTGGAGGACGGTTAAATTGTGTCTACAGAGCGTTGCGCCATGCATTCATACATTTGATGTGAATCATTTAGGATTTTTTGGGAGGGCGGGAGGGCCGGCACACTCAAACCCCACTCATTACCTTTGCTGCATAGTTCTGCATAGTGTTAGGATTTTTTGGGAGGGCGGGAGGGCCGGCACACTCAAACCCCACTCATTACCTTTGCTGCATAGTTCTGCATAGTGTATAAGTAAACCCTTAACAACTCTCTCAGAATCCTGGCTCACCCCTAAGACAGGTCTGGAGTAAGAAGGAAGTCCTTCCACAGCCCTGTCTCTCACCTGACCAGAGTGTTTTCACAAGTGTCTTTGAGCATTAAAGAGATGCTTCCTGTATGGGTGTGTAAGCAGGAAATGGGTCATGTGGGCAGTGGATGATTGCCACCTCTTCAATGGAGGAAGTCAGATGGGTGTGTGTGGGGAGAGAGAGGAAGTGGTTGAAGAGTGATAAAATCATTTCTCCTCTTCTCTATGCTGGGGTGTGGGTGTGTAGTGTAAAAATTAGCCGTGGCAATGTGTAAAAATTGTGGTCCTCAAAAAAGAACTTTCCTGAAAGAATTCACTGCCGATCCGATCCATTAAAAAGTATGTCTTTACACAACAGTATCTGCTTGTCTTGCTCTCCGGTTAGGGTAGCGGAAGAGTGTTTAAATAAATTCATAATGCTTGCTCTGAGAGAGTGAGTGTATGTCTCTCTCTCTCTGTTCTGGTGGGTGGTCAATGGCTGTATTATGTAGAGTAAACAAGCCTTATCCTAGTCTGCGACAATATCACCACCGTTTTACCAGACAGATACAGATTCGGCACATTAACAATGTGGACATCTGTACAAGGATCACGTATATGGTTTAAAGGTCATGCTCTATATGCACTCTCTCGCCAAAAGTTCACTCTTTACAATCGGATGTATTGCTAGTTAGGTCATATATTATACGTAGTGTTGCACTTACTGTATTGCTCCAAAAGTTCACTCTTTACAATCAGATGTATTGCTAGTTAGGTCATATACGTAGTGTTGCACTTACTGTATTGCTCCAAAAGTTCACTCTTTACAATCAGATGTATTGCTAGTTAGGTCATATACGTAGTGTTGCACTTACTGTATTGCTCCAAAAGTGCACTCTCTGTTGGGTCATTATGCGTGTTTCGCATGTGAGGCATGCAATAGTGTTGTTCCAATAATCCATTATCTCCTAAATGCTTGAGAGCAAATATTGTGCCATCGTGTAAGCTCGGCACAGCACTTCATGATGTTACAACGCGCAATATGCCGCAGCTATCTTGCTACATTCTGCCTCGGCCACGCCCAGTCATTGGGTTATTATGACCAAATAAGGTCATGAATTAGGGGCTCTAAACATTCCACACCTGACCACAACTAGACATAATCCAATCAGTTTGTGGCCAACAGTTGCCCCTATCAGAGTACTTCAAACCCTAATGAAATCTGAATGTGGTTTCATCATGCGTCCACTTGCCCCTTCCTTTTTTGGATCTTTGTGGATATGGGGACACAAGTGGCGAATGTGCTAGAGTGATTGATGATTACATGGTTTCGTGGATTGTAAATCATGTGACAATGCTTGTCTGTCCACTTGCCCCTTCCTTTTTTGGATCTCTGTGGATATGGGGACACAAGTGGCGAATGTGCTAGAGTGATTGATTGTGTAATGATTACATCATCATCAAATTAGTTGCCTGATGTGTTAATTTGTCTCCCTAGCATGTTTTTGCTATAAGGTGCCACAGACAAAAGCAGCAAAGTTTTAATGATGTAATGATTACATCATCACTAAGGAGGTGATGATCATTATTATGATGAGTCAGTATGTATGTGGATTTAGGGTATATACCCTGGTTGTTACCCTACACATACAGTTGGCCACTTCCTCTGTGCTATTTTTAGAAGTCTATTTTTAGAAATCCACCTACCTAGCAACCAGCAAATGGCCCCTCTCAAATTATAGTCGTATATATATATATATATATCGTCTCCAGCAATCGTCCTATGTATGTGGATGCATTTCATCCGTATTTTTATATTTTTGTTTGACTTGGCATGTATATATATATACCTGTGGGTCCTCAATAGCAGATTGATGGCGGGAGATTCCAGAGCTGATGCATTACTTGCATTACTTGATACTTGGACCGCAATAATTCCATTGAATATGCACCAAGAACACTGAAAATAAACACACACACACACACACACACACACACATTGTGCATGTCAGTGTTACCAAGTTGGACTACAAAACCCAGTAAGAAACATTCAGGTTTAATATGAGGCTGAGCTATCAAGACACCGTCTAGACTTTGCCCCAGTGATAGTGACAAACAGACAGACCCACTCGATAAAGATTGTCAGACATATGACACATTCTTACCGTGGAACCTTTGGTGAGAGACGGACGGCCATGAAACTTCAAACTGTGAGAAACCCCAGTGGAGTTGCCCTACACAAAGGCAGCATTCACAACATTCTACCAATACACCCACTTCTATATTTATTACACATCACTTGTGTATAGTACCCTGCTGCTTGTAGTACATGATTTACAGAGAGACGCTGTGGCTTTGGTGTGTTCTGTGGTGGTGATGGTATAAAGGGACCCTGTTTGGTCTGGAGGGAGTCAGAGACCGATGCCTCTGAGCTTCCACATAAACATAAACATTCCAGTTCCTTCCGGATGGTGGTCTTTCTTGTTCTCACACAGTTCAGAGGTGGAAATTTAAAAGCTTGCACAGCAGGTCACTCCTACACGTGGACAGTATCGCATGTATTGTAGCATCTCTGGTGTCTATATACTCTTGTGATGTAGCGACTAGGGTATTCGCTCCGCTTGCAACCTCCATTCAAACATACATGCCCATGAATACGTGTTATGTATGTAGTCGCAATAAGAGTGCATAAGACACTGTATAAACTCTATAGTGAGTGTTATTAGGTAATCTAATAGTAGTCGTGAGTATTCACACTTTCTTAAGTGTGTGTCTTGGAGTGAACCCACAGTTGTAGGTCTAGCCCTTAGCTGTAGGAGTGACCTTACAGGGTTTTCTCTTTTCTTTTCGCCTGTTAGCAGCTGTCACCCGCAGACAAACCTATTTTTCCGTTGCGCTTATGAATTGTCCGTCTGTTGCACTTGTATCCATATTAGACGCACTCTAAGGCAGCACCGAGCCCCCTTTGCCAAACACTTAGACATGTTATTATGGACGCTGCATTCCGTCTACATTTACCTCCTCTCTCCTGCCCTAAACTACACTACTCCCCCTTATAAATATACGCTGCACAAGCATGTGGACAGTGTATGCATGGACATGTCCTACTGTGTAGCCTTGATTGCATGGACTGGGGGCTCTGTGGTTAAGAGTTGTCCTGTATTAGGTCCACTTAGCGAGCTATGCTCTCCTAGAATTTGGCTTTCTTGTGGTGTATGGGCTAATTCAAGCCCTCTTTCAGCTGCCCAGGGAGGGGATATGTGACAGCTTTAGTATTGCGGTACATGTGTATATATCACAGATCCTGGGCTCTATCAAAGGTGTTGGAGATAAGAGTGGGCCTTTCGTGTGGTTGGAGGTTGGATCCAGTACTGAGCTACCAGGGCACCTGGCTGTTCCATTTAGTGGAGATTAGCGCAGGCCTCTGCTGTGGTTTGAGGCGTTATCCACATGCTCCTCCACACCCCAGCAGTTTCTAATATCCTCCTGGGTGGGCAGTGCCCATAATAGCAATGTGTGTCACATGCTAGCTTTGTCAGCGCACACACTAGGTATCATGGGAACCTGCAATATTTCAGTACCTGCCCCCACCTAGCACAGCCGAACTTCTAGAACATTCTTCCAACTTGTTTATGGCAAGAATGTTGTCTGGAATGCGGGGCTATAAAGGTGTTAGTGAGTGTTTGTATGGAGGGGTATGCAGCCCAGATGTCGGGTGCGTGTCTGGTATTGGGAAAATTTCTGTGTTGTCTGCATTTGGCGTGGCCACAGGAATGCGAGGAATGTGTGGAACGAAGATGTTTGGTTGGTCTAGGCCAATTATAGGTTGCCCCCTGCACCCGTGTCATTGTCAATTTGGGTGGGGGTTTGTACAGAGACATTCTCTCTGAATCACGCATTCTTTTGTTCCTTGTTTGTTTCCAGGAGTGTCTTTGTACTCAGTTGCTCCGTCCCTCTCCCTTTCTCTCTCTCCCTTTCTCTCTCTCCCTCTCTCTCTCTCTCTCTCTCCCTTTCTCTCTCTCTCTCCCTTTCTCTCTCTCTCCCTTTCTCTCTCTCTCTCCCTTTCTCTCTCTCCTTCTCCCTTTCTCTCTCTCTCTTTCTTTGCTGGTCCATAGCTGACCCGAGGCGTCCATATCCTCAAGACATTGAAATGAGGTCGGGATATCTCGGAGGATTTACACCTCCCGACCCACATTCAGAGGCAGCGAAATTTGCGACTGATGTACTAGCTCCTTCGTCGGAGCCCCCTCCAAAGAAAATAGCCCTCAGCAGCACAAACGGAGGAGGAATCACACTGCAAGGTGAAGAGAGCGTGTGCTTGGTGTGACCACGGTGGCTTTGAAGTTGTGATATTCATGTAGGGTGGGTATGGGGAAGTATGCAATTTATGGATTTTACTAGAGAAGCTGACCATAATTTGGCCTGAGGGGCACATTTTGCACATGTGCAGCTACGTGAATATATATGGTAGCAAGACTTTATACAGTGGACCTCTCTCTTAGGGCTTTCAGAGGTTAAGGAATGAGTTCACTAAGAATAGCGTGTTGGAAGGTAATCAGGTTTTCCTATATCTTTCGGATTAGAGAGGTTCAACTGTATGTATGGGGATGTGCATGATTGCATCATAGATGTATTTGGTGACATCATGCGCCTATTATGACCAGTGGGTATGAGGGTGAATTGAATGTTGATGTATTCATGCTGTGTGACTTCTGTCTGTATTCTGAATGTGTTCACATGAATGAATAACAGTTCAGCTACACTATACCAGAGTGTGTGGTTTGTAGGGGGGTTGTTGGTCTGTCTAGCTATACTCTCATTTCTAGGTAAAATACAGTGAGTAGGGTCTGTGGAGTAGGATGAGAAGTGGTCCCTGGAAAAAATTAAGTTGTGTGTATCAATTTCTCTATGTGGTATCAGATGCCCACAGTTTTCTCTTTCACCATGTGGTGATAGGAAAAACTGGAGAACAGTCGTGGGTTCGAGTCCCGGCCCTGGGCAGCTCTGTTTTCATTGTTGTCTTGGGCGTGTCATTACTTTGCACTGTGTGCGTTGCTTTCTTGCCTCTACATATTTATGATTGGATTTGCTCTGCATTCTCCAGCTATGTTCCAGATATTTTAGACAATTAGTATGTTCGTCCTTTGCCTTATTTTTTTTGGAAAAGTACGAAAATTTACCGGAATACAACTGACAGCATGGGTTACGTCTAGCTGTTTCAAAAGGTCAGACTTATAAGGAATTTCTAAGTGCTTGTTGACAACAGATGTAACAGTCTAAAAAAATGTTGTCTGATTCTCGGGTGGAATGGTGACATGGCTGTAAAGGAGATGTTGGCATTTGAAGGCGCATGCAGCGGGTTGAGAAAACATGTTGTGACCGAACTCTGCAAGAGCGTTTCGCACAATATCACGTTGGTACTCATCCTCCGTGAAATTATGCTCTTGGGACCACCTAATAGTCTGATACGATGTACGCATTGTGATATAACGTGTAGCACACTAGACAGGCAGTAAGAGAACCACCACATCCCATTAACACACATACAAATCTGCTTATTGCCCCTGTCCTCAGCCAAGCTCCAAAAATCATCCTGCTATTGGCAAAAAGTGCTTAATAAGGAAGAGAAAAACGCTCAAGGCCTGGCTTGATAACAGCATAATAGGGAAAGGCTCTATACACCATGCAGGATGTTGGTTGCCTAGTGCAGATGTTTGAGGTTTGCATTCTAGCCTGCCTGTGAAAGCTAGCTAGTAGGGCGGTGTTTTTCTGAGCTAGAAATATGGATTTTGTGACCTTTTATGTCCTTCTGGATTTCCTGTGGCTTGTGGTGCACACTGAAGAACTAATTTGCTGGAGTGGGAGATTAACTGCAGTGAGTATAGTAGAATGAAGCTACAGGGTTAAATAGGGAAGGCCCAGTAATGCAGCCACCAGTCTGTCTGGTGCGTGTACGTTAGTAGTGCGGCTAGCCACAAGCTACAGTTGGAGCCAAAGCGCTCCTTCCTGCTCTTTACTCTCTACCCTTTAACAAGTGTGTGCTTCTCTTTAAGTTCTTAATCCTTAGGAATAAATGGGTTTTTGCTGTAGTCAGTAGCCACAGGCTCATCTTTGAGCTAAATAATGTTTTCACTGCTTCTATGCTAGTTTACACTACATATTAGGTATGATATGCATCCTAGGTTTGCTTTAGCATTGCTCGGTTGCCTGGTGGTGGCGACAAGCAGTGCAAACCCGCACAGATTCGACGAAATTCCTAGAACGCATTAGTCCTTCCGTAATGGAGATATGTTTTGGTACAGTAAGTCTGTGTGAACTGCAGGGTCACGTCATGTTTTCGGCACAGGTGCAGAGCATCTGCTAGTTGTGTACATACAGAGAATTGGTTTCGGAAAACTGTATATATGTGGCACAGCATAGCGGTCTGTTTGCGCAACACCCCCGCATGCAATATCCGCTGGTGACGCGCCTTTTCCGGGGTCATGCGCCGAGGTCAGGCTGGAAAATCCCCCGCGCCGCGCCTGCTGCTGAGTATAAAAGCGGCTCGCGACCGTTCTGCGGAAGAGCTACGGATAACTAAAAACTGAAAGCCATCTCCTTCCAGTGAGAAAATCTACTGCACTACAATGGCCAAGATCGCCTCTGCCACCGTCAAGAAATACGCCAAGGTTGCGTACACGCGGTTCGACATGTGCGTGAGCACGATGTTCTCTCCGTTCGCCGGCGTCCTGTACACCGTCTCGGAGCTGGAGAACGGCTCTAGCAGCCGCAGCGGGTCATCCTCGCGGCCTCCTTCCCGCTCCAGCAGCCGCGCCAGCAACGTCAGCAGCTCGGGCAGCTCACGGGGCGCCCGTTTCTAACCCTCGTTCGTCACGTCAGTCGTTGTCACCGACAAAGATACCCCACGACGGAAAGGGCTGTCCAATGGTCTAAACTAAAGTTTGGTGCCTCTTCCTCCGTGTGCAAAAGTCACTACCGTCACTGAGTTTCTCGTCCTGCAATTCTCCCGACCACGCAGGGCGTCGAGTCTCGTTGCCCGCGTGTGTCTCCCGTTCCAATCTCAAGTCTCCGCATCTGCGACTTACATACGTGTGTGGACGCAAAATTACAGAAGAACTGTCATTTTATCAGTCGTTTTTTGTTGTATATGACTAAATGTTTTTTGAAATTACATTTGCTACTCACTCTGCTTCCCAGCAGTGCAACAACGAAGTGCACAGCGTGGCATTTGTTGCGACTAGGGTATGTTTGTTGCATGGTATGGTTGCCAGGTATTTTGCAGTGTGTGTGTCGATTCAGCATGTGACACCACATGATGCAATGAAGAAGGGTTCAGGTATCTTTATGCATTAGGAGTATCTTGTTCCTTGTGTTTGAACTGTTGACAGCTCAGCTGCTCAGCAGTTATGTAATGCACAGTTAGTAGTGTGTGGGTGGATGGAGTGGTGCGACTCTGTTGCTAAGCAGTTATGTAATGTTTTACTAACACAGTTAGTAGTGTGTGGGTGGATGGAGTGGTGACATATGATCTGGGCAAAACTATTGTAGTGCAGACTATAATGAAAAGCACTGAAGTGCAAACCCCTCGGCGCACTGTGACGCGCACGCGTAAGTAAACGCATGCGCCGTACCACTAATTGATGGGCTGGGTTTAGTTTTAGCTGTTACTCGTGGTCTCTTGCCAGCTCGCACAGAGTCTGACGCGGGCTAGATAGCATGCGAGAGGCCCTGCGTTGCATCTTCTGGTGCCTCCGAAGTACGCAGAGCACGCGGATCTATCCGACTGTGGTAAGCCATCCCGTCCGTTGTGTATTTGCATATTGGCTTTTTCGCGCTCTAGCTTTGCAACGGAGCATTTTCAGAGAAAACCGCCTTTATTTTCTGACCTTCATTGCCTGTTCAGTAGGTCGTATCCTTTGTGAGACGAACAAACACTCGAGAAGTGAGATTGAGAGTAACAGACAGACAGACAGACAAACCCAACTACAGTAACCCTCGCTGCGCATGCGCGCCGAGGGTTAATAATCCTAAGATGTTGAGTTGTGTCCTGCCACGCACACACTCTGTTTCTGTAGGGGTGAGCCAGTCTGCCAGTAAGCCTCCTGACAGCAGCAGCCGTCCTGGCTTTAGAATGGTAAGTATGCCAGCCTGTGTCAACTGTTTAGTCTTGTATTTTAGTAGCCCCGTCCCAGGCTGTTTTGCTACAAACATGATTTCATCAAATGATATATTTCCACTGTATATACAAAAAAACGTGGGGAAGAGCTGGGGAAAAGGCTAACATGTCTTTGGTTTTCCTAGGTTTTTTACTTGCTCTCTTATCTATTATTTCAGGCGTTTGATGAACCAGAGGCAATGTCTGAAGATTCATCTTCTTCATCAGACGAAGGGACATAATAGAAGAGCAAAAAATATCTGCATAATACATTTTCGATTTTGATGTGTAAGCGCGGTACAGTATGAGCGCGTAAAAATTGCTTGGCGCGACCCGACCCTTCGCGAAGCAGAGGTAGAGCTAGAGAGACGGAGCGATGGCGGGGGCTGTCCATCTCCCGTACCGCTACCTGGGCAAAAGCGGGCTGAAGGTGTCCTCGTTGTGTCTGGGAACCATGACGTTCGGGCAGCAAGAGGTATATGATACAGGCGCGGCGGATTATACAATGCAGTAGGCTGCGCAGTTAGTTCGGTCCTGTAGAACTAGAAGTTCCGTGACGATATTATTACTGACGTGGGTATCTGTTCAGTATTAAACGAGCTCGTAGGAGGCTGTGTGTACGAAAAAGCTCAGTTTCGAGCGAGAGGGCGAAAAAAACTGCCTTACCTCCTACACACCTCTGCCACGCCCCCAAAATGCTTCACGCATGCGCCTACCAAACGTTATTGTGCTTCCCCATGGACACCCACCCAGGGATGCCGGCCTGGACAGAGCAACGAGGTGCTCTCCCATCAGCTACTAGACCAGTACATTGGAGCCGGCGGCAACTTCATAGACACTGCAGACATCTACCAGCATGGGCTGAGTGAGCGAATAATAGGGCAGTACTTTGTCAAGAGGCCCGAGTTGAGGTCCAAAATGATCATCGCTACAAAGGTGACTGTATGCCTGAGAGAGTCTATGAAGTGTGGGTGTTTACAGAAATATGAGCATATTATTGTAGGCACAGTGTTTTGCCTACTGTGGGCTTATGTAGTGAAAGTTGTACTGTTTTTATACCGAATTTGAAGCATTGTTTGCCCACCATTTCCCTTGTATAGCCTGTATACAGACTGGTTGTTTGATAATTCCCCTGATGAAATTACACGTCTCATTAGGTACTTGTGTGGCCTGCAAATCATTCCAATAATTATGAGTATTATAGCAATGTTACTCAACTATGCCAGTCTATATGGGTTTGTTGGTTCAATCTCTGTAGGTACATACTATCTATATTTGCCTTTCAATTTGTACACCATGCATTAACCAGTTTGTTGTTCTGCTATTATCTCAATTTTCAAGATTTCGTTCGCACTTATTTTCGTACTTACACGCATGCCAGCATAATGGATCTTGTAAGAAACAGCAATTATCCCATTGAGAGAGTAGTGGTAAGTATGGGGGAACGTTTTCAGTGGATGTGGTGTTGATGTGCAGGTATTTGGTCCGATGGAGCGAGACGACGTAAATGCCCGCGGTCTCTCTCGTCACCATATCATGCAGGCCGCTGAGCAGAGCCTCCATAGACTCAATAGTGACTACATCGACCTCTACCAGGTACTGCTGAACCTGCGAACAAGGGACACCATGGGGCCAACGATTTTGTCCCTTATGTCCGTATTGCTATACGACATTTAGCTGTTGTTTGCCACTCAGTTGGGGAGAACCTACAACTCACCATCTGAGGTTAGTGAGGAACTAAGCTTCGTCTCCAGTCACTTATGCGTGGCAAAGGGACAAGGCCCCAACTGCACTCTTCCATTAGTAACTTGGCATCGATGCACAGTTTAGGTGGTTTCAGTGCATTAGTACTTATCCAGTCGTTGACACGTGTCCCGCATTCCTTCAAATACCCGTAAAAGCTGGGCCAAAAACACGGTGCTAATGCTCTTGATTCGTACAAGGAGATTGCCTTGGCATCCGGAGGGGTAAAAACGTGAACAATTTGTCGAATCTCTCCTTGTTTGTGTGTTGCGCATGATGTCTGCGATTGCACTTAGCACTCTGCAAGCCAAGCCCAGTCCTAGTAAGGTGACGATGTTGCAACATTTTTGGTTGACCTGCAGCAGCGTACAGCTTGCCAGGTGTATTATGGGCCCCCGAGTACATTTGTTGCTAGGTGACACTTGTAAGAGCTTTCGGAATTCACACACTGCCCATTCCGAGTAAGCAAATTGATTTTTGTCTCACGTTTGCATGCACCTGGACATACATATAAAACGTGTTTTTGCTGTTCTAGTTGCTCCAACGAAAAATTTTTATTATGGGTGATACAATGTGAGATACAATGCATTGGCATAATGTATCTGGTTTACGCACTCTCTCTAGGTCCACTGTTGGGATGATGGAACTCCACTGGAGGAAACGCTGCGTGCCCTCAACGATCTGGTCGTGTGTGGTAAGGTGCGCTATGTTGGAGTCAGCAACGTGACCGGCTGGCAGTTTCAGAAGATAATTGACATGGGTCGCCAGCTGGGACTCAACCAGATCGTCAGCAATCAGGTTTTGTACTGTTGAACCAGCTATGCCTCAAATTATATAGCTGTATTAAAAGTATTTGTGCAATTGTGAAGGAATCCTGTAGAAATAGCACAATTTTTGTGGCCAACTGCTACTTGATGACAGTTACAGAACTAAGTGTAACCCCTCTAATAATGGCACAGAAGAAAGTGTCCATAAGAATGGTCTCCCTATTTCAGGGGTCAATCAAATTCCATGTCCCGGGGGGAAAGAAAAGGTGTCCTTATTAGAGAGGTGTGAGGGGGGTTCCACTGTATTGTGCTATGTATTATGTATTATCGTAGGCCCAGTACAATCTGCTGTGTCGTTCCACTGAGTGGGAGATAATGGAGGTCTGCAAGAGAGAGGGCGTGGCTTGCCTTCCCTGGAGCCCCCTGAAAGGGTACTGTACCATTATAATACACACACACAGTGTGCCAGTGGCAGTTGTGTCACTGGGGTGCACAGCGCATGTCGAATACATGATAATAATAGTCACCACAGGTGCAACTGTGAAAGGCCAGAATTGTGACCCCAGCCCTTGGTATACATACGTATGTAGCTCAGTGGTAGACCACTCGTCTAGAGAACAGAGTGTCGTGGGTTCGAGTCACACCTAGGGCAGCTCTTTTTGCCTCGGAGTTGTCCTAGATGTAGTTGAATTGCACTCGCCCTGCATTTTCACCCCGTGGTTCATCATCCTCCTCCATCCACATGCAGTGGTCTACTGACAGGTAAGTTCCAGAGAGACAGGGAGATATCGGAGGACCCAGAGAGCTCTCGCGTGGCGTGGGTTGAAGCGGACAAATCTCGCTCCAACCAGTCCCACCCCAGTCTCCAGCAGTGGGCCGATAGAGAGATGTTCTGGGGACTGACGGACACACTGGGAGACATTGCTGTTGCTCACGGTAATTGAAACCTCTGACACCTTTCCCCCCCCCAAAAAATGCAGTTCCTGCATGCAGAGTCCGTAAGGACACCTCACTAATACGGACAATTTCTTCTGTCCCATTGTGTCTGGATTAGCAAAGTTCCACTGTGTAACGAGCCTAGACTCAGTTTGATCTATTCTCATTCTGCAGAGGCCTCGGTGGCACAAGTGGCCATCGCATGGTTGCTGCACAAGCCGACGGTCGCGTCAGTCGTGATAGGAGCCAGAAATGCCGCACAGCTAAATGACAATCTCCAGGCTGCCAATCTTAGACTCTCTCAAGACGAGGTATATATATAAAGTGCTGATGTTTCTGGTTTTTTTTAAATTTGCTGTTTGAATTCTCTCTGTATATAAACCTTGCTCTTGTTAACTACAACCTCATCCATTCAAGAACCACAAAAACTAGCTGTGATACACATACATTTTACCTAATCAAACATCAACAACCATGATCTTAGTTATCATCATTTTGCTACCAAAAATTGTGATTTTTAGTCATTGTATGTTGAGGTGTGAACGCAACTTTTACACTTGAATAAAGACATCATTTACTCTTTCTATTATACTAATGCTGTATATGTAGTTGGATCTTCTTGACAAGAAGAGTGAGATAGAGCTGCCCTATCCATACGAGATGGTATTCAGAATGCAGAGAGGGCGAGAGAGAGACACGTAGACTCTACAGTTAGTACCGCACAACAATGTGCATAAAACTACAGCTATCTAGCAACAAAATTATAGCTCAGTTTTTCAGCTCCCTTTTCAGTTTCGTATTATTATTCTGCAGTGATCTCTTTTTGCAGGAATCGAAAAATCTGTTGCTCAAAGTGAAGTATTTTAGATCATGAAATGCACGGGAAAATAATCGACTGTTTAAACAAAGCAACACAATGTGCACTTTCAAAAGTAAAATCCTCTGACAGAATAAAATGATTGCAGTGTTCCAAACTGTGACAGGTGTACGTGACGGTATGAAACGATAATTGACGTGGTGGGTATAATCATAGCCTGCTAGAGGGAACAATGTATTATGTATGTACAAACCCTCTGGTATTATAATAATTATTATAACTGATCACAGTGATAAAACAAACGTGGTGATTACTGGTTCTTGCATCAGTGGCGCAAAGTATTGGGTCGTGCTGTGCTGATTCACGTCAGGAGAGATGGAAACAGTCTTTCCCTTCTCTCAGAGCAAAACCAAGCTTCTCTCTCATCACTTCGACCGTGGAGTAGTTGGGCAACTTGAGGTAGTTGACACACGTCATGACAGAGGGAAGGAAGTCGTCCGCGTTCTGTGGTGACTCGACCGTCTTTCGGACTATCGTCAGTGGAGGGTTGAGTGCCTTGAAACCTGGGTGGTGGAGGGGCGGGGATTAATTGGGGTTAGAGGAAGGGTTAGGGAATCAGGGAATGTGGGTCATGGAATGCTCGAGCTGTGATCTAAAGCACTATTATACTAGGACCATTATTTCACCTCCTACTGGCAGTCTCGGGGCTCCCGGTCACAAACTGGATGAACTGGCGCTGCTCGAGGGTGTCGTACGTGCTGAGTACCTCAAACAGGTTCTGGACAGTGGCACTGTCGTGGGAGTACCCGTGATCTGGTCTGCAGCAATCCATCAGCTCTGTGGACCACGTCACACCACATGGGCTCTCGTGTACATATAATCATACGGTATCAGTATTGTTTACCTTTGACGTCCCATTTCTGGTGGTTTGCACCGCACAGCAACATGTCCATCTGAAAGGTGTGTGTCATCATTGGTGTAGTTGATATGTGTGTTTATACCCCATGACTCGTGCATTGTGGAGAATTGAACTTTACCGCAGTCACCAGCGAATACAATAAAGTGGTGTGTGTACATGTGGGCCCACCTCAGAGGGGTAGAAGGTGTGTAGACTGGAGAGAGGAAGGACAGAGGCCACTCCCTCCTTGAAGGCCTCCACCTGTCTCGCCACTCCCCTCACCAACGTCCAATCTACCACCAGCTGCGAATCAAACCAACAGCCCAACAAATGAAACACGAGCCACTGTTTTCAAACACATAAACCAATGGCTGCTGCCTCTTGGGACACTACAACACATGCAACTCAGTTAAATATGTACGTTTGGTAAAACTTAAAACTCGCAAACAATGGTGAGCATAAGGTAGAGTCGGGTTACTTCACCATCATTACCTTGAGATACTCGTCGAGATTGTGGATATTGACAGCCACGTCTTTCCCTCCTGGCTATATATAGAGCACACAAAACACCAATACATCACACCAGTATTACATAATGTGTTGCTATTTTTATACCTTTAGCTCTATATCGGGGTATCCTGGGAGGGTGAAGTCGAGGTCCAGATCGTCAATGGAACCTCCTCCGTCCAGTGAGAGGGCCTCAATTCCCATCGAGAGAGCCTTGTCACTCTGACATGCACAGCCAAAGAGACATAGTGTTAAGTGTTTGTGTGTAGGCAAATAGTGCAACATAGCCTAAAACCTTGGACTACAGCAGTTGGTTATATTGACTCACAAGAAGAGGGTCGCTCTCCAGCTTGTGTTTGTTGACTGCCACTGCTGCCAGTTGAGCAAACGAGCGAGCCACCACTGGATCAACATGCTGCAGGAGAGACCACACCTCTAGCTACCACGAAACTATTGTTTTTGTGCACACCACAGGAGTTCTGCTAAAAGGTTTAGGCCCACAATTTCGATGCGGGTATTTGCAATGCACTTTCCTGCTACTGTATATTCTAGGTATTGAGGATGGTTAGTTGGCCTGCCTTTCTCACCTTGCTAAAAGTACAAAAAGTAAGGGCCCATTTTTCGCGGACAGTATTATTTGCACTGCACTCTACAGCTATAATCAAGATATACACAGGAGTTGATTGGCCTGTCCTTGCCCCCACGTTCTTGCTAAAAGTACGAAAATTTAGGCCTAGTTTTCCACCCTAGTTAATCATTACACATATACATGGACACTCTACAGGATTGTATGGTACCTGAAGGTCCTGTGCTGTGAACATTCCTTGTTGCCCCAACATCCACTTATAGAATGCATCACTCAATGGTACGTCCAGCTGTGGTGGGGGAGGGGGGGTGGGGTACCACAGAGGACCACCGGCCGACAAAACCTACCATTCTTGAGTCCATTACGGCCTTGGCGATGAATTTTCCGAGGAACTTGAACTTGGAGCAGATTTCCTCGACTTTGGGGTAGCTGGCCGAGGGCCCGAGAGGACTTGGGAAGAGGCCTACTGGACTGTGGACGTAAGAGGTGTACTGGCAGCTCCTGGTTGGAGGGAGGGGAGGGGGGGAGAAGGAACATTTATAAAGAGCAAAGCCCCGTGCCCGTGTTCATAAGCAAAACGGTTCACTTAAACTCCAGGGTAGGATTTGATTAAGAAGGGCAAGTGCACCTCCCCAAAGGATAGGGATGACGCAGTGTAATAGAAAAAAGGATTGAGGAAGAACGATTTTTGAGCCTCCATAAAAGTTTTATCTGACCCCATTTGTGGGGTTGATGATAATTATATGGATTATAATTATACCCATATGTACATTAGAGTGTATAGATAACACATGTACCAGGTGGGTCTCCTGGGAGTGGCGGGCACAGTTCCCCTCTCCACATGGACAGATCAGCCCTCTGAAACTCCCGTGACATGAGCGTGTAGAACTCCAGTGTGGGGCCCAGACCGGTACCAACCTGGGACGGCACATGACAACTGTCACATTCCCATACAGCAAAACCTCCAAAAAAGGACCCTCCAAATAAAAGATACCTCTCCATAAAGGACAGTTTAGGTTCTGCCTCTACTAAAACTAGCAACACATGAGCGAAGAGAGCAGTCGCGCTTATTTAGAATCACGTAGAACATTATGGTACAAGTTGGGAATACAGCTCCACTCTACCTGCTAGTTGGGAATACAGCTCTACTCTACCTGCTAGTTGGGAATACAGCTCCACTCTACCTGCTAGTTGGGAATACAGCTCTACTCTACCTGCTAGTTGGGAATACAGCTCTACTCTACCTGCTAGTTGGGAATACAGCTCCACTCTACCTGCTAGTTGGGAATACAGCTCTACTCTACCTGCTAGTTGGGAATACAGCTCTACTCTACCTGCTAGTTGGCAGAGGTTTAATTGTACCGCCATACCTCGTCCTCGTAGTGTATCTCTAGCATGGCTCGATTGCTGGCCAGTTCGTTGATGATCTTCTCCCCCTGCTCCAGGAGACTCGCCCTCGCCACACACCTCTTCTTCTTGCTGAACTTTGGCGACACCGTCTGGGAGGAAGACTCTGCCGTCGTCAGCTCTGGACGCTGCTCCTGCCGGGAGTCAAAGGGTTAAACGTCACACCAAGGAGTACAACATACAACAGGTTTTAATGGTTCAACGCATCAAGTGGACTGGTGCTAACGTTACGTGTATATACCTGCAGTCTGGCAATAGCTCGGTCGCGGTCAAAAGTGGTGATGTAGAACAACGTCTGACGGCACTCAAACGGGAACAGGAATGGACTGGGGAAACAGTAATGAATCTAATTATAGCTAACCACAAGCGTTGGGGGTGAGTTAGCCGACTCACAAGTGTTTGGCGAGGTCCTTCAGCCAGGGAGGGAAGCTACCAGTCATTACGTTGAGAGGATCTGTGAGTAAACACATGACGTACAGTGGATCATACAAAAGGACACACTCGGACCTCGCCCTTCGTACAGAGGTGTTTCCCTTATTCAGAGGTTAGATAATACACTAAGTATTAGCAGCGGATAATACAATAGACAAGCGGAGAGTCCATGATACTAGTCCATTCAAGAAACTCATGAGTCAGTGTATATACATTATAAACAGAAAGACCCAGTAGTAAAGCGTACACGTGTGTATATATACCTTGCATCTGTCTGTTGGCCTTGGAGGTTAGTTTGCTGTTCACAAACTCAGACATTGGCACAACGGGATTCCCAGCCACTCCCTAAAGATGTGTATATATTCCAGAAGATTGGTTAGTATATATATTGTACTAGCTACTAGCGCACTCACACTACTTTACTTGGGGCATTTCTGCAGCCAAAGGATGGCCTTTGAAACGAGGAAGTCATATCTTTCAAAAGAGACGGCATTTGCGAATATCGATGTGTGAAGTTCACAATTTTATCGTTTCTACGGCATGAAAAGCACTCTGGCAAGTTTTCTCTATGAAATTTGCAACTGACGTCCAAACATTCTCTCCGTCGTGAGTATAATACATTGGTGCTGCCCAATAGAGTACTATGTAGGTGTGGACAACATGTAGTAGTTGACCTGGTATAAGTCTGTCCAGTGGTTGTTGATGGAGTAGAGGATCTTGAGTAGTCTCAGGAGAGGGAGAGATGGGTCCTCAGACGACAGAGACAGCTCCGTGCTCTGCTTCAAGGCTTGGTGGAGCGGAGACAGACCACCTGAGTGGAGGGAAGAGAGATGACATCATTGCACACTGAGCTAAGAGAAGGCCGTGCAAGACAAAAGAAAACCCGTTCTCAGGAGTATCGGCACTAATAATAGGGGCAATAAGTGTCCCTGTACATCTTTTAACTTTCCTGCCACCTTAAACTGTAATACCGTCATGAAAAAGTGCTCCCCTAGGTGGGATTTGAACCCACGACACTCTGCTCTCTCGAAGTGCTCTTCCTTATTACAAGCTGTAAGTATCACTCTAACCTCCGTATCGCCTCTGCTTCTCTTTCGAGGCAGGCCCGACGGAGGGCGACTTTTTGCTGGCGACTCTCTCGGGGGACTTGGTGGTGGGAGGTGGGTTTGGTGCTGGCGGTGCCTTGGTGGGGAGTGGAGGGGTGGGGAGGGAGGGAGAGCGGAAGGGACGAAGGGGAGGAGAGGGCTGGGCGCCACTCCCAGACTTGTCTCGACTGGAGGAGCGAGTCACTCGGGGGAAGAGAGTGGGGACGGAGAGAGGGGTCTTTGCTGAGGAGGTTCTCTTACGACCACTGCCACTACTTGAGCTCTTCTTTGGAGCTGGGGATGAAATAATACACACACACAGCAATATCTGAGAAGCTTGCAACGTAATGTATGTATATACAACAGGAGACAAACTTCATATATATATTGCATGATAAACGAAACTTTCCCCAAATGCAGCGAAAATTGTAAAAAAGGCACAAATTTGGCAAAGTTCAATGGCAAACTACAGCACCAAAGGTTGGTGGTATACCAGGTGAGGCGGAGGCAGTAGAGGTGGCCAGATGAGTGGAGGAGGGGAGAGAGGTGGACATCACTTTACTGCTCCCAGCCCCTGGCGGTGGCACCACTGGACGATAGCTATACAATACAGAAGTCAAAACCAAGGCCATGATATATGTACAATGATGCATCTTGTTGCGTGAGGCACGGTTGTATGCAACTTCAAATGTATGGGTATAATGGGTCCACACAATAATTACGCAACCTGGTGCATGATCTGACATGGCCCCTCAGACGGTGGCTATACAACAATAAGAATAAGTTTGCTCGTTGTGTTGTGCATGTGTTAAGGCTACGCAACTTGTTGTTGAGAAAGTTGCATGTTGGATTGTGTACCATCGCCCAAGAATAAGTTTTCTTGTGTGTGTTTGTGTGTGAAACGTACTGAATGGTGTGAGTTCTGATCCATATTTCTGGTCTTCCCAGTGGCATTGCCTCGTCTTCAAATTCCTGTGCCTGAGACTGAGCCAGGGAGGAGAGGGAGAGAGAGATCATCTCATTGTTCTGAAGGTGGGTTCGCATTACTGATGCTTGCATGCACTTTTTTGCAATTTTGTGTTTCCCCAAATGAAAGGGTTAAAATTTTGTGTTTCCCCAAAAGAAAAGGGTTCCAAATTTGGTATCCTGTATGTTTCTGCTATACTAGCTAATGAAGTGATGCAACAATACACAGGATATAGAAATGACGTCAATTTATAGTTTTCGATCACACAAGTGCAGTGTCAATGTTGTGAACGTTTCATACACTCACCACTGCAAATTGTCTCACGGCTTGAAAGATAGTCATATTGTAGGGCACGACTTGATCGCTGATGAGGAACTCCAAATAATGCCTACCCCAACAGACACACAGACAGTGTATAATCATACATATACTTGCAATCAAAATACAGCTATATAATGTATATACAACATACGTACCTGTCAGTGGTAGGCATATGGGCAACAATCTGAAGAAAAATAAATAAATTGTAAGCTCATGTTTTCATGAAAGTATAATACACTTATAAAACGTACCATGTTCTCCTCTACCTCGTCACCAAACCTGTGAGAAAAACAGGGGTGAATAAAAACCAGACACACACACACGGGGTAGCAGACTCACTCGATATCCTCCAACCTCTTCGCTGCCTGTTGGAAACAGTGATAGATAATCTCGTTATCAGTAATGGTGCATTCCCACACATTAATTGTACATACATAATAGTCCACTTTGACAAAGGGCATGTACTGACCTGGTCAGACATCCCGATTCCTCTGACCACCAAGTATCTCTCCAGAGTCTGGAGGGTGGCCAGGGGGTCGATTCTGAGGGGGCCCCCCTTCCAATTACTGACCGACGAGGGGGCCGTGGAGTGTTTCTCAAGAGAGCACTAGCGATGGAGAAAACCAGTCGTCAAGTATTGTGCACACAATACACATTTTTCACAGAAAAACCGTGGAACAACTTCTTCCTCTCCCTGCTAACTGCATTTTACTTGCATTTTTACTTGTGTATTCAGACTGTATGTTCTACACATGCTGTAATTTTCACCATTTTCATGGGTACTGTAAAAAAAACTCTGGAAAATGTATTGTGGAGCAGTGCATACCTTGATCTGATGCGAGTTGAAGAATTTCAGAGCTTGAGAACCTCTGTAAGAGGAGGAGAAGGACAGAATGAAGAGAGAGAGAGAGAGAGAGAGAGAGAGCGAGAGGGAAACGAGGCCACACCTTCTTCCCGGCATGTCGTTGACTCTCACGGAGAACTGCTCCAGTTGACCGACACAGCCGTGCAACTTCTGGAGTAGTGGGACTAGACCGATGTGAGTGGGAGGGGTCTGGGGGAGGGGAGGAGGGGGGGGACAGAGCTCATTACACCGAACTTGAATAGCATGAGATCTGGAGGGAGAGCCGTTTGGGGCTTTCAACATTTACATACATATGATTCAAAAACACTTCCAAGTCATATACAAGTAACACAACAAGCACACTACATGTTAGGGAGTTTATCGAGCGGACTTACCCAGTTTGCAAGAGAGGTGTCTTGCTCCTAACAAAAAGAAACCAAATACACATGAATCATATGCAAGTTTATATACATACATATATACAATAGGCACCATTTACAATAAGTGTACTATCATTTGTACGTCAGAGAATCAGGTAAGTAGTATAACACGTTAGTTTGTACATCTCACTGGTATTCCGATGAAGACGTGTACAAAGGCCTTGAGTCGTGAATTGAGTGCCACCACACTCTCCGGTGTCTCGACCGTCAGGAAACTGCACAGCAACAGTAATGCAACAGATCTACATAGTACGTGTGTGACTCACTACGGGAATGGTACTTTCCCGCGCGAAAAATACAATTTCGGATATTGGTCGAATGTGCACCACATGGTTCATACATAGGCGAAAACCGCACCTACATACATACAGTATGTAGCTGCTTCTGTTCAAACGCTATACAGACAAAATTGGTTTTTCTGCCTCTCTACACACACACACACACTCTCCCACTATCAGTAGTTTCGCCATTCCGAGCGCGTTATTTCGAGATGTGTACTGGAGGCGGAATTTTGATCACTGACCTGGTGAGACTGGGAACGAGGCCGGAGTGCATGATCTCAAACGATGATATGTTGGTCTCTGCGTCCAGGAGAATGGAGCTGACAGTCTGTCAGGGACACACATGACATTGTACACAATAAATCAACCAGACACTCGGCTTTTGGAGCTAGGCAAGGTTCACAATATGTCTCCCATTGGCCCGTCACGATGATAGACTCCTCCGCGGCAGGACGCGACGGGGCAATGCGTCATGTTGTGAACCTAGCCTAATGTTGTCAAAACTGTTATTGCAAACTGTCAGCTGGCGATACAACTACGGCACGTTAAAACAAAAACATGTTCGCACTATCCTAAGTCACACAAAGTTTTGAGTCACGAAAGTTTTTTGTAGTGCACACAAACAGACCTTGAGTGAGTCGAGGTAGTCAGAGGAAGAGAGACTCAGTCTCTCCACACTGGTTGTGAGCCTCCTCACGGCGTCCAGGGCGGGGTGGGTCTGGTCTGGGGGGACCCACTTCTCTAGGAACGACTCCAACTGGCAGTGGATCCAGGTATTCACCTTCTCTTTCACCGACCCTCCACTACCGCTGCTGCTTCCGGCAAAACCTGCTCCTGAGGTGAGAGGGTTAGGGATGACGTAGGGAATAGAATACCTCCACACCTTCCGTTTCGTGCAATTTTACTACAAGTTGCATGAGTTTTTGCAAGTTTTTGCGCATGTGCAGGTTGCATGAAGAAATGGCATGTGTCATAAACAAGGTGGCAAACGAGGTATGTAGCAAGGCAATCTTCAACACAACTGCTGAATAGTAGAAAAACACAATTCCACATGTGCATTTCCATGTGTCGTGTAGATCCACTCACTTGCTCACATATTACACATACCGTACATACGCATATGTATACCTGGGCTGTTGGATGAGGTTCCCTCATTGGTGGAGAATTTCGACCCCTGGGGGGCAGGTGGGGTGGCTAGGGGGTGGTGGTCCGTGGTGGAAGAGAGAGAGAAACGAGGAGGAACGAGGGGGGATCGGTTTTGGAGGGGTAGAGGTGGGGGGGTTCCAGGGGAACCTTTGGAGTGAGGGGAACATGGGGCGAGGGGTGTTCGTCTTCACTCCTTGCTCTGGTGAGGGAACGACGGAAGTGACGTTTTCCCCTCCTAAGGATGTCTGAGAGTCTCCTAGCATTCGGGAAGATAAAAAGTGAAACGTGAAAAATGTAAAATGTAAGGGCATGATGCTGTGTCATCCCAATACTACCGTACTTAGTGATAGTGGGAGAGTGTGTGTGTTAGTGAGAGAGAGGCAGAAAAATTCTATTCCAAATTGCTGCTACGGTACTCTTAAAATGAGGACACCTCTCCAAAAGAGACACTCCTTGATGGATTTTAACCCCTGAAATAAGGAAGCCTAGATAAGGACACTTTATCCTGTCCCATTGGTGGCCCAGTTCACACATACCCTGCCCTCATGCATGAGAGGAAAAGGTCTGGTGACCACCAGACTACATGTACTACATTTATGTAGTATAGTTTACCCCTGCTGGATATGGATATGATCTGGGGTGAGACTAACTTTCTAGTGGATGAGTAGGAGGAGCCGGGAGGTGTGGCCGAAGCAAGCCCCGCCCCCACGGCGACAGACGAGAGTCCTCTTCCTCCGCGGGGAGGGGGCAGGGAGGGTGGTCCGGGGGGAGCCGGGTCACCCGGACTCCTCCCCGTGTCCTTGCGAGGGGTGGGGAGGAGCCTGAGTGGGGAGTCTCTCAGTGCCCGCACCTCATGGACAACTCCCTCGCGGTGGAACAGGACGAGAAAGATGCTGGGGAGTTTCTCCATGAGTATGTGGGCCATCTGGACCCCGCCCACTATGGTGTGAGAGTCCTTAGACTTGAGCATGGTGGCAATGTGACTAACGGAGAGACAGACAGACAGACAGACAGACAGGGAGACAGTTATAACTCACATACAATGAGTGAAGCTAGGGTGCCTTGTTGACTGAGTGAATCACAAGACTTTATATGGGCTATAATAATATAGTACCTTGACACTGGGATATCTCTTAGAATGTCCTCCAATACTTCAGAGCTACATACATACAGAGAACACACAGAGAGAGTTGTCAGTAATGGACGGAGGAAGAGTGGATTTGGCTCACTCTGAATGGTAGAGTACGCGAAGGATTGTCTTCAGGCACTTGTTGTGGACCGAGGAACCAGCCTGTAGCACACAATACATACATTGTTGAATCTGTATATATACCCATTTGCTTTTCCGTGAAGATAACGTGTGATGTTTTACGAAGTTCTTAAACATACACCTGCTACGAAAATCTGTCGCGAAAACTCCCACTATAATCGTTAACCTCTTAATAAAGGACACCTCAGTATAAAGGACTGCTTCCATCTAAAGGGCAGTTTCCAGGTGTTCTGTATGCACGCAGGAAAGAACCAATTGAAGAGCTACGTATGTACATACTGTACTAATGAACTGTGGCAAGAGCTGTATGTACCGTACTATTGTGTATGTGCATTGTCATACCATAGAGTTGAAGAGTTCATAGAGTACTGCAAACAGAGCCTTCACAAAGGAACTGCCCAGGGCTGGGTCAGAATTCAGAGCCACTGCCCTTGCATCCTGCAACGATAAAAGTTGTGACAAAAAGGCTCAGATTTGACCGCATGGCTAACTGTGTCCACGGTAGACTGTTGTTCAGTGGTTGACTTTGCTCTGTCTAGAATCTTTCTCCTGACTGATCGAGTGGTACCTGTGTCTTCGTTGATCTGTGTGTGTCAGAATGAGTGAATGGACAATTAGAGGGGGACACTTAGAGAGGGCAATTAGAGGGGGGCAATTAGAGGGAGGAAGGAAGGGAGCGAGGAGAGAAGAGAGAGAGAGGCAGAGGGAGAAGAGAGAGGAGGGAGGGAGGAGGGGAGAGAGATCTCGAATAATATACATCTTTAAAGAGATCAAAATGTTGTCTGCATGTCTAGAAAGCAGTACCAATACCTGTTGCATGGTCCCAAGGTCGATGGTGTAGTCCCTTCCCATTACTGATATGTTACACTCTTCCTCGTGAGCCAAGTGGGCCATCTAACACAATAATCACATCACATATCATAATACACACACACTTCCTTTATTAATGCATTTTTACTGCCAGAATTCACAATCGTACACACATACGTACATATTCAGAAGTAATGTTGTATGCACAGGGTTAAGCAAACAGTGCAAGGGTTAAGGTAACGCATGCACCCGGAGTGTAAGTACAACTATTTTCATGGCATGGCAGGTTGTGTGTGTATACCTCAATGTTGCGATTGTCAAGACTGTTGTAGGCTCTCCAGCTTCCTTCGTTCTCCTGCCACTCCCACTGGACCTGGAATTATGGCAGAATGAGACATGGGAGAATGGGAGTGTGGACATGGCAGAATGAGACATGGGAGAATGGGGATATGGACATGGGAGAATGGGAATCAGCTCACCACAGATGGTGCATGTTTCTTGGTGCTGATGATTGCCTCGATCTCAAATATACCTTCAGAGAGAGTAAAACCAAAAGTGCACAGCACCAAGTTGTTCGTAATGCATACTTTTACAAGGTCCTGAACTAATAATCAGGACGTCCTGGAATAATGGTACAATGTCCTGAAATAAGAATGTCCTAAACTCAACTCACCGTCCCTGGGCAGTGGTGGCATAAGATGACCTGTCAGTGAGAGAATCTCGTACACTTCATTAGGAGAACGACTCATCAGCTGAACCAAGAGAAAGACCACACATGGTGTGTTCAATTACCTCTATAATTGCAGGGGCAGAGTCATTAACCCTACCTCAATGTTGTCCAGAGTAATCTCTCCAGAGCCGGCAAGAAGGTAGCGCAGTGTGTCAGCTATATCTGTATACAATACGTATATAGCTGAACATTGCATGCTGCATACAGTTGTGAGTCTCTTTGAATAAGATCATGTGTACACAGACTTTTGCATGCAGTGTACATATAATTATATACACAAGACATCGTTTGAGTAAGAAAACCTTATGTACGTAAGACTGTATTGTATGTATGTTCATTTGTGGTGTAAAGGTAGTTGTTTTCCGTACTGATTGTGAGTAGTTCCACAGCCAGTGGAGGGCAGGCTGAGCAGAGAGTGGACAGCATTCGGAGGACAGTCACAAATGTACCGGAACTGATGGCTGGTGGAGACACTACCAGCTGTATATAGGGCAAGAAGAGGGGAGAGAGGTACAGGTACACAACATGTCTACAAGTGAGCGGGTGCAGGTAAGTCAACGCCATATAGCGTGGAGAGACCAGCTGTGTGTTAGGTCAAGTTAGAATCCTCACAGAAGCTCGTTTTACTGGTCTATATGTACATGCCCTGCGTCGTTAGTACATCCTAGAGCTTTGAGCAGCGTGCCAGAGCTAACTACCACAGCTATGTATGTAAAATTCAGATGGCAGGAAGGTAATAATGTACAGAAATTGCCATCTTCCCTAGGTCAACAACTACATATGTAACATGCTAAGGACTTGAAAACAGACTGACCAGTTGCTGCAGGTTCTGGAGTAGGGCTGTGGTCACAATCTGTCTGAGGATGGTCTGGTTTGAGCTGAAACTCTCCACCACTCTCGAGAAACACTGACAACAGCTCTCCACCGACTTCTTGTCCTGAAACAAAACACCATTACATAGACTACTCGATCCTGTTTGAATGGGGAAAGAAACTTGCCATTCAGTTACCAAATACACATGAAGCTAAAAGATAGTCTTAGTCTTTCTTGAATGGGGTCAACCCAACATGTTGCGTGCCATACAGATCTACAGTTTATTGTTGTATGAGACTGCATGAGACTTTCTTGGGAAGGAGTAGACCACAAACTAGTTCAGGCACACACTACAACTAGTTGTTAACTGTATGCACCTGTTCCCCACTTCTTTCTCCCTCCCTCCCTCTCTCCCTCCCTCTGGCCTACCTGATGTTGTAGTCTGGCAGTGAGGATGGGTACAGAGTCAACCACTAGAGGGAAGTCCTCCTCTGCCAGGGAGTAGCAGCAGTTGGCAGTCACAGACAGAGCTCTCCTCTGGTGTATGTACGTGTGTGTGTGTCAATATAGTATACAAAGAAACCCTGACTTAGGACAACTTGGGGATATTAGAAAACGTCCTCCATTGGGAGGTGTCCCTTACTCAGAGGTATATACACACTAATTTACAAGTGTGGGGTGTGGGGCAAAACAGTGTCCTCCACACACATATCCCAGGCACCCATCACAGACACATTAGCATTTCAATGTTGTAAAAGTATCTGTGAATGTTGAAATTGTACCACTATATCACCTCTGTACCTGAGTAGTGAGAGAGAAGAAGTCCAGATAGGCCAGGGAAGCATTCAGCCCTCCCTGAGATTATGACACACACACACACACACACACACACACACACACACACACACAGTCAGAGAGACATTGGTCAATAATGTAAAGTAAAAGCTATCACGGTGAGATAAGTTGAAGTTGCACTCTTTACTCACAGCTTGCAGGATGTCTTTCCCGTGTCTACGAGACAGTAGCTCCAGTGCCGAAAGAGCCTGCTCTGCGACGTCCATACACTGTATGACCTGCAGCTTCTTCACCAGTAGAGGAATGGTCTTAGCCACCACCGCCGAGGATCTGGGCAGAGCGTCCATCATGTACGACAGAGCCCTGCAGGCCTGGACCATCTGTAGTAGCAAGTGTGGGGAGTAAACTATTATATGTATACAGTGGAGCCCCTCTAGTATGGACACAAATAGGACAGAAGACAGTGTGAAAGATGTCGTTATTTCAGGGGTTGAATCGCATGTACACAGAAACGTTCTTGGGGAAAGAGAGTGAAAGAGAGGTGTCCTTATAGAGAGTGGTTCCTCTGGGAACCAGGGAAAAGACAGTGAAAATGAAAGCAGAGCTACATACAAGTCAAATGTATGTATGTGTCAACAGTCAAGTAATGTATACATCATACCATGTCAAAGTTGTGTTCCAGAGACAGAAGGTTTGACTGTATGGGGGAAAAGGGAGCAAATAAGGTTATTACAGTACTTTATTCCTACAAACATTGACACCCAGTGATTGAGGCAATGTATGTATGTATATACACACCAGGATGGGGACGGCCTGTTTGACGGGGAATCCACCGAGGGTTTCCTCGTTGCCCATCACCAGGAGCTGCCCCACCTCGATGCAGGCCTGCAGCTGTGTGCTCTCGTCTCCTGACTCCATGTCTGTCAGCAGCTGGTGCGCCCTCGAGGCTGTGTGTGCGTGTGTGTTTGTGTGCACCCGTGTGTGTGTGTGTGTGTGTGTGTGGAGGGAGAGGGGTGTGTCGAATTTCGGTAATGAGGTACACATGAGAGCTGGCCTACAGTTTGATGAGCTCATGGAAGAGAAGGATTTGTGTAAGATGTACTGCATCTTGGAGCCCAGAGCACCCAGCAGGTGCGGAGGGAGACCTTGGGCCTCCAACATCGCTACAGAGAGAGTGGGAGAGAAAGAGGAACAGAAAAGGAGAGGCGGGGTGGGAGAAAGGGAGAGAATCAAGAATAGAAAAGTAGTGCAGAGAGGGGCAGAGAGAAAATAAAAAAGAGAGGTTGAACAGGGTGGTCAAAACTAGTTCTCACATTGCAGGCGATGGTTGTCTTCGCTCATGGAAGCCGCGAGAGTCGAGTCTGAGCTGCTGTTGCTGGCTCCATCTCCTCCCTCTTTCTTCCCTGCCTCTGTACCTTTCCCTCCACCTCCCTTCTCTCCCCCTCCTCCTGAACAAAAACACACACTCACACTTTACTCGCTATCTCTAACACCACAGAGTTGTACTCTTGGCCAGTTCATATGATATTGACGCAAGCTGTGCTCGATAAAACTAAAGAGTAGACTTCATTTCCGTTTTTAAAGTCTGTGTTTTTGTCACATGTAGGCTAGGGAAAGCATAGAAGTACTGGAAATTGATGCTAGAAAGGAAAACAGTATATAGCTTGTATCAATATAAACCTGCCATAGGAGTATGCATTGAGGTTACCTGAAGCTGTAGCTTTGTCACTGGATCTGCTGTCGTGTGGGGACAGACAAAAAACACATGATAACATGTCCAGTAGAAATAAGGGAGGGGCTTACGCGTCAGACATGCCGAGAGTCCCAAACTCAATGAATGATGGAATTGAGATTCTTGTTGATCCTGATGATTGCCTATAATAGGCAAAACAAAGGATACGAGGTTAGCAAAACCATGGTAAGGTAGAAACACAAAGAAACTAAAATGTAATTGCACTCGCGAATCTTCCTTCGTGAAAATGTAACCAACTCGTGAAATTCTCTTGTGACGACACATTTTTGTCACAGGTAGCCAATCTGGCTAACATACTCAAACACAACTGAGTGGCGGGCCAAGCATACCTCAAGCCATTTACATACATACACACACCTGATGGCAAACATGTGTGGCCTACAGGAGAGGGGAGTGCCAAATCTGTGGCCCAGTGTGGTGGGCAGCGGTGTCTAATCCTACATTGTGATCTTGTCAGGGAGTGGGCCTATGACAGATAACCCCATTCAGACACCAACAGCCACGAGAGGACCAATTATTTACATAGTCTACTAGAACAGTTAGCATTTACGGACCTCTATGCAAGCATGCGTGGGTAGTTAGTGGACTTGTTTGTTGTGCCTTGCCTTTCTACTTCGTAGTTGACACAATGCATCACAGTGTGTCAATGTAAGGCAAGTGCAATTCACTTTTTCAAAAGAAGTAGCATACATACCTTGGTATTTCTGTTCTGGCTCTCCCTTTGCCTTTCACCGATCTTGCAGACTTGCCCTTCTGAGGTTCACAGATGACCGATTTACCCGTCACCCTTCGTCCGTGCCGATCAAACTCTCCTTCTGCTACAACTGACTCCTTTCCCGCGTCCTTCCCTGCCTCCTTTCTACGTGTGAATCTCTTTGCCTGTCCTTCGACAGATTCCCCAATTGGAACTGTGGGAACCTTTCTCGACTTTTCCCTCCTCTTGCCTTTGTTGGTGGTACCAGGTAAAGAGGCACCGCTGTCTTTAGCTGAGACTTGACTAGTTGTGTTGGCTACAGGCGAGTGAATCTCGCCGGTTTCTGTCTTCTCGACCTTGCTACCAGCGGTTTGCTGATTCTTTGCACAACTGCTGCCACTTGCGGCTGTGGGAGCAGACTTGTTACTTCTGTTAGTACGCTGTCGCTTCGCCGGATTTTTATGTTTCGGATCACCTCCTGTACCACTAATTGTAGGGGTGTCCCGTTCGGCCGATTGCAGACGATCCGACACAGCGCTGTTTCTCGAAGACCTGCGAAGTGGAGGGGCCGGAGATGAACACTCCTTGGTTTTGGAGTGGGTAGTGCTAGGTTTGTACCGCGGTGAGTTCGAACGCTTTCTCTTTCTAGAGCTACCAACTCTCGCCTTGGGTGCTTTACCCTGGGTCCTAGTATCACTTTTTGACTCAGAGGAAGATTTGGACACTTCCTCTATTGAGGCACTACTGGATGATGATGGAGTCTCTCTCGATTTTTTCCCGCCACCTGACCGAGAAGTGCTGGATTCGGCAGAACCAGACGAGGAGCCCCTTTTATTACGAGCTTCTTCCGCGGCAGCAGCAGCGGCTTTGGCCTTCTCTTCGTCGGCGATTCTCAGCTGTCGGGCGATGAGTCTGGCCGATTTCCGTAGAGGAACAGTTGTAACAACAGGGAGAGTTTTAGGTCTGAGAGGGAAGGGGAATAAACATGTTTGAGTGTGGGTGTGGTATAACTACTTTCAACAATATTGTCAGAACACAGGGTTATCAACTCCCAATGTTTGCATAGCTACGTACGTACATGCAGCTACACTTGTGTACGTGTGTGTGTGTGTGTGTGTTTGGTTCGGATTCTGTATAGGTTTGTAGATATTAGGGAACAAATTGTCGCTACTCATGGGGGTTTGGAGTGATGATTACAGACCCAAATGCACACAATGAAAGGCGTATATTGGCTAATCTCCCTAGCACTACCACAAGCTACACACACAACATTCATCAAAGATATACACATTATACACAACACATAATGTATGTGCGGTATAATATACCTCTTTGTATATTGTCCACTGGACTGTGTGGCTGTGGGCTTACGCTTCCTCCGAGTATTCCTAGAGAGAGAGGACTATATATAGTGATATCGAAGTACTGCCACATGATCCTATTTCGGACGCCTAAAACACAAACTCTCTCCCATGTCCTTTCGGATACCAACATGCTCCGTTACGCACGTAGAGGACGTACAGCGCGGTGCGTATCGTGCGGACGGAGAACGATGTGATAGAGGAGACGGTGAGCGCCTGCCACGGGTTATGTCCGCCGATTCACCAGACTGCTTACCCGATCGACGGAGAGGACTCTCCCTCAGAAGAAGCAGAGCGGACAAGTTCCATTAGCCGGCCATACGACGGCTCAACACACCACCAATACGGCTATCGACCCTTGGCTCTCGGGGAACTGCGCACAGACCCCTTCTAGTCCCTCTTCTTCGATCGAGTGGTGTGTGGTGTGTGGGGGACAGCTGGGCCTTGGTTACGCAGCCGCTCAAACTTTTGCCGTTTCCACGTAAAATTTTTAGACAGGTAGGGGGGCGTGGTTTGTACTAAAGCGCATGCGCGTAACTGAGTAAACAAACAGCTGCTTTTGTGCCATATGGCTGCAATTTCGAGCAAGGCAAGCGACGAGATAATGCAGGAGGTATCGAGAAAGAAGCGGATCGCGGGATCCAAGAAGCTTTTCGAGCTGACGGGGCAGGCACCCTCGCCGTCCAAAGACTATCTGCAGGTTCTGGTGACGGAGGGGGGCGTGGTGCTGCGAAGGGTCCCCATAACGGTCCGAGGAGTGACCCAGGGAGCCGTGCCCGCCCCGTCGGAGAAAGTCCTGACGCTGGAAGAGTTTGCGGTGGACGCAGACTTCCAGGCAGAAGTTGGGAGAACCTTTGGAACCGAAGCACTGAAGCAGGTAACATGCAACCACCTAAAAAACACAGAAAAGTAGTGAAAATGCTTTTTGAGAGGCCAACACACACTTTCCTTTAAAAAATAAAAGCCCATTCCTCCGTGTCTCAGTTTTTGGAAATGGAAAAATGTGCCCTGAAAACGGTAAATTCGGAAAGCGAGGCTGTAGAATGTGTCAATAAGGTATAATTATAGCTATCTACTTCCTGAAGGTGAAAAGAGCTGCCAGTGGAAGGTGGGACGTGTTCCTGAGACTCGGTGAAGACTTGCTGATAGCCATTATGAGTCTACTGGACCTGCAATCCATAGCCCGGCTCTCTTGCGTCAACCAGCACCTCCGAGAAACCTGTAACTGCGACCGGCTCTGGGAACTGCTGTACAGAACCCACCAGGGTCACCCGAGCGAGGAGATTGGCTCTCTGGCGACGGAGCGTGGCTGGAAGACTGTGTTCTTCATGAACAAGCTTCAGCTGCAGAAAGAATTGTCGCGGAGACGTAGAGAGAAACCGGGGGACGTTGAGAGCCCAGCATCCGATTTTACATTTCTTACGGAGTCTTAGGAGAGAGTGGGGCTGTGATATTATTATATATACCATGTTCTATATAATTATGAGGCATAGGTGAATGAGACACCACGAAATCTGCTACCAAATATCACTTCATTACGTCATTATACCAGTATGATAATTAAAAAAACGCATGCAAAAAGCCACGCTCACTTTCACGCAATTATCACAGCTATTATAATATGAAAACTAATACACATTAAAGCAATGAGACATACATATAATTCACACATATATCCACATGGACATGGAATGACAATGATCAAGCATTTATTGTGGTTATGCAGTAAAATCATGCAGCATAACAAAAGAACGCTGTTGTGTCTGTGTGTGTTGTGCCACCAGTTGCAAGTCTGATGAGGGGAGAGCACCACATAAAGTCAACACCACATAATTAGTCAACACCACACTGTTCAGTGTCTCTTGTACACAATCAACTATCTGTACCGCTGCAGTCGAGAAAACAGAGAGAGAAAGAGGAGGGGGCAAGTTAGCACAAAGTTATATACACCTGGCAGGAGGACTCACTTTTCCATCCTTGTACAACCATGGCACAGTTGAAGTAATCTGCATTACACACACATACATACTCAGTCATTCACTGTATCGTGCTTATAATCTTTTTTCTCCAGTCATCCAACATGCAAGAGAGTCCAACTATATAGTACACTGCAAAGTGTCCTCTATAGAGAGCTCGAGGGTCCCTTTTCAGAGTACATTGGTGGATGGGTATATACAGCACACTAAGTACGTATGACTTACTGTAGATATAGGGGTACTGCTGTAGGTGACCGGAGTAAGTGGGACAGGGGGTGGAGTCAAAACCACTGGCACTGGGACTGCTGCTGTGGAGTGATGGAGGAAGAGAATAAATCACGAATAAAGAGGGAGGGAGAGAGAAAGAGAGAGAAACCAGAAGAAGGTAAAGCGATGAACGGGGAGCGAAAAGTGATAACATCCACCACGGTTGCTAGAATGTTGGAGGGCTCACTACATGCTCCCACTCACAAGGGTAGAGAGGGACCCCACAGCTAACTGGAGACGGGAGAGATGTCACGGGTCCCGGCATTGGGTATATCACAGGCGGATACACTGGAAAAACCGGTTGAGCTACCACGATCCCCTGGAAGGACAGAACCAAAACACCACGGTACACAAATCAACAAATGCTGACTCTACCACTACAATAAATGGATACCCACAACGCGAATTTTCGAGACCATTACTCAATTCAGCATAACAACCCGTAATCAGGTCCTGAGGGCACCGATGCAAGGAGGATAAGGATATTTCCCTGGTTGCAAGACAATGATGACAACAATATTTTCAGCAGTACATCATACAGCCAATATGTAAACTACACAGCACAGTGAGCTGGGCCCAGATGTGTGGTATGAGTCACACTCGAACCTCGGGATATTGATTGAGGCCAGATTTGCAATTATCTGGCACGCATCGTAAGTGATGGGATGAACCGCAGTTTGTGGTTACAATCACATCGCTATAGGAACAGAAGACATGACTGAAATTGATAACTGACACGCGCAAGACACCAGTGAAGAAACGGTGTGGCCGGTGGTAGTTTCGCCCGACGTTCCGACATAATCTGTCCCGGCTGTGACAGATGCTTTCTTAAAAGACCAGACTTAAAGCGCTCACCTTCCATAATAAACCTCCATCCACATTGTGGAAAAGTAAAACTGTTGTTCTTAGGATTAAGTTTAATATAATTATTATACCAACCAACCCAATTATTTATTCCACACGTAAAAAGCGAAAATTTGGAGATGCTGTATATACACCATCCAGACATAGAGAAAACTTGTTTTTCAGCAAACTCTCACTTTCTGGGCGACCACACAATGCAGGTTTTTGACAGATAATAACCCAGGGATGTGGATGTCACCTTTACCGATTCCCATCACACGGGTACATAAAAATCTGTGCTTAAAAGCACGATTCATTCATAACAATAACAGAACCCTCTTCCCTCTGAGGTTCAAAACTGGCTATTGGAAGAAAAAAAATACCTGTTGGACCATGGCAGGCACTGCACTGTGCTCCGATTGGGCCAGTATTCCGACTGAGGGGTGGAAATAGCGGCATTTCTCTCGCCAGCATCCTCCTCGAACAAAATCCCGACACACGGTGATGGTGGCGTCCAGGTTGAGTCGCACGTGAGGCTCTGAGGTCCATTTTTAAAAACATTTGTTGAGAGCTTTGCAAGGAAAGGATTTAGGTATGAGAGCAAATGAGTAGAGAGAGGAGAAAGAAAGGGGAGAGGAGAAGGAAGAGAGAAAGAGGAAGCAAAAGGGGGAGAAAGGAGAGGGAGGAGAACGAGGGAAAAAGAGAAGAGAGAAAGGAGAGCTGACCTGGGTGGATCATGTGGCACGCTGGATTGATACACTTCCCCTGAGCGAAATAAGGACAGACGTCCATTCGCTCAGCCCCCATTCCGTACGGGGTATTGGGAACGAGACTGGGAGGGGCGGCAGACATGACTCGACCATCGGGACTGTAGATGATGGGTCCCATCAGAGGCAAACTGGCCCCGAGCTGAAGGGAGGATATCTTTATTCTTCGACGCCCACACACAGGTATTATAGCAACATGTACATAGTTCAGAGTACGCAATCAATTATACCACATACTACTATATACACTCACATGAGGGTTAGTTGGTCCCATGTTGCCTTGGACCACATAGAGATTGGACATCATTGCTCCAAATTGCTTTCCCGCTGACACAAGTCGCTCCTTGATGTGAAGTGGCGGGTGAAAATAGCGACACTTCTCTCGGAAACATCTGTCCTGTAGAGGGACGAATAAGTGAGGTAGGTGTCTTGGGTTTCTTCATCAATGTGTACTATAGCTACTATACTCTGTGCCAGATAAAAGCGTGTAACCTTTAGGAAGTCGTAGCAACATGTAACACGTCCCTCTTTCACGTAGATCCCAGGGTCGGGGTGAGCGTAGCGACACTCGTCTGCCTGTCGCGGGCACGTCTGCCGGAGATGCTCGCGGCAGGTCTCCAGTTCGAGCCAGGACGAGTCTCTCTCCCGCCTCGGGACGGTTGTGGTGGCCGCCTCCGCGGAGTTCTGCGCCACGGCGGCCCCGTTCTCGACCTCTGTCGGCAGCGCCGGGGAGGAGGGAGAGTTGCTGTGGCTAACGCGATTGATCTCCCCGCGTAGCGGCTCCGTGCCGTTCGTGGCAGGCGGAGACGGCGATGGTTGGCTAACGTCTTTCATCACAGTAGTCGTGAAGCTAGGATGTGAGCGTAGCTGTCTAACTCCGAGCATCAACAGCGATGAGATCTCGATCAGTTGTGATGGTGCACTTTATTCGGCGTGAAGATAGCGCAATGCGGCTGCAGTGTTCGAACGTTCGTCTTTTATCGGGGAGAAGCGGCACGGTTGCGTAATTGCATTCTATTTGAGCGAAACATGAAATATTGAACTTTTATTTCCATGACGATCGAATAATAAACAAACGGGGGTGCCCCGTGGTCGTCGATCTAGCTAGAGTGAGCTAGCTGTGTTCGTGCGAGAGGGCGGGATTCGTACGCGATGAGGCTGAAACTGAGCTACCAAGAACACCCTAAACATATCCTAGAACACCGCTTCTTTGAATCGTTTGCTAGCAACTTGTTACCATGGTGCATTTTCCTACTAGCTATAATAGCTACTTTCCTTGACGGCAATCTGCCACACATTCTGAGCTGGTAAGCTGCGTGACTTGGGGAAGCAGTTCAGAGCTATACTCTGTCGGGTGAGTGGCCCATAATATCCATATCATACGCTGTATACACTCTCCATTGACCGTCCACTAGAGACGACCACCTGATTCTCAAATGGGACTTCAAGTCTGGCGAAACTACACAGGTGAGTGCATGAGAAAAATCGAGTACAAAGAAAAGCAAACGTCACAAACTCCAACATAGCGGTCTAGATCTTTCTTATCCTCTCTCTCTACCTGTATTCCCTCTACACACTTGAGGAGGAAAAAAAAATTGCCATTTCTTAGCAGTTTCATACACTTATAATTATATATATACAGACTCTAGAAACGCCCTATGACATCATCAGAGGAAAATCCTGATTTTTGGAACTTTCCACCGTACAGGTTGCTCCACTGCAGAAGGGAACGTATGTGACTCATATTGACTGGCTCCCAGCACAAGCAGCAGGTGGAGGCAGGAAACAGTCCTCCCGCCCAGAGATATTTGTTCTCACGTGCACCGACGGTGAGACACTTCTAACAGTTGTTTGATTTTTGTGCTTCTTAAGTTTGGGCACAATTGGTGAACATTTGTCGCAATTTGAACTTTTCATGTGTCTTGCAAGCAAGCTCTCTGCACACACCCTTTGCTTAAAATGTTCAGCGTATTCTTTAATTCTCACACAACACTGGAGATGAAGACAAAATTGCGTGAAATTCCGTTGCAATCCTCCGACAGGTCGTTTTCTGTTGGTGTCGAGTCTGGGTCGAGTAGAGAAGGCCGTGGAAGCTCACAAAGGAGCTGTGCTGGGAGCTTTATGGAGCCATGACGGAACTGCTCTTCTCACTAGTACATAATTATGTGTGAGAGTGTATTGTGCACAATTGTCTGTTGTCTTGTGTTGTAGATTTGAACCCCTACCTGGTGAGCTGCCTGGTAGCTCAGTAGGTAGAGTGCTCGCTGTCTAGCGCAGAGTGTTGTGGTTCGAATCCCACCTAGGGCAGCTCTTTTCCCTTTCAAAAAATGTCCTAGGCATAGTATTGCTTGCCTTGACTTCCTTGATGACACAAGTACAGTATCATGTGTATGCACATAATTTCTCCCATCTAACACCCACTATACCTCCTCCTTCCGGCATTGTAGATGGGGAAGACGGAGCAGTCAAGATTTGGTCACGTTCGGGGATGCTACGAACCAGTCTAGCCCAGTCAGGTATACACTATATACACATCCCTTCTCTAACACCACACCATTTTCACACACAAATTATGCAACATTATTTCCAGCGTCTCCAGTCTATTCCACTTCCTGGTCACCGGACTCGGACCAAGTCCTCTATACTAATGGGAAGTCCCTAGTAATAAGACCACTACAGCCGGCGGCAAAGCCCACCCACTGGAAAGCGCATGACGGTGTCATTCTAGTGGCCGATTGGAGCACTGCTAACAATACTATCGTTTCTGGTGGAGAGGACCGCAAGTACAAGTTGTGGGATTGCTACGGTCGCTGTCTCTATTCGTCACTACTCCATGACTCTCCAATTGCTTCCCTTTCGTGGTCCCCTGATGGTTCGCTATCCCCCCTCTTTCTCCTCCTTTCTCTCCTCTCCCCTCCCTAATGCTCACAAGAAACCCTTGAGGAATAGTTTTTTTTTCAATCAAATACGGGGGTAAAATGTTCGCAGATAACCTTGTTCCGCTTCCATGAAAGTCAAAGAATTGAGAGTGGCAAAACTTTAGACTAAACCTGAAATTTGCAAGATCCCGAGTAACATGTGCAAAAACCTCCCAACAAATCATATGCTTTTCTGGAGCTATTTTCGATCTTCCTCCTCCTCCCTCCCACGCTTCCCCTGTGCTAATGCATTTCGAGCATGTTAACGTAGTAAAAGTTTATCGGTCTGGTTCTCCTGTGATGCGAGAAAATGTTGATTCACTCCCCAGGAGAGCTGTTCTCAGTGGGAGCTTTCAACACGTTGAGACTGTGCGATAAGAGTGGGGTGAGTATTATACTGCTACATTAGTGTGTGTGCATGTTCAGTTACATTGTGCTTCACACGACACTGATCTTCATAGTTTATTTGATCACATCACCTGTAATGGAGATAGCCATGTGTTACTAATGGCATTGTAAAGAACCATTGTGTTTCAGACTCATGTAATTTTCGTTCATTTCTTATCAAACAACACTGTTTTTCTTTGAGCAGTCCTTTTACATTTCTCTGGCAGAGAAAGTTGTGTATTTCTGAGCATGTCCATGTGGTGTTGATCTCTTTCCAGTGGTCCCACTGTCTAGAGAAGCCCAGTACGGGAACAATAGGAGCTCTGACATGGTCTAGTGATGGGACCCAGTTTGCTTGTGCCTGTTCCAACGGCCAGACTCTCCTTGCACAAGTAGTCAATAGGTCAGTTGTACACCAGCTATGCAAGTACACATACATACATAATATCACTAGCTACATATATACCTACTATCTATGCCAAAGTAGTCACTAGCTTATTACCGCATGCGCGCGTACGCTCGCGCAGGGTATATATGAGTTGCAAACTATGCATAGATCTAGAGCAGAAAGAGTATTTGCTCCATTGAACGTAAATGATTTACTTTTCAATGCCTCATGTACGTATAGACACCTCGAGTGGCACAATCTGGAAGCGGTGGTAGGCGAAGACAGTATCATTAGAGTCAAAGATGTTTTGACGGACGCCGAGGAACGCTTAGGTACGTAAGTGACCGAGGTGGTGCGGGGTTCCTAATATTGGGCCCCCTCGTGATATTCGGTCCCCTTTCTCTCCAGAGCTCCACGATCGCATCGTCAAGGTGTCCCTCGGTTGGGGTCACTTGGTTGCCATCACACCCTTACAAGGCTTCATATACAAGTAAGCACTGCGCATTGTGCGGGAAAATCTTTAGATTACTTGTCAAGTGAGTCAATTTATCTCTATCCACAAAACTTAATTGAAACCCTATCAGAGAATGCAAACACAATTCTATCCTTTTGACATCCATGTGACTGGTGTAATCAATTTTTTCGCTGACCTGTTCTGCTTCCCAGAATGTTTGGCATTATCTATCCTTTTGACAACTACAAATTTGCCAGTCATTTAATTACAAAATTGCGGTTTGGCAATCACTTACAAAAAAACGTCACAATTTCTTATGCTGAGTCTATGCGCTATGTATGAATTTATACAGCCTGTTGCGGAAATATTGTACATGTAATATGTAGCTGCAAGGAGCACTGCTACTGCTGATACATGTTGTTGGTGCAGCTCTCGTAACTGGACGACACCGGTCACTTTCGACCTCAAGACTACAACCGTTTCTCTGCTACTGCTGACCGACCGACATTTCCTGGTGGCCGACAATGTCTCAGGATTACTAGTCTACTCTTACGAGGTTGCTTCCACAATCTCCCTCTTCCACTCCTTTTTCTGTCCCATTCTCCTTTCTCTCCCACTCCCTCGCTTCCCTCCCTCCCTCCTTTCCTCTGTCGACCATCTGTATGGTAACACTATGTACAACTAGAACAATGAAACAGCGATTTGGCGATAGCATTCCGTAGTGTGACCGGCTACAGCGGTGGATCCAGGGGGGTTCCTTGGGTTCAGCGCGTTTTGCATGCATGCGTCGCCGGCCTCGTGCGCGCACGAGCGCAGTCGAAAACGTTCTGGACAGCAGAACCCCACTTTCAAAATCCTAGATCCGCCACTGTGCTATATGCAGATGTTCAAAAGGAATGTGACAGTCAGATAAGGGCTAAATTTGTTACTAAAGATTAAAGATGGAACTAACCCCATCTCCCCCCACTCTCTCTCTCTCTCTCTTGAAGGGTCGACTAGTGAGCACAGTCAAGTACCCGCGAGGGTCTGTGGCTTCACTCAGTGTTCTGACCGTCTCAATTTCAGTCGATACCATTGCAATCCGAGACAAGAAGGAAGAAAAAGGTTAGAATCTCTTCACAGACCACTAATAGCAGGCGACGGATGTACAGTATTTGGTCAAAGCCGTGTGAAGTGTATCGTTCTCCAAGATTGACACGCTGACCTCAGTTTCACCTACTGGTCATTATTTGAACTTTCTTGCATCTCTTGCCTGCAGTTGTCCACCTTTTTGACGTGGCCAGCGGTAAAGAACTGAGGGAAGGGAAGCCTCTATGCCACAAGGTAGGTGTACTTTTGTCTACGTACATCATGTTGATGTGTACACATAAACGATTTTTTTTTGATGAACAGACCTAAAGGGGGACAACTACCCGAATTTCATGGTTACAAAACTACATTCAAAATTGAGCAGGGGAATTTTTAGGGGGTTTAAGTTTCCAATTTTTCCCCTTCACAATACTTGGCTGCCAAATTGATTCGCCTCTAAGCTTCACGCTGTGTTCATAATGATGACAATGTCACTGTAGTCTACTCTATGCAGTAGCTTCCCTCCATCCCACACGATCATTAGGTTGAGATAGTGAGTCTGTCGCTGAGTCAGAGTGGTCCCGGCTCCCAGCGACAGCTGGCCTTCCTGGACCAAAACCACGACCTCTTTCTGACGCTGGTCAGGGAGACCACGCCCACTCAAACCTACCAAACTGTCAGTCTAGGTGAGAGAACAATTCTCACTAGTATGCAGCGTTCCTCAGAGAATACTTTTAGAGCAGTGAGTTGCATCTATAGCTATAAAGCAGTTTTGTTCAGTTTAGGTATGTACTGTAACACTACTACAATAATATGCACGGTATATACCTAGCATAATAGATGTATTACAACAAACTTTCACGAAGTATCTTTCGTGAATACTTTGCATGCATGCGCCTCCAACCATGTTCGTGAAACTAAAGGTCTATTGAGTGGTTCGTGATACTGTACGTAACTCGCAGTCACATGTCAGCACGGATTGAACCAGGCACATCGGTGTGATGTTAGTAGTTTTCAGAACCACCAAACAACAACACCGAACAGTGGCTGTACAGCGATGAGCCATGGAAATGAAAACAGTTTTTAAATTAATGGAGAGCAAATGGTACGGAACGGGAAAAACGTTTGCAGTGTACTTTTCCATTGTTTCTTATCTTATACTACTGAGCGACAAGTCACCATTACTGAGTTACACCTACAAAAGTGTATTGCAAGCTTGTACATCATTGGGTGCTGCGTGCACGCGCAAGCAGATCAATGAGGGTTTGACCTAGTAGTTCCCAACGAATTTGTCAAATGCAGCTTAATTGTTCTCCCTCAGCTTTCCGCTACGGTTATCGTTATCACGGTTTACGTGAAAAAGGAAGTGTTGGGACGGGTAGCGTTCTTCACCGGATTAATTAATACACAGGAGGTATGTATGCTGGCGTGGAATGACCATACTAACAATGGGTTTTCCCACAAAAAGCTACCGATCAGAAATGAACAGCTTTCCTGGTATTATGGTGCTGTGCATTATATGCATGCAGGAGGTATGGTGGGCAGCATAGCGTGGAACGACAGTACCAACATGCTGGCAGCTGTGACAGACGGTCGACTAGCCGTCTGGTACCATCCGCTGGTGGCATTCACAAACAAAGACCTTCTGCCACAGACACTAGTTAGACAAGAAGACAGGTCCGTATAATATTACCTTTTGTGCTGTGACGTGTGTACATACAGTACATAATGGTGCCCAGTATTAATGCATGTGTCACAGGTTTTCTCCTTCTGTCTGCTTCTGTGCGGTGTGTTCAGTTTTTGTCAGTGCAAATTTTTTGTATAAGAAGCCCCAAAATTGGTACATGCAGGCATAAAATGTGTGTTTTACAACGGGGCACCGTATAAAATTTGCAATATTTGCGGTATCGTTTCTTTTCCACAGCAACTTCAAAAAGAGTGCACAACTAGTGCAGTTTGTGGGCAACTGTTGTGTTCTTCGTAGAGACGATGGTGCCCTTATTACCACCAGGTAACAGAATGTTTCCCCATTTTCACTAGTGGAACACCTCTCTAATATATAGACCCCAAAAGACAACAGTTTACTACTGAAATAAGATCACCGTACTCATTATATGGACACTTTCTTTCTTGTGGTGTCCGGATTAGAGAGGTTCCACCTTATATGGCAGCTTAATGGACTAATATCTAACTTCCCTCTGACTGTATTACAGTGTGTCTCCATTCCCTGCTATCCTTCATCAATATGCCGCCTCATCCAAATGGGACGCAGCCACAAAACTCTGCCGCTTCGTGAAGGTAAGCATCATCTATTCGGCTGGGATCCCCTCACCCCACTCTTTGTATTGGCAGTCGACCAGTCTTTTCCCATGTCAAACCTTCACGCCTTGAAAAGGGTCCACTTAGAAGACACCTTGTCAAGCACCATAAACATAAACATAAAACAACCCTCATGTGGAGAAGAATTACTTATGATGTCCACACGTATGTTTATTTACATTTTGCTGAGAGGGAAAGCAAACCCTTACGTGTGTTCATTATGAACCATATTATTGCACACTACAGGACCCAGCTCTCTGGGCGTGTTTAGCTGGGATGGCAACTAATGCCAGAGACCTCAACACAGCTGAGGTGGCCTATGCTGCAGTCAACGAGGTACGGAAATACTGGTTTGGTGAGCACACGAGTGTGCAATTTCAGCAGTTTGACAAGTATTTGTAGCATCAGTATGTAATGCACCATTACATCAAGAATCCAATCACTTTTTGAAGTACAAAGTACAGCAAAGCCACCAACGCATAGATGTTTTCTGATGCTTGTGAGCTTTGTGGGCTAATGTGGATGGTGAGCACACTATACCTACGTATGCTGATGATGCAGGATGGTAAAATTTTGACAAAGATTGTCCTTCTCGCCACGACAGATTGATAAAGTCCACTACATTGCCGAGATCAAGGCTCTGCCGAGTGCAGAATGCCGGAACGCCGAACTGGCCCTGTTTTCTCACAGACCGCAGCACGCCGAGGCCATCTACCTCCAGGCTGGAATGGTCTACAAAGCTATTCAGCTCAACACTGACCTTTTCAACTGGGAGAGGTGCGTACAATACAATCAAACCAAATGTAGGCGAGCAAACAGGAGTTCGAAATTTCCACAGTTTTACGTGCTGAGTTATTTGTAAAACACAACAAGCTGCACATGCATACAATCTGTATCATTGTGGTGTTACGGTTTGTGATGTCATAGGGCTCTTCAGCTGGCTCTGAAGCACAAGACTCACGTGGACACAGTTCTTGCATTCCGTGAGAAACACCTCACCGAGCTGGGCTCCAAAGAGACCCTGGCCAAGTTTATAGAATGCCAAGGAAAGGTAAGTTTACAAGTCCACCGCAATGCTTTGATTACAGGCGGTTTTTCATTATCAGGTAAAGATTGACTGGGATACCATTAGGTCCAAGATTGAAAATGAAGAAAACAGAGGACTGCAATAAAAACCTAATATCTTGTATGTAATAGAAGTGATGTAACACAAGTGATACAAAACGCATGAACATCTGTCTGATCTACTGTAAAAGACTCAAGATGAGTAGGCCGAAGCTAATGGCTAGTGTGGACGGCAGTGCCATAATAATGGAACAACACGCAAAGCTTTTGTCTTCTCCACGAACGTTCAACTGCGTGAGAGTGAAGTTGAGACTCAGTCTACCGTCGTTTGGTACCTCGACTCCCTTCTGGCACATGGAGGAAAATCCGTCTGCGTACACTGCAACAGAGTACACACCGGGGGAAAGGAGACGCCAGTATTCACCGTCCTTAGTTGTTGTCACCGAGTGATTCCTACCAACAATATCAATACTGGCATTTGCAATTGGTTTGCCCCTTTCGTCTGTAACGAATCCGGCCAGGCCTTTGTGGACCTCGCTAATTAATGCAAGGAGCGGTACTCTGTTTTCTGCCCATATGTCAGGCAGGTCTGCGGCATAGGGGAACTTTACGCAACCCTGCTCAATTGTGATCTCGAAACAGTTCGAGTTCAAGTAGTTGTAGTCTTGCATCCCACCGTTGACGCTGTACCAGTCGGCTCCGTTAGTGATACCGTCCGTAAACGCATCTCCGCACGTGTCTCCGAGGTGCATAGTGGGATGCGAAAAGGAGTAAGCTTTCGCCAGTTGAATAAAGATATCGTCGTCCGGCGATCTGCTGTAAATTGAGCGTCCGTCCTCCGTGGCGTCGTACGGATAGTTCGCGACCAGGGCTCCGTTGTGCAAATTTGCAGACAGGACGAATGGGTAGTCTTGAATCCATTCAATGACGGCCTGCGTCTCCGGCTGAATGGGAGGCGAATCCTCCGGAGACTTGAAACGGTCGGGGAAATTCCTATTTAGGTCGAAGCCGTTGGCGTTTCGGCGACCGGTAGTTCCGCCGACATCGCCTTCGTACGCTTCGGCGTATCCGTCCGGATTCATGGCGGGTAGGAGGTGGATGCGAGTCGAGTCCACGAGCTCCGTGACGCCGTCGTCAACGGCGTACAACTCGCAGAGGTACTGCATGAGATAGAGTAGCGTCTCCCGCCCCGTCACCTCGTTCCCGTGCATGTTGGCGACGTACTTGAACTCGGGCTCGCCTGGCTCGTGAACGCCCGGGTTGTCGCTAATCTCTATCACCCACAGGTCGACTCCCTCCACGCTCTGCCCTATGGAATAGAGCCGGGCGATGTGGGGAAACTCGCCGGCGTAGCTCTGCATTAGGTCGTACAGGGCATCCTGGTCGTGGTGGTACAATTCGTACGGGACGGTTGCCCGGCGCTGCGTTAGCGACGCCGGGGAACCGTGTAGGACGTGGACGCCTAGAGAAAACGCCACAAACAACGAGGATAAGAAACGCATCATTCTCCTCGAAATGATCGTTAGGTGACACGCCCACGTGCCACATCGCGTACCCGAAAAGCGCATGCGCATAAAACTTACGCCGTCTTGCATGCAGTCTGCATCGTATGCACTTTCCACGACTGAGCGACAGCACGCACATATAATACAACAAGGCCAGAAATACAGTAATGAGACACTAGTGACTACACGTGAACAAAACTTAAAAGTCGACAGAAGTTGTGAGTCAACACATATGTACACGCACACACGTATAATACAAGGAACAGCACACACAAAACCCAGACAGAAGAGGCCAGGGATCGATTGCGTGCACCAAATATAATTTAAATACAGCACATGTGCAAACTTGTATCCACTCGTGCAGAAATTAAAAAAGAAAAATCGAAACAAAAAGTGAAACATTCCTTTCAAGTGCCGCACACCAGTTTGAGTGCATGCTTTACTTATAGATGACGAGACAATAGAGGTGACCTAGGAGCATTCTAATTAGTGCTTCCCTGCCATTTCCCGGGGCCGCGAGAATTAGAGGGGTTAAACTGGATAGGGGAGCTGATTTCTTTAGGAAATGATGCTGCACAGGGAAAGAGGGGCACGTTAACAGACATGACAATGTATTGTAGGAATATTTGGAGAGAGAAAGAATGACTTGTGGGCCACGCTGTCTACACATGAATATGAAAGGTGCAAACCTACGGCATACACATGTGTGTTACCGCTAACTGATGGGCTGTGCTACGCTTTGTTGATTTACTCTCCCGCTAGTAGCTCGCTACGCATGCACGCTGGGGGTTAAATACACACACACACAAACATTTCCAGTCAAACCTGCAAAAGGGTGGTGGCAGTTCCTCGTTTGTCGACGTCCATCTCTAGAGACTTGTTGAGGAAGTCTCTGAATGTCCGGGAGAGTTTCTCAGGGTTCTGTAGTTCTGGCGTCCCGTTTGTCGCTATCAGGTACAGAGCCTGGTGAGAGAGGGGTTAAAGCTCACTATTGAACTATATAGCAGGTGTATAAGGTATCAGAAGCCTGGTGAGAGAGGGGTTAAAGCTCACTATTGAACTACGTATATAGCAGGTGTATAAGGTATCAGCAGCCTGGCAAGAGAGGGGTTAAAAGCTAACAGTTGAAGGTTTAAATAAATCTTGCTATATGTTCGAAGAAGGGAGAAACCTACTCTGAGAGGGTTTTCATTGAGATACGGAGGCTCTCCCTCCACCATCTCTATGGCCATGATCCCCAGAGACCAGATGTCTACTTTGGGTCCATACTGTTTCCTGGTGACCACCTCGGGTGCCATCCAGTAAGGCGTCCCAACCATCGTCGACCGCTTGTTCTGCTCTGGACTGATTTGAGCACAGAATCCAAAGTCGGCTGCAAGAAGAAGGAGTAACATCTCTCTCTATAAAGGACACTTGGTACTTTAGTGTATCATTTATGACTACTTCCTTTACTTACATTATAAGTCACACTTTTAAATTTGCATAAAATTCCAAATTCCCAATATGCGCTTATAAACATTACATCCTATAGCTGCACAAAAGTGTGTGCAAAGTTGTTTGAATTCAAAACATATGACATATGCTAAAACAAAGGGGAAAAATTGACGTTGAACTAACTGAGTTTGACTTGTCCGTCCATTCCGAGGAGGATGTTGTCAGACTTGATGTCTCTGTGGATGACCTGGTGGGCGTGCAGGAACTCCAGGGCCTGAAGACACTGAGACACAAACATGTGACGTCACACATACATCATGTGATATCACACATATGCATTATGTGACATCACTACACACCATGTGACATCACACACATCATGTGACCTAAGCAATGCTAAGTAATATGCTAAGATATCCGTGCCAGTGCTTACATATATACATACGTGGTTAAAATACACATCTTATGTGTATGTGAATATAGCACTTTCACATCATACACGCTGGGCTTTCTAAATTTTATATGTACCGAACCGTCTATCATACCACCATTAAAGTTGCCTGTTGGACCTGGAAAAGGAGGTTTTGGTTGTGCCTTGCTAAAAATGTGAACACCTGGCTGAGTTTAGGATGCAGAATTTTACGCACCTGCATGCTATGCATGTTGGTTGGTGTGTGCATGCATCCACTTTCTGTAAATGACGTGTAAACAAAACTAAACATCGTTGTGGGGGTTTAGATTTCATGCTGACAATATTATATCTAAGGAGGGGAACCCTGTAATTACCGACAGGTGAGTTACATAAGGTGGTGGATGGTGCTCTAACCTCTCGACAGACTGCAGCGATCTGACTCTCGTTCATGACCGTCTCTGTCACCACGTCTGTTAGTGATCCTCCGGCCAAATACTCCATCACAACCTGAACGACACGAAATAGTACATTCATCAGCCACATCCCTCCCCCTTCCCTTCTCTCTTCTTCCATTTAAACTATCTCTTCCTCTTTTCTTTTCCTTCTTCTCCCTCCTTCACTCTTCCTACTTTGTCATTGGCTCATTCACTTAATTCGTACCCCCTCTCTTTCCCTCCTCCCATCCTCTAATTCCCTCCCTCTCATCTTACCCAAAGCTCCGCTTCTCCGACCAAAAAACTATCCACAAAATTGACAATGTTCTGCTGCTTTATCTCCTTCATGACGATAATCTCGTTTATTATGAGTTCCTGCGTGACGAACGGGTTAAATGGTAATCATGTGACAGATACGAAGGAGTTAAAAGTGGAAACCTTCTTGGGTTGTTGTGCGAGGTTCATTTGCTTAATGGCCACTTGCGAGCCAGTCGCAACTTCCACTGCAGTGAATACAGTACCTGACGCTCTGTATATATGAGGAGGAGAAAGAGAAGGAGAAAGAGGAGAGAGGAGAGAGAGGGGAGAGAGAGGGGAGAAGAGAGGGAGTGTGGAGGGAAGGCGGGGAGACCAAGAAAGAGCCAAAGAGGGAAGAAGAGAAGGATAGGTAAGCAAGAAAAATTCACACACTTTGACACAAAGGTATGAGAGTGGCCGCCTTACCCTTGCCCGATTTTCTCCATCTTCGTATACTTCTTTGTGGGATCTCCAACACTCACTATGGCCCCTGGATTATAACAGACGTAAATGTTGCTCCAGTTAGAATAGTGGTGTGTGTGTGTGTGTGTGTGTCCGGGTGTTTGGAGCTCACGTAAATGTTGGACAACTTCAGCGTCTGACATTTTTGGCTTCTTTTCTCTCTTCTGGTTCTGAGCTGCCTGAGCTCCGCCTGCTGAGCCTGAAAAAGGAAAGTTGACGATAGAGACGGAAAGAAAAGGAGGGGAGAGAGGGAGGAAGGGGTGAGGGAGAGAGGAAGAGGAGAAGAGGTGAAAGAAATAAGTGAGAGAGAGAAGGATAATGGGAGACATGAAGGCGGGAAGGAACGAAGGAAAGATGTAAGGAAAAGAATTAGAAGAACGAGAGGAGGAGGAGGAAAGGATGGAGGCAGAGATCGCATATAATACCAACCCTGAGTTGGGGGTTTAAGTGGTGTCTTAGGGGGCGGTATGGGTGGCATGTCTTTACTGGCAGCCTTCGAGATGGGCGGCCGAGGGGGGATGTTGGGCGCAAGGTCCTCGCTGGGGGGCTGGGGCGCTGGTCGAACGGGCGCCAGAGGTGTGAAAGTGGTATCACTAATGGCCGGTCTAGTATGAGAGCCAGAGCCTGTATGTTGGAAAATCGGCGAAAATCCATGCATACATCTAAGGTGCTGATCTGCTCAAGCGTCTGCATGTATGTACATACATACATAACGTGAATTAAAATTGCATGTTCTTTCTTCCTATTAAGTGGACCGTGGACATTAATTTCATTTTCATAGAACCCCACATAAATTACTGTAGTTACGAAGTCGTTTCACGTTCAGATGTTCCTCACCACTTGCGGATGAAACGGGCTGGGTACGAGTTAGTAAGCAGAACGGTTTACTCAGTCAATACCAATAAAACGCGTGCTACAAAATTGCACACGGATGCACGTAAGAATGTTGTGATAACCAACTCAGTACAACGAGGACATAATGAAGTACGGTAACACACACAGGACAGTACACCTACATAATAGGGTAGACACGCAGAGGGTGGAACAGTTCTCTCAACAGGGCGGTAAAAAACGAGTGGAAACGTTAGCCATCGACACAGACCGAAACATTGTACATTACCAGCAATTTGTTGGGGGACAAATTAGGCGGGTATATAAAATGACACACCACGTAGATAGGACCACGCCGTGTGCAATTGTGTTCACAGACAACAAATACTAGGAAATGACAAACATTCTCAGTACTGTGCCGTCCTATCCTCCAACAACTATCAGTGCCAGCGCTTACGTAAATATTCGAAATGTGAATATGTCATCTACATGTACTAGTACTACCGTAGTAAGTGATAAACTACTACTACCAAAGCTGTTTGTATATATACATGGCTCGCAAGTTCACGCATATACAGAAACAACTACGCACGCAATACATGTTGTAAAATCACTTGCAGTAATACAGTCTTACAAGTATAAGCCACGTTTTCCCTTAATTTCAGTGCATTCGCTCCATTAGTGTCAGTTTTGGCTGCAAGGCAACGGCTAACAAGCGTGCATCAGCACCCAATCTTTTCATAGCACGAATAAAAACTAGAGCAGATTTAAGTAAAAGTATTTTTTACAAATACTTTAAGCGCACAATGCACATATTGCCTGCTGACCGCATTCACGAAAGTTGGTTTGGAGGGATATGCAAACTTTAACTAGCGCTCCACATGGTGACCGGTGTACATATAGTAGCAGCCACCACAATTAATGCTTTTCTGAGAATGTTACTAGTACGAAGACATAGCATTTCTTGCAAAACCTCTAGAACAGTCACGTACAGCTGTGGAGATCCGCACAGACGTACACTATTCGGCTCGCTCCCACTCGTTAAGAATGCACCGTAAACCTCTAGAACAGTCACGTAGATCCACACAGACACAATACTCGGCTCGCTCCCACTCGTTAAGAATGCACCGTAAACCTCTAGAACAGTCACGTAGATTCACACTGACACAATACTCGGCTCGCTCCCACTCGTTAAGAATGCACCGTAAACCTATAGAACAGTCACGTAGATTCACACTGACACAATACTCGGCTCGCTCCCACTCGTTAAGAATACACCCTAAACCTCTAGAACAGTCACGTATATTCACACTGACACAATACTCGGCTCGCTCCCACTCGTTAAGAATACACCGTAAGCCTCTAGAACAGTCACGTAGATTCACACAGACACAATACTCGGCTCGCTCCCACTCGTTAAGAATGCACCGTAAGCCTCTAGAACATACACAGTATTCATGTACTACCCTTCTAATCCGGACACCAACGGGGGAGCATATTAGTGAGGTGTCCTTGTTTTCGGAGTTACGTTGCATGCAAGAACAGTTCTTGTGTGTAGAGAAAAGGTGTCCTTATTAGAGAGGTGTCCTCATTTCGGTGGGGGTCCTTAGAGAGGCGTTCTACTAAATTGTATGGCTACACATTTGCTCGACAGCCCCATACGTACCTTCGTCAGCAGTGTATCTCGGAGCCGTCATGAACTTCCCTTCTTCCATTCCGGCGGCCGACTGGTTGTGCGTGAAAAACTCGAGTGCCTTCACGACAGCCTGCGGGTTCTTCTTCTTCTCCGCTGCACTGATTCCAGAATTCTGTAGCAGCCTCGCCCATGCTTCAGGCATTCCCTGATGCGAGTAGAGAGAAAAAATTTTTACGATCCGGAAACAAAAGGGGAGAAATTTTTTGACCCACCCTTAAAAACAGGAGGAAATGGACACGCTAAAAAAACGTGGAAACATTGATTCACTTTGGCAAAAATTGATATACTTATGAGAACGTGATGACCATTCATGCACCTAAAAAAAAGTGCTCATTATCCCATAAAAACAGGGAGTGAAGACAAAAAATTTAACAAGGCTGTAAAAAAGAGGGTCCCCCCATTATCACTATTAACCTCCAGGGCACTCACAGATGCCTGCTAAGAACATTCACACCTAAAGTAGTATTGTATGCACACACCAACACACACAAGCTGTAGTGTGTGTGTAATTATAGAACAAAGCTGCCAAAAATAGAAGCCCGGGAGTTCCATTACGCCAACTCAATGGCAGCCAGCCATACACTGCAGAGTGTCTAATAGGAAGCACGTTCCAGACCAATACAACACAAAATTGATGATTAGTCTCACACTTTGTACTGTACTGGACACGCTAAAGGAGTGATGAAGATAAATTGGAACTGGGAAATTTGATAGGATGTTCCGTCCTGTCTATATACGGACCTGCCTCAAGATCTGCTATTATATCAGCTACCATTCCATCTTGATGGAAGTTTTCTCCTAACAAGGCATCAGTGATCAAGTGGTGTAACCCCTATCTAAGGATAGGTCTGCAATAAGGACACTTCTCTGGTAAGGACAACTTTTCTTTCCCATGAATATGTGGTTTATTGCGTATAAGTAAACCCTGGAAATAAGGACATCTCACTAGTCACTTTCTTCTGTCTCATTCACTAATACGGACCCTGCTTCTGTCCCATTGCGAGTGTCCAGATTAGTGGTGTCCAGATTAGTGGGGTCCAGATTAGAGGGGTCCGTTGTAGACATGTACTGTGTAATGGTGTGGTATTATGGCGGGATAACTTACTGTGAATTCTCCTGTGTTTGGGTCAAAACCGACGTGTACTGTGTGCTCGAAATCTATTGGAGAGGATATCTCTGGCTTGTCTTTCCCTGCATATCATAGAGGGAGGGATGGGATGCATAATAATATGTCAAAAGGGACGATTTTATCAGCATATTATACGCGCACACACAAACGTGCGGTTCTCAGCGATGATTACATACAGATACATTCGTAAGATACGAGATACACGCACAATAGCTGGACAGCTGGCTGGACCAGTTGGCACCTGTTCAACTGTATAATTTCACATGTCACCCGACAAGCCAGTATCGCTTGTCACAACCCACTCTTCACCTCTCCCCCTCCTCCTTCTCTCACCTTAGTCACTACCTCCCTTCCTCTCTCTCTCTCTCTCCACTTTCTCACTCTAATTCCCCCTCTCACCCCTAAATTATGTTGTGGTGGGAGGCACAGGAAGAAGGAAGGAACTAAGGTAGCCCACCACAGCATTTGAATAAGGTGAATTGAAGGACAGTCAACCACATTCAAACTGCTATGTCTAATGTCCTATTGATACATCGTCCTCAACTAACTTGCTGTATGAGCATCTCACACGTGCAGTGAACATAAAGCTACAGACATAAACTGGCAGAGTATTATACACACTGTGGGCTATTCAATACACACTTCCTCTTTCTATCCTCTCCTACTGGTACAGTACAAAAACTAGTTTCTCTCGGGCAAGGCAAGCATCGGTACACCACTTACAAACAGCCCATTGCACATGTGCATACCAATGACCACAATAGGTGCAGCTAGCTGTACTATACTGAAGTACAGAACATGGATAACAACATGCTAACCCTGTAGTTTTCACTCTCACTCCCTCTCCTTCTCCACCCTGTCTATATCTCTCTCTTACCTGGGTTACTGCTCCCGCCACCTTTGAACCACCTCTTCTTCTTGCTGTCTGAGCCAGCTCCGTTCTTGTCTGTCTTCACCGAGGCAACCCTCACAGGTACAGGAGGCAAGTTATCCCCAAAGCCACCTCCGTAGGCGTTGGAGTAAGCCATTAGGCCTCACTACACCTACAAAGTTTAGTGAAAGTCTTTAGTGTCCAAAGTTCCCACCGTCTCAGGTAAAGCAGTGGTGGCTGCCCCGCGCGGGAGTGCGTCCGGACTGCCACTTCACCACCCTTTAGTTCAGTCGTAACGGTACACACACAGGCTTAGAAACTCTACTCTACACTCTAAGAGGAAGACTTAGTACACGAGTCGAGTTTCCACAATCGAGCGCGAGACAACGCGGTCGGACAGTGCGGAAGTTGCGACGAGACGGTCTTCGTGTCTTCACGTCGCTCTAGCGGCGGCAGGTGACTGGCGTGTCCTGTACTCCTTCCTCTTGCTGGCTCCGCGGTTCTACAGGAAGAGCGCTACCTTCGCCATTTTCCCTACAGAGTCTAGTCCGACTTCACACACAAAGCACCTTTTACGGATGTAGATTTTCGACAGGAAAAGTTACGTAAACGCCACGTGATAAGTCACGTGTTATATTTTATTGCCATAACAACGACTAAACCCAGCGGTCAGAAACTATGCCGCCCAAGAAACAAATTCAGTTGCAGGTAGAAGCACTCGTGGTATTTGCAAGGATTCCGAGCGTCTCTTTGTGCAGGTAGAGATCAGGACGCAGGAAGAATGGAGCTCGTTTCTTGGCCTTAGCGGACTCGAAGGTAACTGCCGCCCAGGGCGCAATGTGCTCTAGGGGTCGCTTATATGCGTCTGCTCCGCCTTTGCAGTCGTGGACGTATACTCGGAATGGTGCGGACCGTGCAAAGCAGTCCTGTCGCTCTTCCGGAGAATCAAGAACGAACTAGGGGACGACCTACTTCGCTTTGCCGTAGCCAAATCTGACACCATCGATTCACTGGAGCCTTACAGACATCAGTCTCAGCCCACTTTTCTCTTCTTTGCCGTGAGTGTGCCTCTCAGCTTAGAAACAAAATGCAGTAGATAGATTGTGCTAATATTGGGTATCCATGAAGCAGAGTTTAGCTCAGTGAAACCTCTGAGAAAGGACCCTCGGAATAAAGGACACCTCTCAACGACACTCGATTCTGCTCCATACTAATACATTAGTGATAATATTTATCTTCGAATGAGAAAAGCCTCTGAGTATAAAGGACACTTTCAATGACCCCAAGGTGTCTCTTATTCAGAGGTTCCACTGTAACTGACTATGTATGTATGTGTAGGGTGGAAGACTGGTGAGCGTGGTACGTGGTGCACTTGGTCCACTGCTGGATAAAACCATCAGAGAACAATTGAGCCACGAGCACCAAGTGTTGGAGGGAAAGGCCGAGAGAATTACGGTGCACACTTCTAGCTCATATCCATTCATAAACGTTATATTATTATTTGAGATCGTTAAGGAAGTGTGTGTATGTAATAGTTTGAAGATGAAGGTTTGAATGCCGAGGAGCCTGTTCTCGAAGAGGACGTTCCCCCAGAACCTGAGCCTGAACCAGAGATTGGTATATACATATAGCAGCACTCCTCTTCAAATATTTTGATGCACTGTATACTCCACCAGTGCCAACCAAGAAGGAGGTGACATTGATGATCATCAAGCCTGATGCTGTGAAGGCCGGTAAAGTAGACGAGATAATCGAACAGGTACATGTTTTAAATGATCTACACAGACTAAAGTATAGGATCACGCATTTCTTTGAGTCGAAAAAGTGGATGAGCTTCTGTGGGGAGGGTTCCGTGTAGCTTAGTTTGAGCTTGTGCCTTGAATGCTCTGCAAAGCAACATTTCTCACGATACGTAAATGGTACCTTATACTGTTTAAACATAAACACACACCCAATAAATATCCAGTTGAAGGCTCTGAGTGCGTGGTCAATGGCATTATATTATAATCAACGTACAGCTGAAGGAGCAGGGATTGGATGTACTGGCTGCAGAGGAGAGACAACTGAGCAAGGAAGAGGCTGCAGAGTTCTACAAACAACACGAGGGAACAGTGAGTCAGCAGCCTCTCTAGCTTCTCTAGCAAAGACCTCGTTTTGTTCTCATCGTCCACAGGACTACTTTGAAGAACTATTGGAGTTTATGAGCAGGTAAAAGGTTTTAGTGAAAGCAGTCTCAAAATCATTTAGCTTAGAGTACAATCTTTAGATGGTCATTATAATGATCAGAGCACTTAGCAAGGTGTTCATTGGTGTAATTAGCTAAGATTACCAGTCCAGGGAGCCTGCAAAGCTATCTTTGTTGTACATGTGTTCACTGAAGCTGTATACTCTATAGTGGACCATGTACGACAGTGGTGGTGACTCGTGGAGAGACTGGAGAAGGTGTGGTGGAGGAAGTGAGACAACTCATGGGGCCAGCAGATGTGGACCTTGCAAAGGAAAACTCACCAGAAAGGTAATGCCTTCACAACACTATACTGTACACTAAAGCGTGGCAGTATTTATAAGGGCTAAAATGATTGCAATCTAGCACTGGGCCCTATTGTTATTTCCATTTTTACTAAATTAATGTTAGCCCTTACGTACCAACACAATATTCCCTGTAAACACTGCATTCTGTCCTCCTATGATACTCCACATGCAGTCTGAGAGCCAAGTTTGGTACCAGTGCCAGAGAGAATGCAGTTCATGGAAGTGACAGTCATGAGACCGCAGCAAGAGAACTCGCCTTCTTCTTCCCTCGACTGAAGATCCCCTGGGTCCCGGGGACCGCCCCGCCCATCCAGAGGACTCTGGCTCTTATTCGGCCTGATTGCCTAGCTAAACACAGGGGTAAAGTCCTTGAGAGGTGCAACTATCATGGTCTTGTGTGTATACTTGTGATGGAGCAAAAATACTTTTGATCTGGTATATAGTGTGTCCTTATGTTAAAGTTCCACTGTAGATCAAAGGGAATTACTGTATAAGGACTAAATTTAGAAACTGTTGCTGTATTCTTTCACTGGGCCCTATTGACTATTTCTAAATTTAGCCCTTAACTCTTGGTGGTGTACTAATGGTATGTGTATATCACTGGTAGATGAGATGCTGGAAAAAGTGCAGGAGGCTGGCTTTGAAATAGCCATGCAGAAAGAACTGACCCTCACCAGGGAGCAGGCAGCAGAGTTTTACAAAGAACACGAGGGCAAAGAATACTTTGAGTCTCTCTGTAACACCATGTCCAGGTAGGATGCAATTCACCACAGTATAGCGTGCCTAAGGTCTGATGCTATACGTATGTGTGTTATGTAGTGGTCCAATGCTGGCTTTGTGTCTAGCCAGAGAAGACGCTGTGAGTGGATGGAGGGACAAGCTAGGACCCACAGAGCTACAAGAAGCTAAGGAGACACAGCCTGAGTGGTATATTAGCAAATTCCCTACACCTCAAGTACACTTAGTCTTGGCAAGCCAAGACAGCATAAGCCCTTTATACTGAAGTGTGCACTTCCTGGCGGGAAGAGACAAACCGAACAGTATTCCTCCCCTTCTCATACACACCACTTTCATCTTGTGTGTGTAATATATACCGTCCTGGCTCTTCCGTGCATATACTATGGGATCAGAACCACAGACCACAGAATGTATAGTGACAGTATTATATGTGTCCTGTACAGTCTCAGATCAATGTTCTCTGAGGAAGACGCCGCCCACAACCCACTTCACGGCTCTGCCACACTGGAGGAGGCAGAGAAGGAACTCCAGTACTTCTTCCCCAAGGAGAAGACCCTGGCCATTATCAAACCCAACGCCATCGATTCTAGAGGCAAGCACACTAACTATATAAGCGGCTGGACATCGCGTACACACTTGCAGTCAGTTCCATTTCAAACTGTGTGTATACAGTATAATGCCAAATCATGGTGCGTACTTTTCATGGATGATTGGCACATTTCGCAGATTTCGCTAATAATGGGCAGTGCACTTCTGTTGAGCACGGTTCTGATACTTATCTGAGACAATTTGGTGCCAAAACACTAGCTATAATTATCTCTTCTATATAAACATGTGACACACAAGTGTGACTGCCTGTGTTTTACTGCAGTTGCTATAATAGAGAAGATCAAGGAGGCTGGCTTCAACATCTCTCTCAGCAAGGAGACCACGCTCACCAAAGAAATGGCCGAACAGCTCTACTCGGAGCACAAGGGGAAGGACTTCTTTGAGGATTTGACAGGACTTATGAGCAAGTATGCATGGTAGCTAGCTAATATCAACCTCAAAGTTTCCCCTGAAGTGAAATCCCTCTCTAAAGACACCTCTGAATAATGGTTCCCAAGAACATTAATAAGGAGATACCTATGAATATAGCGTCCAAAGGCCTTGTAGGGGACTCCTCACCAACTTTCTTCAGTCTCATTGGTGTCCAGATTAGAGAAGTTCTACTGTATTATCTTTTGGCACAGTGGGCCATCACTGTTCATGGTGCTGTCACGAGAGGATGCTGTTTCTGGATGGAGGGCTCTTATGGGACCCCTTGACCCTGAAGAGGCCAAAAAAGAGAACCCAAACTCGTGAGCAAACACCTTGCAACTGTAGGCAAGCTGGAGACATGTTACTGTATGTACTGTTAACTAGGGAAGACTAGCACATTATATAGCTCAGTGTTTAGTGCACTGGACTTCCAGTCATTGTGCCTGGGTTTTACCCAAGTTTTAGTGGTTCTTTTGTCGTTCAGCTGTGTATTTTTCCGTCCTCAGCATTCGTGCTTTGTTCGGAGAGTCCATGTTAGCCAATGCAGTCCATGGATCTAGCACAGCGGAGAAGGCGCAGAAAGTCATTCAGACCTTCATTGGCGAGGTGCCTGAAGAAGAAGAAGAGGGAGGGGAAGGAGGGGAGGGGGCAACCGAGAATGGAGCAGGTGTGTCCTACAATTTTGTTCACAAATTTGTTAATAACAATTTTCTGTATCTGTAGATGGAGAAGACACCTGATTATAAAAAATGACTTAGGTAATAAAAATACCATGCATTTATCATAAGGCGTGTTTGTTGATATACAGTTGTGGGCGTGGATGCGCGTGCGCAGAGCCTAGCACGCATTGAAAAAGACAACGATGCAGACGGAAGAACCCAGAGGCGACAGTGAGATCAGGCAGCGCCGCGTACCCGGTGAAACGCACCCTCTTCTCTCGAGCAACGAAGATTCCGAGAAACAGGCGAGTGAGAGCTGCCTGCACACCCGTCCGACCTGCTGCAGTTTGCACGTTACGTATGTAGCTCTAGCTATGTGTGTAGGCTGCGTAGTGCTATCAGGGCTGTGGGGGTATGCCTAGAGCATCCTAATTTGCAAACTCACGCGTGAGAGCATATCCGTTAATAGTTGTGCATGCAACGACATTGAACGAGCAGGTTTCCTTTCTCTTCCGGCTTGTGTGTGACGGCGACTCTTTGCGTGTCTGCAGATGGCTGGTTGCTGTTTCGCCCAGTTTCAGGCTCCAGCGCAGGCCTTCCTGAGACCTGGCGTCTGGTTGCCAGGAGTGAAGCGACTGCACGAGTACGAGGAGGAATGGAAGATTTCTGCCAGCGTCGACCAAGTGAGCTACTGAAACTGTCTTGTATAAAACCTCAGTAGATTGCTAGTATGTTCCACTGTTTAAAACAATCCCTTTTTCCCCTGCCTGCTTTCTCTACCTCTCTCACTCCCACTCTCACTAACATTTCTACAGTGTATGGAAGCATTTCAAGCTGCGGTAGAGTCACTGAGCGAGGCAGAGCACCTAGACCTGCGTAAAGTATCGAAGGAGAAAAACTTCATCCAGGTTTTTGCCTTTACTGCCAGCTGCAATTGGCTCGACATTGTGGAAGTCCACTTTCACGCCGGTTCAGGTATAATGTGCAACCACGAAGGGCTGCAAAAGTAGCATGACAGATGTATATTTACTTTGCCGGACAGAGTCAACTGTGAACTGCTATGTTTGCATGAGAAAGTGTACAGTGCACAAGATATCACAGCTACAAGGATATTCTGAGACGAAAGATGGTGGCCAAATTTTAACATTATCCAAATCTGACCCGTGTTTTTGTGGTGGAGTGGGTCCTTTTAACCCCCCTCTCCCCTCCCTAGCATTATTTCCAGGCTCCTAATAAAGGAGCCTGGGGTGTTTCCACAGCACCACTATATACATAGGACCCTATATTACCATGCACCCACTCCAGATCACACGATTGTGGAAATATCCCCTTTAGGGAAGAGTCCGTATAATGCAACCCCTCTCTAAGGATACCCCTAAAATGTGGACACCTCTTTCCCCAAGAATAGATATTTAGCCCCTGAAATTAAGAAACCTCACTAATACCGGCACTTTCTTCTGACACAAGTGGTGTCTGGATTAGAGAGGCTCAACCATTATACATACCCCTCACTTCCCTCCTTTCCCCTCTGCACTCTTCAGAACCATCGGTAACCACAGCTAGAGCTCGGTCCTTCTCGTCTGGGTTCCTCCCTGCCTGCTGTCCTCTGGCCTTCTTCTGGAACGTTCTTCTGTTCTGGGTCCCTTTCTCTGGGAACGGGTTCAACACCAAGAGAATCAAGCTACTGAGGGAGACAATGCAGCAGCTGTCCGTCGAAGTAACTTCCAAGAAGACTTGTTCCTGTGTGGCACCTTAACTGTGACTCTACTTTCTTCCTTGTTTATGCGTACAGGCACACATAATAATTGTCATATTACGTTAACTATTGTGTGACAGACTTGTTTTTGTTATATAGTATGATATATAGCGTCTGATTAAAGATTATGATGGCCTTGTTTTCTGTCATCATTGTAGTCCTATACAAAGTTATACAAATTATCATGGTTTTGTGACCTGGTTTATGTGGGCTTTTTGAGTTTGAGGTGTTTCTGAAGCGTCTGAATGCTGCGCTCTGACCGGCTCCATACTGCCACAGATATGCTTATCAGTAAACAATACGATTACATTCAGCACTGAAAACTTTCATAAACAACAAAAACGCCAAAAGAAATACGGTACAGTGTTTACAATCCGAGAGGGTGGACAGGCACAACTTCTCCGTGTTCTACAACTTTCTTTGCAATGTCGGACATCGCAGCGTCCAATTTCACCTCTTTTGACGAGGTGATTGATTGGAGGGTGTGGTTTGTGCGATCGAAGGCCTGTTGACAGAAGGTTGCCGTTAGCAACCGCTCGTAACCTCCGGTAGGTACGTCCTCACTCAAAGACTTGGAAGCCCTGAGTGCGTGGGTGGGAGAATGTGCTCAGATAAAAATGAATATTTTTGGCAGAAGTCACCAGCGCGCGTTGGTGGTGTAACGGTTAGCATTGTTGCCTTCCAAGCAATAGATCCGGGTTCGACTCCCGGCCAACGCATTTTTCTTTTTCTCTATTCTCTATACTATACTCTATTTTTTTGCACAAACATTTTCCATATTCTCTATACTCTATTTTGCTTCCACAAACATTTTCCTAAACTGCAAAGTTACTTGTTTTTACCTTGAAATAACAGCAGCCACTCCATATATGTCGATTGCAGCATTGGCTAGTCTTTGTAGCAGAAACTGTTCGTCTGTGTGTTTCGTGGTGTGTGGTGGTAGGAAACACAATCAAAACACAATCACACAAACTCAGCATCACAGACAGTTCCTACTGAGAAAATAACTCACGGATGATATTCTTGCGGTGTGTCAGGAGCAGTTTCTCGCAGGTCGTGCCAAAATCACCAACCAGCTGGCTCAGCTGCTCAGCTTGAACAGACAGGTCCTTGTGTGAATGTTCAGCTACAGATGGGGCACTGCTGCTACCCACCAACCTTCGGAAGACACAAGCAACATACGTATAAATTCACCCGCGGAAACTTTTCTGTTGGTTTCAGTACCTGCGGGTTCTTTTTAGTCCTTCGGACATAATCACGCCAAAATCCATCCCCTTCACGCTCTTCTCCACCTCCCGAAGTTGCTTACCAGCATACTACAAAAAAAATATTGTTTTGGGGCCTTTACTACATAGGACGAAGATAAGATACTATCTTGCTATAATATACACACAAGCCATAGCATGTTGCATCAAGTCAACACAAAACCCCTAGAACTTCAACCACTATAAACACTGCAGTAAGGGGATATAAAGGACACCTCTCCATAAAGGATTGATCAGGTGTTGATACTTCTGCTGCGTATTTCACAAAGGTTTTCATTTTCGCCCATCAATCGGTACCGCGCATGCGCAGTTCGCCGAGGGTTTGCACTTTCATTTTCATGGTGACAGTGTGTCCTTTATACTGAGCAATGTTACCACCATAAACTAGACCTGTAGTCCAGTGAGTGAGATAAACAGTCTCAGGATATCGTTGCTGCCTTCAAAGATCCGGAAGATTCTGAGGTCTCGCATTACTCGCTCCAGTCCACACTCCTACAATAATTATCAGTAAGACGGTGTCTTTAAACGAGCCCACCCAGTCGCACGAATTGTGCGATTTTGTTGAGACGGGCACTGCACAACCACAATGTGATTCGCCACTCCCAATGTACGTAAAAGTATATACAGCAAATGGTTTTCTGACATAATGTCAGATTCCTTCAGTTGAACACTGTACCATGTAGTCAATATGTTGTCAGAGTGCATCTGATCCTCCAAATTGCGTACGTACAACTATCGACATTATTTCAAAGAGTGAAATTTTGATCCACGAAAATCTCCAGTTGTGCATACAGTAGTAGTGACTCACAGTCATGAACCCCATTCCTCCATGGAGTTGGATGCACTCGTCGGCCACCCACCAGGCACTCTCCTAAAACCAAAACCAAAGGCGAAACGTGAAAACAAAGCCTAAAAACTCTGAAGTATGGCACTTGGTAGTTTGAGCTAACATGATGTTCTCAATGCAACAATGCACACCTACATATAATTATATATACACCCCACAAATGTGGGTTCCGAGGCTACAGTTTGTATATATAACCCCATAAATGTGGGTGCCTAGGCTAACACCACACAACCACATAAATGTCGGTTCCCAAGGCTACGTTTGTATAACACCACACAACATACACAGCAGTGCAAATAATATGGTGATAAGTATGTAAAGTGAGAGAGCCTTGCGATGAGTGTGTGCCACTCACCGAGGCGTATATTTTACTGATGGCTGCCTCCAGCTGGTACTCAACAGAGCCTCTGTCCATGTTACCACTCAGGAGGTACGCAATGGACTGGAAAAAAAACACCAAAGATTGGTCATGAGAACACACACTTAAAGAAAGAGTGCTATGAGAGGCTACTTCTTACAAAAAACATACAAAGGGCTTGCTAATGTAGGACTGGCCTCGCACACTCAATTTACGGACACTTTTGTAAGGGACACTAAAGAGCGCACAGTACCTCAGTGACATACTGACGAAGAGCCATGTGTGCTATCTTCTCCTGCACCACTCCATACGTCTCCAGCTTGTTGCCAAACTGCACCCTCGTCGACACGTGCTCCGCCTGCACGGACACACACGTTCTGTTCACCAATGTTTTTCTGTCTTTCTCTGTTTCAGAACTGCCAAGTGCACGAAAGCAGCATCCGTAATTGTTCAGTATATGTATGTATGTGCGTATTCTCCTGTACTCCCATAGAAAATGTATGAGAGTAACAATAGTTAGAGAAAAGGGCATAGCGGCAATAAAACGCGAAAATTTGTCCGCATGAGCGTTTAATCTTTGGTGTAATGACGCGAAAACATTGCACGCTTGGCAGTTCTCATGTTGATCATCTCACCGTCCTTCTGATGAGAGACTTCATCGTGCCGGAGAGGGCACCGGCCATTCCAAACCGTCCGTTGTTCAGAATGTTCATGGCCACATAGAAACCTTTCCCTTCCTCTGATTATAGAGAATCACAAAATGTACCGAACAGCAAAACGTGAAATTCGTTTCCCCTTAAATATGTGTACCTCCAAGTAAGTTTTCCACTGGCACCTTTACATCCTCAAAGTGAACCTATGAAATAAGGGAAATGGACACTTTTAACAAACTCCGTAACAACTTTCAATGGGATTTTGCAAACAAACGATCTATATCTTTGTAATACACACAGTCACATATTTTAAAGATACAGTACTTGCCTCTGCTGTATTTGAAGCCTTAATTCCCATCTTTTTCTCTGGCGGCCCACTGCAGAACAAATATAAACTATTCCAGGGTATTCCGGATGGTTGGTTGGTCTTTCTAAAACTAATGAAAGTTTAGGCCACCCTGCTCTTATGCACTGCACACCCAAGCTATAGTCAAGCTATTCAAGATGGTTGGTTGGTCTGTCCTTCTCCCCACCTTCTTTCTAAAAGTACAAAAAGTTTAGGCCACCCTACTCTTATACACTGCACACTCCAGCTATAGTCAAGGTATTTAGGATGGTAGGTTGGTCTGTCCTTCTCCCCACCTTCTTTCTAAAAGTACAAAAAGTTTAGGCCACCCTACTCTTATACACTGCACACTCCAGCTATAGTCAAGGTATTTAGGATGGTAGGTTGGTCTGTCCTTCTCCCCACCTTCTTTCTAAAAGTACAAAAAGTTTAGGCCACCCTACTCTTATACACTGCACACTCCAGCTATAGTCAAGGTATTCAAGATGGTAGGTTGGTCTGTCCTTCTCCCCACCTTCTTTCTAAAAGTACAAAAGGTTTAGGCCGCCCTACTCTTATACGCTGCACACTCCAGCAATAGTCAAGGTATTTCGGATGGTACGTTGGTCTGTCCTTCTCCCCACCTTCTTTCTAAAAGTCCAAAAAGTTTAGGCCACCCTACTCCTATACACTGCACACTCCAGCTATAGTCAAGGTATTTAGGATGGTAGGTTGGTCTGTCCTTCTCCCCACCTTATTTCTAAAAGTACAAAAAGTTTAGGCCACCCTACTCTTATACGCTGCACACTCCAGCTATAGTCAAGGTATTCAAGATGGTAGGTTGGTCTGTCCTTCTCCCCACCTTCTTTCTAAAAGTACAAAATGTTTAGGCCACCCTACTCTTATACACTGCATACTCCAGCTATAGTCAAGGTATTCAGGATGGTAGGTTGGTCTGTCCTTCTCCCCACCTTCTTTCTAAAAGTACAAAAAGTTTAGGCCACCCTACTCTTATACACTGCATACTCCAGCTATAGTCAAGGTATTCAAGATGGTAGGTTGGTCTGTCCTTCTCCCCACCTTCTTTCTAAAAGTACAAAAAGTTTAGGCCACCCTACTCTTATACACTGCACACTCCAGCTATAGTCAAGGTATTCAAGATGGTAGGTTGGTCTGTCCTTCTCCCCACCTTCTTTCTAAAAGTACAAAAAGTTTAGGCCACCCTACTCTTATACACTGCACACTCCAGCTATAGTCAAGGTATTTAGGATGGTAGGTTGGTCTGTCCTTCTCCCCACCTTCTTTCTAAAAGTACAAAAAGTTTAGGCCACCCTACTCTTATACACTGCACACTCCAGCTATAGTCAAGGTATTCAGGATGGTAGGTTGGTCTGTCCTTCTCCCCACCTTCTTTCTAAAAGTACAAAAGGTTTAGGCCACCCTACTCTTATACACTGCACACTCCAGCAATAGTCAAGGTATTCAAGATGGTAGGTTGGTCTGTCCTTCTCCCCACCTTCTTTCTAAAAGTACCAAAACTTCCTACCCTTCCCACCACTTGCTTGCTAAGGCCACCCTATTTCCACAGTCACTCATGACAGCAGAGTGCAGGTGAGAGGTTGCGACTGGCTAACCTGGTGACCCCACCAAACCCTCTCTCCACGACGAAAGCCGATATCTTGTCCTTCGTCTCCCCCGTCTTGGGGTCAGTGACTGGCGTCTGGGCAAAGACGGTGAAGATCTCTGCAATACCTCCATTGCTGATCCTAGAGAAGGGACAGAAGGGAGGGGGAAACACGTGCCAAGTGAAGGCTAATGCTAGGTTCGCAATACAGTATGTCGCATTGCCCTGTCGCGCCTTGGCCTTTGCCGGTTTGCCGTGTCGCGAGGATAGAATCCATTTCTATCCTCGCGGCAGGACACGACGCGGCAGGACACGACGCGGCACGGCGCGACGGGGCAATGCACCATATTGTGAACCTAGCCTAAGTATTAATGGACAGCAAAGACTACATAGTACAGAAAAATCACACAATTCAACAGACAAATAAACAATAAAATGAGGTAATAGAGGTTTTTATTACCAGATTTTGCCTCCATTGAGAATGTAGTGCTTGCCATCTTCACTCTTTACCGCTCTTGTTCTGATGGACTGGATTAGAGGAAAATGATCACAAAACTAGCTAATTCACAGATCATAGCAGCTATGTATATATCAATATGCAGCGTTACCACATCACTACGCCATACATACAGAGACCTGTTGAGAAATTGACTCTTCATAATTATGACATTGAGTGATCAAATATTTCCCACAGAATTCACAAAATTTTTACCACTACCCCTTAAGTGATCATAAATTTCCCACATACGACTAAACTTACTTACAGAATGTGACAAAAAAATTTCTGAGAGCTGAATGTGTATATATGCCGGACTTACACTGGCATCGGACCCACTGGACGGCTCAGTGAGACAGTAGGCAGCCACTAGTTCCCCAGACGACAGCTGAAAACAAAGCAAGACTCACCATTATAGCGAATGTGGCACGCAGCACCAAAGTTTTCATGCATAAATATTTGTTTCTATGATCACTTTTGCAGGTCACCCATGAAAAATTTTGCTTACTCTGGGAAGATATTTTCGTTTATGCTCCTCTGTCCCATACAGCAGTATTCCTTTGAACCCAATGGACTGGTGAGCTCCGAGCGCTATCCCGATCCCCAGATCATAACCTCCGACAATCTCGACCATCCTCGCGTACTGGGTGTTAGTGAGGCCAACCCCGCCCAGCTCTGTAGGGACTTGCAGTCCAAACGCCCCCATCTCTTTCAGCTGCTCGAAAATCTCTGCCGGCATACCCTCTTCGCGGTCGTTGCGAGCTGCGTCATTCACTTCCTGAAAATTTGTTAAAGAATCAGTGGGTGACGTACGTACACACGTATCATAACCTACGAAAAAGAATACTCAACACTTTGGTTTTATCCTATACTAATACATCAATTTCTATGTCTCGGGTTAGTATAGTGTACTTGCCTCGAAAAATTTTGTGACCGGATCGATGAACATGCTCAGATTCTGTTTTTCGTCTTCAGTCATCACTGGAGATATGGAGAGGTGAAAGAGGTGAGAAAAGGTGAGGGAGATGAGGCGGTTTATGAGCTCAAAAATTGAACGTATGTATAATACATACCTCTGGGAATGGAAATAGTTCCGCAGTTTCCATTTTTCCGAGGAATGTATTCATCACAAAAGATTGATTGCTCTGAGGATGTGTACATACACGATGCGATAAGAGGTACACGAGGGAATGGTGTGTTAATTGTGGCTGAATGATGTGGTGCTGTTGACATCAGTGTACTGACACAGACTGTCAATAGATTTGTGTACATTATACACCCGTACTTTTATACAGGAAGTATGTCGTATCTTCTACACCCATACGGAGGCCCCAACAAGAGACACCATACGTCCCAAATTGTTCTATCCGACAAACTAGGGGCCCCCACTGACGCACCGGACAGCCTATGCACAAGACACGACACACCCACAACACACCTCCTTTGCATCCGCTGTGGAGTAAGCTCTCCATCTCTGCCCCTGAGACAGAGGGCGGGCAAGAAGACCAAACGCCTGCCATCCTCTGCAGAACAACGCCAAGAAAGCAAGTCAAGGGCTATTAGTATTGGCCCCTACGTTTCAGCTCAAGACTTTACCTCTGTCCAGCGACTGGGGTGGCTCTTACAGCCCGTCCTATTCGCAGCAACGCACCACAACTCATAGTAAACACAGCGTACCCTGCTCGGCTCTAGAACAACACAGTTGTGAGCCGAACGTCTCTCTCTCTCTCTCCGTTCGGTTCCACCCACCACCGCTGAGGGATGACGCAACGTTTCCGTAAATAGCTACGTAGCAAACTCGCACCGGAAGAGATGACGCAGTCCATAGTCATTCAAGGTAAAAGCTGGTATGTTTGATCCTTGCTGCTGGCTCTTTGTCGTTGTACATCTGTCACTAGCTTTATGTCTCTCACTTTCTTCTCCTTGCAGTTGGTCAGTGCGGCAACCAGGTAGAAACACTAGCCCATTTTGAACCTACTGACCTCAGCTGCATGTTGTTTGAAACAGATTGGCTGCAGATTCTGGGACTTGGCACTTCGAGAGCATGCTCAATATAGCAAGGTCCCTCACAATGCACACTACTATACACACTGCCATACATTTATCAAGTTTGCTAGTCAGACCCTCATGCAAGGCCTATGCATGCAAGGAGAGAGGGTCTTGCCTGCGAGGGCAACTTACACCAGCCATTCTTTGTTACTGCAGGCTGGGGCTTACGATGAACCACTCAGCAGTTTCTTCAGAAACACGGACACCAGGTCCACATTGACTACCATACATCAACACACATTGACTACCATTATGTATAATTATTGACAAATCACTCCAGCAAAGTTGTATCATTTCTACTCAGACATGGGGTGCAAAGAGATATTCCACTTGGTGAAGGCAAGGGAAGGATAGGAATGCTAAAAGCAAGAGTAAGTTCAGATTGTGTGCTGTTCGTGCAATACCGATCTTATCAGTATGCCAGTTCACTGCAATGCAAAAATTTACCAAATGTATCACCAAATGTTCTTAGGGGCATTGTTATGTAGGTGCGCGCAGCTCATTTTGCAAGTAATAAATTGTTCCTGTTTCGAGGAGCTATGTAAATGGCATTGAGAATGCACAAATAAATATTTTGAGGTCTTACACATGCTACTGACTAACAGGCAGTGTTAGTTGACATGGAGGAAGGAGTAGTGAGTGAGCTGTTGAGTGAGCCTCTGGGAGAGGTTTTTGACAACCGTATGCTCCTAACTGACGTCTCGGGCTCTGGAAATAACTGGTAATCCTTACAAATACAGAACTCTGTAAAATCTACATCAATAGATGACACAACTCCGTTGAAAAAGGAACATTGGCAGGATTTAAAAAATCGACGTGCGTGTAATGTAGTTTGTCAGTCTTACACAGCAGTAAGCTCAGCCTAAGGTACGATACAAACACTTAGAAGATCTACAGTAGCTATTTCTCGATGGTAAATAACACTTGTAAATCAGATTTGATGAGTGCTTATTTACGATGCATGCAGGGCCGTGGGTAATAAGATGTATGGAACAAAGTACCACGAAAACATCGTGGAAACTCTGCGAAAATCTGCTGAGCTGTGCGACTGTCTTCAGTCTTTCTTCATCCTGCACTCAATGGGTGGAGGTGGGTGTGGCACTTGGTCACGTGACAGTCATGTGACATGATTAACTCACAGGGACTGGGTCCGGAGTTGGTACAAAAATCCTCGAGGTTTTGAAAGACGAATTCCCTGAAGTTTACAGGTCTGTTTTTTAAGGAAGATTGAAAATTGAAAATGGAAGCATTGTTTCAGATTTGTAGTCGCCGTGTTTCCTTCAGCGGATGATGATGTCATAACCTCACCATATAACAGGTTGATGAAGAGAGCGTTTACAGAAGAAAAAATGTTCAAATGTTCATTGTCTTTGATAAGTGTTTTAGCTCTACATGAGTTGACAGAAAAGGCAGACTGTGTACTACCAATTGATAACCAGGTTATTGTTCATGAATATTCACTGTTCATGAAACAAAACTTGGCTGCTTCGTTAAAACTCTGTACTGAAATGCTTATTTTCCTCTGTTTCTTCTCAAGTCTCTGATAGACATATGCCAGAAGGTGAGCAGGGCGTGTCACAGCAAGGTTGGAGGCGGGGCCAGGCGTGGCAGTACGGTTGTCGCAGGAGACGGGGGCGTGGCAGGGTCAAAGGAGAAACCGTTTGACGCCATGAACAACATTGTGGCCAACCTTCTCCTCAATCTCACCAGGTTAGGTTGGCAAGTTTAATACAGTTATCTGCATAATTATGGCTTAGAAACTTTCCTGATTTGCGAAGAAAATTTTCGTGGTGGATTTTTGTGCTCCACGATACAATTTTCTATCCCTACAGTATTTCATGGAGAAAACCTTGGCAAGTGGTTCCAAAACTGTGAAATTTGCGAATTATGTATGTGCCGTTTTCTCATTGAAAGTTCCCCACTATTTATAAGTACATAATTATCTACAACAGTGGCTAGTGATTCATATTAGGCTGTCATTCTGACAGTGTTAAGACTATGAAGGTCATACTGTAGTGTGTGTATCAGTCCCTCCAGGTTCGAAGGATCCCTGAACGTGGATCTAAATGAAATCACCATGAACCTGGTCCCATTCCCGAGACTCCATTACCTGGTTCCAGCCATCTCTCCTCTCTTCACCTCCCAGGACATTGGACTCCCTCTTCACATGTACAACTACACCAGGCAACATGCAGCAGCAAGTTACCAGAAATAGAATGCCCTAGCTAGCAACATGTTACGAGACAAGCAACTTGCTATCATACACGCGGCAACTTTTTGCTTGTGACATGTTACAGCAACAAGCCTTCATTAAAAAGAACTTTGTTGCCAATTTTTCATCTTTCTGTATAATATGCTCTTTGCTGGTGGACGCAGGTTAAACCAGTCCTTCTCGGATGTGTTTTCGAGGGACTACCAGTTGATCAAGGCCGACCCCAAGCACAGTCTGTAAGCTCTTTAGATCTAGAAGGTTCCACGAGCTTCTAGAAGCTCTGTACATTCTGCAAATACATACTCCTTTCCCTCTGTTTTCTAAGGTACTTGGCTTGTGCCCTGATTCTGAGGGGGAAAGTGAACATGTCTGATATCCGAAGAAACATTGAAAGGTTTCCTCAAATGCTCTGCTTCAAACTCCCACAATACACTTTGTATCTCTCTATAAGGCTGCAGCCTTCTCTTAGGTTTGTACACTGGAACCAACAGGGTTGGAAAACTGGTCACTGTTCCGTCCCGCCTATCGGACAGGTATTTATAAGACATCTGAATCCCTGCCTACACAGGCACTTTTGGGCTGGTTTGTACAACTGCTTCCGTTTGTGTGTGAATGGTCTAAAGGAAGTGCGTTTTGAAACTAAAGCGGTATTGAATGTGGTGTTTGTGTAAATCAATGGGTCTTGAGAAGTGTCGGATTTCTATAATGTGGACTGTATGGATCTCTTGTGTTGCAGGCCTACTCTGTTCTAAGCCTAGCCAACAACACCTGTTTCAGACATACTCTATCCGACATCAGCGAACGCTTCAACAAGCTATTCCGGAGAAAGGTGCCCTTCCTTCATGAATTATAAATGTTTTTGCTCCACGCATTTGCATACTGAGGCCCAATTTTCAAAGCTCTTCAGCGTTCCTTTTGCGAATAATGTCGCCCCCAAGTCGACTGTCTCTGCATATTGTCATTGGTTCCTAGCATTTCTCTCCACACACTTGCATACTGATGTTCAAAGTTCTTCAAACAAAAAAGCTTCGTTCCTTCACGAATAATGCCATCGCCAAGTTGATTGTTTCTGTTTTATTGTCCTTGTATTCCTTGCATGTCTCTCTATGTATAAATCATAGATTAAGAGTGAATGCTCACTTTTTTGAAAGTTGCACAAGTTGAAAGCTCCCAAAGGTGTTTCAGTTTCGAGTGAAGTCTTTTGCCGCGTGCAGGCTCATCTACATCACTACACTGCGGTGGACGGAATGGAACTGGACCAGTTGACACAGAGTATGGAGTCACTGAATTCTCTAGTATGTAAGTATGAATCACTAGAGACCACTATGGGTGTACCTACTGTACACAGACCAAGATTCAGGCTAGCCTAACACGTATTCTCTCTTTCTCTCTGGATTTTGCCATTTTGTCAAAACAAGCGCTTGCGCACTCATTACTGTGTAATAAATATGTATATCTCAATATGTATATCTCAAAACGAAAAGGGATGTTTAATCATAAAAATGTTATGGTCCCTAGTAAAACCAAAGTATAAAAAATGTGTGTAAGTCAAAGGTAAGTACTTCATGCATATTGGGAGTAAGTTTATGTATGTATAAGTGCATGTCTCTACTATATATAAGTTAGTTGTAGCGGTCAGAGGCTAGATATTGGATCATCCCCACCCTCCACTGCTGTCTTGTTGGTGTAGCTGGTGACGGCCGCCGGGTCGTCGGCTAGGCGATTGGCGGCACCCTTTGGCGGAGATCCATCTTTTGTGGGCTCTTGTAGCGGCTGCTTCTCACTCCCACTGTACAACACCGACTCCTCGAGACCAATAGCTTCCACGTTTTTGTCGGCCGCGACGGCCACGTAGTCGTTGGAGCGTTGACCGTGGGCCGGTTCTTCAATGTCGTAACCCTTCGAACGGCAGGTGACAATACTCCACAGTCGCCCGAGTTCCTCTCGCGATGGAAGATAGAAAACAAACTGGAGGATTGTGTGAGCGAAAATCAAGAAACTGAAGAGGTACTGCGTGGTGAGGTACGCATCGCGGGACACGTTGCTCGAGGCGATGAATCCAAACGCCCATCCGATACCGTATATCAGTGACAGGATCATTGCGGCAAACACGTGGTAGAACACAGAGTGCTGTGCGTCCTTCGATTTCGCGACGAGGCCCTTCCGCGTTATCGATCACCAGTGTGCCCATGAACAAGAACCAGTTTAGAGCGTAGATTATGACGAGTGGTGCGACCAGGAAGGCATAGAACGGCCAGTTGTACAATTGGCACCTGCAGTGATAAATTCATGTGTGTGTGAAGTGAAATTTTTATCATAGAACTTACAGTCTATATTCGCCATAGTAGTCAAGCCCAGCAATTGAAATTAGAGCTGGAACAATGGGCACACCTTCAGAAAAAAAAACAGGGTGTACATTTTTCATGTAGTGTAAAAATTTTAATTGTTTACCCCAGGCGATTGGAAGAAATATCCAGGACAAGTTTCTTGTCAAAAACCGATCGTCAAAGGAGGGCATTTTCTGTCGCAGGAACACCAGTAGGGCCTCGGCAAATGTCCAAATGAGTGCTACTACGAAGAAGTAGTCCATTAGGAAGGCCCACAGGCGGCAAGCTCCCTCGGGCATGTCTTCTCCGTACGCCAGCATAGTCACAAAGTAGAGGCCAAAGAGGGCGCCACAGAAGTTTACCAGGATCCTGCTCTCTTGTGTTGCACGTAGCACCCTGTGGATAGTACACAGACTATCACCCACTGACCTACTGCACAGTAGTTTCACTGGATCCAGTGGATGTTGGGACCATGAAAAAGTTTAAAGTGTTCTTTACTTAGAGAGTTCTATGTATAGGAGAGGTGTCTTAGAAGGTACATACAGTATGGGTCGTTAAGTGGGTAACGCAATTGTTGTTCAAAAAAAGTGCTGGTTCAGTTGACAACAATTGTTTTTGTGCTCTTTGCCATTGCGTACAAGTGCTCTGTAATGTACCTTGTGACCTGATAGCAATTGTGGGACATTTGCACCATCATTTGCACAGCACTTGTATTGTACATGTTTGCACAGGGTGTAAGTGCAGTACATAGTACAAGCACATATCTATACAATTGCTGTCCATTGTGTCAACTGCATGTTTGTGTGACTTGTAGCACACTTGATAACATTTGCTTACCTGATCTTGACACTTGTATGGGAATTTTTGTGGTGTGTCAATTGCAACTCAATAGTATTACTTAGTTTTTGACCCGTACTGTATATAGCACAATAAAGAAGCTCTGTTTATTCCAAGTCTTGGGGATTATGATGGTGCAAGGTGAATTATTCTCTCTGTGGGTGCCGTTGTATCAATACCTGTTCTATACATACCTGAGACCAAGGTGAAGGGCAATAGTTAGGAGCAGTATCACCAGGCAGATGCTGAGGAGAAGGTAGACCACGGCACTGTGGTCAGCATCATCATCATCATCATCATCAACTTCAACCGATGGTGGCTGCTGGGTCACTGGTTCAGTAGTGTTCTGTATGAAAACACACCCACTTAGCCTTGATTGGGAGCAGAGCGAGCCAGCCTTGTCGTCTGAATAATCTTTCTGGCCGGGCACATACCGTGATTTTTATGCACGTTTATACGTAAATCGCTGACATTTTGCACTCATGTTTGCTTGCCAAGTGTACGTATAGCACTATTCTTAATGCACTATAGCTGATTGAGAATATCATTCCCTAATATCAGCTATGAAGAATGTTCCTATGGAGATAACTGGGATTATTTTATAATGCCATTGCTGGCATAATATACCTGCTTGATGGCTAAGAATGTCCCAACGGGGATAGTTTTTGAGGGGGTAGCTATAAACTTACGGAGAGGATTGTAAAGCTTGTGAGATGGTTACACGAACAGGTTACTTCGTTTGGCCCATCTGCAGTGGTACACCCAGTTGTTGAGAAGCCACCATATCCACCTGCAGAGAGAACGACTTCGTAAATCATCACAGTCACAGTGCCGTGTGATGTGTCATACCGCCTAAAAGTGGGTCCCAGAACACGCAGGTAGAAGGAGAATTGGGCTGCAAAAGAATTACGTGCATATTACACAGTATATCCAGTTTCAATTTCTACTACAATAGTGGCCCTCTATTGGCTCGTTGACACAGTGCGGATGCCTGTATAAATCGAGCTTGACTACTCGAGTGCTTTACGAATAGTTGGTACTGCATTGAGTAACCCTATGCATTGAGTGACCAATGACATGTTTAGTTGCTCAAAACTTAGTCTTTTATTAAAATATGGTGGGTAAAAACAGACATACGTACCGTTGATTTTTGGAATCGGGCTGTCACAGGGTCTGATAGTCCAGTTGCAGTGGCGTCGTAGATAGTGGCAGATATAATGACACTACCAACATCGAGTCCCCGAAACACTTCAGGGGTGCTCAGCGGTTGAAATAGCGCGTCGTCGTCAAACAGCGAGAAACTGATACGTTGAGATCCGGTGCTACTCACGCGATCCAGTACAGACTGAGGTAGGACTATGGAAGCTACGGCGTCCAAAGGAACTGAGCTCCCGGACGAAGACCCGACTGTGCCACTCCGGAAGCTGTTTCTCGAGTTTGTACTGAACGTGATTCCTTCGATGTTGTTGGTGTCGACGTTCTCGGCATGTAGAGCAAAGTTGTCTTCGGAAAGTGTCAGTGATCTCTGGCCTGGAGTTATGTCTATATCTCCAGCAAAATCTTCAAGAGCTGACAGGAGGCTGCGTTGGACAAAAGTAGAAGAGTATACTACCAACCTCGATGGGAATGTGGCAGTACAGGGCTAGGGCCTACTGAAAAAAATTTTTTCTAAATTTAGCACTTATACTCTGATTAAGGCCAACATGCAAGGTGCAACACTTCTGTGTTCGTGCAACATGTTGCATGGACTCATACTCCTATGACATTGATGTTAAATGAGACTTTTTTGTATCATAGATGCTGTATATGTTGGCTTACGTATTTCCGGATTGACTCTGCTTGACCACGTCTCCACTCACATCCAGTATACTGTCTATACCATCCAATACATCAGTCACAATCTAATGGTGTGTATGCAGCACAGCCTTAGGCTTGTGAGGAGAGACAAAAATTGAAATCAGCTAACCTCCGGGTTGTCCAGAGCGTCGTTCAACAGACTGTCAAAGAGATCTACAGCCACACTGAACGTCTCCGAGTCTATTTGGTTTGGATCAGACACGGCTTCAGCAACAGCAACAGCTTGCTCAACAACTGGCAACTGTAGAGAGGTCATCATCACACCAAAGCTATCATTAATACAGTGGAACCTCTGAGCAAGGGATACTATGGAGCCAACGATACTGTCCCTTGTAGAGAGGTTGTCCCTACCTCGGAGATCAAATAGTAATAAATGGTGTTGAAGAAAGTGTCCGTTGTAGAGAGGTGGTCCCTATCTCAGACGGTCCCTTATCAGAGGTTCCACTGTACTCATTCTATCGTAGCCCCATACAACTAGGTTCTATGCCCATCCCTGTATAGGCACTGTACCTCAGAGGCTTGACATAGCTCCAGTGTGCTATTACTGAAAGAGCACTGGCTGACATCTTGGGCTTCCCACATGGCCCCATTACTGTAGTTCCCACCACAGATACGAGTGGCCAGGTAGCTTGATGAGTTTAGTGCACCACAGGCACAACTCTCTGTCGCCATTTGCCCTATCTCCAATTCAGGCCACTGTATTCTAAAGTTGGGCCAATATGGTATGTAGGATTGTCCCAACTCCATTGGACAGCCATCTGTGATACGAGTAAAACCGTTGGTTTAATACTACGTCACAAGAGCTCACAATGCAATGTTGCAAGAGGTTTGTGAACTTGCATTGCATTTGGCCCTCTGCAACATTCCGCGTGAATTTGCATGGAATAGGTATTTTTTTGCAACATTTGCAAAGTGTTGCACGCTTTCGAGTTGCAGGCTCAAGTAACATAATATAGCCAGCCTCTATACATACAAGAGCTATAATATACCATCTCCAGTACATCAAAGATAAGTGAAGCTAATGATTATACTCACCATAACGAGTTACTTCGACCACGACTTGGATACCAGCGGCTTCTGCAGTTTCAGTAATCTGATTGGCCAGTGCACCTCCGACCCCTCCCTGTGGAATGTCACCGGCAGCTGCCACGGTGACCAGAAGAGACCCGGTTCCTCTGCATTGGTAACCGAGCGTGGTAAAGACAGCTCATTGAGAAATATTTGGAAGTTTGACAGATACTGTATATGGGAATTTTGCAGTGTGTGATGACCACCAAGATTGAATGTTCACTGATATAATATAACACGCGGTCCGTTTGAGGCAAAGTTGTGTGGATGCCAATGTTTCAAGTTATATGGTATTCATACTCACGTGACCGAGACTGAGTAAATGGTGACGTCAGAACCTGGGATCATTTGGCCAACCAGAGCATCGGCAAGCTAACGGGGCAAAGAGCACCATTACTGGCTAAAATACACTCTTTGAATGTTTGAGTTTACCATAGATGTTGGGTCTGCGGTGTCTTCCCTCTTGCGGCGTGCCGGGAACGTCAGTTTCACACCAAACTGCTGTATACCTGGAAGGAAATAGGTTATTTCTCATTGGGCAAGCAGACAAGTATATAGCTAGCTATACTGGCAGAACTGAATGAAGAAAGCTATCCGTTCCCTCACACAAACTGATACCATACCTTCTAGAGTGACTAGTGCTTGGTCGGATTGCGCAACTCCCTCGGAGTTCTCTGCCCTGCAGTAATAGGAGCCTCTGTCTTCTGGTTTGGCAGCCGGGATGTAGAGGAACTGGAATATGGCGTTGGGGATCACATCTCTGTCTCTGAACCACGTGATTGCAGGAGTGGGTGAGCCGGTGACGGTGCAGGTTAGGTTGATAGGTTGGCCAGCCCGTCCAGTCGTGGGACGAGGAGATTCCGTGATCATTGGAAGGGACCTTACTATCACTGTGTTATAGAGAGAAAGCAGGATTACCGGGATTGTGGCAGTTTATAATTCAGAAACTGTTACTAGAAAGGTATTCCTTCACCAAGCCCATTTCCTTTGTGTACTGCCACATTCGTTTCGTAAAGACTACGGATTTGATACATCGTTCATAGAAAGAATGAACACAAAAACCTAGAAAACCTTGCGAGATCGTAAGTCAAGAATACTAACCAGATATGTGTGTGAAATTTACAGGAAAAGCCAAAGACAGGACATATTTATACGTACGTAGCTAGCTTCAACCAACCTTCTTCGTCACAGTTTCTACCCGTATATCCATCTTCACATATACACATGTAGGTGTTGAACCCGTCCACACAGTAGCCGTTCACACATGGTGTCATGATGGGGTCGGCCAGTATAATACACTCGTTCCGGACTGCAGAATTCAAGAAATAGCTCTGAAATTCGTGTGAAAAGAGTCGTCGGCTTACTTTGTATGCTGATGGAAATGTCTGCACTGACTGTAGGAACTCCTGGGCTACTGAGGAAAGCCTTACACGTGTAAACGCCCGAATCTTCGCCCGGATGAGTGTCGGATATTTCCAGCGTGCTTCTCTGAGTGAAGAGTCCAAAATTGTCTGTAGTCGGAGGAACAGTTGTGATGGTGATTCTCTCCGTGGAGGTCAGGAATGGAACTCCATCTTTCTGCCACTGTATTTGTGTAGCTGGTGGGAAGCTTCCATCGATGGTGCAGTTGAGGGATATCTCGTCGCCCTCTGTCAGCTCTGTGTCTGATACTGCTACCACACTTGCTTCAGGAACAACTGATAATTAAGAGAAAATCCATCTGTAATCCTGTTACGGTAGAAGGGGTATTTTTTGCGTAACACCAATTTGCAAAAACACCCCAAAAAGTGGGTCATAAAACTTTTTCGCGATTTAAAAATTTCTTCCTCGGCAAATTTTGTTCACTGCATAAGAGTCAGGCTAACTCACCAAAGACGCGCAGGTTGGCTGAGGAGGAAATTGAACCGTATGGTGATGTAGCTGTGCAGGTGAACACTCCCTGGTCCACAATATCTACTGAAGATATCCCGAGGGTTGAAATCTGCCTCAGGGAATTCTCCTGGACAGTTTCTATGGTTATTCTCGAGTTGTTAAAATAAGACCATTCAATTGTGGCTGGTGGCTGGGAATCGACAATGCACCTAAAAGCTGCCAGCAGATCCGAATCATCTCCTGATCGTACATTGCTGCTGTTCAACACGAAAAAATTGTCAGCAACCTCCTCCACAAGCGTCGGTGGCACTGAAACAGCGAGGGGGGGTATGTACCTTTCACAATTGTTACACCCACAACAAAACACTGGCTTACATATTGGAGTGAGCTCGATGACACTACTTGACGAGTTGGGTCTTGTGTATACGTATTCACCCTCAACCTCGGCTATGCAGATGTACTGTAGTACACTGTTCAACTCGACAGGTTCCACTACAGCCTGAATGGTCCTTGTTGTTCCATCATCAACTGTACTATTGGAGACAAATGGTGGAGAATCCGAAATTGGACGAAGGTATAGGCTCCGAGGTACATCGGGAGGGAATTCAGCTGTGCATGTGACAGTGAGAGGGGCACCAACCAATGGAACAGTCGAATTTACTTCAACTCTGAGTGGTGGAACTATTAGGAGTAGAGACCATGAAATAATCACATAAATGTTGACTCATTCCACAAACCTAGGATGCGTATGTCAGTGGAGGTTGTATTGGTGATGTTTACTCCGACGTCTGGCAGGCTGATTGTTAGTACACACTCGTATCTATCACCATCAGAGGGAACGAGTGGGGAGAAAGTCAGGGAGCTGTTGAAAATGAAAGCTCCGTAGTAACTGCTGTAGGAGGCATTGCGAAGTTCGATGCTGATTCTGGAGTCGTCTGGTGTCACAACGCCACGCGAGTTTTGCCACATGTATGAGGTTATGTTGGCGACCGAGGGACTTTCAGCATTGCACCAGAATGTGACTGTATTTCCCACTACGACGTCTGTTCTGGGGTCAACTGTTATGTTCATATCAACTGGAGAGAGAGAGAGAGAGTATTGGCATATACCAACAGCCCCCCATGCAATCATGAACAAAAAACACACATGAAACAAACACAGGCAACTTCATGCAGCGATAGAGTTGTGGTATATATGTAACTAGTGCGAAACATGTACGTATATAAAGTCAAATTTGCTTTTAGTGGAGCATATCATCAGTACAAAAAACTCACTGAATCCTGGTTGGCAGGAGAGTGCAGCATCGCGTTCGTGTGTGCAGACATCAGGTATGTCTGTTGTGTTTTGACACGCGTAGACATCGTATTCAGTTCCATTGCAAGATATATTGGATGCCAGAATCTCTCCCGTGCCCATCCCAAATCCAGTGTTTGGAACAATCTCTCCACCTACATATGTATATACATTTAGAAGATAACACATTTATTAAAGGGGATGGGGCAGTAGGGCTAAATTTAGGAAAAGATAACTGAAACTTAGTTGCATTCTTGCACCGAGACCTATTGTTTAGTTCGCAACATGTCTAAAGATAGCCCATATGTACTGCCACATCCCTTTAAAGCTTTGGATGGAAGGTTATACTGACCCCAGTAGAATCCTGCACTGCGGCAGGCCGGGACGGCATCATTCTCATCCCAGCCTACGTCACAAACGGTCCCCCATGTGTTGTTACTGCACACTTCAACTCTCCCCTCAGCACGGTTTGGTCCGCCAGCCAACCTCACAGCTCCAGAATAGCAAACTGCAAGGGATAGAACAACAAGTGAACCAATGGAAATGGCATCAAATCGCATAGCAGAATGAACAAACATTCTACCAGGCATCAAAGTACACAAAAGAAAGACAACAAAATATACAAAGCACTGAAGTACATGGAAGAAAGAGGAAAATAACCTATCAGTGCACAAGACATTCTACTAGGCACAGAACCAGGCACAAAGTGTACATGTACCAAGTCATCAGTAAAAATGCTAAGAGTGTCAAAGGCAGTGATGTGCTATGCTGACTTTGGTAGCATCGGACGCCAGCAGCTCTGTTGCTGGAGTTGGTACACTCGGAGCTGACTTGGGTGGGCTGCCCCCCGGGACAATCCTGGAGACGGGACTCCGAACCATTACACATTACGTCCTCGACGAGTGGCACTCTCGATCCAAACTCGAGACCAGTGATTGCTTCGCTCACTGTGTGGAAACAAAACTCACGGGTGTTTTAGATAGTACCTATGATCATCCTTACGGTATCCCTCTCCGTTATATTCCCTGCAAACAACAGCAGCATCTTCAGCTGTCCATCCAACGTCGCACACTCCCCGCAGTGTCTCGTTGTAGCAATAGTCCACTCTCGCCGTGAACGAAAATCCATACTCACTTTGTTGGGTACATATTGTCTGACAACTGGACAAAGCCGCTTGCATAGCAAGGGGTTTGAACTTCAACACAGCGAACTCCAGCTTGGTACTGTCCACTGAGACAATAGTCTCCAGTCACATTGTTGAGGTCGTAGCCCAGACAGTCACTGAGGTAGTTCTCTCTACCACTGCAGTTGAGATTCTGCAGCACGGGAGTTTCATCCGATAGACCAAACACCATTCCCCCAGTAGCCTCAGAGCCTGTAGCATCAGTTGATTACATATGCTTGAACGAATGCAAGGTATTTAATATTGACGACAAACAGTTTCACAGGTTTTCAAAAATTTGGTGAAAGGTTACGGTATGGTGGCAGTGCCTATCTATTATATGGGCAATTTAGAGGACAGGTAGGCTTTGCTTCGCTTATTAGCCATTTGCAATTGACTTGGTCTAATATCTAGTGCTATGGCTGCCAGCTGCCTCATGAGTATCATTGTGATTAGACTTACGGTACTGTGGAGAAGAGGAACCCATGGATGAGCACACGACTGCAGCGTCGTTGTCGGTCCAGTCCTCATCACACACCGGACGGAACGTTTCATTATAGCACACCTCAACTCTGCCACCATAGAAATAGTTGCCATCGATGTAGTCATATGTAGAGTTGCTCAGGGAAACTTGTCCATCATAGCAAGGCGTCGTTGGAGTAGGCACTGGTATGAGGATACGTATAGATAATTAAGAGTGAGTTTCATAGTTTCTATACCATCAACACAGCGAACTCCAGCTTGGTACTCTCCACTGAGACAATAGTCTCCAGTCACGTTGTTGAGGTCGTAGCCAGGACAGTCACTGAGGTAGTACTCAGTTCCATTGCACATGGGGTTTTGAAGTACTGGAGTTTCATCTGATAGACCAAACACACTCCCAAGTGTTGCTTCTGGGACCTGTTTAAAATAGGTAATACTCGGCAGGCATGAAGTGAGAAAATAGAGATGCTTACTGTAGTAGCTATATCCTATTTGGTAGCAGATCACAGCAGCATCGTTGTCCGTCCATCCATCATCACACACTGGACGGTAGGTTCCATTGTAGCACACCTCAACTCTGCCTCCATAGAAATAGTTGCCATCGATGTAGTCGTATGTAGAGTTAGCCAGGAAAAGGTTTCCATCAGGACATGGTGCAGTTGGAGTAGGTACTGGTATGAGGATTACGTATAGATAAATTATGAGTGAGTTTCATAGTTTCTATACCATCAACACAGCGAACTCCAGCTTGGTACTCTCCACTGAGACAATAGTCTCCAGTCACATTGTTGAGGTCGTAGCCTGGACAGTCACTGAGGTAGTACTCAGTTCCATTGCACATGGGGTTTTGAAGTACTGGAGTTTCATCTGATAGACCAAACACACTCCCAAGTGTTGCTTCTGGACCTGTTTTATTAAAGATAGGTAATACTCGGCAGGCATGAAGTGAGAAAATAGAGATGCTTACTGTAGTAGCTATATCCTATTTGGTAGCAGATCACAGCAGCATCGTTGTCTGTCCATCCATCATCACACACTGGACGGTAGGTTCCATTGTAGCACACCTCAACTCTGCCTCCATAGAAATAGTTGCCATCGATGTAGGAATACGTAGAATTGGTCAGGGAAACTTGTCCATCATAGCAAGGCGTCGTTGGGGTAGGTACTATATTTAAGAAATTTAGAAATATTTTGTAAGAAAATGTAACTTAGGCATACCTACAATACAGCGAACTCCAGCTTGGTTGTTTCCCTCCAGACAATAGTCTGAAGTCTCATTAAACAGTTCGTAGCCTGGACAGTCTGATAAAGAATACTCGGTTCCTCTGCATGTCACGTTTTCAGGTAGAACAGTTTCGTTCGACAGACCAAATGTTGTTCCTCCCGTGGCCTCAGCACCTGTTGTAGGAAAGATAATCTTTGAACTTGCGGATAAGCTGCTAACATAAGAAACTAACGGTAATAGGGGTAGCTATAACCCATGTTGTTACAGACAACTGCAGCATCATTGTCCGTCCATTCCTCGTCACACACTGGATGATAGACTCCATTGTAGCAAGCCTCAACTCTGCCTCCATAGACATTGCTCCCGTTGTAGTAGGAATAGGTAGAATTGGCCAAGAGGAGGTCTCCATCGTAACAAAAAGTTACCCCACTTCCCGAGGCAAACGGTGGCTGTGCTTGTGATGGAGCTACGACCACCAGAAGGGCCGCAGCAAACCAGGGCTGACATATGAATCTCTTCATCCTCCAGTACACGCTTGTGTGTGTGCTGGGAATTATGGACACACAGGAAGTTCAGTGGAAGGTGAGTTCCATTCTCTTATGAATACCACCACACCCTTTTTATTCATTATCTTTGCTACTTATTTGGTAGAATTCAGAACCTTTGACACCAGGTGGACAAATGTCTGGTATTCGTAAAAGGAATGGGCCCATGTGACTTTTATTTTAATATCAGATATGAGAGCAATTAAAATTAGGTCTAAAGTACAGAGTTTTATACATGGAGGAGGTGATACTACACTAAATTTCTTGGTGGGTGTAAGCTTGTATCTTCCCCTTTTTGGGAGCGGCCACCGTGCAGTAGGGGGCCGATGCTTACTGCATCCCGATAGCTACATGTCGTATTATATAGCTGCTACAAAGATACGCCCGATTTTTAGCGCAGCACACCGGTTTTCATAATCACTTGTCATGAAACATGTACAACTACGGTGATGCTTTTTGCACCAAGTTGGCGGTTACAGTAACCTACTAGGCCTTGCGCCTTCGACCGAAAGCTATCCGCCAGCGTATCGTGATTTTAGCTACTCTTATGGAGGATGAATGGAATGCACGAAGCTGGCGAGTAATCTCGCCTTTGCGTTACGGGGTGCAACAGAACTGCACCTTTTGCTATGGTTGCACTTATCTACGCTAACTTACCGGAGGCTGCGGATCACGCACGATCGGTCTTTGTGCACCTCCTGCTCTCTCCACTGCTAGACGCTTCGTTGTGCGACACCACACGAAGCCCAAGCTACCACGGGCGCAAAGAGGAGGAATAATGAATTTTCGCGCGTTTTATATGCGCGCGGCGGCCCGCCCGCTCGCGACCACTTGCGCAAATCTCATGACAGCATTCATAGAGAAAATGCAGACCACTTGAGAAAAGGTATGGTAATGGTTTCTGGTATATATCAATGTCAGAAACCATTCGTAGGGTGGGCCAGGCATAAAACAGCGCACACTTTTTGTGATCCATCATCATCGGTCAACGTAGCGGGTTGCGCATAGCCACGCGCGCATGCTCCTTACGTTATTATTACGCGTGTGGGAGTATTTTCGGAGGCGGAGCTAGAGGCGTTAGAACGTATGTCCAGACCCTCACGTGCTCCCTCACGTGCTCCCGCGCGAAAGGTTTGCTGAGTCAGCATGTTCAGAAAGCGATGTTTATGAAAAGCGCTAAAGCGCGAACCCTCGGCGAACTGCGGTACCGCTAATGGCTGGGCTGGGTTATTGGCGTTTACTCGCGGTCTCCCGCTTTCTGAACATAGCACTCACAATTCATTATTCCTCCTCTTTGCGCCCGTGGTAGCTTGGGCTTCGTGTGGTGTCGCACAACGAAGCGTCTAGCAGTGGAGAGAGAAGGAGGTGCACAAAGACCGATCGTGCGTGATCCGCAGCCTCCGGTAAGTTAGCGTAGATAAGTGCAACCATAGCAAAAGGTGCAGTTCTGTTGCACCCCGTAACGCAAAGGCGAGATTACTCGCCAGCTTCGTGCATTCCATTCATCCTCCATAAGAGATAGCATGCGGGAGTCGATACACACCCTTCGCTGTGGCTTCTTGTGCCTCCAAGGTATACAGAGCAAGCGGATCAGGTCGAAGTGAGCCAGCATACTGCGTCTAATACACGCATGCGCACCGCTTATTGATGGGTTGGGCCACGCAACGCTGTCCGCGACCGTGTCAGTTTGTCGCTCTCGAACGCAGTCGTTTCAGCAAAATCGGCATTTTAATTTTCTAGCCCATGTACCGCTAAAGCTGTTGGTATCGCTCTCATAAGCCGCCTCGTAGCCTGTAGTGCGAGAATAGTCGTAGACAGACAGACACACAGAACGACTACCGTAACCCTCGCTGTGCATGCGCGCCGAGGGTTAATCATGTGACATGAAGGCGATCTGCTGCAATGCCGACCGGTTATGAGCATGCGCGTAGCGCAACCCTTGATTAATCGATTGACACCGGCGGCGGCGCCTCTCGCAGCTCGCGGCCTTTAATTCCCACGCGAGCGGGAGCGAGCTAACCTGGTCCAAAGGCGCATATACGACCGACCGTATGTGCGCGCTTCTTTTTATCCGAAATCATTTCCAATTTTTTTCACATGTGCTACCTGCTCATGCGTAAGGTAACGCGATGCTGCTATAATGGCTCGTGCAGATAGTAGTCATTGCGTGTTCGCCCCCGCTCGCCATGCATTCGCCTACTATTACGTGCACGTGGAGGAGGCAGAAGCCCCGGTGTTTCGAGGCTACGCTTCTCCGTATCCGGCCGCCCGCGCACACGCGCATGCGTATATAGTCTTTTCCATGGCGTTGCTACTGCTGCGACACAAGGACGTTTCTACCGCATGCGAGTTCAGATTCCTGCAGTACCAACACTGTCAGTCCGTAGGGAAAACCTGACACCAATAGGTAAAACAACAATAGGTAAAACAACACTCTCAAAGAGCCTATATACAGGCTATAGAATACAGTCAAATGTTGCTTGTTTGGTTCGGAGTTGGTTTAGAGATACGAATTCGGATCTGCCTGAAGATGCGGGCATGTACATCCACCAGTGGCCGGTACATAGCACAAAATGGAGCAACTACTAGTGGAGCCAGTGCATACACCCCAACCAGCAACATCTTAGCTGTTGGACCATATATCCACACATGGAAGAACGATAAGACTCCATTGAAGATAGCATATGCTATAACAAAGAAAACACCGAACAGAAGGACGAAAGTGTGGTAGGTAAAGAACTTGACGTATTTGTAAATGAGGCCCAAAACTTCATAATAGGCGGCCACTGTCTTGGTGCTCTCGTGCTCACGAAAGCACTCCTTGAAGTCTAACTAAGGGAGAGAGTATTAGTGCAAAATTGCTCGCATGAGATGGTGACGCGGAAAGAAACTTACGTTCAGGTGAGCAACGGGTAAGGAGGAGGGGTCGTTCTCCACGTCCTGGTCGTGGTCAACTTGCGGTAGCGGAGAGCTGTAGTGCTGAAGGTTGTTTGCGCCGTTTGCCCCCTGGTACCCTGCCGCCTCTCTCTGCTGGACGTAGAGTGGCCTGGCGCCCGTGTCCTTTATCTGGTCGTAAGACATAACCGTGCAAGCGTCAGCCTAGTCAGGGGTATTTCCCTCGATCCTGGAGGTCGTAGGTGCGTGCGCTCATAAAACCCTCGGTGCGCATGCGCAGCGAGGGTTTGGTTGTGTGTGTGTTGGGTGTGTCGACGCTTATTTTGACACTACAGGCTACGAGGCGGCCAATTAGCGATACCAGCGGCTTCATAACTACGCGAACCGGAAAAAATATTAGGCGATTGTCCTGAAACGACTGCGTTCGAGAGATATGCCGTGAAAGCGAAAAAGCCAATATGCATAAGTAATCGCATTGGGCTTACTGCGACCTGATCCGCTCGCTCTCTGCGTGCCTTGGAGGCTCAGGAACTGTATCGACTCCCGCATGCTATCTACTGCTGTAGCTAGCCCGTGTCAGACTTTCCGCACGCTACTAGCGGGAGACCACGAGTAAACGCAATAGCCCAGCCCATCAATTAGCAGTATCGCGCATGCGCAGTTCGCCGAGGGTTTGGTGGCGCCGCCGCGCTACGCGGGTTGCGCATGCCATGCCATGCGCGAAAGATCAAATCGGAAAATGTCATTTCAAAGTCTCAAACATTGCTAAGATAGGACCCGGAGAGATTGACTCGGATCTGCCTGAAGATGCGGGCATGTACATCCACCAGAGGGCGGAGAATGGCGCGAAGCGGAGCAACGGCCAACGGAATCACCGCGTACACCCACAGGAGAGCTATCTTAGCCGTCGGGCCGTAGATCCAGACGTGGATGAAGGACATGACTCCGTTGAGGATGGCAAAGAGAAAGGCGAGGATGAAACCGAACACAAACACAAAGAAGTGGTAGGTGAAGAGCTTGACGTATTTGTAGGTGAGCCCCAGTACTTTGTAGTAGACAGCAACGGTCTTGGTGCTCTCGTGCTCGTGGAAGCATTCCTTGAAGTCCAACTGAAGGGATAGAATAATAGTGCTGCTCTTATACAGCATTCAGGAGTAAGTAACTAGCATTGTATTATTCGTAAATATGGTGAGCATGCGTTTCGCAGTTTCCTTAGACTCCACTCGCCGGATAGTGCAGTGCGGAAGAACTTACATTGAGGTGCGCAACGGATACGGTTGACGGGTCCTTCTCCGGGGTTTCGCTCTGCTCGTCGTCGTCTTGGCCACGGTTCGGAGGCGGCGGCGGCGGCGGTGAGTCATACTGGTGAATGTTGGTAAGTCCTACTGGTGGTGACCTGTCCGCGAGCTGGTAACCGACTGTCTGTCCCGGGCCCGTCGGGTAGGGATATACGGGAGGGCTTGCGCCCGTGTCCTTCAGCTGATCGTACGACATGGCCGCCTAATCTTCTGTCTCTAGACTCACACTTTACGAGTCTGTAGCTCACTGCGCGTGTGATGCAGTAGTCTAGTCCCTTGTTTTTATACTGCGCAGCTCACAACGAGCCCCGCCCACTCTTCATCCGCACGCGCCGCGCAAAATTGAGGCGGCTCGGTTTGATCATCAAAAAATTTTGCATAGAGATCACGCACAAAAAATGTCTAGCTATACGAATGCCAGTTTTAGGCTGCAGATATGACAGCTACATGTCTGTTCCGAGCTCGTGGGTCGTGAGGACTAAAAACTTTAGTACGTCAGACAAAGACACGATCCCTGTGACCTTTTGCTGCTGGTCAACAACAATCAGACGGTGCACCTGGCATTAGACACACAGAGAGAGAAAGATAAAAGATTCAGGCATTGAGAGATTTTCTGTCTGGCTCACTTTCTTTACAACCAGTCTCTCTGCTATTGTGCTGAGCGTTTCGGTTAGAAGACACGTGTGAACTCGCTCAAATGCCTGCGGAAAAGCAAGTGCCGTAGTAGCTAGCAGGGCATATATAGCTGAAGGTATTACTCACAGGTGCTCTGTGTTTGAGGGCTTCTTTCAGCGTGATGTCCAGGTTGTTGTAGCTTCGCTCAGCGGCCAGGTTCTGAGAATCACAATCATCATTCCAATACCGTATGGCTCCAAGACTAATCATCAGTTATACAACTTATACAACTTACAATGACATCAAACTTGGCATAGATATCCACAGCTTTTCCTGCACACACAAACCACACATTGAGCAGATAAAAAAAAGAGCAGAGAACTCTCAAAACCACCCAGACAGCAGGAATAAACAAGAGAGTTTCTGAAGAATTCAAGCTTGTTTGTTTACCTGCAGCGTCAATGATAGGGAGAGCTGAAACCCGTCTCTCGTGGAAAGTATTCAGTGCCACAATAATAGGTGTGTTCTCACAAGCCTGGGAAAGGAAATTATTATTATTTCTCTGAGTTGACATATTATAGTATATAGCCAAAGGTGAGTATATACAACATACTGTAGCAATGTTGTCAAAAGTGCCAATCCCAAGCTCTCCGATTGACTTCTGCATGTAGGACGGTTGCTGCTTCTCAAGAAACTGGAGAGAAAGTAACTCATGAAAGGTTCTCAATATAGGAGGAGAGCTCCATACATTGATATAGAGGAAGTGTAGCAGCCTTTTGTGGGTGAGAATGTACAGAGAATTGCCAGTCTTCTGGTCTATGACTGGAAGTCTATGAATCTTCCCTTCCACCAACTTCTTCACTGCATCATAGAGACTGCGAGAAAAGCAGTCGCTTTAGAATAACACATAGTGAAATTTTTTGACTTGTTCTGACCTTTGTCTGGGGTCGATTTGCATGAGAGTGCTTTTGAGAGTTGTGACTTTCTTTTCAGAGTCTCTCCACTCGCATATGGTCTGGTTTTCTAGCTCATCCATACCAACCTATTGTATAGGGAGCGGAAAGGCCAAACTCGTAAAACCCTCCCAAATCTTCTGCCTTTGAATTATTCCAACCTATTAACAAAAATCATAAAAGTACGTAGGGAGAAGCGCGAAAAAAACTGCAAGGCATGAACAAGGGAATGAAAAAACTGCGAGACCCCGGTGTTTTTCTTCCATCTTTTCTCTCTCTCCCCCTCCCTTGCTTCCTACACCTTTCTCCTTCCCTTCCTTTTCTGTCCTTTTTCTTCTTCCTCTATTTGTCCTTCCTCCCTCACCTTCTTATCCCTTCTCCCTCCCCTTCTTATCCCTTCTCCCACCCACCCACCCTCTCGTGATCTATTCACGCCTTACAACAACCATGAATATCAACACCATTATTAATGCCACATGACTGCAACTGGAACTAAAGTAAAGCCCTCACATGCATTGACACGCATCACATGCTGTTACTACATGTAGTAATAATCAGCACAACCTTTGTCACGTACACAACAACATTTTAAAAAGGTGGCGAAGGTCTTATCTTACTACACACCTTCCAATAAAGTGGGCATTTTGGTGGACAGGCAAACCAACCGTCCTGAACACCTTGACTACAGTTGGAGAGTGCAGTGCAACTAACCCTTGGGAGTGAATTTGAAAAATGGTGCTGAATGGACGATAGTTCTCTCGCTGGCTAGATTCACATTGACATGGCAGGCAGCGTGTTTAATTTCGGATAAAAAGAAGCGCGTAATTCTGACGCATGCACAGTAGCACGATGTACAGACGTATATAAAAGTAAATATATAGAAAAATCGTGCCATTCTGACCACTAGGTTAGCTCGCTCCTGCTCCCCAATTGACGTAATCCATGGATTTTATAGGTAAGTACACTTGCAGGCAAACTCAACCACAACCCCCCAAATTTGCTAACAAACCAAGCTAGTATATATACCTCCAGCAAGGATACACATAGGTCGGTACTTTACTGGGACATACAATAGATAACATTGCAGTAAGGTTTCCACCGAGGCTTCAATAAAACTCACAATTGGAGATTTGTAGTGATGCCTAAGAATGTTGATGAAATCGGTAATTGTGAGCATTCCTGCATTGAGGAAAAACAGAGACGGAGTCATTTTTCAGGCCCCAAAGCAAACAAAACAACAGCATACGACAGATGTCAGCCACTTCCTGAGTTGTATAATACCTACAATACCGACTGCACTAAAATGAACCTGGGCACCTCATTTGATTTGAAATTTGGCCTAGTCTCGGGGTACCATTACAGACAATTAGTGGGGGTACATACCTTGTACACTGTGCATGTTATACCACACCTCCAAATCCAGTGAGTATGTATGTACGTATGTATAGAGAGAGTGCCTCTGTCGAATACGGGACACCTTTGGGGTATCAAAAAATTTTCCTTTTTTAAGTGGCGTCCCTTATTATGGGGCGGAACCAGGTATCCCCTATGTATAATATAGAGAGGTCCCCTTTTTTCAGAGGGTCGTTTTTTCCCCGGAGGATTCACAATAAATCCGTACACTTGGAGGCGCAAGTACAATATGTACGTGCAGCTACGTATATTATTATGATGTGCTATAATTTTGTTCCCTCACCAACTAATTCCTGTGTAGCGTGGTCCCACAGTGGTGCCGCACGAATTCCGTTTGTCACGAGGGCAAAGAAAGCCTTCTTGACCTGCACACACACACACACACACGAAAATCCATCATATGCACACCGATGAGATAAGCTACGAATGAAGGAAATCTCACGCGAAGCCGGGTATCGAAAACCACGATTTTGGAACTTGGAGGAATGAGGTCGTAGCACGAGTTGGCGCTCATCCACTCCGCGCACATGTCCTCTGTTGCAACTGGATGAGAGCACAGAGGTAGTGTTTTTACACACTATAAGTCGAAAGGCAGGAAGATATTTTTACTACGCTCACCTGTAGGTTCTAGTGCTTCCAATCGGTCAGTAACAGATGTCCCTAACACACTTCCAAGGTCCTGAAAGACAATGAGATGAAGGAATATGTCGGTTCAAGCTAGCTAGACAGACGATAGGGGCTTACACTGATCATTGAGAATTGAGAAGGGGTGGCTGAGGCCCTCCGCTTATCCGAGATGTCTAAAAGCGGTGCATATGCTCTCCCTCTTTCTCTGTCTGCCTCTTCGATTGACACGGCACGTGGGGAGGACGACCGACGATCCTGAGAAGACCTCGCAGCTGGCTTCTTACTCGTTGTCGACCCCAAAGGAGGAGTTGTGATAACTTCCCCCCTCTCTCCCCACCCTCCTCCGGGCTGCGAGCTACCAGGCAACTCTGACGAGTTAGTTGCCTCCACCCGAGCGTCGAAGAAACCGACTCGAATGGCCGCCGGGGAGCTGGTCACGATCTCGACATTGGGGTAGTCGGGAAGGAGATTGCTGGGAGGGGGCAAGGTTGGAAGGGGTGGTTGGTGTTTTACTGGTGAGCTGACGTGCTGCGGCATCGCTTGGTGGTGCATCTTTGCGTCGTCTTTCCAAACCGAATTGTGTACCACTGCCTTCTCGTAGCTGGAGACCGACTGTTTATCTGGTGGGGCGGTGCTGGAAGAAGAGCTCCCTGTTCTCGGGGGAGGTGAGTTTGGAGGGGTCGAAAATTGGTCCCCTGGGGTCGCAACATAATCAAGGTCAAAGGCTTGGTAAAAGATGGAGGATTTATGGAGCTTACCTTGAATTGATTCCACACTCTGTACTCGTTTGTCGAGTTCCATGTGCTCACCCACAGGATCACTGCCGTCGATGTGTGGCATCGCAAAACTGGACGGTTTGTCCTCAGTCTGGCCACCCCATTGCAATACGGGGCAAGAACAAGCTAACTCACTGGTTTTACGTTTACTCAAACAATGAACAATGCACATGTATGCGCATTTAGCTTGAATGGAGCTATATAGGTAGGGGCTGTGGAATCCAGTAACGGCACCTCGACCTTACGCGATGTGAGTTACTGCGCTACGGTGTACGTTTCACGGAGCGTCTACATGCGTCCCTCCCCGTGTATACGCGACGGCGCCTGAGAGCGATCTGCTCACCTGCCCTCCTTGTCGCCCCTCACTCTGCACTGTTTTTCCTCCTTCCGCCATGATTACGGTGCACCAGGTCCGGAGTTCGGCCATTTACGGAAAACCACAAAACAAGGGGACTGCGCCCACGCGCGCGCGCGCGCAACAGAGAGAGCTATAATTATACACCATAATAATGCCATGGCCAGCCGGGGACCCTGCGCGAGCACACATCCTACGTTATTGCATTCCGCATGCGCTAAATGGTCATCTTCTATGCCACTAGGCCATATAGCCACCTACACCTAAAGGGGCTTTCCTAGGGATTATCCCATCAGAAACTTCAAACATTGCATTCATTCAGAGGCTATAACAAACGAGCTGTATTGACAAAATGCCATTCGTGTAGTGTCGGCGGCTTGCGTGGATCACCTTGCTAGCTGGTGACTGATTGTGGAAGATTATCAAATATAAAGTCGAAGATGTGTGCCGAAGTACCAATTCTTCAGCCATTGCTGCCAACTTATTCCGACTACCTACCTGGCAAAACTCTTTCAGATGTAATGATGCTACCACATACCTACCAACCTGCAAAGCTTGAGGTATTTGTGATGGGATGGGTAGAATCATCACTTAAAACGCTGGATAGTTGATAAGTAGGCTACCATTAAGTTTTAAGTTCAGATTTGAAGAATGAGAGAACAGCATTGTGTCCATATAGCTCGTAAAAACACTTGTGGGTCCACTGGTATAATCAAATTTGACGTGTAAACACTGCATAGCACCTGCCCAAGGGGCTATATAAGTCGGTATGTGACCACCTGTCATGATATATGTGTCAGTCACAGTTATTCTATGCCATATCTTTGCTGGTAGGAGTGCTGGAAAATTTGCGTGGAATACAGAGTGTAGAATGACAATTCTGATTATAGATGGTTTACTGACTGGCTAAGGTTAGAGTACAACTTTCACAATGAATAGCAATAATAGGAATAGAGTGGAGTTGTTTTAAGAGACTTAGTTACAAGCAGGCTGGAATGATGTTTTCAGTATGCAGTGCAGGGATTATCAGCCAAAACAGTAATGTATACCAAATATAGAGCATGTTGCGTCCTCCGCAGTGTAGCTCTCTGGCGAGCATATAAACTTTGCTATATGGCAAATAACGCATTGAGTGACAAAACCTCTGCAAGTATACATAATACTTGGTAAGTTAGATAGTTATTGCAGAAATGATTTTATTGCTGTGTGGTGCAGACTGCATTGTAATATTGTAGTAAAAGTCGTTTCTATGGCCCAGAGCTAATCTTCATTCTTGCGCAAGTGATAGTATGTTTGTGTTCATATATAGAAGTGGAGCACATACACACTTTCTATAGTTGCACGAACTCTGAGCGTGAATTCATTTCAGGACAATTGTTCATCGTACAGTGTACGTACAAGTGTGTGTGTCCGTATTTTGTATTACCAGTTATGTAACACTTAGTGTACGCTTCTATTATTCATGACTTTTGTGGTATTCTTGAGTGTTGGATTGTTAACTGCCCTTGTTAGCTCAGGAGAATAGTTTTCTCACTGGACGTGTTTGCTGCATGTGTTAGCAGAGAGACTAGCAGCAGATTCTGAGTTTCACATGTTAGCTTCAACCGTGCAGTAAAGGCAACAGCTACTTAGCAATATCTCCAGTCAAAACTTTGCTGAGGTAAGATATGATGTAGTAAGCTGATTTTACAAGAATATCCTGAAACTTGCAGTGGTTTCCAAGGATTTCCTGGTACTTGCAGCCAGTGGCCTTGAAAAGTCTGTTTCCTCAAAACACTGACTCCGAGATAAGCGGTTAGCTGAGTAGAACTCTTACTACAGTGATTGTTATTGTGGGGTGGTCCTTCCAGCTAAACTTCCTTTATGAAAATGGTTTCTTGTTCTCTACCAAGGACCCTATAAACCACAGTGTCTGTCTGCTTCAGAATGATGGACGTGGAGACTGCCAACTCTACTGCTGCAAAGGGTGGTTCTGGCTTGCCCAGGATCTTTGCTGCAGCCTCAACCTTTGTTTCTTGCCTTGCATTGGCTGGTGTCTTCGTGCTGGTACTGCAGAATCAGAAGCTGCAGTCCCAGATGGACGGTTTACAACAGGCACCACAATCTGCCGACAGCAGGCAAAATGATGCACAGAAAGAAATTGCACGGAGAGAAGTGAGTGTAAAAATCTTGCCGGTTGTGCCTCTGTGCACGGATAATTCAAGGGTTTTCCTCTTTCGATGCATGTATTTCCTCTTTCGATGCATAGTTTCACAAGCTGAATCAGTGAGCTGTGCAGCATGCAGGACATTTTTACTGCTCCCCTGTGCATGCATACTATCTATAGGTCCATGACATGGTACAGAGTCATCTCAGGGCTGGTCGTGCAACGGCCACTTCAACCAGCTACAATTGTCCACACGAGAGAACTCATTCATTCTTCAAAGGTAGGACCTTGAAGACCAGAGAATGAGCAGTTAAAACGTGACCCAATTATGTCATGTTTCCATAGATTGTACTGATTCTCCACGGACCCCGGGCTCTGTAAGAGTTCCCGAAAAAGGAAGCCATCTTGATTCTCTGTCTTTCTCTTTGCTGTTTAGGTGCCTTCGGCCCATATTGTCCCAGATAGCTCAAAGTCTCTATGCTATGTGGAAGGTATTGCGCTCTCATGGCTACCAATGTGTACCTAGCTACGTATGCTTAGATCAAGCTCTCCAAGTCACTGATCTAATAAGCGTGTGTACTTATCCTTTACACACCTCCACAATTGGTGACCCCACATGTACGAAATGGATCTAGAGTGTAAACAGAGAAGGATCCTCTCTAACTGCAAATTGAAACTAGTAATTTTTTTGCAGATCCAGGAGTGAAATATTACTCAAATATCACCGTCGGTTGGTCCTGTGGCTTGACAATTCCTATGCCTTTCCCCGGTTACGTGAGTGGAGGGATGGTGTTCAATCGCACAACAGGAGAACTCATTGTCCCTGTAAAAGGCGTATACTTTATCTACAGCCAAGTCCACATGGAGGTGACCAACACCAGCAACTTGATGTGTGCAGGGACCCAGACTATCATTGCCCACAGCAGGGAAGCTGTCGTCCGACCATTTCAATGCTCAGCGAAGTTCTCACCGATTTAACGTCGGAGCCGTTTTATCACGGCGGGCTGTTTCGTCTGAATGCCAATTCGACCATCAGGATTGCCGCTTTCGGCCGCGTGAATGGTACACACGTCAGCTCCCTGGCTTACAAGACATATTTGCAAACACTTTTATGGGGGCATTTCTGGTGCAGGAAATAGAGGAGTCTCCTGGACGAGGTCGCTCCTAAAAATCGAACAAACACTCATAATCTCGTTTTTCTTGGTCCATTGTGAAGTCGCCCTTACTACTACTCTTTGTCTTTGTTCTCGACTTTCCGTCTAAGCCACACTCTAATCCACACTGATGGCTCTACGCTAGAGCGAATAATGTGTTTGCTCTCTATGGGCACATGATATCCACATGCAACTGGCTACATAGCTTTTGATACTCCTATATACTTCTCAGTGTTTTGAGTACTGATGACCTATCCAATCAAATTTTGATGTGATGTGACCTGTATAATCAATTTATGTATAACATTTATCAACAGTTTATACAAAACAGCTACAACTTTACTAGACATGGAGAGATACATGCACACACACACTCAATTTTAAACTTGTTGAGTTACGATGCAGCATGTGAAATGTGTTGCTTCACGATTTCTCTCGCGGAGAGCGGGACCACGTGTGCCATGCCAGGTCTGGCAAAGTAGACCGACTGATGCTGGTCTGAAACAGTCCTCTCCAGCCACGCTTTCTGCCTCACAGGACGCGGCTTGCCTCCCCTTTCCTCCTCTCTACCGTTGCTGGCTGCAGCGTGGTGTGACTGCCCGTTGAGTCTCACCTGACCCCAACCTCCTCCGCTCCTCTCCAGTTCCTCAATCGGAAGTGGCATGGGTGGTCTTGACTGGAGACGTGCCTCGTCAACAGTGAGTCCGTCCGACTGCGACCGTTGGCGTAGCTGATGCAATCGCTCGGCGACCGACAGTGGGGCTTCTGGTTTATCCTCGTGATCTGCGCCAGGTCTTTGCGGGAGGAATGCCCCGTCATCAGAGCCCCTTCGGCTGTTGTTTCTCTTCCAGACTGGTTCGCGTCGTTCCCACACACGCTGCTGTTGCTGCTGTGGTACTGAGCTCACTGATGCACTGCTCTCAGACCTTGCTATGGAGGGTGCTCCCCTAGGTTCATTCTCTCCACTCCCGCGCCTCCCGTAGCGCATCGGTTTGTGATTAAGTCCCCCCACGATCTTTTTCTCGTCTTTAATTGGCACGGGGGGAGGCGGAGGAGAATTCGAACATCTCGTGCTGCTCCCTGATGACTGCTGTTTTGAGAGTTGAATAGCACTCGCTGACATACTCACGTTCCGCTTCAGTTTATCGATCTTCACTCGGTACGGTGGCCTGTAGGCGCTCTCAGCAAGTGCGTCAAACGGATTTGAGTAAGTTGGTTCGTCGTCAATCTCAGAATAGTCGTGAGGTCTGTTGTGGATAGAATCAGTGTCAACTTCGCTGCTTCCGTTGCTTGGAGTCTGGTGGCCACATGACGAGGTCTGATCCTTGAATAGTCGCTCGTGGAATAACTGGAGTTGTATCTCTTTGCTCGTCTGCTGTGCTTGAAGGGAGGGCTCTTCACCGAGTGATTTGAGAATCAGCAATTGGGTAGTGCTTTCTGTTTCGACTTGAGGTACAATCGACTTTGGACTTTGGTTTGGTTCGCTTTCTGTTAAAGAACTGAACTCGGCATCTCTTCCTTGCAGGAACTCATTGATGGCATCAACGGGGTTGGCATAACACTCGTCGGACATACGCATCTCTAACGAAGGTGTCTCCTGCCGTAATGTGTCTGTTTCTTTTCCCGACTTTAAGTCTTCCGCCGAGCTTGAGCTTGCAGACTCCTCATTTGTGACAGAGTCCCGTGAGCGATAGAGACCAGGAGATTGCAGGACACCTTTGGATGTTTGCTGTTGCTCTCCGTTACGTTGCTGAGCGACACTCCAACAACCATCACCAGCTGGAACGTGTAGTGGGTATTATGACGGTATATACCACCCATGAACACGTTAAACAATGCATATTGCAGATTCCTGGTACTATATACTAGAGTAAGGAGTGTGTATAGTGTACCCTTCGTTCCCAGGCTCCCACAAATTGGCAGGAGGGCCCAAGATAATTTTGCACTATGACCTTCATATATAAGGTACCTCAACACTGTTTATCGATCCTGTATTCAGGAGTATAAGTGTCTTGGGTACAACAAAAGCAAGGCTAATACCCCGTTTCTGAGGACCCTGGAATGAGTACCAACCCCTGCACTTAGAATAATTACTCGTCGACTCTGTATGTATACTCGTGCAATGCAGTCTCGGGAACCAAACCCTCACGTGAGAACAGACGGTCAGATGATGAACTCCCTATAGAACAGTATTTTGTGAACAACAAACCTTGTGTGCTGCCGAGACCAATAGCACTCCGTCTAGCGAGTGGCTCTGAGTAGCACTCGTCCTCATCTTCCTCTGGAATCCCGGGACTCTCTATCTCGCAGTACTCCCCACTGAGTACCGCCACATCTTCAGGCACAATGGGGCACTGCGGGAGGATCAGCGCATTCTGGACTGGAGCCACTTCCTCCGTCGGGGCATTCTGATTATAACCTCTGTAAGGAATCAGAGAGAATATTGGTACACCATGGTTCTGTGTCACAATGTGATTGTGCCATGTGATGTCAGTATTTAACACTTGCAGCACACCTGCTGTATGGCTTTGGAGGGGGAAAAATTTGTATATTGGGCTAAGGCTAAGTGCAGGAAATATGCTATGTTCACAATAATAATTACGTTGCAAAGGCTAGCAACGCGACGCGTGTGGCATGCTGCATGTTGTCTTGCGAAGCCTTTGCAGTGTATGAAGGTAGTGTGAATCCAGCTTTAGGCTTCCTTATACACTGAGAGGTATGGTATAGACATGGCAAGGGATAGTGTTGGTGATAGTCTCAATTGTCATCCTTACACGAGGATAGGTTGAGAGATAGAGTGGTGAGTTTTTCCAGCACTGCGTCCACTCTTTAGCACGGCCTCTTCGGCGCTGGAGCGACGGGTAAAGGGAGGAGACTGGCCGACTTCGCTCAGCTTCTTCACGTTGACTCCTCCGTTGGTTGGGGGATAGATCCTCAGACTCTCCGTCACTTGGGACAAGAATAACTTCATCTCTTCTGCCACTGCGTGTGTGTATCAATGAGGGACCCCTCTTATAATTGGACAGTTGAGATGAACAACTTGAAAGCACACTATCAGTTTGAAGTATCCCTAACACCCTTAAAAAGAAGTTTGTAAACACGTCTGCCAAACAATCATTGCAAGCTGCACTTCATTGCACTAACCTTCAAAAAAATTTTTTATGTTATGTTTGAAACTCACCATTTTGTTCCATTGGTTCTTCAAGGGTTCCCAACAGAGTTCTTGGAGTTTCGAGACACAGCATGTCGGCCAACTGCAGCTGAGCGTTGAACAGCGCCTGGTAGTTGATGCTTATGTCCAGATAAGTTTGTGCTTGACTCTTCAACCCCTTCTTGAGTAGGTCAACCTACAATCATCATGAATACAATAGTGTTCTCAATGCCGAAAAGAAGATGAATGAACTCCTATCATAGTCCCATACATCTATGACGCTATATAGGCACATACCATGCCTATCCCTATATACCCTACATAGTTAATTGTTATGATTGTACTGTAATAGACTAGATATGTATATACTAGTAGGTAGGATGCCTGCGTACCTTGTAGAGCTCCAGTTTGTGGGATTGTTTTTCCACCGACTCTTTGAGATGTTCTCGAAGACTTCCTTGCTGCAGGAATGGTGTTAGCGTGTAGCTATTTACTTAAGGCTGTTGTTAGTATAGAGAGACTTACTGTTGTGAGCTCAATTTCAATGCTCTGAATCTTCCCTGCATCGTTCTTCTTCTTAGAATGTTCTAACTGCGATGCGAGAGAAGTATTATAGTCACTAGCATACTAGTCCATACATATTTTTGTATTATAATTATGGGTCAGTCACACTGTGCTGTGTAAGTCGCACCCCCAATTAGTGTCACACGAGCCATATATAAACACAGTCCCACACAGTGTAGCCAAGCAATTGCTACACATCACAGTTTTAGAAGCAATTTGCAAAACTGTGCCAGAAAATGCAGTTGCATTGGTATATATAACCTTGCCCTCACAAGAAATGCAACAAGAGCACAGTCATTTACGATATGGAGTAAGGCATGGGTGACGCTTTTGATGTGCTTGGGCAATGTACAGTTAGAGGATTTCACCTGCTTCTGGAGTTTCAGATATTTCGTCTGACAGGCAAGCAGAGCTTTCCGCGACTCGTCCACAATCTTCTCCTCCTGGTCAATGTCTCTGAACACTCGGTTCAGCTCCGTTTGCTGCAGATAAACACAATACAGTAGGTGGGTGGGTAGCCATTAGCAAGTATTGAGGTGTTAGTTAAGGACTACAATACAGAAAAGGTGCAGCCCAAATTTCTGCGACCAACCGCTGTACGTAATGTTTTTTTTGAAAGTTTGCTACTATGTATGGGGAATGTATGCTCATACCTTGTCCTGGAACTGTCTTATGAGTTCATTGCCCATCCAAGTGAGCTCCGCCAGTCGTCCAAACAGACAGAGAAAGAGAGGATTCTCTTCTGCTTTTGCCCACCTCAGCTGTTGCTCTGAAACTGTATAGAGAGAGAGAGAGATAGTGTGTGTGTATGCACTTGCCTATGCTTATGATTAAGCATGGATCTACAGTGTAACCTCTTGTTTGATGCTAACTGGTTGGTAATATGCAAAATAATTATTGAAAGGTGCCATAAATGGCCCAGAAGTCCGACAAACTCTGGCAAAATTGCAAACCTAGCACACTTTCAGGTGTGGTGACCTCATCATAGTGGCTACCGTATATAGTAACACGTTGCCATGGCGGTGATGTAATTGTGCAGGAGAATTAAAAGGTTTCTAAAAATAATGAATCGTTTATCCTAGCTACGCCGTGTGAAAATGTGCGGCTCTTGGCTTTTTGGTTACATAACACGGTTGGAAAATAGTCATTAACGCAATTGCGTGGGGAGTAGGCCATCAATTAACATTCCTTAGTTCCCAAACTGGGACTGGGACCCAATGGCCTGCCAAAAAGCTACGTGTGCGAGTTGACATACACAGAATCATATTTGGAGTAGAAACATTCTGATGTCATACATAGCTAGCTGCCACAGAAGCTTGCCCGCCCCCACAATCACTTTAAGAGGCCTATTTTAGTCCACAGTAGGAGTTATGGTGGCAAAGATGCCAGAGCAGTGGGCTGCCAGGGCACCTGGTGAATGGAACTTCCTGTGGGCGGCTGGTAGGGCTTCTCAGGAAGCAACAACCAATAGGTTTAGATCATTGTCATGCCATTTACCAGTTCAAGTAGTATAGCCCTAGGTCTTTCAAAATTTCTCCTTGGAAATGTGAGTAAGGTATACAAACACGTGGCATTAGTCCCTCCCTGCGCTCTCTGCACTCCGTACATCTATTTTCTCTTGGCATCACATGGTCTAATACCTTCATGTACAGGAACAGGTCTCTACACATCTGCTGAGGTACACCTCAATTTGTACCAGTTAGTGGAACAAATTACTGGGGCTTGCATTACATATAGATTCAGTGATTGACTGCCAGTCTGACTTGACATCACATATCATCTGATTATGTATTTAAGGAAAAACAAGTCATTCCTTTGCCAATTATAAATGTATTAGCCGACAGAGACCCTGCCAAGTACTGGTACGTGTATCCACCTGTGAACCTTTCAGTTTCACTCGTGACGTCTATTTCCTTGCCGGAAGGACAGAAGGTAGAGGGGATTAGGAAGGACAGAAAGTAGAGGGGATTATGTTGTGAGGTGTGTGCGTATGCCGTCCATGTAGAGGGCTCCGTCTTGGGTGAGGAAAACTGAGTTGGCGTGTGGGACGCAGGCCAGGTTTTGGCTGGTACACTTTGTGTGAGCACATAAGCCAAGTGTCTCTGAATAAGTGTTGGTGCCACAGAAACAGAGACTAAAGACTCAACACAGGGGACGATAGGTTCCACAAATCCCAATCAGTGATATATCGTGGACTCTTCTGCCCATATAGCTGTTTATCACGCTTGGTTCAATAACACAAAAGATCTTTATCTGTTTTTACAAATTCTGCAAGAATAATATAATGCACGGTGCAAGTATTTTGGCGCAATTTTCCCAATGTAACCTTGACATCGCTTACGGCAAGATTTACTTATTGTGTTTGTAAACATCGCCTTTGTCTGACGACAAAAGACTGACAACAAACGGGCACGTTGTCTGCCACCTCGCGACTCTATTGACACTCTGTGTGAAAGACTGGCTGATGGCGTGGGAGACTTTCTCAAAGCAATATCAAATTTCACTCTGGTACATTCTCCTTCGGTAGGGAAATGCTAGAAGTATAACGCTCATAGTATAATACAGGGGTGGACCGTGCATGCAAGGTGTGGTACATATTTAAACATTGCCAACCCTCAGGAGGGAGTAACGTAATGAGACAACGTCAGTGTCTAAAAATGTTTTCGAGGTTCTGAAGTGTGTGAAGGGTCGTTTTGGCTGTGTGCGAATGTTGGCATTAATTGCATTGTTTCTCTTGTTATAGCTCATAGCTTGCGAAATAGGTGAACAGAAGATCCAGCCACAGTCCATTGAGCAGCTGCTATTTCCAGATTCCCTGTGACCACACGTAGCTCATTTTACTTTGTGTGTATGTAGCCACATAACACAAGACTGTCTCTGAAAGGAGTTCTGCATGATAGCTACAAGCCAAAGAGATGAGGGGTGTATTTGGAGAAGAAAGACTTTGTCCGAACAACCGAGCCATTCTATGCACAGTTGTTGTCTGGCAAGGTGCCATAAACATGGAGACGCCAATGCGGCTAGATAGTTTCATGGCAATACTGAAAGAGTTCCCATAAAATGTAGTACAGGGACCACAAAACTTTGTTAACATCTGTCAGAGGCCAGTGACAAGGGGGCACACATTTTATGCTGGAATGGTCCGGTTATGTAAGCGTAACGGCTGGCACAGCTTTTTTCACCAGGTTAAATTAATCCACATCTCGCTATACGTGGTTCAGAGTTTATGATGAATACTGATACACGAGAATGCATGAAAGGAGCCAAATAGTTTATTATCGGTGCGTGTATTCTAAACCTACACAATCCTGGCAGAATCGAACTCAAAGTGAAGTGAAGCTGATACGTACAAGTATTGATGAGCTCTTGTATAGAGAGCATGTCAATAGAGGAACGTACGTTTACTCTCTAAGTGCACCCCTTCCAGAGTGAGCAAAAAGGGGCAAGCTACAGTACTATTCAGTATACAGTCAAACCCTCAGGTGCCCTTTCAAACAGTGGGCAAACAAATTTGCTGCGGTCTAAAACCTTGCTGTCCTATATTATACAGTTCTGAGATGGTTCACTGGTTCACACACAATCTCACTCCCTGGCAAAGCACAAAGCACAATGCACACTTAATGGCTGCTTAGATAAAATACTAGCTGCACCACATATGCTCTGAACTTACACTAAAACAACCACTCTTGAGTGGTAGGAAAATGGATAGTGGTATACTGTTACAATCAGTGTCCCTGCAGCTTACTAACGTAGTATACTCCTACTCACTGACAGTTTTACTAAAACACTGCCTATAGTAGAGGTCCAAATGTGCCACAAATGTGGTAAGATTTGGCAGGTCAGAGATGAAGTTGTGGCAACATTATACCTACACCTATTCCTTAACAACAACAATATTCAAACTGTAATAGTTATCCAAACAGTGTCTGTCTAGCTGCTGTTTTGATAGCCTTCAAAAACAACGAGGATGCAGACGCAAGGTTTACTTAGCAAGTTTACCTACATAATCGCATAAACATGATTACAGCTAGCTAGCTCCACTCATATAATGCCGTAGTATTACGATGTACGTAGTTACAGATATAATATACCTCTGGTTTGTGCAATCATTAGTTTGTTGAGACACTCGTACACGCTTTTCTCTTCACACAGGCCTTGGGCCAGGACCGACTTGCGACGAAACATGGTTTTACTTTTCCAACCGAGCTGCACGCGCGTCCGTCCGCTAACTGGAGACCGACCGAACTGAGCGTGGCGGGATCGCCGGACGCGGAAGCCGTGACGGTTCCGCGCATGCGCTCTCGTCTCAGGGCCTCGCGCGAATGATGCACGGTAGCTCACTTGCAGAACAAAGGAGCTGCTCGAGCTTTGTAATGCTAGGAGCACCATGCCTAGCTCTAAACAGTGTTGGGCTGTGAATGTTCAGATGCAAACTTCTGAAGTGGTGCATAGCTACTGACAACGGCTTTGAATAGCTGACGCGTGGGAGATGAATGTACGCTCGTGATGTCATCACGGGGGCAGGGTGTGCTGCAGATTCAACTGCGCAGGTTAGGCGCTGCTGTCTTGGGTATTGTTTCGCCTTCAGTATGTGGAGAATGGAGGAGATGTAGTGCGACCGAAGGTAAGTTTTCTCAACGTTACTATCGTTACCGTTCACAACTCTATCTACGTACGTAGCTCCAGGCGTTCAGGAGCCCTACACATGTTCCGCTCTGTACACGGAGCTCACGCATTAGCGCCCCTACGCTGCCATATCTCGTCCGTGTCACCTTCCCTAGCCATTTACCTACTGCGCAATCCCCGCGTCCTGGAGCCTAGCGAGAGCAGCTCCACAGCCATCTCAGCCCCTCCCCCTTTTTAGCACAGCAATGGTTATTATGCCGACTTCTCCCGTCCACAACGACTAGGTCCGAATCTACGCGTTCGGTTCAGCAGCCAGTCACGATGGAGCTGCCAAAGCTGTCCAGATGGCCAGTGTTCAGTCTTCTCTCTCTGGATTTCCTCCAGAGTGTCAGGCTGGGGTGTGTGTTCGGCTCGGCTGGCAATGAGGCAGTGGTGGTCTGCGTCAACTCTGACGTGTATGCTCTTGGCTCCAACACAAATGGTTGTCTTGGTGTCGGAGACCTGAGGAGCTCTCTTCAACCTCGCAAGGTCGATGCTCTCTGCGGGAAAGGTATACTACCATGTCAATCATTATAGTATCGTACCTAAGAGTTATATACCATGTCATATCTTGCCTAAGAGTGTCCCAAATCTTAAGCTCGACCTTGCAAGTTCGATGCTCTCCGTGGAAAAATCCTTTGAAAAAGCTGTCCTGGGTGTAGTTGACTTGTTTGCTTTGCCTTGCCTTTCTACCTTGTTACCTTGTTGTTGATGCATGCATATATAATAACTAATATGTCATAACCTTATCGTGCCTGAGCCTGCCCCAAAAATCCAAAGAATGAGAGGATTACACACTCGCATACTTTGTAAGTCACTTAACGTTGGTGTACGTGCATATCTTCTTCTTGTGCATTAACAACATACATGTCCCAGAAGTACTTAAAGTGGCGTACTAATTCTGTGGATACTGAGAACTCTAACAAATTGTGTATGTTGATTATTGTGTTGGTACACGTCACATTTGGGTGTCCCCCTCCCCCACTCTCCCCTGCCAACTCCACTTCCATCCCAACCTTTCACCCAATTACTGTATACATACCAGTGGATGGATAGGCTCACGAAAATCCCAGCATTCGAACAGTCCCAGTCTTATAATTCATCTGGGAAACTGGGAAGGACACGGGTGTGAGAATTGAGGTGCCCGGGAGGTAAGACGGACACCCGCATCTCATGTACGTGTGACAACAACGAGGAGTTCTACCAGCTGAGCTACCAAGGTAACTCAGCAGGTAGGGGTTCAAATCTACAACTCAACGCAACACAAGACAAACCTCATGTATGTAGCATGTACTGTTGGTTGGCCAGTGCTCTGAGTCTGTGGTCTATGACCCTATGTCTTAAGTACACTCTATACTGGAAGCACTGTTCCACTCAGGTATTGTCCATCTGGCGTATGGCAGTGGGCCTCACGTCGTGGCTCTGACTTCCAGTGGAGATATTTATTCCTGGGGACATAATGGATACGGACAGCTCGGTCTTGGAGCCAGTGTGACGACGGGACAAGGGACAATCCCACGGAAATTGAGTGGGAGTTTTTCAGGGGTTAAAATTGCCAGTGTGTCGTGTGGAGGACACCATACGGTTGCCGTGACAGCATCAGGAGAGGTATGCCTATTTTGCAGCTGGTGCATGTGAGCAAGGTCCATTAGCTCAGTCGGTAGAGCGTGGTGCTGATAACGCCAAGGTCGTGAGTTCGAGACTCACATGGACCAATTTTTTTTGCTTTTGAGTGTTTGACACTGAACTTGCCCCTGGTCCTAGCTTACACATACATGCATGTATTCCTTTTGTGTTGAGGATGTGTTGCTCATGAATGCACGCAGTCCTATCAAGAGACGCGGCTAGTCCTTAGGCTTCAATAAGTTCCTATCCTCTTCCAATTATGTTCCTTTGAAAGTTTAGACGTATTCAGCTCTTTGTACAAAACGAGTATGCTCATGCATGCATATAATACAGAGGACTATTAGTATTGGTGGCAAACAGGGCTTTATCCAAACATATGTCCACCTTTTCCCTGAGAACAATGCAAAACACGGTGCAAGCAGAGTCGGTGATTTCAGTCCTTTCATCTTACTGTCTCTGTACTAATAGGTCTATTCCTGGGGCTATAATAACTGTGGCCAGCTGGGAACTGGAGACACCGTCAACTACACGGCACCTAAGAGAGTGGAAGGAGGAGCACTAGGTAGACTGTGCAACTATTATTTTAGTAACAGAGAGAGAGAGAGAGAGAGAGAGAGAGAGAGCAGTGTCTCCAACAAATACAGTAATGAATTCAATACACCATTTATGTACAGCCAGTCAAATGGCTATAATGTACTGAAAAGTTATGTAATACTGTATGTATGCTGCTTTTACGGAAATGAATTTAAATAGAGGCACTAGGAGAGGAGAGAGGGTTATATATGCTCCTAAAAGAAGGGGATACTGTACGTGATATGGTGCAACTCTACACTATCCATGCAACACTATTGCTATATAGCAGATTCACACACGCATTTGAGTAAAGCATGAGCACAGAATGTTAAGAGATAGCTAACTCTTAAAGTGAATGTGGCAGGATATAGTGTATCTGTTGCAGGGACTGTTAGGTGTGTGTCGACTTCGTGTGGATCAGCATGCTCCTTTGCCATCTCTCAACAAGGAGAGGTATTGTAAAATATTACGTAATACCCTATACTGGAAACTTTGAATGGAGAGATTTCTGAACAATGAGACAAAGAAAAGTTCAAAGGTTGTGCATGAGAGATTTCTGAGTAAATCCACAAATAGTGGCTTCTTTGCAAAATCGTAATCTGCTTAGTAACATTTCTAAATTTAACTTTATGTACTGACACATTTCCTTTAAGTATAATACATGTGCAGCCACAAAAACACTAGAAATACTCTGATGATAATTTTGTTCCCACTATTCAGTTATTCTGCTGGGGCTACAATGGGAATGGTCAGCTGGGGATCAGTAACAACACGAATCAGACTCTCCCGTGTAAAGCGAGGATGCCTGAGAGCACTCCTATCATTCAGGTGAGCAGATGGAGAAAGACAAAGGTGAAGGGAGGGAGGGGGGATGTGCGGGAGGGAGGAGAGGAGAGAGTGAGGAAGAAAGTAAAGGAGTGAGGGAGAGAAATAGAAGCAGGAAAGCAACGTATTATGCGGGAAGGAAAACCGAGGGAGTGAGAGTAAATGGTAGTGGAGAGGCAGGGAAACAGAAAGGTGGAAAAGGATAGGGAGTTTGTTAAAAGGGAAATGAGAAAGTTCGGTAGGCCTCATAGCTACATCTGTTGGTGGCTCCTTCCTCTCGAAGACTTCGACTGCTCTTGATTGCGGTGGTCTACAGGTTGCGTGCGGAGCCTCTCACACAATGTGTCTGTCGGACGAAGGCCTCCTCCTCACGTGGGGCTCCAACACCTGTGGTCAGCTGGGGACGGGGAACAAGACAAACTCCAGCACACCCACACACACTGCTGGCGACATCGACAGGTGAGGGGATTATTGCAGTTAAAGGGTATACAGTACATAGGGACGGGGGCTAAATATACAAAAGATTGATAGGACCATTAGGATTCTGTTTGTAATTTTCTAACTTTATATCCTGCAACATTCACTTTAAACTTCTGAATAAGGGAGACCTTGGGGACATCAAAAGATCCTCCTACTTCCTTCAGGAGTCCCTAGTTTGGAGGTAATATAATGGCCCGGTTGAGAGGTGCCCTTCAAAAATACAAATGTTCTCGTCCTTTGTGATATATAGTGAGGCAGGCTTAGCGGTGCTATTGAAGTGGAGTTTTCTCTTCCTGTTTTGAATGTAAATCCCTAATTTACGAATTTACAGAGAGTTTTATGACTCCAGTCAAGAGACACAGGGCCTAACCACGCAGGCACTCTACTTCCTCTCTCTTCCCCTCTCTTCCCCTCTATAGGTTAGTCGAGATTGCTGCAGTCCACAACAGCAACATTTCAGCTGCATCTGTAGTCAGTGGAAAAGTATGCTATATATACGTAGCGTGAGATGAGAATAAATACTCCAGTCAGATTTTGACTGCAGCTACAGTATTTATCTATATTATGTCATTCCCTAGTCAAAAAAAAGGATTATTAGTACGTAGTGTTAGACTACTTTCTTACTCTATAGCCAAAAACTGAAAGTTAATCTCTGAGTAAGAGTAAGAACTAGTGCAAAAAGGACTCACCTAGGTACATACACAGGCCATGTTAACTGTATAGCTAACAAACTGAAACTGCCTCACACACAGGTGTACATGTGGGGAGTTTGTAGAGGCCAGAACGTTCTCTCGCCAATGGAGACCAACTTTTCTTCGCTGGACGAAGTCTTTGCCTGTTTCGCCTCACCTCCGTGTACCTGGAAGCCTCTGTCTTTAGGTACTGTAACGAAATACCTTTTGCAACAAAAAAAACTTTCACAAAAACTGTTTGCACTCATTCATCGTGGACTAAGAAAATCATTCTCGGTCTCATAAATCTTTGATATATAGGCCATGAAGGTTTTAAGAAAATGACTCATACAGTATGTACAGTACTAGTAATGTAGCACACATTGATAAAGTAAAAACACAATCTCTCCTCTTAGGTACTAGAGTACATTGGATAGATTTCTTTGGAAATGTAGTACACAATATACCCAGCAGTGTGGTATTATAGGCACACACTTGTTGGTATATACTACAAACTTCTGTGAATGCAGTTGTATTATAGTGAGTGAGTGATCAGTACAGTTGATTCAGTAGAGTAGGGGCAGTTCCCACCATAGTAAACAAGGTTGGGTTAAAAACTTTTTTATCAGCAATTGGGGTAGTGCTCCCTTCACTCAAAAAAACTCCCCACAGCTGTCTTTTACTATAATTATTCCCTGTGCATTGTTTGTGGTGGACAAAAAAGGGTGTTGTTGCATGGTGGAGTTGGGTGTGGGGGACTGAAAAAGATGGGTATCAGTAGGGGAAAAAATAGTGGCTTTTCTATACAACTTCTCTAAAGATGTGGCTGAATTAGAAAGATGGAACAAAACAATAGACACAGTGAAAGAATGCAATTAAGTTCCGTTTTAGCTAATCTTATAATATACTGCCACATTCCCTTTAATGACATTGAATCCCCACTGTTGTATATACACAGAGAGTGATGACTCCAGTGGGTTAGTGAGCTGCATTGCCGGCAGATTCAATGACCCCGTAAGTCGAGGCTACCCCTCTCGTTAGTTTTCATTAGAAAGAGACACCCTTTAAGCTATTTTTAAAATCTTTTCAGAACACATCAGACGTGGCGTTTGTCGTCGAAGGAAAGAAGATTCACGTTCACAAGGCTATCTTGCGAATGAGGTAATTACAGGGTTTTACCTGGAAAATTATGTGAATGATTGTTGCTTTGTACATTATTGGCAGATGTGAGTACTTCAACTCCATGTTTCAGCAAGGAAGATGGAATGAAGCCGAAAAAGAGTAAGTTTGTTACAGCTCTAGTAATTTCAAATGAAATACGCACACAGTGTAACTACAACCCAAGTGAGCTATATAATCCCCTACTGGCCTGAGCAGCGCAACTGCGCACTGTGCAATCGCGTAAGAAGTGCGCTAATAGCCACACAACGTATATTAAACACCTCTCTCGACTGTTTAATACTAGGGGTGCCCCTTGGATTCAGTGAGCTAAAGTAATAGTTACCTCAAGTCGATTCAGTGAGCGATGTCATAGTTAACAATACTTATTGAACTTTTATAGTGCAATTGAGATCCAGCAGTTTTCGTACGGAGTCTATCACAGTTTCCTGAAATACCTGTACACTGACAGTGTCGACAGTGCGACAACGGAAGAGACAGTCGGTGAGTTATATCCGGCCCAACGCCGTCCTAAAACGGGTGTCCTGTTATTGCGAGTGTGTCCTACAGAGTTGCTGCATCTCTCAGACTCTTACTGTGAGAGGCAGCTGAAGAGGGCGTGTGAGAAGATCCTCTGGCAGAGCGTGTCCGTGGAGAATGTCACAGGTCTTATCGCTGTGGCAGACAAGTATAAAGCTGAGGTAAGTTTACCATATTACGAACACTTTCAAGAGAGAAAATGCTTATTCGGTGTCAAATTAGAAGTTCACGGACCAAAACTTTCACTCATTGACTGTTCAAATGGTCGCCGGCAACAATTTGTGGTTTTTTGTGCAGTTTTTCTCCTTTGAAACTTGCCTGCTGTGTATCTACATTGGTATGTGTATGAATAGTCAATCACTGATCCTTGTAGTGCCTATTATCAATAGGGGCCCCTGTGATCATAATTATTATTGCCGTCTTCTTTCTTTTCTCCCCTCAGAGTCTCATGGACTACTGTTTCAAGTTTGCCTACCAGCACATGACACAGGTAGCCCTATCTGGTGGATTTGCCGAGCTCGATGGAGCACTGGCCAAGCAGCTCACGGTGAAAGCAGCAGAAATGGGCATTTTCAAGACTTGAGGCTAAAACTGAAGCCCATTTTTCAGTCTCTAGCGTTATAATATATCACTTCATAGAGCAAAGTTTCGTTGGAGAAGTATTTATTTATTTGTTTTTTGGTAGCTTCATGAGTTTTTGGTCTTTTAGCCAGGAAAATGCTAGTATTCCAGTTTTAACCCATTCTTCTTTGTTTTGTGTTATTGTTTTGTTTTTTTGTAGTCATATCATTCACTATCAGTATTTGCCATTGTAGTATAGCTACACATTTGTCATATCAATTTGATACCACTTATTTCATAGTTCTTGCTTGTTGTGCAAAGGTTTCATTGTAGCTAAATGAAAGGGTCACTACTCAGCTAAGCACCTTAAAAATCAGATTATTTATTTTATTATACGATTCAAACTGTGTTACACAGCAAAGATTAATAAACCACGACATCATTTTAATCATCAGGTACAACTGATCAGGGCTTCCTCCATCTGTATGCATAGGATATGCAATTACTGAAACTGTATTGAAACTGTAGCTTCACTGGCATTTGAAGGCCCCGCCCAGCTTAGAGGGATGATGTCATCATGAGACACACACCCTAGTAACAGCTGCTATAGGGGGTTTGGGGCTGTTTCCTGGGTACTAGTAGTAAAGGGGTCTTGGAAATCTGAGGTGCAAGGCTAGAAACCAGAATTTGAAAATCCCTCCAGGATACTGGGCAGAATTCTAAGGCTTTTCTGGCACTGATGAAGATATGCAAATGCAATTATAGACTTTGCAAAGTATGCTGGGAAAAGTGGATATTGATGACCACCAGGTTGGAGTAAGTGTACCCCCCTTTTCTATCAGATGAAGGATGGCATTGGGTATATAAGCCCAGCTGTAGTCAGAGCCTCACATTCAACCTCCAATCTTAGCTCAAAAGTAGAGCAACCGAGGCTAAAAGCTTCATATACCGCAAAAGCAACAACCAAGGCTAAAAGCTTCACATCAATCGTCTAGCTATTCTCCTAGAGCTCACCAGCAGCAATGGAATATCTCGGTAGAGCTGCTGTTCCCTCACAGAAACTGATGGTGGTTCTGTCAGTCATTCTTCTCCTTCTCATAGGAGCTACCAATGCAACTGAGGTATATAGTGGCTACAGATATATACAGGCTAGGTATAGGTGTACCTGGAAATGTGATAAGTAAAGTGTGTTTGTGTTGTCATCCATTGCAGAGTATACATATCCGTGGCAAGAGGATCCCAGGACATCGACCAGATACTACCCCTCAACCTGGTATAATATATGTTGTTAGCTACTTTAAGGCTGTAACCACTGTTCCCCCTCCACTCCTCCAGCTAAAGCCAGGGATTCTTGTTACTCCAATTCTTCGAATGGCGTAAGTTAACACTAACTCGCTACTCAACTTTCTCCTCAAATCAGGACACATTTGTCAGTAGCTAGGGCATGCTTTCAAGCCCCCTTTATGTTTAATGCAGTGCTTCTCTCATTTGTATGCAGAGTCTGCCTACTGCACACATAAAGGGCAGTGGAATTCTGTGGGCCAAGGAGGGCGACAAGTACGTTCCACTGTGGACCTGCAACAGTTCGACTCTCGGGAACGCCCATGTGGCCGGCGGGATGTGGTTCGACCAGGCCGACAACTCCCTCCACGTCCCCGTGTGCGGCTGGTATTACGTCACAAGTCAGGTCTCGTTCCAGAGCAACAGCGAGAAAGCACAGCAGTACACACACACCCTCAGGGTGGACAGGAACTGCAACAATTCCTCCACCTATTCCTCCACCTATTCCCACACTACTTTCACCCTAATCGGAAGCCTCGAACCGGACACCTCTGGCAGGGCCTCTACAGTCGTATCGGACATGGTCAAGATCTGTAGGGGAGGAAGGATCTACGTGAGCATCCCGGCGACCAACAACGCATGCTGTCCTTACGGTGACGAATCTGCCACAAGTATCACTGCCTATCTTGTCCGTGAAAGTGACTGCTCTTGGCCGGTGACTTCTTGGTCTTTCCCAGCAGAGTAATGGCAGACGACCTCACTCTGAAACACAGCGAGAAAAGACTCTCAGACTAACTCTTAGCTAGCTTTTGGCAAATGTTTGGCAATTTGTAATACTGTACTCTAGTATAATGAAATTTTGTTTGTTAATAGAAATGATCCTCTTTCTATAATAGCACAATATTCCATCATAATTCCATAAGCGCAGCTATAATATTTCTAACATGTAAGCGTGTATCTAAGCACTTGCACACAGAAAGCTTTCTTTACAGGTTTAACTCAGATCACAGCTAAATTTCTATATTATCTGCCAGGGAGTATAAAAGTTGATGGGCAAATGAGAAAGTGTTTGAGAAGGCCACATTACAGCGATCTTATGAATAATTTATAAGTATCACATTAGTTGATAGGAGGGACATACTACAGCTTGCTGTGGTATATACTTACTATGATAAGCAGATTACCAGCCTGTGAATTGTCCTGGGGGTAGGGTTAAAGGGGGTAACCCAGGGGAATTCCATGGGATGACCCACAGTTATACTGGACTGCAGTATAGCCAGGACTGTAGAGGAAACCGTCTACAACAGAGTTAGGCTGTGTGTTATGTATGAGAGGCTTGGAGGATGTGTAGTTAGCTAGCTGCAGGATATGCAAGAGGAAGGGGGAACCTTAGTTGGTTGAGGTAAGTGGAAATTGAACTGCTTTGAAACCTACATACTTTGTCCTATGCTAGTATATATCACTAGGAGTAAGTGTGTGCATGAAACAGTGATTCTTTACTACTTGTGCACACCATACACACACCAAAGGCCCAATTGGGCACGAGTATGATGTTCTCTAGAGCACTTTTGTGATGTTTACTTTCAAATTGCTACGTATATTATATTAATATAGGGGCCGTGACAAAGAGGGTGTGGAGTAGAGAGATGGTAACATCTATGCTCCCAACATAAGTTTTGTGTATGCGAATAAACCGCATTACCTCATAGGGACTGGTAATGTGCCACTGAAACTACTACAGTCTGGATTGTGCATAAAAAGTTGCAGAGTACTTTATCAGAACAAACTAATTCCATATAATGAGAGATTACTAGTAAGGTTAGCTACATACTCTACCTTGTTTACTGCTGTGGTGAATTAGCTAGAAATCACTCCACCACCTGGACACCTGCCAGGGATCACCCATGCAAATTCTGTGCCTTCCTAGCTTTTTAGACGGCTTTCCAGTTGAATCTAGCAACATAGGTACACTAATATTAAAGCCTGAAGCTTTACCTACACAGACACACACACACACAGGTGAAACACTAAACCTGAGGGAATAATAGAAAAATGCATTGAACAAAAAGTTCATGTGTAAGCACGCGCATTTGCTTTCTTTCTGTAAAGAATTTCCCGACCCAAAAAAACGGGAAAGTAGTGTTTTCATACAGACGACAGAAAAAGAAACAATCCTAGAAAGCAAACATCCCAAATGAAGGCAGACTGGAAGTTGGAACTGTAAACATGACGGTGGAGAAAAAATCACATGTGTTTGGTAATAGTGAGGCAATATTATGATCATTTAACAAAAACATACATTGTTCCGTTCCCCCATTACATCACACAGGGGATGAGTCGACAACAGTCAACAGCTTCAATTGGGAGGGGTATATACCTCACTTTCCAGCTCAGCTGAAAGTAATAGTAGTGTTATAGTCACAGAGATATGGAAGTTCCCAAGTACCCAGAGAAAGGGACACAGAGAAACAGAGTATTTGTACTGAGAAGTCAGATATAATATAATGCACTTTTTCAGAAGAATAGTGGTATCCACAACTTACTACCAAGGCTGACAAAGCTTCTTTGGAAACTGGGTGTGGGCAACTGGTGTGGGCAACTGTTATGTCACGGATTGTGGATCCTCAATGGTATTCACATTCTGTTGCTCTCTGCATATCTACTAATATGGAGAGGATGATGTCACGGAAAGGGGAATGTAAGACTAGAATCATTTTCAAGACAACACTTTCCCCAGTTTGCCTGGAAACCCCATTATGTAATGACAGAATCTGTACACGTGAGACAGTGTATATCCCTTGCAGTGTTTCCTGCAGTCACTCCTTCCACCTGCCTGCATAGCAACTATAATATACTCTCCTGGAGCAGTCCTTCCTGCGTTATGTCAACACTTTAAGTGTGGGAAAAGGGGAAAATCTGGGGAAACACAGCTCTGCTTTCAATATTTTTCTAGCAAACTTGCAGCAGAGTATAATGTATAGTCTGTTTACACACTGGAAGTATTTGGATGCCCAAGAATAGGAAACTGGATATGGCAGTAGGGATGTTTCCAGTGAACAGTTCCTGTGTTTTATGGGTATAAAAGCAGCACTGGCCTGGAGCATGAACAAACCACTCAACCAGCAACTGCAGAGATTCTGAGAACAACTTTCTCTCTTACTCTCCAACTGTCAACCTGCAGGAAATCTCACAACCAGAAAGTGAGGCACCCTCTGCTCTATACAAAGCTCAGCAACCACAGAGTTTTGCTCCATACATTTACACTCCTTCACCCTTCACCCACTCTTTCAGAGCCAAGATGTCTTCAAGTGATCTAGAGTCACAGCCAACTGCCGGGAGAGGAGGGTCAATTCTGCCAGTCGGCGTCTCACGAAAGTGGAAGATTGTCCTGGCAGCTGCTTTTCTGCTTGGAGCTGTGGCTATAGTTGGTGTGTGCGCAACTGCAGTGGGTTTGGGTGTGACAGCCACCACAAGTGGCAGAAGTATGAGTGAGGAAGGAATGAACAAAGAAGCGAGGACTCTCGGTGACAATGGCGAGAAAGAGGTCAGTTGCAGTTATTATGTACGCTGTTTGGACAGTCCAGTGTTTTCAGCTTTAGTTGTGATAGCTGTAGAGGCATGAAAACACAGTTGTTTCTGTATATTATAATGAGCTGTGTTTGTGCACTTTTGCAGAACGGATTTGTTCGCAACAGACGTATCCCCTCTAATGCACGGCCTGCAGATACTCAACGTAAGTTCAATTCAGTTCTAGCACATAATAAGAATCCCACGTCTAACTTACTTAAAGAGACACACGTCCAGAGAATGTAACATCCGGTCATTGGTCTACATGCATACAATTAACAATTCACTCTTTTCTTTTTGTATGCAGCTAGCAGCTCCTGCTATTCTGAAGAGACAAACAATGTAAGTCTAGTCATCCATTTCAAATTTGGAAAGAACTAAACACTAGGATCCAGCAGTTTTTGTAAAAGTTTGTCTCTAATACAAGGTCTCTTCTAAGAATAAACTGCCACCTCTTGTTTTTCTCAATGTAGACGCTCCCGGCAGCTCACATAAAGGGCACACAGTTTGAGTGGGAGAGTGATGAAGATTTCTACCAGCCCCAGTGGGATTGTGACGGATCCCCTGCCTATGTCATGGGAGGCATGTGGTTCAACCAAGACCACAAGTCTCTCTACGTACCAAAGTGTGGCTGGTACTATGTGTCCAGCGAAATTGCCTTCCAGAATAACGGCGATTCGGTTGAGTCCTACTCCTATACCCTCAGAATCCACAGAAACTGTGGAGAATCCGACGACCGCTACTTCAGGAAGGGCAACACTGTCAATAGTCCGGTCGAGGGTACCCAAAACTCCCTCACGTCGATTCAAATAAACGACGTCGTCAAGATTTGCCGCGGGGGACGGATCTACGTGAACATCCCGGTGAAAACAAATGGTTGTTGTCCTCGCGGCTACTCTGAAACCACATCCCTCACGGCTCATCTACTGACTGAGTCGGACTGCTACTCGCCGGCGGTTACCTCATACTCTGAACCAAGAGAGGACTACCAACGCCCCCCACCGTCATAAAAGACTGTTCTACCACACCAGAGAAATATGTTTTATGAATCCGATCGCTTGTTTGGCCCTAAGATAACATGAACTCTTTACAGTGCATATTTTTTTAATGAATGTTCCTGTTGTGAACTATAATTTTTGTGTGTAAAGCCTCTCGAATACAAAAGGAAAAAATTGAGTTTGTACGTAAACTGTGTGTGTGTGTACAGGATATTGTTGAACATAAATTTGTTATACAAAAAAAAAGTCAACATTGGTGCATGTGTCTTGACCGTTATGTACACAGTATGTGTGTAAATACCAGTGCGTGAATAAACGATAGAAAATGAGAGTTTACACTGACAACTCAAACACAGTGAGCCAACACAGAGATAGTGTATATACAGACATTCAAGTGATATCAGGATCGGGGGTCAGTTTGTATGGGTTGTATCAGAAGTCGGTTGTCATGGTGATCTCTGGTGGCCAGCTGGAACAGGGAGTGTCGGCAATGAGGATCAGTCCCAGGAAAGTCCCACTCTTGTCACCGCGAGGGCAACACGGCACCCCATTGGCCCCGTCCGGTATCTCGATCCAAACGCTCCCACCGGGACACATGTGGACCACATCGGACGTGAAAGTTGTCGCGACCCTACCATCGAGACCAGACGGAGCCACGGAAGCCTTTGCCTGGATCTGTATGGGCCCAGAATCACTCTCCCACGTGCAGTTGTGCCTTATTTTCAGGTTGTGAAAGACTGTGACACCCTCTGAGGTCGAATCCTCGTCAATGACAAAGTACACTTGGCTGTAGACTAGGTAGTAGCCACACTTGGGGACGTAGATGGACTTGTCTGTCTGGTTGAACCAGACGCCGCCGTCTACAAATGCTTGCTCCTGAATGCGGCGAGGGTTTAGTACGTAGACGTCGTTGCACTGCCAGCGCTGCTGGTAGCCAGGGACAACCGATCCTGTAACAGAAATCAGATGACCAGCTCTTATACTCTACTACTTTTCCAGCTCCATTCTCTGACTTACCACCAGTTGATTCGATCCATTTCCCTCTCTGTATGCCGTGTCCCTTAATATGAGCAGCAGGAGTGTTCTATACGTTATCACGATAGCATTATGGTCACTACTCATGTTGCAAAACTGGCAGTTTACCTACCATTTCAGTCTCGCGAGAGATGCATGATCCATCACTACTACTACTGGTGGTAGTAGACACTGGTCTTGGCAATGTTCCTGTACATATGCCAATTCTGCTAGTAATGAGGAGGTGAAGAACATAGACATACCAGCATCAATAGGAGGTGGACTGGAAGGAACTGGGGAGGGTGCAACACGTCGGTTTCTATATTGCTGACCGAATATCCGCCTCTCCTGTCCCCGATGTTCCGAGCGCCCTGCTTTTGCAACTGCTGCTGCTGCATTTGCAGTGTGTGGTTGGTCACTTGTGTTGGGGTGAGGCGAGGAGACTGCAGCGACTGCACAAACTGCAGCCAAGACTGCTACCAGGAGCACTCCTACTAGAGTCCCGAGCAGAATCTTCCTGCCTCCTCTCCCTCCAGCCTGCCCAGAGAACGAGGGGTGCCCCTGGTCCAACGAGGAAGATTGCTGGAGAGGAACTTTCTGGCCTTCTTCGCAACTAGCCATGTTACTGCTGACTGCAGGAAAAGCATGCAAAAGAACATGCTACCATGAAACCCACATATAAAAAATATGCATTGAATGCCGGCTATATACTGGACTGAGCCGGCTGCACGCACCAGGAAGCTAAGTTTTTGTTCCTTTTCAGCTGTTTTTCTTCTCCTCTCCGTCTGCAGGGAGCTCGGGACTGGAGAACTGTACCAGCAAAGACCTCTTTTATACCCAGTCGCCTCAGTTTGCATGATGCGTGCAGGACTCATCCCGCGCGGCGGCGAAATTCTGCAAAATTCCTGCAACCCACGCAGATAAACACTGAAGGGTCATGGTTCATGTAGGATGCAGCACCAATTTACAGGGTTGGAGTGCCTTTAGGAGCCTTCATCAGCTCAGTCTTGGGACATTCTAGTCTCCTATGTGCGGGGAAAGTCACTAATAGACTAGTTAGCTACTCTCCCATCTTTCAATACTACGGTCATAGCCATGCACTAATAGTCACTTGTCTTTGAGAGAGTTATTTGAAAGTAATCCTCATGACTGTTGATTAGGATTACTTCAATGTAGTTGACAGCTAACAATTCTTGGTTTTTGTAACTCAAAAAACTTCCATGTGGTCCTTGCCCCTTGTCTTAGTTCATTTTCACTATTAATTTTGATGATGCTAGGTACCATGTCAATCCCTATATACTAAGTACTACCGTACTTAGTGATTCTCAGCCCAACTAGAGCTAAATTTTCATACTTGCTCTTTGTTTTTCAAGCCATTGTGCTAGTACTGTAGCTACCAGCCATATGAGTGAATGTATTTGAGCTTTGATGCAGTAGACATTACCAAGAATTTAATCCAAAGAAGAAATCTAATCATTTTTCACAGAAGCATGCATTCATTGGCTATTTCCAGTGATTTGTGTTCAGATGGAGATGAAATTCAGAGTCTCTTTGAAGATTAACGTACAGAGCCCCACGCATAGCTCATAAATTCACTCCAACTATTCATAGTGCATCATCAGGTGTGTCGAACTTGCACAAGGAAATAATTATTAGCTACTGCTTCTTTTCTCTGCTCCGATTTGTGTATTGAAGGCCTTTAGCTGGATCCTTAGAAATCACCTGATTTTAGTAATAATTATTTGCTAGATCCCATTTCCAAGAAAACTTCTATCTGATTCCACTGAAAGTTCACAGTTTTTTTTATTGTGAGTTATCAGTGATCCTCAAGATAATGAGCCCACAAACTGTCCACTTTTCACGTGTATTTAAACTGCCACATCAATCACAATAATTATTCACAGCTATAGCTCTGTTGATACAATCTCCAAGTGTCTTTCCACATTAAATCACAAGGCAATAGAGAGGTATTGGAGTATTGACGTGTGGGAGAGGCAGCATAAACATGTCCAACAGGTGTCCTCAACTGTAGACATGACTGTGTGTTTATGCTAGCGACCACTTAAACACTTTCATCGATAACGTAGCTCTTTCTGCCTTCTCAGCTTCCTAGAATGGCACTTCACTGCGAGTGCATATTCACAGACCAAGGTGGATATAGCTGGCACAGCGACAAGTTGTCTCTTGGACTCCAGCCCACACTCTAAGTCGATTCACAGAGCCACTGTTCCTAGGAAGGGGAGAAGGAAACGTGAGCAGAAGAGATTCAGAACTGTCTTTGAATCTCTGAGAGCTAAAAGAGTTCTGCCAACATGGTCTATCTGCACATGTAACATGTTTATTTGCTTAGCCCATCACAAAGTTCACATGCATTCATTGACGACTGAAAATGTTATGCAAACTCGGCCTCTCATCTTATATTCATAGAGAGAATATTATGAATAAAGCAAGAGTAAGACCCTGGAGTGATTGAAAGCTGTGTCAGGTGTTTTGTGCTGATGTAATTTTAAATGATGTAATGGACATCCGCAGGAAGAGTTGATGGGGAATATTTTCAACAGTATTCACAGAGAGAGGCAACAGTTGCCATCCTCCAAGTCTCCAGTTGGAACACTGGGCTGAAACATTGGCCTGCTGGCTAGTGGCTACTCAATCACAATACAGTAGAACCTCTGAATAAAGGACAAAATGACTCTCGACAGAGGTGTCCTTGTTAAAAAAATACACTACAGTATTAGTGTTAGACTATAGTACAGAGGGTGTCCTTTGTTGAGAGGTTCCACTGTAACACAGATTAGCACTGCATCTATATAGATCTCTTACCGTTGGTTGCCAGATCCAACTTGAACCGGAGGGTTAAATCATTTCTAGCTTTCAGTCTCATACTCTAGTCTATCCCACACCATGTTCTTTTAACTGATAACCTCGATTGAGTGTAGCTACCAAATAGTAAAGTTTTAGCTACATCCTGCTATATATTATGTAACAGTAAACTACAACTTCTTGCTGTCAACTAATTCTTATTGGCTGCACTCGCAATGCTCGGCCTTTTATACCCTCGGATGAAGATTGGCCTGGCCTCCACACACAGCGGGAAGAACCCTGGTAAAGCCCCGCCATTGAATTCACGACGCAGGATGTTGCATGCGTGCGGGAGCAACCGCCAGCTTTCACGCATGCGCACAAGATATATCATGATTCGCGCATGCGCATAGCTTTTTCGCGGGAACTAAGCTGTCCACTTGAGACACCTGCGAGAGAGGAAAGGTTATGCATTCAAGAGTTTTATGTCGCCTTACCTAGTGTCCTGATGCATCTTGAGGCAGTTGGCAGTACAGTAGCGTGTCCCACACGTCACACAGGTATAGTTGGAGGGAAATGTGACCGTTGGTCAAGGAAACACTATATATACACCATGGTTGGACATTCCTTTAACCTATATACGGGCCCACAGAGGCTTTCACAGACAATTTACTAATGTCGAGACATTTTAAGGGAGAATGTCTGTTTTTTTAGTAAGGGGTTATTTTGCAAACATGCAATCATAAAAAAAATTTACTCATTCTCAAAAATTATCCCTTATGGACTTTCCCAACAGTGGCTAGCTCAACATTGTGTTAGGATATCCACAGACTGCACAGAAGTGCTTGGAGGGAAAGTTTGACGGAGGAACAACGGCAGTGATATACGACGGCTGGGTCTGAGCTTCAGGTGGCTGTAAAAGAGTGAATTATTCAGAAAATTGTCTGCACATTGCTTTATTATGTTTATAGTGTACCAGTTCTTCTAATAGTGTCTGGAACGTCTTTCTGAACCTCTGCATATTGGGATAAAATCGTCACCGGGGTAAGGACTGGGGATACTAATTGATACCTGTTTGAAATGGTCTGCATTTGATCTTGTTTTCTTTCTCTTTCTACCTGCACGGCGATTTATGAGAAAATCCTATCACGTGACTGGGCCAACCAGACAAGAAAACCCCCCAAATGCATATAAGTAGCCATATTATTATGCATTGCTCATAATGATCATCGCTGTATTGCAGTATACCGTCAGAGGTCTCCGCAAAAGTGGGGAGTTTGGCCTTGGAAGACAGCTGCGCCAGGGAGTTGTGCGGGTCCTCGTGGGAGTTGTCTTTCTCTAGCATCTCCAGCTGCTTCTTCTGTCTCCTCTGGCGAGTGGCCGCGTCCAGCACCCGGCGCTGCGCCGTATCCGAAGCTCTCGTCCTACCTAAAGGTTCACAGAAAACAGTGGGATACTCCTGCCTGAATGTAGGAGCAGAGAGGCTTAGCTTCTCACCTGCAGCTCCGCTCTTCTCGCTCATGCTTTCGCTCGCAATGCGTGCGAGTGCGCGCGAGGGGGTTTAGAGGTGAACAATGACGTCACAAAACTAACAACAGGCAAAAAGCAAAAAGCCTAGGTTTGTTAGAGATGGGTTGTGATGGCGGCAGCATACCGAGGAGGGACGAGATGGTCAAACTCAAGAAGAAAGCCGAAAAGGTAAGAGAGATGACGCCCATCCTAATTGACAACTCGTGTGTATCTGTGCTCTAGGTTGACAAAGACGTGGAGCTTCAGGCTCGATGGAAGTACTGCGCCCTCAGTGGAGAAGAGTTGAAGCAACCGATCGTCGCCTGTGAGCTTGGCAGGTATTCGACTTCTGTAGGCCTCCTTTTTGTTTGTAAGCACCGTACTTCGTCTTTCGTAAGCTTATAATAGAGCTTACTTCTGTACTGCTCTCACACTGTACTTACTGCACTACTTCTGTCATAAGCTTACTGTAGTATGTCTTCGTATCTTTGTCTTTGTGTGTGTGTGGACTACAGACTGTACAACAAGGAAGCGGTGCTCTTGGCGCTGCTGGACAAGTCCAGTATCCCCGAGGTTGCCAGGCACATCCGTTCCCTCAAGGACGTGACGGTGCTACAGCTGACGGTCAACTCTAGCTACAAACCCAGCAGCAAAGCCGACACGTACAACGACACTCAGACCTCCCAGTACGTGTGCCCTGTGACCGGTCTGGAGATGAGTGGGAGATACAGGTTTGTAACGGACCGCTGTTAGCCAGCTAAGAGAAGGAGAGAGAGAGGGCGGTGGTTCATTCAGTCTTCCCACTGACTGTTTTTGTGTTTTTCCCCCAGGTTTGTGTATCTAAGGAGATGCGGTTGTGTGATATCTGAAAAGGCACTGAAAGAAGTACCGTCTGAAACCTGCCACAAGGTATGCATTCATGTCCACAAGTTTGAAGTCTATAATGTTGGTGGGCATTAATTGGAGTCCACTACTCTTCCGCAGTGTGGTGCAGGGTTCAAGAGTGCGCATGTGGTGAGACTGAACGTGAGTGAGGAGGAAGAGAAGGGGATGAGGGAAGAGATGGAGGAGAAGAGAAGACGGCCAAGATGGCAAAGGTAATAATAATGCAGTAGGAATGTCATCGAGCACTGTTTTGGGGAGACAATGAGTGCTGGTATAAGTGATATTATTATGTCCATGTCCCTTGGAAAGGGTGCTCTGTATACATAGAGAGTAAATGTTTTTGGATATACATAATAGCTAAGGCAGCTCTTTTGTTTCTGTGTGTACTTAATTATTATGTTGTTATTATGTTGAAATCATGTGATCAGAGAAAGAGGAAAGCTGTGGCAGACCCAGAACCTAGTTCCACCACCACCACCACCTCCTCTGGAGTGAATGGGTCCGGTTCTGCTACCAGTTCTGGATCGGACAAACTACCTCCAGAGAAGAAGACAAAATCGTCGTCATCATCATCGGTAACTACTGCTACTGGTATCACTCAACCCACTGTGAAGAAAGCCACCAAGAAGTTGTGTAGTAACGGCAGTGTGCAGGTGACGAATGGAGCAGTTGCTTCAAGACCCGGTACCAGCAAGTTGAGTAAACCGTCTGTGGGGTTGGTGACGAATGGAGCCGTTGCTTCTAGACCCGGTACCAGCAAGTTGAGTAAACTGTCTGTGGGGTTGTCTGAGGAGACGGAGGAGAGGGACAAAGTCCTGGAGATGGCGGAGGGGAGGACGGTGTACAAGTCACTGTTTAGCTCCAACACGGCTGCGAGACCAAAGGAAAAGACTTCAAATTGGGTCACCTTCTTTCCCTACCATTAGACCCCACTGTTCACGAAACAAACCTCTACTCACAGTTCGATTTTCCACTCGCATTGTTCTTTATTTTAACTTTACCTTTCAGCAAAATTAAGTGCATCTGATACAGACGCCATGCAAAGGGCCTGTGTCAGTTCTATGTTTTCTGTTCCTGAAATCGGTTGCAAAACTGCACAATTATGTAATATCAATACATGTACACATATTAACACAACATGGTACATATTATAATGTACAAGAATATGGGGAGACGCGTACACAACAATACTTTATAACGTGTACAAGCTATTGACACTAATCGAAGGAGACACACAATGAAGATCATTCTAAGAGGGAGTTGCCATTCCATATCAGGTGAATAACTATAACTCAAAGCACTCTGCCAAGATATCGGTCTATGTATCGCACATGTCGTATGCTAACTGTGGCTCGCCGAGCTGGACCGCAGGCTCTGTAACTCTGCCGTTAGTTGCTCTGCCTTCTGGAAGCCCTGTTGGCGCTCGTGTACGAGTCTTTCATTCTCTGTCGTTAGTTGCTTGTTCTTATGGGAGAGCTCCTCCAATCTGCGCTGGAGATTAGTGATTCTGCCAGTATAGTCTGCGACGAGGTCCCTTTTTTCGTCTTCGAGTTGTCGCTTCTCTAGCTTGAGTCTGTGACTCCGTTCATCCAGGGTTCGGTTCAGGTCCTTGAGTAGAGTGATTTCCTTGTTTTCTTCAACGAGACGTATTAGCTCCTTGTTGAGGTGTGACTGCAGTGAAGAAGAAAGGGAGAGAGAGAGAGAGAAGGAATGTACAGGTTTTTAGGGTTGGTTTTCCTATAGAAGTGTATGCACTTTAATAAAGTCGCTGATCAATCGGATGCTGAGTAGACATATGGAGTTGCCAAAACACAACGATGTCATTGGACTCGGGCAAGACACACATACATACACTGCTAACAAAAGATTCTAGTAGTGAGAGGGAGAGAGAGAGAGAGTTAAAAAGGAACAATGGCCGTGCTTGCGGCTGCACTATATCTTTTTGCAGGTCAAAGGCACGGCAACAGTACATGACCCAAATGTCACAATGCATACCACAATAATTGTGCACCAGAACACGAATGCAACAAATTTTTGGGTAAGTGGAAACGAGTGCAAAATTCCAGCAGTGTCACGAGATTTAGAATTAATTACAGTATGGACAGCCAATCGCACAGTTATATATACACAACTTCAGTTGAAACTTAGCACACTTGCTACAGCGACACAGTAAAAGAGCAAAAAATGTATCTTTACACTCACCAATGCCTTTTCTACTCTGTGTACACCAGTCTTGCTCTCTTGCCCTGATCTATAAGAAAGAGAATTTTTTTCATAACCTATGTTCTTTAGTAATTCTATGTACAATCGCCACACACTTGCTTATCCCACTTTTTGAGCTCTCGTAAAAATATTGGCCTACACTAGGGCCTGCAGTTTTAGCTAAAATTGACCCGAACAGTATGTTAGTATACAAGTGGGAGTGGTGAAATCAGTGTTTAGTAAGCTAGGTTTTTTGCCATGTCCATGAAATTAGAACCCCGCAAACACTTACAGCTCTGGTCATATTGCAAATGATTGCATGACAAATATACCCTCGTCACCTCCCTAAACACACACCTATACCTACACAAAATATACATACACGAGCGCGAGAGCTTAGATTGTGATAATGGATCAGTGAGGGATTGCAGAATAAACAGACAAACAGTGTGGCAGGAGTAGTAGCTACTAGCTGGCGATCAAGCGAATACGTGACATTTTTTTCAAACCCACGACTCGCCAAACCTGTCGTGCAACCACAGCCACCAAAAGACTACAAATAAGGTCATTCAGGAGTGAATCACGCTGCTCCCTACGTTAAAGGGTGTTTAACGTATTGCTGCTATTGTCAGTGGATGGGGGCACCTTTACACAGAAACCCTAAGCCCCCTAATTCAGTACTACGCCAGAAATGCACAGAGTGACACACGCAATTAGCCGGATTGCTGAAATACCTCGTCACCAATAGAAACGCAGGGTGCACACATGTACATGCGTACACAACAGCACATATGGCCGCCATTACGCACACACACACCCAGGCATTGAGCACAATAGGCCACTATACGCTGGACTACATCCACGAAAACACAAGGCCACATGTTTCCAGTGTTTACTCAGACATTTCAACATACACACTCATGTGAACTAACACGCTGAAAAATTTCAAGGGCGAAAATGAATCAGTAGCCAACGACTATTAGGCCAATTAAGAAACTCACCACGATGTGCTTACTCAATAATGTAGAGCTACGCACCACTCCATCCACAAAAACGTTGAGCTTTTAAAAATTGAAAAAGCAAACTTTATTCTCCCTCGTAAATTTTACGCGACGTAATTTTTCTCATCAAAAACTTACTGGGTTTCTTCAGTGCTGGAGTTGGGGATGGTGGACATGGGTTGTTGTTGCATGGAGACAGCAACAGAGGAAGAGGAGGAAGAAGGGAAAGATGCCACGACGTGTCTGGGGTGTTGAGGGGGTGAGCTGACTGCTGCGACCGGGGTGGAGTACCCCGCTGAGGCCTGCGGAGGAAGGTACCCCATCTCGGGCTCACTCTCGTTCCTCATCTGGTCTCCCGAGTGGTCTCCATCGACCGATTTGTCCCCTGCAGTCGCGAGCGAAGACATGCTGGTGTTGTGAGACAGATTCTCTCCTCCCCCGCCGGTGACCGAACCGGTCCGGTCGCTGTGGTAGTGGTCCCCTCTCTCGCTTGGTTCGATACCACCACCACCACCACCGACGTCACTACTGCTGCGACTGTGCAACAGTTGGTCCTCCACCTCCCCTCCTCCCCCTCCCTTCCTTCGCTGCGAGAACGGAGACTCCCTCCCGACCACACCCCCTGCCACGCCCCCCGAGGTTTGTGCCCCCATGGCCCCTCTCATTTCGCTGTCGGGTCGCTCATCCGTTTCCCGGTGTTCCAGTGTATCTTCAACCATCCACCGACCTCTTTCGTATTTGTTCACCCGACGAAACCGTCTTACCGGCTGCTGAGCTATGGGCCCGTTTGGCGCCCCCTCGAGAGGTACGACCCTCTCATTAGACTCCGACTCCTGTTCCTTGACCGGCTGGGGCACCCCCGCTGTAACAAACAGTGCTGCTCTTGTTTCGTCGGACTCCGAAGATTCTGACTGCCCCCTCTGCTTTGTGACTTCTATAAACGAATCCGCCTCGTTCGACATTCCCTTTGACTGCTCTAGTTCGTCGGCCGCAGTGAACGGACTGACTTCGGTGATCCGAAACGCGCTCTTGTCGTTTGCATCATCGGACGAAACCTTGAGGGAATCATGGGCAGCAGTAATTATCTGGGGCTGTAAATTTTCCTCCCCATTGTCGTCCGGCTCAATTCCCGGACCGTTGCTAGAGTGGGTGGCCGTCTTTGACCCCACCCGGGGGATAGGCGAGAGCGGCGGGGGTCCATTATCATCGTGATGAACGGGGCTCGATTCTTCTCCTACATTGGGTTCCGCGGACATAACGTCGAGGTATTCGGGTGCCTCCTTCTTATGCTCGCTGCTACTCTCACGCATGTTCTGGGACTACCGAGCGGGTAGCGGGGATGCGGACGGGCATAACTCTCCGGTACAGTGCTGCGTACAGTTCTTCGCCGGCTCCTCCTACGACGGCCACAACGGCTGACGGTCGACGCGACGGGTCGTGAAGCTGCGGGGGTGTGGGGTAGGGTAAAGTCGTAAAACGAGGCCGCTGTCTCTCTGCCAGTGTCAAGGGTCTGAAATTTTCTGCGGGTCGTCGTAGCGTGTGGGGCTTCTGCGACGTACTACAAGTGGCCCCCACACGTCCGTCCGTCTTTTCGTCGTTCCTGTTCCCCTCGTGGGAGTCCGTGTGAGGTACCCTAGGAGCCTACGCTGTGTTCTGCTCTCTCTCCGTCTCTCGGTTTCGGCTGAGTCTCAGGCGCCCCTCCTGAGATACACGCGATCGTCGTCTCCTCGGCTTCTTGTCTAACACACTACAGTCGGTCAACAGAACCGCCAGCAGCAACCCCGGGGGATGATGTCACGTAATTTCCTTTTCAAATGCGCGCGCACGCGCATTCGCCTGTTCTAATTTAGCGTCATTGACTCTACCGAAATACCGTGTTACCATAACAACCAAGACAAAACACCACATGCGCGTAGCAGCAGTTCTTTCAAAAGATGAAGACAAAAAAAGTAAGATTTCTGAGACTACTGTATTCAGCAAAATTATGCAATTATGTTGTAGGGCAGGGGCTGACTCGTCGTTTGCCCTGGAGCAAGAAAGCCAGAGAATGGAGGAGCGACTGCAGGTGCTCAAGAAGATGATGAGCATTGAAAAGGCTTCACGGGAGTACGTCCAATTTCCTGTGTGCACATCCAGCCATTGTTCTCACAATAACCCAATGAGCAACTGTCTTCTGTTGCAATGAATGGTGTTGTGTCTGTCATGTATATATGCCTCTCTCAAAAGGTCCACACCGGGAACTCATTTCTGGGGATCCAGCAACACCCCTTCTCGGTCTCATTCTGGTTCCGAAACCGGAGATCAGGAACCGGGACATGGAACTGGGACAAAGAGACAGCAATTGCCTCCGAGGGTTAAATTTCTGACGGAGGAAGTGGTTGGAGGGAGAGAAGGGTTAAAATGGAGGAGGTGTGGGCAGTGCGAGAAACCGTCCGCCAAAGTGGTTAGGAATTTGCTTACACGTGTAGTTACATGTATGGGCACAGCTGTGATCAATAATTCCACACGTATGTGATCAGCAATGCCGTAATACTGTGCCTTATACTACCACACTACCTCTTACAGTGTCTATTAGTTAGGGGTCCACTGTATTAGAATGATGATAATGATATTGTTGCTGCAGGTTTGTATTGAGTGTGGGGAGAACTATTGCCTGGCCTGCTTTGCCAGATTCCACCAGAAGGGAGCTCTCTCCAGACACAGAGTCAAACCTATCAAGGCATGGCACTTCCCACTTCAGCCACACACACTCAGACTACTACAATGTAACATTTTATAAAGGACACTCAAGAACACCTCTCTATAAAGGACACTTGTTTCAATGCTAGTTACTTTTGTGCATTTTAACCTCTGAACAAAGCATGGTCCCAGGGTGTCCTTCATACAAGTAGCTACAATCATACATTGAAGCGTATACAGTGTTAGTTTGCTCTTATGTAGGTGATCGAATTACCTAGACTGCCCACTCCCTTAGTAACTATGTGTATACACTTCCGAATCTGCTATATACAGACTTGCATGTTTTAGCATCTGCTAAAGGTGTATGCATGGTTTAATATCCGCCCTTAGGAAAGGTTTATATCTTTCTTTGTGTGTGCAGCAAATGAAGGGAAAAGTAAGAGAAGTGAACGTGGGAAAGACATCGTGTGGCACAAGTACAACTGAACCCAGCGGTGTATCCTCAGAGAGAGGCACAGAGAACGCAGAGGGAGAGAGACACGAGGGTGGGAAAGGGAAGAAAGAGAGGAAGGAAAGAGATGATGTAAGGGAGGCAGAAAGCTGGAAATCTCTGTGGGAGGGAGAGTATGATGAACAAGCATCTGCTCAGTCGTTTCAAGAGGCCCTGGCAGAATGGCGGGCCACATGTGCAGGTAAAAATATGGGAGAGTACAACAAAAGGGAAGGGAAAAGTAAAAACATGCGTTGGCCGGGAGTCGAACCCGGATCTATTGCTTGGAAGGCAACAATGCTAACCGTTACACCACCAACGCTTGCTGTACATTTGCCAAACACATTATTATCACCTGTATTCCTGTTTTCCTCCAACAAAGAACCAGTAGTAGTGGCTCAGGCTACCTCATGCAGCACACAGACTACAGTTGGAGTCACTCAACCGACCACCACAGTGCCAGCAGACCCAGAGAAAGAGGTCAGTTTTGGAAAACACAGCGGCGGTGGCGTCAGCTACTTTGAAAAGATGGTGCTCCGTCGACTCCACACGAACCCCCACTCCCTCCTCTCCTCTCACCCCAACACCCATCAAAAACAACTCCAAATGGCTGGAACAATTATTGATTCAGAAGAAGAGGAAACTGTTGGGGAGAGTGTGTGCCCTTCGCAGTACAATCTGTTCCATACCCATGGAAGCAATGAGCCTGGGCAAACACAGAATTCACTTCTCATTCCTCGTGTGTCTGACTCGACTGATATCCCAAGACCAGCTTCCAGCGTGAAAATAGAAGAGGTTACATTTGTCGACGGCCACAGTAGTTCAAGAGCGGCAGATGAGGAGGTTCCAGACGCACAGAGCACGGTAAAGAAAGATGTATCCAGTACACTAAGACACCCCAGAGAGAGGGAGGAGAAGGGTAAGAGGCGCCCACTGCAGAAGCAGTACCGGGCAAGGAAAAGGCAAAAAGCCTCGGACCCCACTTCTACCAACCACAGACTAAACAAGAGAAAGGGTGGCTCTTCGTCTATTCAACAAACTTTCTCACAGACGGTTGGAAGAATCTTTGAACACCACACCAAACCTGGTTCGTCCATTAGGCCTCACTCTGACGGAAAACTCACCGATTTTTTCCTCTCCGGGGTGGAAGAAAGCGACACTCCAAGAGAGAAAAGAACTGGGGACGAGGAGGGAGAGAGTAGTGTAAGTGGACCATCTCTCTTACCCATCTCAGCCACGGTATGGCTACCAGACAACAGTTTGGCACCCGACAGAGATGAACCAGGCAACACCACATGTGTAGGTCCTCTGACGACGTGTGTAGATCCTCTTGACCACTCAGTCTACTGTATTGAAACTGACCTACCACCTCCTAGTAACACCGCCACTAGAATATCAAGCTCGGTGGATCCCTTTGGAGAGACGCCCGAAAGTGAAAGCGAAACAGACGGAGAAGAATTTGGAGATGATTCCAGTGATTCTGAGGAACACACGAGCGAGGATTACGGTAAGGATTCCGAGACGTTGGAGGATTTGGCTTGGGAGCTGCAGAGCCTAACGAGTGGGCGGGGCACTCGGTGTGAGCTGGGTGATGGTGTCGAGGACGTAGGAGAGTGGGAGAAAGGGAGGGATGAGCTAGAAGCTGAGATGGAACGGGCAAAGACCAGTTTTGAGATTTACCAGCAAGAGCTGATGCAACAAGATTCTGACTGAACTCCACACACTCTAGCATCTCTCTTTAATGTTAGTTGTGTGTGTATGTGTGTGTTGTTGTTTCACAAAGTTATTTTAGGATTAGCCAGCAAAGCTACTGTACCTAGTCGTCCGAATGTGGGATTTTCCCATCCCTCCGGTGAACTGACTCCACATACTGTAATGCATGATTACTAAATACATGCAAAAACACATGCGAGATATTGAACTGCATGAGTTTCATTCCTCCTATATAGTACAAAGAACTTGTGTTTAATGCCACTTTTTTTTTAATACATGGCGTATTATTGGTTTGAGCTGGACTTATACTACGATGATGATGAAAATCGTTTCAAAGGAGGTAGGTGTGGCCACTTCAAAGTCAGCCAGTTGATGGACACGCCCACTGTGTACAGTCGCCACAGCAACGGAGTAAACAAAAGACTGAGCGATGAGATACTCAGTACTACCAGATATACCTGTAGGGTAGAGCAGGGAGACTCATTATTAGCTAAGACAGTTTCACTTTCATAATCCCTAACCTGTGTACTTGTCTAGGGGAGCAGAGCAGGGGCATACTTGTATGTATGTGTACGTCTTGTGAATGCAGGTGTTAAACAAAACATTCACGAAAGGTGGTTTCTTAACACGGAATGTGGCAGTATAAGGGCAAAACGGAAACGTAACGGAAACTGTAGTTCTATCTTTAGAAGCATTTCTAAATTTAGCCCTTATGTATGTACTGACGAATTCTTAAACCTTCGTCTCTCTAGACTTGTATATATATACTGTGCAGAAACATAGGTACAATTCTATTGAGGGACCTCTCTAGAGATGATTCCGAGTCTTCTGGCTCGACTGGTGAGGAGGAAGGAGAACTCGCTGACGGAAGAGAGGGAGAGAGAGAGGAGCCACGTGGAGGTGTGGCAGTGACCCGTGAACACACCCAGGACTAGCAGAGACAGTAGGAACTGGATGGAGGCATCAAGAGGAGGAGAGCTCTTTTAATCTGTGGCCTGAAACACTTGCAATACATAAAGTGGGCATACATGCAGTAGCCATTTCCCCCTGTTCTGATTGGTCAGTCTCACTCTCTAACTCCACCTCCTCATTAGCTGTAGGCCAAACAACAAACAGCACACATTTTCCAACTTTACAGCTTTGGACTTCAACATTGACGAACTACGACAAAAATCGAGGCCCAGGGCCAATACTTTCTCAATGTTTAGCATACAGTAGCATACAGTAGCATACAGTATCAGCAGCTAGAGTTTCTATCTGAAGCCGACTGGACAAACCTTGACGACGAGGACACAGAAGGTCACTCCCAGGATCATTGAGAACTCAGACCTCAGAATGTCGGGAAGACGTGGAACCCTGCAGCAATGGAGACTATTATGACGTCAATCGCCACACAATACAATTACGTTGCAAGGCACTGTGGGACACTTTCGAGGGGGGGGGAGGGGACACTTTTTACAAAACACGCAGTCTAAAGGTGAAATTTTTCTCCAACAAATTTGTGGGCAGGGGACATAGGAACCTGCAAATACTTTTCAGCGAAGTTCTCATTTGCCATCAAATCACAAAAGTTTTCCCTCACTATACGGTACAATCCTGTCTTATACTCACCTAGCGAGGCAAAGAAAAACAGTGACAGGAAATCTCTCAGCGGTTCCACAAGTCTCTTTACCTGTTTTTACACACACGATACGTACAGTAATAGATTGGCTAGTGGTTTCCACACACACACACACACACACATGTAGCATGGAGTTGCAAGATTATAGTCCTACAAAACAGGCGAAGCTCAAGGGGGTAAAATGAAATATTCCTGAATGCTTTTCAGATGCTTATTTCCACAATTGGCTGTGCCACAAATACCATAACTGTAGAATGATTGCAATGGAAACCGAATGCGAGTTTCAATTTTTCGTGCACGTATAATAATTGTCCCTAAAACCTAAAGATGTATGTAAGTTTTCTTCTTGTACATAAATACACTGGGTGGGTGTACTGTAGTGTAGTGTATACCTGCTCCACGATAGAATGTCCCTGAGAGCCGATGGCCAGGCCGGCCAGGAAACAGCCGAGCTCCATGGAGGCCCCGAGGTAGTCTGCCACCAAGAGGAGAAGGAAGCAGACGGCCACTGAGCCGAGTAAGACTGCCTCCGGTCTGTTTCCAAGGGAACCCAGCAGTCTGGGGTGACACACACACACCACTGACTGACTGACTGACCCACTTTACAACATTGCTGCACCGCAGGCAATGAAATGTAGATGGGAAACTATTTGAGAGTCACCAGAGGACATTTCTTTTTTTTAAGACGGGGGGGGGACCTTTGCACAATTGAGCAATCACCCAAATCTACACTTAACCAGCCACAGACACATGTGTCCAGAGCGTCCATAAGTCCATAACGATTTTTATATGGGGGTTATAATACTAGGCGCTTATACTTTATACATCAATTTATGCTTATTTAAGCATATGCCCATGGCGTCCAAAGGGTTTTAATCTCCACATTCATGGATGCACATGCACACACAGACACAAACACCTATTTGCTTGTGTACCTGTAAAATCTCTCGAGCATGCGAGTGGTGAGCTGACGAGCGATAATCACTAGGAGAAAGAAGCCGCACAGAGTCTGGAGTAGTTGGAGGAAGCCATAGAAAAGAGCCGCGATGTTCCAGCCACCGACGGAGGCCGGCCGATCGGCAAAGAGAGGGATAAGTGCCACCAGGGTACCGAGTTGGATGTCCTGCATCACCAGCAGACCGTTGAGGTGACCCACCACCTCCACTGAATCTGGTTGGTACAAACACTCCTACTCTTACTCTTAGTACAAAAGGAGGCCATTACTGCAGGGAACTTAAACGGGACGTGGCATTACATAAGAGTTAAGTATAGAATATGTTACTAAAAACGGACACCTAATTGCATTCTTGCACTGGGTCCTACCGTTTAGTTCCATCTTTAGTAAAATCTCTCAATTTAGCCCTTATATTATGTACTTGTACTGTCTAAACAGCCTAGCCCAAAGCACGAGGATCATAGACCACGTACCAGCACTGGATTGGAGCTATATTATATATAGCAGTACTATATATAAAATAGGGGTGTCTGTTCTACGTGTTTGCTTACTCGTCTGAGAATGTTAGTGTAGTTTTAAGACAAAACTTTGCTGTAAACAGCCTTGTATAGTATAGTAGCTTCCCACTTGGCAAAAATGCACCATGCATGCCTTTGCCCCACCACACATACGTAGTAAACTGAACATACTGTCGGACGGTGAGAGGGAGTGCTGAGCATCAGATGATAGAGATATCGAAGAAGACTTGTGCTTTGGGTAGTTGTATGCAGTACCTGTGCGTGTCAGTGCAGAGAGAGAAGTTTAAACGTAATGAGTACTAGAACGAATGCAATGCGTTTTGGTGAGCGAGCGCGAGCAGTTAATTTGCGTGCATGTAGAACATTATGGTATGTGCAGGGTCCGACCGATTCATGGGCAGCCTGACCTCCCGCAAGTTCACTGTGCCCGAGCTTCCCCGTACATAATACGAAAAAACCTGCATTCAGACGACTAGGTAGGCTGGCGTCACTCGCCAATTGTTTGGTTTGCAACACATTTTCCAATAAGATTGTGTTGCGATACCAGGCACACTTGCAAAATCAGTGAATTGGTTTGCTTTTCGTAGCGAGGGTTTCTGGGAACGAGGCATGTGGTTACTCACCGTCAATGAAGCGGCGGGCCAGAGGAGCACTGGAGAGCGAGAGACATGCGACGACGGTCAGCCCCATGCTCATTCTCACACCCACACTCACACCTATCACCATCCCCAGGGCACCTCCACACACTATCAGCATGTTCCCACCCAGCACTGCAACTCCCCACACCTGCGGAATATACAGAGACCAGCACACACGCAGGTGCAACTTTGTGTGTAAGACAAAAGCCGCAATGTATGGGTGTCATTGGTCCATTTAACAATAGACAATACTTTCTTTGCTTGCCAAGCAGTATACACAGATACATATATACATACTACATCAGCAGGAAAACAAAACTGAAATTACTATATACACAAACAGGACAACATCGTAGGAGATGTTCTTATATCCAGAAAGTGGGTTGATACCGTCCTGTTTAAATGCCAACACCCCTCATAAAGGCAATGTACAGTCAACTTGGCTCTATGTATTATGTATCTAGTGACACCACTGAAATGAGGACACCTCTCTAATATAAGGATTCCCCAAGGAACAGCTCTTGCATGCAATCTGGTAGTTCTTGAAGGAACAGCCTGAATAGTACACATTCTAGTGTCCATTCTAGTGCTCATTCTACTGCCATTCTACTACACTACTGGGTCATTCTACATTCGAAACAAGGATACCTCACTATTACAACACAAGTGTCTCATCGGTGTCGGATTAGAGGGGTTCCCCATTGCATACCTTTCTCAATTTCTCTGGAGTGAAGTCGAGAGCCACACAGAGAACTGTCAACAGAACTCCAAACTCACCCAGAGTCTCAATCTACTAAAGACAGAGAAAAATGGAGTTTTTGTTTAGATCACAAAATGCCGTATAGTAATAGCAGGAAGATATTGAACGAATTGAATTAAAAAACTGCCGATTCACAAAATTGCTGTTCCTCAAAAATGATGCCAAGCAGTATTCTTAGGCGTGTATTTAGTGGACAGAACACGAGTAGATGTGTATATAATAGATCACCTGAACCACCGAAGTCACAGTGTTATAACCAAACGGTCCAAGAAGCAATCCAGCCATTATGTACCCTAATAATGGGGGCACTTTAATTAGGGAGCAGAGCGTCCCCAGAGCAAACGAGAGGAGGAGAAGGTTAACAACGTCGTGGATGAATTGGTGGTCTTCAATTGGAACCGTTGCATCTCTGGGTCTCGATAGGACGTACTGGTTACTGGCCGAGTCGACAAGTACCGACATTACTCCCCCTCCTCCCTCTCCTCCGTCTCTTACGGGCAACCTCCTCCCGTTAACAAACGCCAGGTTGAGATGCTCGGCGACCGCCGCTTCTTGTAGCTTCACGACCGTCTCAAGTGCGGCTCCTTCCTGGTGTCGCGAGTCCCGAAAAATATCCGCGGCACTCAAATGACTCTCGAGTGAATCGGCAGCGTGGGAGACCTCTGACATTATCTCGGCAATTATCGGACCGTGTGTGAGATTGCTGTTTGGGTGAAGCGCATGCACCTCTTTTTCCAGGTCGAGAATGGTGTTGAAATCTTCTTCGACTTTAACGGCGGCGTTCCGCATGTCGTCGAGACGCAGTTGACAGCTGTGTTTTACTTGAGCGAGGGAGCGGTAGTCGCTACCCAGTGTCTGGTTCAAGTCCCTCAGAATCATGAGCAGCGAATTTTCGGTGGCTTTCAGCTCGTTCTTGTAGATTTTGAGTACCTCCACTTTCAGTTTTTCCTCTGTCGTAGCTACAGGCTGCTGTGTTATTTCGTCAATTCTATGGCCCAGAGTCAGCAGAAGTTTGCTCTTTCTTTGCAGCATTTGCACAAGGTTGGCACAGGAGAAATTTCGGAGAAGAAGGGAGGATGATGGTGGAGGGGGCGAGGAGGGACTATCGGTGAGAGGGGGAGAGATGAGATGACGGCGTTTCTTCCCTGCCTCTGTCAGAGAGCAGCCAGGGAGGAGGAGTAGGAAAGCCATCACAGCTACTGTAAATCGAGAGTGGGGTCGTTTTATGGACGCACTGCACTTAGAAACACCGAGTGAATAGCTTACCTGCACACCTCGACATTGCTCGCTCAGATATACTAGAGGAGACAAAAAATCAGACCCGCCCAAGCTCACTGAGCATGCGCAAGGATTGACCTCTAATAAACGCCCACCTACTAACTTGCGTTGATCTCGGCTCTCTTTCTGGATCCCAAACAATGTCGGACTTGGAGTACGACAGCGGAGATTCTTTAGAAGACTTATCTGCGGAGGGCAGTGCTCTTCGAACAGCAGGGACCGAAGCTGCAGACGGCGAGCAAGAGTCTGAGGAGACGTCGCTGAGCGTAGGCGACCCGCTAGCCTCGGGAAAGGCGGAGGAAGAGGAAGAGGAGGAGGAGAGTGAGGCTGAGGAGGGAGGAGAGGGGGAGAGTCCTGTGGTAGGGAGTGAGGGAGGGGAGGAGGGAGGGGAAGGAGAGGGGCCATCAGATGAAGAAGATGAGGAAAGTGGCAGACCAGCAGATGTCACTGGTGATGAACCAGAGAAGACAGCCAAAAGTGGGTACTATACGTGTTCTCTGTATCTGCATTAATAAGTGTGAAAGTGAGTTTTTAAATTTATTGTTCATACAGTAATTCAATGTACGCATGCTTGCAACTTAACACTATTATGTTTAATTCTCCGTCTTTCTATATAGAATTATATAATGTAATACTTGATTGTGTGCAGCATAAAAGGTGTTTTAATTAATTGTTTTCTTCTGGTTGCCGATTATCTTGCCTTTTTCCTCTGCTAGTTGTGAAAGCAGGTGCCTTCTTGGACAGCAGTGATGAGTCGGATAACGAAGAGGGGCCGAGGGGAGAGGGGGAGGGGAGGGGAGAGAAGGAGGGAGAGCGAGGGTCTGAACTGCCAGCTGAAATGGAGGAAGAGGCGGAGGGGACATCAAAGGTAGGAGGGAGAAAGTTTCTAGAAGATTCAGACGAGGAAGAAGAGGAAGAAGATGAAGCAAACACGACAGGAGAACTGGCGACAGACAACGCTGAGCCAGAAAAGACCAGAACTGAAAGGTGGGATAAAACCTTATAACTGGGAAAACATTGGCAGCCAAACCAGTAAGATATCGGGGATTTTGCCTGAATCCATGCTCAAACAACTTTCAGCAAATTTAAGATCGGCTATTTTACAGCAACTGGCCAAAAAGCAACCCACACAATGAAAGTTTGATAGCACCACACTACCTTTTTGCCATTTTTTCACTCTCTGATGTAAGTCGCGGTGCTCACCTAACACGACTCTTCTTTTTCCTGATATCCTTTGAATAGTACCAGTCAGGAGGATGTCTTTGGAGCTAGCGAAGATGAGGTACGTACATGTATTACGCACAGTGTTAGTGAGAGAAGTGTTCTAGAGAAGTGTTGTGTCTGTGTTCCTGAAGGGAGAAGAGAGCAGAGGAAAGAAACGAAAGAGAGGCTCCGTCGGTGGAGGGGAGGGAGAGAGTGAGGCCGAGCCGGGAGGAGAAGAAGAAGAAGAAGAAGAAGTAAAAACAAAGAGATTGAAAGGTAGGAGAATAATCGTATGTTTGGGAATAGTAATTGGTGAGCGAAGCGAGCCTGCCTAGTGGTCTGAATGCTATATCTGTAACCGTGCATCTATGTACCAACAAACCGTAACGTTTACTTGATTCTTAGTACGTGCAAAAAAGTTTCAAATATATTTAACTACTCACTTCGTTCACCAAAAATACGCTGCACTCCTCTAATAATGTTCTCTTGTGTTTGTGATGTTAGAAGGTAGTGAAGATGGAGGTTCGGTAAAGGGAGAGGAGAGTGACGAGGAAGACGAGGAAAGAGAAGGAGAGCGGGGAGGAGAGGGAGTGGGGGGAGGAGATGGAGAGGAGGGAGAGGAGGGAAGAGAGGGAGAGGAGGGGAGTGTGCCAGAACTGGGAGGAGAGAAGGTTGTGGGAGAGGAAAGGGGAGAGGAGGAAGATGATGATGAACCAGGACCATCCAAGTAGGTCCATGTACTCCACACATTATACAATGGTTGCTAGTGTGCAGGCAATAACCATATTATACTGGCTGTAACTTGAGAGAATTGGCTTTGAAGACCAGCGTTTGGTCAGGAGTAGCTCGGTGTTTAGTGCACCAGACTTTAGTCCAGTCACTGCTGAGTGTGACAACTGACGGCATAGCTTTCTCTGATTTGGTCTATTTCTTACAGTGCATCTTCTTTCTTCTCATTCTCCCTCCCTCCTATACCTCCCTCCATCTCCCTCTAGTGCAGGAATGTCAGACTGGGATCAAATGATGCAGAAAAGGAAGGAGGCCATGACCAGAGCACGAAGAAGACGAAAGAGGGACATCGATATAACAGCCGTGGACGATCACATCATGGCTATGATCAGGGAGATGAGGCAAGCTGTTGGGGTAAGTTCATACATTATTATACACGAAATTGTGTAAAAGCTGAAAGTCGCAGAAAGCATTCTCAATGGTGGGCATTAAATGCATATGACTGGTAAGTTGAGGTGAGATATACTAGAAAACACAGCTGCTACATATACATATGTAGAAAATACCATGTGATGCCAAGAGGAAAAAGATGTGGAGCTCTGGACAGCTGTTTCGGGCTTGTTGGCCCTCATCAGCAGAGCATACCACAACTTCTCTCTCTGGTGTCCCGAGTTTGTAAAGGCTGACATGAGCCCAGCACTTGTGAATGAGATTCATCCCCACAAGGCTTTGCCACTGCTACACATACATGTACTGTTGGCTCCACCATAATCTGGGAGTGTGGTCTAGGGAATCGGGATCACATTGATGTCTTCCTGTCTTGATTGCTGATGTGTTTGCAGGAAGATCTACAGTTGAATCAGGCGAGGCAACCTGCTCTGAAGAAACTGAAGATGCTACCCACGGTTATTTTGAACCTCAAGAAGTAAGACAGAATTTTGATCGCATTACAACTGTTTCCCTCTACGTCAGTGTACATTGATTAGGCAAAATCATAATGTTCTTGGGCAAGACTCTACTTGTGGGTGTGGGTATCATCGACACTTGTTAGCTGAGAAAATTTCCACGTATCGTCAGAATGCGAATATTATGTGCTAATTTCACTAGCAGATCTTTTTTTGCCGTAATATGCATTTGTTCCATTCTTTGGTTAATTGCTGCAGGTCTGACCTACAAACATCGTTTATTGAGTGCGGCATCCTCACTGTACTGGCTGTAAGTTTACACAGATATATTCGGGCAGTGTGAGTGTCTGTGAAATCTATGCGCATCAGAAACCCCAACTCTTCTACAAACGCAAATTTCAGGACAAGTTGCTTGACAAGTGCAGTGAACTCTAATAGGTGCACACCTGATTTCACGACAAGTTGCTTGACAAGTGCAGTGAACTCTAATAGATGCACACCTGATTTCACGACAAGTGCAGTGAACTCTAATAGATGCACACCTGATTTCACGACAAGTTGCTTGACAAGTGCAGTGAACTCTAATAGATGCACACCTGATTTCACGTGTGGGTGGGTTGCTCGGGGGTAACGGCACGAAACATAAATTTAGAAGACACAAGCTCTAGCGTGAGTGAGCTGTAACACCCACCCTCCTTACCCCTCTCTCTGAACCCGTGTGTTGTGTGTGTGTTGAATTATCCACTTATTTGTGTTTCGTCACTGCTTCGGTGATGGTCGGACACGTTTACAAACTGATTTTTCTTCTGAAAAGACTCCATCCTCTCTCCCTGTCCCTCTCTCCCTGTCCCTCTCTGCCTTTCCCTCTCTCCCTCCTCTCTGCCCACAGGAGTGGCTGAATCCCCTTCCCGATCGATCTCTGCCTCACCTCAAAATCAGAGAGTCCATTCTCGACATACTCAAAACTGTAAGGATAAAGGACAAGGCCATACCTGGTGCAACTAAACATGTGGTGTGCGATAATGGAGTATTATACCAACGAGGGAGGGAGCAATGAATGATTGGTTGGAGCAAAGTTTTTACTTTCCGTAAAAGCAAATTTTTGCAAGCTCGATTGACAGACGTGTGTAATCACTGAAAATGCGAAAAAATACTTCAGTTTCCTAAATCCACGAAATTTGCTGGAGTTTTTAGTTATAATAATGGTGCTATAATTATTATGATAGTATTTTCATATAAATTCACAGTACCCAATTCCAGAGAGTCATATTCTGAAGTCCAGCAGGATTGGAAAGGCAGTGATGTTGCTGTTCAGGCATCCGAAGGAGACGAGAAAGAATAAAGAGAAAGCTGGAAAACTCATCAGTGAGTGAGCACTAGGCTTGTCCCAATTATGCTAAAAATTTAAAAGCTATAAACCTATTATTCTAAAATTATGCTAGCATAATTGGGACAAGCCTAGTGAGCACCCAACATTGTGTACACTAATGACCTTCAAATGAAGGATACACTCACTCAGCGAAATTTGGGCAAGATAGGAATAGGATACAGTGAGATAGAGTATGCCACTATTCCATAGTCCAACTGTAGTCAAAGTATTAAGGATAGTTAGTTTGTCTCTTCTTGCTCTCATGTTCGTACAAGAAATGCAAAATCGTTGACACCCTTATTTTGGGGTAACAGCAAGATTTGGGCAAAGATAGGAATAGGTACAGCGAGATAGAGTATGCCACCATTCCATAGTCCAACTGTTGTCAAA